GATTGTCATGACCGACAAGAGTCGTATCGTTGATCTCCCGCCTGCCGAGCGATACCTGAAGCTTGGTGAAGTCAACTGGAAGAAGGTCTTCTTCAAGACGTACAAGGAAACCAGATCCTGGTTCCATCTATTGGTCAACTTCAACCGTATCTGGGTCATCCACTTGACGTCTTTCTGGTTCTACACGGCTTTCAACGCTCCGACGCTGTACACTAAGAATTATCAGCAACAGCTAAACAACAAGCCCCACGCTCCTGCGCAATGGTCTGCGGTTGCCCTTGGTGGGACTATCGCGTCTCTAATCCAGATCCTGGCTACCCTCGTTGAATGGTCATACGTCCCGCGGAAGTGGGCAGGCGCACAGCATCTGACAAAGCGGCTCCTCTTCCTCATCGGTGTCTTCGTACTCAACGTTGCTCCCAGTGTCTACATTTTCGGTATCAAGCAAACGGGACAGATCTCGTTGATCTTGGGTGTTGTCCAGTTCCTGATCGCTCTGGCTACATTCTTCTTCTTCTCGATCATGCCTCTCGGTGGATTGTTTGGCAGTTACCTCACCAGGAACAACCGCCAGTACGTCGCTAGCCAGACTTTCACGGCTTCTTACCCTCGTCTCAAGGGTAACGACATGTGGATGTCCTATGGTCTGTGGATTATGGTCTTTGCGGCCAAATTGGCCGAATCTTACTTCTTCCTGACTCTTTCGTTCCGGGACCCGATCAAGATTCTATCCTACACAAAGATTCAACACTGCGCGGGTGACGCGATTCTGCAGGACTATCTTTGCAAGTACCAGCCCCAGATCTTGCTCGGCATCATGTTCTTCACCGACTTGATTCTCTTCTTCTTGGATACCTATCTGTGGTACATTATCTGGAACTGCGTCTTTTCAGTCGCTCGATCTTTCTACCTCGGTGTTTCTATCTGGACGCCGTGGAGAAACATCTTCTCTCGACTGCCGAAGCGTATCTACTCCAAAGTCTTGGCCACGACTGACATGGAAATCAAGTACAAGCCAAAGGTGCTGATCTCTCAAGTCTGGAACGCCATTGTGATCTCCATGTACAGAGAGCACCTGTTGGCCATCGATCATGTTCAAAAATTGCTGTACCACCAGGTCCCGTCAGAGCAGGAGGGCAAGCGCACACTCCGAGCACCGACCTTCTTTGTGTCGCAGGAAGATCACTCGTTCAAGACAGAGTTCTTTCCATCTCAGAGCGAAGCCGAACGCCGTATTTCATTCTTCGCGCAGTCGCTCTCGACGCCGATCCCTGAGCCGGTTCCCGTTGACAACATGCCAACCTTCACGGTCCTCATTCCCCACTATGGTGAGAAGATTCTACTGTCACTACGAGAGATTATCAGAGAGGACGAGCCATACTCTCGCGTCACGCTCTTGGAATACCTGAAACAGCTCCACCCTCACGAGTGGGATTGTTTCGTCAAAGACACCAAGATTTTGGCTGACGAAACTTCGCAATTCAATGGCGACTATGAGAAATCCGAGAAGGACACTGCAAAGAGCAAGATCGACGATCTGCCATTCTACTGCATTGGTTTCAAGTCGGCCGCGCCAGAGTACACTCTACGAACTCGTATCTGGGCCTCGCTCCGCTCGCAAACACTCTACCGCACAATCTCTGGTTTCATGAACTACAGCCGAGCCATCAAGCTGTTGTACCGTGTCGAAAACCCCGAAGTCGTTCAGATGTTTGGTGGTAACTCAGACAAGCTTGAGCGCGAGCTTGAGCGCATGGCAAGACGCAAGTTCAAGATTGTCGTCTCGATGCAGCGCTACGCCAAATTCAAGAAGGAAGAACGAGAAAACACCGAGTTCCTGCTCCGTGCCTACCCAGATCTGCAGATCGCTTATTTGGATGAAGAGCCACCGCAGAACGAAGGCGAAGAGCCACGTTTGTACTCTGCTCTCATTGACGGCCACTCGGAACTCCTGGAGAACGGCATGCGTCGACCCAAGTTCAGAGTTCAGCTTTCCGGCAACCCTATCCTCGGAGACGGCAAGTCCGACAACCAGAATCATGCCATCATCTTCTACCGTGGTGAATACATCCAACTTATCGACGCCAATCAGGACAACTACCTGGAGGAGTGCTTGAAGATCCGAAGCGTTTTGGCCGAGTTCGAGGAGATGACCACAGATAACGTCTCGCCTTATACTCCTGGACTGCCTCCTACCAAGACCAACCCCGTCGCCATTCTCGGTGCTCGCGAGTACATCTTCTCTGAGAACATTGGTGTCTTGGGTGATGTCGCTGCTGGCAAGGAACAAACCTTTGGTACCCTCTTCGCTCGTACGCTGGCTCAAATCGGTGGCAAGCTTCATTATGGTCATCCCGATTTCCTCAATGGCATCTTCATGACCACTCGTGGCGGTGTCTCCAAAGCTCAGAAAGGTCTTCACCTCAACGAGGATATTTACGCCGGTATGAATGCTCTGATCCGTGGCGGCCGTATCAAGCACTGTGAATACTACCAGTGCGGCAAGGGTCGTGATCTTGGATTCGGATCGATTCTCAACTTCACCACGAAGATCGGAACTGGCATGGGTGAACAGATGTTGTCCCGGGAGTACTACTATCTTGGTACTCAGCTCCCTCTGGATCGCTTCCTGTCGTTCTATTATGCCCATCCTGGTTTCCACATCAACAACATGTTCATCATGTTGTCGGTGCAGCTTTTCATGATCGTCCTCATCAATTTGGGTGCCCTGCGACACGAGACCATCATCTGTTTCTACAACCGCAATGTTCCCCCAACCGATCCTCTCAGGCCAACTGGGTGCACCAATCTCAGGCCAATCATGGAATGGGTCCAGCGTTGCGTCGTGTCCATCTTCATCGTGTTCTTCATCTCCTTTGTACCGCTAGTGGTGCAGGAGTTGACCGAACGTGGCTTCTGGCGAGCAGCGACTCGTCTGGCCAAGCACTTTGCCTCTGCTTCTCCGGTCTTCGAGGTGTTTGTGTGCCAGATCTATGCGAGCTCCATCCAGCAAGACTTGTCCTTTGGCGGCGCTCGATATATCGGTACTGGTCGTGGCTTTGCCACAGCACGTATTCCGTTCGGTGTGCTGTACTCACGGTTTGCTGGTCCATCGATCTACTTGGGAGCCCGATCTCTGATGATGTTGCTCTTTGCCACCATCACGGTGTGGGGAGTATGGCTCTTGTGGTTCTGGGTCTCTCTGCTTGGTCTCTGCATTTCGCCATTCATTTTCAATCCTCATCAATTTGCATGGAACGACTTTTTCATCGACTACCGCGACTATCTCAGATGGCTTTCTCGCGGCAATTCTCGCTCACATGCCTCGTCTTGGATCGCCTTCTGTCGACTTAGTCGTACTCGTCTCACCGGCTACAAACGCAAGGCTCTCGGTGTCCCGTCGGAAAAGCTCAGTGGCGATGTCCCTCGTGCGCAATTCACCAGTGTCTTCTTCAGCGAGGTTGTGGGCCCTCTCGTCCTTGTCTGTCTCACATTGGTCCCCTACCTCTTCATCAATGCCCAGACTGGCGTTCAAGGTGCTGATCTGAAACCCGCGACCAACTCTCTGATCCGAGTGGCCATCGTTGCCTTTGCCCCTATTGCCGTCAACGCTGGTGTGCTCGCTGGATTGTTTGGCATGGCTTGCTGCATGGGACCTGTCTTGAGCATGTGCTGCAAGAAATTTGGCTCGGTGCTTGCCGCCATCGCCCACGGTGTGTCGGTTATCATGCTCCTGGCCTTCTGGGAAGTTATGTTCTTCCTCGAGGGCTGGATCTTCGCCAAGGCACTTCTTGGCATGATTGCCGTCGTGGCTCTCCAGCGCTTCATCTTCAAGCTCATCATCGCCCTATGCTTGACGAGGGAGTTCAAGCACGATACCTCCAACATAGCATGGTGGACTGGCAAGTGGTACTCGATGGGTTGGCACTCGATGTCCCAGCCTGCGCGAGAGTATCTTTGCAAGATCACTGAGCTTGGGTTCTTCGCGGCCGATTTCATCCTCGGGCATATCATCATGTTCATCATGCTGCCAGCTCTCTGCGTCCCTTACATCGACAAGTTCCACTCGGTTATGCTCTTCTGGCTCCGACCTAGGTATGTGACTTCTTACCCGTCTTAATTGGTTCCTTGACTGACTTTGCCACAGCCGTCAAATTCGACCACCCATCTACTCGATCAAGCAATCCCGCCTTCGAAAGAGGCGCGTTATCCGCTATGCTATTCTATACTTCATTATGCTCATCGTCTTCCTTCTTCTTATCATCGGACCAGTCATCGTCCGCAAATACATCAACAATCTGCCGAGCATTCCCATGGATCTCCTACAACCCACCGGCCAGAACAACAACGACACCACGACCGGTTTCACCGGTTCTGCACTGGTCAACTTTGGACAAGATGCTGGCACGGCTGCAGCAACCCAAGCCGCTGCTACGAGCTCCAACTCGAATGATCCTTTCAGCTTCGGTGGTGGTGGTGATCGCTTCGTGCGGTGGTAAACAACATCCTGGTCCGTGTACGACTGAGGTGCAGGTGGACGGAGGAAAAGACGCGCCAGGATACGGCCACTAATGAATTTGCAATTCTGTGTCGGTCATGGATCCGAACAATAATGATTGAAATGGCATAGACAAAGCAGCCTGTTGCTTTTCAGCTGGAATCCAGCCAAATACTGGGGTTTACCAAGGCGTGGGAGGCGGTTGCATCATCGTTTTGTTGCTTAGAGATACTGTACATGACAATCAAAACCATTGCACACAAGCAAGAGTGTATCTACCCACCCTCTACTCCGTACTCCGGCGGTGTCTTCCAGTCTGGTGCGTAGCTTAGCGAAGCCGGTGTTGCCGGAAATTTGAAGATGCCCCTGAAATTGCCGGTGCACGTGACCTGCCGCGTCCTGCCATTCGCGACCCTGAAGATGATCAATTCTCCCACTGCCGCCACTTACTCTGCCCTCGCTGCAGTTCCAGGCTCCTGACGAGTTCAGCGAGCAGTCGACCATGGATCCTCACGATGCGCAAGAATATGTCACCACTATAGCGAGTACAGCGGCCGAACAGTTCCAGAAGATCCCCGGGTCGGCCATCTTCCTCCGTTATGTGCAATCGAGTTACCAGAACGACCCTATCCGGTCCGCGGTGGAACTTTTTCTAGTTTTGTTTGCGATCCGGTATCTACTGGCGCCTAAATACTCGACGAAGCAAAACTACGTGAAATTGTCTGAGGAGGTGGGCACATACACACACGCGCACCTGTGGGAAAGAGGACTGCGGAAGCGCTGACCGTGGAGTAGGAGATTGATGATCTGGTGGACGAATGGACTCCGGAACCGCTGGTCGCAAAGACCACAGCGTTTGAAGAAGCAGAATTAGAAAAGCGGCCTGTCATTGTAGGGTATGTTCAAGGCCGGGAAGAGACGCCCTGCCTGCCAAATTGCTGAACCTTGTCCAAACAGACCGAGTGGCCCTCGCTCCAAACTTGCCAACGGCCGAACCGTCATGAACCTCGCCTCGTACAATTTTTACAACTTCATCTCCAACGAGACACTGAAAGAGCGGGCCATCCAGACACTGCGGACATATGGAGTCGGCCCCTGTGGCCCGCCGGGGTTTTACGGCACGCAGGACGTGCACATGAAGATTGAGGCGGACATTGCAGCTTTCCTGGGCACCACTGCCTGCATCATATACGCGCAGGCATTCTCGACCATCTCGTCGGTGATCCCGGCGTTTTCGAAGCGAGGCGATATCATCGTGGCGGACAAAGCCGTCAATTATGCGATCCGAAAGGGCATTCAGATCTCGAGGAGTGCGGTGCGCTGGTACGAGCATAACGACATGGAAGATCTGCAGAGGGTGCTCGCCCGAGTGACCAAAGAGCAGGCCAAGAAGCCGCTTACGAGGCGGTTTATTATTACCGAGGGGTTATTTGAGAACACGGGCGACATGGTCGATCTACCTAAGATTGTGAGTCGCTGCCGAGTGCGGCTCACGGCTGTGCTAACTCGGGGCCGTGCAGATCGAGCTCAAGCTCAAGTACAAGTTCCGCCTGATTCTGGATGAGACGTGGTCATTCGGCGTGCTAGGACGAACGGGACGCGGCGTCACCGAACACCAGCACGTCGATGCGGCCGAGGTGGACATGATTGTCGGGGCCATGGCCGGACCTCTCGCCGCCGCTGGGGGCTTCTGTGCTGGCTCAGACGAAGTGGTGGAACATCAGCGCCTCTCAGCGGCATCCTACACCTTCTCTGCCGCACTGCCCGCCATCTCGGCCGTGACGGCCAGCGAGACGCTCATGATGTTGCAGACGCAGCCGGATCTGTTCATCCAGCTGAAGGAGAACATCAAGGCCATGTGGCAACAGATCGACCCGCGGAGCGACTGGGTGTCCTGCACGAGCGCCCCCGAGAATCCGATCATGCTGCTTGTGCTGAAACCCGAAGTTATCTCGTCAAGGAGGCTGAGCATCGAGGACCAGCAACAGTTGTTGCAGGACGTCGTGGACGAGGTAGGTGTTCAACCATGGCTTTGGGAGAATGAGCGAATTGACTGATTTTGGGGTGTAGTGTCTGTCGCAAAACGTCCTGGTCACACGGGTCAAGACGCTCCCCGCGGGCCCCTCGGGCGCCAAAACGGACATCTACACGCCCTCGCCGGCCCTGAAAGTGTGTCTTACGATCGGCCTTACGAAGAAAGAGATTGAGAAGGCGGGCGTGACTATCCGGCACGCCATCACGAAGATCATGACGAGAAAGCGGTGATGGGCTACGCGCGATTCGAATTGCGTCTGTTGCTCCTTGTACAGTACAGTATTTGTCTTGGGAGCCTTATAAAGTTGTTAACAGCATTGTGTGTACCACTCGGTGATCGGATGACGGAGTTTGGCAATCACACTCTGGGTGCTGCATGGCGTCTGGGTGGAAACCACGAGAGCGTGGCATCTTGTAATGAACATAATCTCCTGGGGCCGCAGGCCACAATTAATACATAGATGTCAGCTGCATGATAGACTAATGTACTATGTACTTGGTTGTCGAGTGCTGTGCACGTGCTCTTCAGCCGGGCCAGTGAGCAAATCCACGCATACGTCCTGTGTCGACTCTCTCATTGTCCTCTACTGTGTACGCTCGTAGGCAATGTCAACGTCGTCGTCACATCAGTCATCATCACATCCCCAAAGCACCGGATTCCGCGGGACGAGTGGACGCCTCGCAACCTTAAAATCCATGCATGGCTGAATGCCACGCGAGATGGTCACCGTGCTACGTCCGCTCATTTTCCGGATCGAGACAATTAAGCGACCGTTTTCTCGTTTCTCGCTTGGACAGCCCGAAGCCCCAGGAGCGCGACCACGGATACGCATCACCGAGAGGCATTTGATCGTCACCATGTTAGCCACAATCCACCATCCACATTCCACAATTCTCGTTCCTGCAAACTTTGTGTAGCCGAAAGAAAATGTATTTCCTACGGTATGGTGGGTTTTCCTTGAGGCGCGCATTTGGCGTGTCCCTGGGTTGGTGCGGCAGTCGGGGTTTCGTATGTAGCCAGGATTGCCAATGTAACCTTGCGCTTGTTCGCTTGACCGTTCGCTTAACCGTTACATCGAAGCGGGTAGGCAAGCGAGAGGGGAGCGAGGCAGCGAGAGTTTGGCCTCTGGATGGCCAGTTAGAGGGAGATGTAAGCGAGGAAGCGAGGAGGGGTGGGTCAAGTTTCGCTTGACGAAGCGAGAGGCGGGAGCAGAGAGGAAGGAGAGGACGGGAACATTGAAGAAGGCCACGTCTTTGCGTCTGGAATGCGAGGAGATGGAGAGCAAAGGAGAAAGAGTGCAGGGTGATGACAGGCAGAGTGCAATACCTACGTACGGAGTACTGTGGTACGTACAGTACATAGTTACACCGTGCTGGAGCAGGCGACTCACCGCCCGGCGTATCTTTCTACGTACTGCGATGCAGGCGAGACCTACCAGTAGGAGTACCTTCGTACTGTGCGAGGGCGTCACCAGGGCATCACGGAGGGATCATTGACGATTCACCGAGAAGTCACTGAGGTGTGCGGCCTTCCTTTTTCATCCGTTCTCGTCCCAGTATTCATATACACTCACGCAGGCACATGTGACTGCGGAAAGGAGCGACCCTAATTATCTGACTGCACGATCATGAACGGGGACTTATGGTGCTGTCCCCATCACCCTTTTTGAGAGGCAGAAGTGCTTCGTGCAATCGGGGTGTAGAGACCATCTTTGGGTCAAAGGGCCAGCCGTGCCAGCACAACTCTGCGCACTGCTCCCAACTCTGCTTTGTTTTCTCCTGGCGATCGATGACGCAGATTCAGCCTTTTCCAGCTGGACTCCCGTTGCAACACGACATTCGCGACCCTTGTTCTGTGGCTTCCATCATCGTGGCATACACCTTCAGTCGGCATTCCATCGAACCACACCATATGGCACCACGACAAGAGCTGAATTGCATGTTTCCGAAGCCTCCACTGACCAGGCTGCCACCTCTACAGGTTTGACTGAATACGGGTGGACGCGTCTCCCCGCATCTGCCGCGTCTTCAGAACGCCTTCGGAAACCGGTTAGTATGACGCCTCATTGCGGAGTTGCACGGTTCATATCGCCCTGTTGTGAGAAGCTGGGTTCCTCCAAATGCTTCCTTCAGCTGCTGCCATGGGCGACGCCACAGTTTGGACTTCGCTGCTATACCTGTTCCTGATCCACGGCATCGAATGATGCTCGAGATAATGCCTCGTGCACACAGCTTTCGTCGATGTCAAACGAACTTTGGGTAAGCGGTGAATCCGGGATGAACCTGTCAGGGCGGGGGCGGTGACTCGGGAGAGCCTGTCAGAGTGGGCGGTGAATTCAGATGACATGTCGAGGTAGGCCGAGCTGAGAGAGCTTGCGATGGCAGATGGTAAGTCGTGTCGATGGTGACAAGGATCGGGCAATCGTTCGGTCTTCAATCAAGGGACTATAAAGCCGGCCGTGGGCAGCCCATCTGCCTCGTCTACCCTCCAACGACTGCTTCCAGCCTCACCGAGTCATATCTTACAAACTCACGTTTTTCTGCCCCAACACCACACCGCTCAGGCTTGCATCATGTCTGTTCCTACCCAGCCCGCATTTATCCACGTCGGCCCCTGGGACGAGGAGACTAGAAAGCATCCAGCAATGAAGTGGATGGAGGACTACACTCTCAACTTCAACAAGCGGGGCGGTTGGGACAAAGACGAATGCGACTGGGTGAGTTCGTCCACCTCGAGCAGCATATCGTGCCACCCCTTGATGGTCCCGACAGCTGATATCCTGCCACACAGTTTTCCCCGGACTTCACACTCGTCAAACCGGACGGCTCCTCTCACACCGGCAACGCCCAGGCGTTCAAAGAGTCCAAGGGCATGTACCAGTTCTTCACCTCGGAGTTCCACGAGCCCTACCTGCTCGTCACGTGGGAGACCAAGGACGGGTGGGACATGATCGGGCAGGCCTATCTTTTCGCCAACCTGCCGGGCCAGGCGACGGCCCAGGAGAAGAAAGTCAAGGATCAGCAGGGACGGGAGTGGGACGTCAAAATCCCGGGGGCGTTTGTGTTTCACTACGTGAGGCAGTCGGGGGCGCCGCACGATGGCATCGTGCTGAAGAGGACCGAGATTATGAGTGACAGTTTGCCGGCCGTGCAGATGTTGATGGCGAGAGGCGTGATTGGGAAGTAGTCGGATTAGCAGGACCGTGCCGTCAACGTGATCATCTGTCGTTGGTGGTGGTGGTGGTTGACGGTGACGGTGACGGGGACAGCCTTGGACTGCGATGGTTGTGCTGTCCCGTGATTGCGACACCTGTCGTGCCTATGTAGGTGATTATTCATGTCGAGTACAGGTGACCGAAGCACACGCGTTGGGACTCGCTACTGTAGGTCTTGTTTGTGTTGCTATTCTTTGTCCAACACATGATCCGGAGTTGGCGACGCACTTTACTCGGCTAGAATGGATTACTCGGTCTCAGACTCCAGTGCTAAATACAGCGTAGTGAACAGTCAAATGTAGCTCGATAGGCTGGGGGGCTGGCACATGATCAAGTAGATGGATCGATCCGGCCAGTCAGTTGGGCAGTCACTCAGTCACTCAGTCACTCAGTCACTCAGTCACTCAGTCACTCAGTCACTCAGTCACTCAGTCACTCAGTCACTCATTCACTACAGACACGATGATTGAACGTACCCAGTCGTTGGACACCTATAGGAAGCCTGTTCGTTCGGTCCTTGGCGAATGGGGTTGGGGTTACTGCAAATAACTTGGCGTGTGTGTCTTGTAGTCGCAATGTGATTCATTTGGTTCGAGATTCGCCAGGACGCGGTGTAACGAATGCCCGCAAACATCAGGTTGACGTCAAATGAAAATTCCATGCATGTGTACACGCCAACTTCAACGGTAAGTGGACGGCATCAAGCGCGACTACCACCACCACCACTACAGCGTCACAGTCTCACTGCACAAGCGGCACCATCCACTCCTTGTCGAACCGCTTCTGGACCTCCATGGCCTCGACGGAACTGCACGCCCTCTGGACGCGCGCCACGATCTCCATGGCCAGAATCTCGCTGTCGCCCACGAACGTGATGGCCTCGCACGGCTGAAAGTTGATGCGCTTCGTCCACGTCTTCTGCGTCTTCAGTCCCTTGGCCTCCGTCTTGAGCAACCGCAGCGTGACTTTCTTGGCGTGCGCTATGCCGCCGCCAATGCCGACCTTCAACATGACGACGTTGCCGCCCATCTTCTTGAACGTGCTGCTGTGGTCCCCCCCGGCGGTGTCGAGGAATCGGTGCTCGACCACGTCGACGAACCAAGGCACGGTTCCCTGGTGACCCGGCGGCGAGGGCACAGCCCACCTCGTGAACACGACCAGCTTGTTCTGCTGCATTAGGTTGTTGGAGGTCCAGACGCTGGCGCCCTCGAGTCGGCGTTCCCACCGCTTGGCGCTCACGATGCTGCCCCCGCCCGTGACGTGGCCCAACACGCCCAGGAACGCCTTCTGCCCGCCAGTGAGGTTCTTGTCCGGGTCCGCGGCGTCCATGTTCTTGATGATGCTCTCCTTGCGCTTCTGCTCTTTGGCCAGCAGCTCGTGCTGGCCTGCCGAGTAGAGTGGGAAGAGCGGGATGTGGGAGAGATGAAGGTACCGAGGGGCGTACCCGCCTGTTTGACCTGCTTGTTGCGGAACGCCGGCCTGGGAGGCGCGCGTGATGGCAGCGTCGATCCGCTTGGTGGGGAGCTTGTTCAGGATTGACCATGGTGATTGCTCTGACGTGGTGGTCGGGTCGACAAATGTGTCGGCCATTGTGGAGAAGGGGGTCCGCGAGTATTGGGTTTGCAAAGAGATTCGACGAGGAAGAAGAAAAAAAAGAGGAAATCGGGACGTCTCTGGGCTTCTGGCAGAAAGAAAGGATCGATCGTTGTGGTATGGCAAGCAATTCGCCTTACGCTCGACTCACTCCGTTATGTATCTCGGACTGTGAGGCGCCTCCCTGCGGCCAAGGAAGAATCCTACACTCGACGGGCTTTTTGGACAGCCCTTCCATGTCGGGCAAATTCCTTAGCACAACAGATATAGACGAGCGCCGATCTCGTGCGGGCCAGGCTTGAGACGACCTGATACCTAGCTGCCTACCTACCTCCATGAGACTGCTTTGTCCATGTGCAAATGCGCGTATCCGGGTGGTATGTTCCGCTCGTCGCTCGTGTTCTGCCGCCCAAGCTCGCGTGACTGGGATACAATTCGTGTTCGGTTCAGCTGCCAAGACTTTCCGGCTGTTCTGGCGCATCTTCGAATGGAGGGCAATCTGTTTCTGCCTCGTGAAGCTCCATTAAACTTCCGAGTACGAAGTTTGTGCCGGTATACTACTGGACTTTCGACTCAGTTCGATAGGGCCGGATTGTTCCAGTCCGTTTTGAGCATTGTGCTCGTATGTTTTGTGTCAAAGAACCCATCCTGAGTTGCCGAGCCCCCAAGGTTTGATGCCTCCAGCCCTATGGCCATGTCTTCGTGATCGTTGGTCGGCAAAGGTTTCCAGCTGCAGGTCTTCATGTTGTCTTGTGGAAGACAATGGGATAGGAGGCTGCATGCAGGGCTTGGAGAAGGTCAGATGTTCCACTTCTCCTGGGAAGAAGACGGAGACATGCTCAACGGTAATGGAGGGGTTATTTTTGTGATCTGCGTCGTACGGCCTAGACACCGAGTCCAAGACAGCTCTTCATGCCAGGGTACGTCCATCGCATAACCAGAAACCGAAGAGACGAAAACATGTTCGTGGTTGACTGCGAGGTCGCGCATCGCAGGCCGATGAAGACGAACAGTTTCAGGCTTCACGGTGGACGGCCCCCGTGGTCCAGAACGCGTGGCCGACGGACTTGACCACATGTTCCGGAAGCTGAAGTAGTCTCCGAGAGAGTGTTGTCTGGTGGGGTAGCCGCTTGACTGGTGCATCTAATGCTGGCACCTCGATCGTTGTAGATTCCACCTTTGGCTGTCTATGATTATGCTGAGATGATTGGTGTTCGAACATCTGAAATGTGGAATGAAAGTGAGGCAGCGACTAGGAGAAGGTGGAATTGTAAGCCCCTAATAATGCATGTGATTTCGCCAAGACCTTTTTCCATGCTGTCGAGGTTCAAGCGTGCAAAGAAATTCACATCTTGTCCGCCCAGTTGATCCTCTTCGAAAGCATCTCCTCGATCGTAACAGACCCGATGGCGCATCGTCTTCACTACTGGAAGCAGTAAAACAGGGTAAAAGCCACTGAAAGCTGTTGGAACCACTGTCTCAAGCCGGGACGCAGTATCGATCATGATCGGACTGTATGCATTGTCATGGAGGATGGCTAGCCTGGCATCGGCGCAAACCGTGACATTTGTCGCAACTTCCGCCCATATTTGTAGAAGAGAAACGGAGCTGGGATGGCCAACACGCACAGAAAGCCGAGGACACTGGTAGCCCATGCTGTGCCCAAAGATTTATACATGCGTGGTGCAGCCAATGGGAAGCCCGCTGCCACCAGACTCCTGACGATCGTGCTTGCCGCCATCGCACTGGCAGCGGACTGAAGATAGATGTCCACCAGAAACGCCACAGCGTTGGTGAAAATGAGCATGATGCCACTTCCGATGAAGAATCCCGCGACGATTTGCGGGACCGGGGAGATCTTGCTTGATGAAGTCCAGGCGAAGAAAAAGAGCCCGATGGGCAAAATGATGCTACCGAGCATGACCAAGGGTAAGCGGTCCTCGGGTAAGACTGAACCGCGAGCGCGTAGCCTGGGGCGATAATATCGTTTCGAATACAGCGCCACCCCGAACGAAGATATGACCACGCTTGTCAAGATGCTCAAGAATGGGAGGGTCCCGGTCCGGGGATCCCAACCTCTGCCTTGGACGAAGCTGTATGGAAAAGCGAAGAAGGTCAGATAGAGGATCCCGTAGACGATGGCAATATATAGCGCCATGACCATGAGCATCGGCTCCACGCAGAACATGACTGCCGGCTTAAACATGTAATTGTGTACAAATTCTGCAAAGGCTGGAGCTTGCTTGACGTTCTGTTCGGTCGGTCCTGAGGAGTCTTGTGCCGAATTGAGTTTCCTGTTCGCCCTTTGTTGGAGGATTGGGCCATATGTCTCGGGAATGAAGACGAAAGCCGGGATTCCAATAACGACGCCGAGAATAAGGGAAAGCCAGCCCGTCCAGTGCCAACCGAGACTGCTTTCGGTGAGAAGTGCACCAAAGATGGGCCCAAGAGTAGGCCCTACGTAAACCGCTACTGAGTAGACCGCGGTGGCGACGCCCCGCTCCGCTGGCTCCCAAAAATCAGCGTAGGTGGCACCGACCAGGACCTGAGGCGAAGCTCCGAAGCACCCGGCTAACAGGCGACATACGAGAAGTGCAGGGAGATTTTTGACCACTCCGATGGGTATTTGGAGGAGTGTCCACGCGAAGAAGGCGGAAAAGAGTGGTAATCGACGTCCCTTGAATTCTGATAATGGGCCTGCAGGGATCCCACCGTTAGGTAAGCACCGAATTGCGACGATTCGGAAACATAGAGAGCAGATATAGAGCGGCGAACGTACCCCAGACAATGGGACCGACACTAAATCCCAACACATAAAGCGACACCCCCAGGAGGGAAACTGTTTCACTGACGTTGAACTCCCTTGACGTTACGGCGATAGTCGCAGACCAGATAGAGCTCGCAAACGTTACGGCCGTGGTCATCAACGCCAGAAGCGTGGTAATGACCCATTTCCGCCATGTCGGAAGATCGAACGGACTTTCAAACGATGCAACGACTTCCCGGTCGCCGTCGACTCCGACAACCCGTTTTTCATCCGGACCAAGTTCGAGGCGGCGAATAGGTGTAGCAGGCTTCTGCAGGTCGATTGGCATGCTTCAGCCTCAGACAGAACAGACTGACACTACAGACCCAAGGCATTCTCGGCGCGACGAGCAGATTTCAAGTCGTCCGGACCGGCACGAGTCTCCTGTGACAATGGTGCTATCCTCGTTTCGGAGGGCTGTGCCGCCCTATCCGGCGGAGATCGCCACGAAAACCATCCATGCCGAGGCAGAACACCCTCATTGCTCAATGAGTTACAGTTGAGTTCAACGGTACTGCGTGACAAGTAAGGGACTTTGTCTCTGGATGATCACCGGTTTTGTGCTGGCAGGATTTACGCTGGCTTATCGGATGCCTAGACGTTCGGCCAAGGTGGCAGAATACCTACGAGGTAGGTAATCAGATCATTATCACGTGATACCGCGCTAAATGTGTCCAGTTTGTGCACGTGACTTGAGGGAAGGCTGCGACGAGGCTGTGACAAGGCTGGCGCCGAGGTGAGATGACGTCGCCCTGAGATCCACCTTCAGGAACCGCCCCTCCGATCGTCGACCTCGTGCAACCGCAGCCTTTGGGTTGCAGCTGTCTCATGGCAAACAGCAAAGGCCTTTGTGAGCTGCCTCTTGTCATGCGAGAATCATCGCCCCGTTGCATTGCACGGTATGGCGCACTTCCTACGGGGCAAGCAGGCTGGCATCCAAGGGGACTTGTCGGCAGGTGTCACGCCTGAGGCTTTCATGCTAGACGATGTATGCCCTTCCCCGTGATCCAGCTGCAACACATGAGAGAGACTGACTGCTTCTCAAGTTCGCACGGTACGGCATCAACTCGCAGATATCGGTCCTTGCCTACGATGCGGTACAGTCGCTCCTCGCGGTTGGCACCAACGAATCTCAATTCGGGCCTGGCATCGTCTACGTCTTCGGCCAGAAAAGAGTCTGCGTCACATTTACTCCTCCTCGACGCTCCTCCGTTCGAGACATTCAGTTCTGCGCCGACAAACTCGTCGTACTGGACAGCAAGAATGATGTCATTGTGTTCAGCCTCGATTCGAAGCATTTACAGGCCAACTATGCGCCTCCCGGCCATGTCACTGCCATCCTCTCCGATCCGAGTCTAGACTACGTTTTCTCCGGATTGCAAAATGGTGGGTGGCGACACGAACGCGTTGGCGGGCGAATGAAGCGAGGCTGACGACGTCGCAGGAGATATTGTGGCGTTTGACCTCGACCGTGAGAATATAACGGGCTTCAAGATTCCCAATCTCTGGCGTGAGCGAAATCCCAGAGCACGTGTGTTGCCAGTAGTGTCGATGCAGTTCCACCCTAAGGATATTGGTACGCTGCTCATCGGTTATTCCGAAGGCGCCGTCATCTACTCTTTCAAGCAGAACAAGGCTCTCAAGTTCTTCCAATATGAACTCCCGCGGGGTGCTCGTGGTGGAGACGCAGATCACGCAACCACAAACACAGTGCGGTATCCGCGCCTTACACGCGCTCTGTGGCACCCCACCGGCACATTCATACTAACGGCCCATGACGACTCGAGCTTGGTGTTCTGGGATCCCCGCGATGGAAGGGTGGTTCATGCCCGCACCATCGAAGAGACAGACGTCAACGTACCGGGGGCAGGATCATCCCGCCAAGATCTCCCTAAAAGTCCGATTACGCCTGTGAGCCCTGGCTTTGGAGGGGCTGTTAAGGAGCCCTACTCCCACATAGCCTGGTGCTCGAAACAGAATCCCGATGACACAGGTTTGCTTCTGGCTGGTGGTTCTTCGATGACGACCCCGACTCGAGGTCTGACCTTCATCGAGTTCGGGCCGACGCCAAACTACCAGACATCAACTTGGGATTTTCTGGCTGGCCACTTTCGGAACCCCAACCGGGTGCACATTCTCCCAACACCGACTAATGCTACAATCAACACATTTCTTCCCATACCTCGCTCGTCTCCTCATTTTGCAGGCTCTCACGATCCTATCGCAGTCATCACCGTACTGTCGTCTGGCGAAGTCATCACGCTCAGCTTCCCATCTGGACATCCCATTACGCCTACCAATCAACTCCACGTCTCCTTATCATTTGTGCACCCATTCGTGACCAAGACAGCTCTGGCGTTTGTTGACCGGACCAGGTGGCTCGGTATGCGCGAAATTCGCCAGCACGGCCCAAATTTTGTAATAGGTGGTGCGGAAGGTATAAAACCTCTCAAGCGGCACGAAAACAGAAACGTTATCCAAGCTGCACATGCTGATGGCACCATTCGAGTATGGGATGCCGGTCATGGCGACGTTATTGAGAACCCTGGCATGATTCAAGTTGACCTGGGCAGGGCTGTGGGTCGCTGGGACCAGCTCGAGGTCACGCAGATGAGCATGTCCGGAGCGACCGGCGAACTATCAGTTGGTCTGAAGTCAGGAGAACTAGTCGTCTTCCGACTCAACCGAAACCAAGGTGCAGGAAATCCGCCGTCGGCTCCCAGCCCCAACGCAGGGCCTGGCAAAATGCAAGATATTAGTGACCGAGCAGACCCGGGTCTGAAAGAGGGCCTGTTGCCACTGACCATGACAAACGACCAGCAAGGCCCTGTCACTGCGTTGCAGCATGCCGATGTTGGCTTTGTGGCTGCAGGATATGCCGCAGGTGGAGTGACCATAATTGATCTTCGAGGTCCAGCTATCATCCATACTGCTCTCTTGTCTGAAATCGCTGCCGGAAGTCATCATCATCGTGGTAGTAGCAGGCGATCGACAGCCGCCTCTCCGTCTTCAGAACATCCCACAGCAATGGAGTTCGGTATCTTGACCTTGGACGGCGATGGTAAGTGCTTCTGGTGTTGTTTTCGGAACCGTACTGATCACGACAGACTACTCCTCACTCGCCCTCTTTGTTGGCACGTCTAGTGGTCGGGTGGTAACTTTCAAGATCCTGCCATCCCAGACCGGTCGATACTCTGCTCAACTTGCAGGTGTTGCAAAGATCTCCGATGACCGAGTCATCTCGCTGTGTCCAATCGACTCTCAAACTGGTGCGCCAGCATATGCTTCGGGCTACGCAATGGGTGGGCTACAGTCCGGTCGCAAAGTCGACGGTGTCCTCGTGGCAGTCACAGCCTCATCAGCCCACATCTTCCGTCCTGCATCTGCAAAGGGCGCCTCCAAGACCTTCGACAACTATCTCTGCGACTCGGCGACAGTAGCGCGCTATGAAGATCGTGGGTACGCGCTCATTGGTCTCTTCGGCGACGTTGCCGCCCGAGCATTCTCCATCCCCGCGCTTAAAGAAATCGCTTCTACGAGGGTAAACCACCTCTTGGACACGAAATGTTTCGGCGACGCAATCGTTACTCCTACTGGTGATATATTGGGTTGGGTCGGGCCAAGCGAGCTAGCCATTGTCAACGTCTTCGGCTGCGGCACGTCCCTTCCACCCAGCACAGATCGTCTGTACGACGCTGCGAAACCTGTCCCTCCGCGTCCTACCATCAGCAACCTGCAATGGATCGCCGGCACCCAGTATATTACACCATCAGACCTGGATATCCTGATCGGTGGCCCTGAGCGACCACCGTCTAAGAGAATGATGGCCGAAATGCGTGCCGCTCAGGAAGCCGAATTCGAACGTCAGCGTGAAGCGGCACGCACGGGCCGAGCGGCGAAACCGGATCAAAACCAGGAGGGCTACTGGGCATACATGCAACGGCAGATTCAAGAGAGGACAGAAAACCTAGGCCTAGCGGGTGATAGCCTCGACAGGGCTGCCGAGAGCAGCTCTAGTTGGAGCGATGGAGTGGATAAGTTTGTCGCCAAGCAGAAGCGGGCGGCGGCGTTGGGCTTCATCGGGAATAAATTTGGGTTCTGAAGCCAAGCGGGCAGCGAGACACATTACGATGAGATGAGTCCATGGCAAATTCGCGGATGCAGATAGAACGGGATCATAAGGTTTGTCCAAATAAGCTTCCTGGACCAGATTTCGAGAGAAAATCAGCCGGTTGGTGGCATCAATTGCAAAAATATCATGGACATCTATATTTGGATTGAGTCGTTCCGCAGGTCAGAGTGTCAGCTTTCTCGAACGATCTCGTCTCGTGCCAGCATTATAACTTCTAGCATCGTCGTTCCGACCATCACTTTACTCGCTGCGGTATCTGTGGCCCGCGGGGCGCATGGGCAGACAATAATTTCCTGGGAGCGCAAGTCTCCCACCACAATTGCCAGGCCTGGTAGGTCCCCGTAGCAGTTCCTCAGTTTCTGAGCGCCTTGTCAAGACATTCATGCCACGGTTCACCTAGTTGCGCATACATTGCGAGAGCATCATTGGTGTTCGGCCGAGACTGTCTGTTCTGCCGACATGCTCGCTACCCACTGATTCATTTGACTTTGAGTGATCAAGCGATCGACGGGCACTTTGGCCTTTCTGGGCAGAGCAAAGGTATAGGATACTGGAATTACGTTACCTTACCTTCCTGAAGCGATCTGTCCTTACATGAACTCTTTCTGAGTGGTGGGAGAAGCCGAAGTCGTCAAGCCCTATTCACTTGGACAAAAAACCAGCCGCTTGTGTAGGTCCAAGCGTCTTCTGGAAGCAGTCGCGCAGTCTGTGCTCGCTGGCTCGGTTGCCTTTGTTTGATGACACCATTGCCATCACTGTCACCGTCATTGTCACCATCACTATCACCACGGCTTTGTCTCATGTGCTGCATGCGAACGGCGAGGCTTGCGCAATGACTGCCGAATAACGAGGAGGAATGTCGAGGAGATGGAATCGAAATGACGAGGTTCAGTCTGCTAGTCCAGTCGACACACTGGCCAGCGTACACTCCAGACAATGTACGTGCTCTTTGTGTGGTATGTCCTCCGTTCATTGTTCGTGCCCGGCAAGGGCCAGGTTCGGGAATCTTCTCGATGGACTCTCGTAATGTTTGTTAAGATTGTGTGATGTTGATTCACTTTGCTTCGCGTCGATGATCCCGTTCCTCATTCATTCACTGTGAGTCGTGCTACCTGTCAGCCTTTTCGCGTGTCCTGCATTTTCGCTCCGAAACTGGATTGGAGTCTGAGTGAAGGATTGGGCTCTGAGATCAGCGTGGAAGTGACACTTGGGCAGTGACTGGAAGCAAGCGAGCGGGCAAGCAGTCTTTCTTCTTCAACGCACATCACAGTCGCGAGATCACATCCGGCCAGGGCAGGTCAAATCAAACCCCCGAGATCAGAATCGCAGCTCACTCAACAATAACTCACCCACTCACTCACCTTCCACCATGGAGAACAAAATGAAGAAGCTGGTTCGCCAGCTGTCGACTCGCACAAGAACACGTCCTGCCGTCGCAACCAGTCCCAATACTGGTATGAGCAAAGCGGCTGCGGATCCTGCGCAAAAGAACCCGCTCACGAGCCCCATCCCGCCCAACACAGTGATTCACTTTCCGAAATGTCCTCATAGCACGCCCCCGACGCCTCGACCGGCGTATATACCCCCCGTGCTGAGGACCGAGATCACCGAGAGGTCTTCTCTAGCGGCAGCACCAGTAGCGCCAGTAGCAACGGAGTCGGCGACGAATATGCAAGACCCGGAGATCAAGGGCGTCAACTCGAGTTCGTGTCCGCCATCAACATCCGCACCAGAGTCCAATGAAGCCATCGTACCAGCTGGGATGTCTGGTCCAGATCCAGAGCAGCACGACCTTGAGCACGACCACGGACGTGAGCGTGATTACAGACTCACGTCACCTACCAACGCCCCAGGGCCAGCCACAGACACAGAAGAGAAAGATACGACCGTGCACATCAAGCAGTACTTCTCCCACCCCTCGCGCTGTCTCGACTGTTCGCTCTCGCTAGCGCGCCAACGCGAAGCCAGCTCCCGAGACCTCAGCGCCGGGATACTGCGCGAATGGCAACTGCGGCTCGTGGAGCTGACCTCGGCAGCCAAAGCGGTGTGCCAGGTCGCACGGATCAAGAACGCCGAGCCGGGCCGATCGGACGGGCATCTCTTAAGGGAGGACGTTGTCGTGTTGGAGAAGATCGAGGCCGAGGAGGCGGTGTTGGTGGTGAAAATGGCCGAAGAGAAAGAGAGGGTCGAAAGGGAGGTGCGTGACATTTGGGCGGACGTGGCAAGGGAGTGGGAGGGCGGGATCCGCGAGGTGGTCAGAGGGGATGGCACCGGCGAGGCGGAGGAGAGATGTGTTTTTGTGGTGTCTTCTCCTGCTACAGGTTGTGATGGGGATGGAGATGACCAAGGGGAGGGAGAGGGTGGTGGTGGTGATGGTCTTGGGGACGGGGACGGACAAGGAGAATCAGCTCCTGCGGAAGGGCAAGATGGAGTCCAAGTCCCGTGGGTTCCGGTCGAGGGCTGAATGAGAAAGGGGGGGCGGTGATGTGGTGACACGGCATAGACTGGGTTCGTAGGATGCTGATATTGGGATTGCATGGCTGGTGCTATGGGGATTGGTTCATTTCCGTGGGTTCATATGATATTGATATGATATACCTGTGCTGTATGTGTAGGGGTCAACGTAGAATGGCAGTGCTCACTCCGTGAGAACTTCCTGCTGAACACATGCAGGGGTGGATGTACCCGTGCTCGGTCTGCCAGCGGCCCCATGTGTAATTCGGATATTGTGAGTAGGCGCCCTCGGTTCTGCCATACGTGCTGTGACCTGCCCTTTGGATGGGGATCTGATGGTCGCCATGGCCCGACAGAGGCGGCGTGGCCAGTAGTTGTCCTGCATGGCGACGAAGTTGTCTGCAGTCATGGCAGCGGTCTTAAGAATCTCCGATCGGCATGTTTAGCGATATCGCGGTACAGTCGTGCATACAAGAGAGGCAGCTCTGAACCTGAACCTCGTCGTCGTGGGAACGAAATGGTGAGGCTCGTATCGATACTTGCACAGTACGTGGCTCGTATGGAGATGCAAAAACACCAGAAAGGGCCAAGTCGTAACGAGCCGTATTGCCCTTCCTCGGACTTGAAGCGGGCCAATAGCCGCGGAGTCACCACTGTGCACAGTTCAATGATGTTTCAATAATTAACATGTTGTCTGGAGAAGAAGTGGTGACAAGTCAGTAGCAGTGACAGCTGGTGCTTTAGTATCGTGTATTTTCTGTGAAGAAGAGAGAGAGAGAGATGAACCTAAAGTGAGAGTAAAGTAAGAACTGATCGCCCCTCCCACGTGACTGCCAACCAATGGAGGTGCAAGTGCCACCACGGTGCAACAAGCAGGTGCTGTGCAGGGAGCAGCACGTGATTGATGGGAAGCATGCTGACTCAGCCTCTCGATAGAGCCACCAGAAGCCTCACACTGAATGCCCACCACCACTAGCGTGACTAGCCTCGCACCAGCAGTGTCACCTCCACGGCGACAATGGTAATGATCAGGAAATATCAATGTCTCGTTGAAGCTGGGTATCTAGCACGAACTCTTACGCCCGATATCAATGCAGAAAAGACACGTATATCGTCCGAACAAAAAGATTCCCTCATCCTGCTGCTCGCAGCCCCGCCTCCCTCTCCTGCTTCCGCTTTCAGTCTCCTCCCACCTGCCTTCGAATGTTCCTCCGCCGCCGCAGTGAGAACCGCAAACCTCGATTCCAAATATCAACGTGCAGGACTCCCTTGTCGTTCATCAGCTCTTTCATAAGCTCGGACCCGTGATCCCGTTGCATCTCGGAGAATAACTTGCGGCTTCGGATCGCGGAGGCTACCAGCCTCGCATGTGGCTCTCAACCGGAAAAGACGGGCTCTTCGCAGCTCAGGCAAAGGTTGGCCCCGAGGTCTTGTTGGCAGCGGTCCGGGCACTGCTTCGCGTCGACCTCGTCTTCGTCACGCCCTTGGGCTTCGCGGCTTCTTTCGCTGGAGCCTTGCCTTTGCCTGCCTCTTTCTTCACCGTGGCAGCTTTCTTCGACTCCTTGGGAGCCGTGGTGGTCGCGGGCTTCTTCGTGGGTTTCCCCTTCGCGGGTTCCTTCTTCGTTGGCTGCTTCTTCTTGGCCTTTCCCTTGGTTGTATTATTCGCCTTGGGTGAAGCCGGGGCGGGCGAAGTTCGAGCTGGTTCAGAAATCTCCTTTCGTGCTCTGATCTTCCTGGTCGAAGACGCAGTCTTTTCCGGCGCCTTAGGTTTCGCTGCTGCGTTTTTCGTCGCGCGGGGCTTTTTCGTCGTCTTTGCTGCGGCAGCCTCTTCCTTGACCTGCTTCTTCGCCGCTGCGGCCTCTTCTTTTTCCTTCTTCTTCGCGGCGGCAGCTTCTTCCTTTCCTTTCTTCTTCTGCGCAGCAGCCTCTCCTTTCGACTGTTTCTTGGCCTCCGCAGCCTCCTTTGCGGTCTTCTTCTTGGCAGCAGCGGCAGCGGCAGCGTCCTCTTCCTCCTCCTCCTCCTTCTTCTTCGCAGCCGAAGCCTTCTCAAGCGTGAGCTTGATCGTGATTTTGGATCTTGTGCCGCTTGCAGGGTTCCCCTCGGGATGCTGCTCGGCCTCCTTCACGATCAGCTCGAACCCCTGCTCCGCGTCATTGCCGCCGCCGCCAAAGATCTTCTCCAAGTCATCGTTGATATCCTTGGAGTTGGTCGACGGTTTGCCCTTGGTGCTCTTCTTCATTTTGGGCGATTTGATGCCGGGGCGACCCAGTCTGTTGATTCCGTTTCTGTTGATCTGGTCTGCGGTGGGTGATTTCAGGGGCTCAGGTTTGCCTTTCCCTTTCCCTTTGCCGCCATTGTCGTCCTTCTTCGCGTTGCCTCGTGTCTAACGCACAGGTCAGTGCCACATGATCGGGATAACGCAACGATGCCGAGGGGTAATCTACCTTTACCATAGTAGCTGTACTCTGTAACTTGCTGGAGATTTATTGGACCTTTCTATATCTCGAATAATTGATGCCTCCACAGCGATTAATTAAGCTCAATCGGACAAGAAGGAGAAATGTGATGAGAGGAAGGGTTCACGACTGGGATAAAGGCATGGTTCATCATTGGACTTTCAAGGCTGGGACGGGGAAATAAAAGACAAAGGATATTGTGGACGACCCAAAAGAGACATGTCGAGAGGGAGTTTCAATAACCCATTGACAAAGGACAATAGTACCGCAAACGGGCAGCAACGCATTCGGACACCCCCATCGAATAGCCAATTGATTGATTGCGAATCGAGGACTGAGTGAAGACTTCCGGGACCATTGATTCGCGATTCGAAGTATTGACCGCCTGGACGGGGTGAATCGAGGGTCCGGCAGCGACCGAAGTTCGAAAAAGAGGGCAAGAGATCTTCTCCTCAACATATATCCGCCTCGAGTACATGCACACATCACACCAGCCAGCGCCTGTGCTCATGTTGACCGCAACCGATCTTGCTCGAAGCATCCCATCCACGGTGCGTGGGAACCTGAATCCTATATAGTCACAATCACACATTATCCAAGGCCCCTGTTTTCCTTCCACTGGGCCATCATCAAGTCATAACCGCCGTTGAGTCGTTGTTGCAAAAATGAAGGAAGCATCCCTCTCGAGCCTGCCGTTGTTGTCTTTCGCCCAGCAAGGAGACGCGATATATATTTATAACGTGGTCGGAGTTCAGCCACCAAGTCCGGCGTTTTCAACATTTCTTAATTTCGCGGCCAGCGTAGTATCGTAGAAGTTGTAATACGGATCTGGAATGCAGAATGTAGAGTGCCGTAGCAGCGTTTCGGCAGTCGGTCGATCGGTCGCGTTGCTATCATCTCAATTAGTAATACCGCAAGGGCACGTCGGAAAGCTCGGGACTCACACTTGGAAACAGTCGTACATGAAGTTCAACCCATCAACCGTCGCTGTTGTCTGCACATCTTCAGGAATCGGCGGTGCTTGGCTGAGACTTCCAAGCTTGAAGATGGCGCCAATGGCTTCTTCACGACTCCATGGCCGTTTGCCAGCGAACATCTCCAGCACGACACAACCAAGTGACCAGATGTCGACTTTGGCACTGTACCCTTGTCCTTGCGAGCGCACTACCTCGGGCGCCATCCAGAAGACCGAGCCCTGCATGCTGTTCGTGACATCATTGCCGTAGATGTTGTCGGATTTCTTGGAGATGCCAAAATCGGAGATTTTGCAGGTGCCATCCAGATCGAGGAGGATATTGTCGGCCTTCAAGTCTCGATGAAGGATGCCTTCTTGGTGGAGATAGGCCAGCCCCTCTAGTGTCTGCCTTGTAAGCGAGCGAACCACGGACTCCTCGAACTTTCCATGTTTGCGAAGACAACTGCCAATGGAACCACCAGGAATATATTCGAGATAGATGCTGATGGAGAATTCCTTACGCTCGCACCCCAGATATTGGACGATGTTGGGATGTTCCAGATGCTGCATCGTGTCGATTTCTTGGTCGAGAGCCGCCACCATTTCCTTGATTCGATCCTTGTCTTGGCCGGCAGCTTTTTGGTTGACTTCGACTTGCTTGACAGCCAAGAACTCACCCGTCGTAGCATTCATCCCAAGGTATACGCGTCCATACGTGCCTTTCCCAATAAGCTGACCGCGGATGATCTTGAACGTGGCCTGCCTCTTCGGCGTGTCGTCGGTAGGGACTTCTTCTTGTGGTATCGGGTCGAGAGTTGACAGACGATTCCCTGACTTTGGCCTGATCTGAACGATATGGGCGCCGAACATCTTCGTCGATTTGCGACGAACGATGCCGCTTGCGTTATTCTCTTGCACTCGTGCTGCGACAGAAGGCCCTCTCTTGATGCTCACGTCGTTCCGTTTCTGCGCAACTTCACGGATCGACTTCATCCTATTCAGGCCACCCGTCGATTTGCCTACTTGCCGCTGAGCGACACTGGCGACCCTGCTGCGGTCCTTTGCCTTTAGCGTCGACTCGTCGGAGCCCAGTGTGTCCGAGTCATTCTTGCGGCTGAACTCGAGATCCAAGCCAGCTGTACCGAAAGTGACTCCCTTCGAACGAGGTTCAAGCGCATCGATGGGATCCTGGTCGGACGACCTCATAGGCGAGTTGTTGTCGCCTTTTTCTTCCAGGTACGGCTTGTCAAGATCGACCCCAGGGAAGAATTCATCGAGATGGTCGACCACGTTTTCTACTGCAGGACGGTTTGCCCAGATATCGCTGATGAACGAGTCCCGCCTGGCCATTCGATCGTCTGGAGACTGTGCCGAACCGCTGAAACTGCCGTCGGAGTAGCTGCGGTCATATCCTTCTCCGCTGGCCGCGGCGCTGTCGTCGCCAGGAGGACGCATGCCGCTAGATGAGTTTGGCGACTTGAATCGCACATTCTTGGCGGTGTTTTGGTCCGTGTCAACAGTCAACGTCGGCCTCTGATCTTTGACTCGAGGCGGCGTTGCCGTGCCTGTGCTCGACATTGACTTGTTGGCCAGCGGAATTGCAAAAAGGCCATCATCGGAATCATCGTCCGAACCATCATCCTTGGTAGGGTGGGGTGATGGTGCGAAAGAGACGTTGGTCTCCTTGAACTCGAGATCGGGGCCATACGACTTTCTGGTCTGGAAAAATGGACGCGGTGGCGACTTGGTCGAAGGACTAACAGGCGGAGACTGTCTGAATCGTCGAGTAGTTTCAAAGGCAGCATTCTGCGGTCGGTTGTCTCGCGTCAGATCGCCAAACCCTTTTTCATAGTCAGCAATTTTGCACGACATATTTCCTGTACCGGGAGCAGAATCAGGACGAAGCGACCCACCTGAAAAGTTACGACTATAGTCGCCACGACTTCTATCTTGCGACAGTCCCTGGCTGGCCAAAGTGGCCGGGGCAACACTCATTCTGCCCATATTGGCCAGCGCCGCTCCAATGCCTCCTGCTGGAGCAGCTGCGAAAGTACCGGATTTCTTTTTACTAATTTTGCCGTCTTCTTCAGCGATTGGATCAGAGATTCGCTTCAAGGCATCAAGGGACGACCTGCTTCCCGATCCTCTTGCCCTCAAAGAGTTGACCTTGGCGAGTGTGGTCGATTCCGCGGGAGCTGTCGGAGGACGCCGCACCGGGACGAGGTTCTCGACCTTCTTTTCCTCAAAAGGCGAATGCCTTGGGGTGTCAAAATCAATGACGGTATTTCCCCGGATACTGTTACCGCTGTATGTGGCGCTCTGTTCCTTCTGAGCTCGGCGAGATTCCAGGTAAGCTCTTTGTTGGGCTTCTGTTTTTCTCCTGTATTCTTCAGCCTGCTTCTGTACAAGCAGCGGATCGTTCGACAGGGCATCCGCCGCGCCTGGAGAAGTATAGCCATTGCGAGTCACGCCGCCCGAAGAGTTGGACTTCACCATAGGCGTGCCACGCTCAACAGGGATTTTGTGGCCGAACGACACCCCAAGGCCGGTTGAGTGCGATGGGGAGCCATGCGCTGCTGATAGTGTCGGGCTCTTGACATACAGCTTTACGCTGCCCAGAGTATCTGTCCGACTGCGCACGGCGACGAGAGCGTTATCGGATAGCGCGCTTTCGTGGTCGCTCTGCCCTGGTTCGGTGAGGAAGATCTGCGCATACTCTGCGTCTGGGATTCCAAGTTCAATGCAGATGAGGCTACGCAAGGCAATTGCGGTTTCCACCTCGGTGACATCCACGAGCCGATAGTTCCAGAAGTCCGGAGTAACGAAGATGTATCTTCTTGCAACGCGAGCGCCACGACGGGATGTCACTGGAGCGCGGTCGTCTTCGCTCACCGTGGAAGGAGGACGCTGCAACAAAGCCAAGTCGCTACCGTTTGCGCTAGGCTTCGACAGTATCTTCCACGGCCCTGGACTTGTTGGCGATTCCGATGGATAATCATCAGGTGGAGGTTGGCTATGCTCATGCTTTTTCCTCATGAACTTACTGAGGAAGCCTTTGCTATGGTCTTTGCCTCCAGGACCGGGGGTGTAATCGTTACTCCAGGTCCTATGAGCTTCCAAAGGTGATGGTCTCGTTACCTCTTGTGCATCGCGCCTGTCTGCATAAAAGCGCGCCGACTCAACGGCCGTATTGGAGCGGGTTTGACCGGTGGCATACAGCATAGAGTCTGTGCTGTTGTTCTTGCTGTGGTCTGGGCGCCGAGACTGAGAAGAAGAGTTGCTCGTGGCTGAAACGGGGACTGCACTACCAAGGCCGGGGCTGGCATTTGGGGACGCTTCAAATGGCTTCGGCAACAAGCCAATGGTACCATCACCAGAGAGATTAGGGCTGTGTCGGCCGCGGCTGTTCAAATTGTTCAATGCGCCTCTGGTATAGTCCGCACGACCTGTTGCTGCGAAATTCTCCGGGGGCTTGGAATCGCTGGGAGTTGAAGATGCACTGCTGTGTTTGCTCAGAACTGGCATTGTGCTGCTCCGAGGCTGGGAGATCCGGTGCCCTAGTCCGACCGGGAATTGTGGAGGCATCTGCTTCCCTGGGCTTCCTTCCGGATCAGCAGTACCAGGCGTGCTACCAAACTCCGCCCGAGGGAGATGAGGCGAGTTCTCTAAGGTACTCTCCGTCCCCGCGCTCGCAATTGTGCCTGCGCTTGGAATCATGCCGGACTCACGACGTCTATGGCCGATTCCTGCACTGGAGGGCCCTTCACCGCCCTGCTCCACCAGCCGGGAGATGAGCTTACGCAATCTCTTGCCTTCTTCCCTTTCGCGGCCCTGATCCCAGCCAGTATTGCTGTTGGAGCACACCTTTGCAAGCTGCGGGTATATTGTCTGGTGCATCATACCAAGATTACCACGGCCGTTGGGACCGCGGCCGAGATCAAGGAAATCGGAGCCTTGCAATTTCAAGACCTTAAAAGTCTCCTGCCAATCATTCGAGAAACCATTCGCTGCCAGCCAGATGAGCACTCGGTCCAAGGGCCATTGTGACGAAAGCTCGCTCGAGTTGCTGCCTGTGACGGCGGCACTGTGAGCGCGTTGTCGGCCATCGCTGCCCATCTGGGGATTGATCAGGGTAGCGGTGGGAGGTCCCGGAGAGATCGGCTCGCTAACATCGCGCAGCGGAAGAGTGAAGGATGGTTTGTTGGAGGAAGCTGAAGCCGCTCGGCTTTCCCTGTTCGCAATATCTGGATTGGGCTGGGTGGGGTTGGGATAAGAGTAGCTGTGCGTGGAAGATGTGCCGTCCGAATATTTTTGATCTGAATGAGACAGTGACGGCTCGGATGTGAACTGGGCATCGTATCTAGAATACGACGCGTAATCGTCGAGGGGCGGAATGCCAACCCCGGGACCGAATGAATCTCCGGTGGGGATAAATGTAGCGGAAAGGATGGGTTTATCATTCTGCGGCGGTGGCGGAGGGATGTTCAACTGTCGCATACCATAAGGAATGTGCTGTCCTTGGGGCTGGTTGTGATTGAAGGGTGGTGGTGGAGGTATATTCTGACCCATCGCGGATCTTCCCCATGGCTGTTGCCATCCTGCGCCTGGAAGTCCAAACACTGTCCCTAACGGCATCGAGGAGGGGTGCGGCCCTGGGGGAGGTGGAGGCAAATTCGACCCTGGATATGGTCGAGGCGGAGGCGGTGGTAGATGTCCCATGGTTCCCTGGCCTGGTGGAGGCGGAGGCCCTGGGATATACTGTTGTCGCTGGTTGTCCATGTTTTGGCTGTTCGAGACCATTCTTCAGCGGGCGTATTATGACCGATTCGCTAGTGAGTGACAATATCACCGCCTGGGACTGACAGGTCCAACCATCTCTCGTTCTCTTTCCTCCGTAACCTTCAGCTCTGACCGCTCTGATGGAGCGGATGTTTGTCAGACGACACTCGCAATCGGCTCCTTGCTCTTAAAAGACGAAGTACTCCTCTTGAGATGACCGATCTTACAAGAGCATTGTGGCCGTCGCAGCTCGTCACCACATACACAAGTGATATGCAGCGCACGCAGACATTGGTAACGGAAGGGTGAGGAATGCCACGTGGAGGCTGAAGAGTGTCGTGTCGAGTAGCGATGGAGGCCAACGTCTCCAGTGATCCAATGCCGCAAGAGATCGATACTGTAAGTAACGAAGGATGGCGACGGCGAGTGAGAGATTCTTCGTGGTCAAGCGTCTGTCGCAGTCTTTCGGCCTCGGGGCAGTGTGGCTGAACTGCGGGAGGAAGGCTTCGAGGCCCGAATAGGCTAGCCTTGGGCCGGTAGTTGGGCGGTCGGGGGCCAATTGGATGCCCGGGATAAGCGCTCCCCAGACACGCGGATGGCCTGGACGAGTACAGCGCTCCGCCTGTGATCTTCAGGCTGCCCCGTCTTTCCAAGCTGATCGTCTGCCCAGGCGGTGCCCGAACTGGCTACGCGACGTCGCTTCGGAAAAACCAACAACGACCGACCTCCAACACACCCACAGCTGTCACATCATGCTCGCTTTTTCGACGTGCTTGGTGCTGCATCATGTTTGCTCCGAGGGCACGACCACGGCATGATGATGCAGCTTGCGAAGTGACCCACAGAAGACGCGTGCAGTGATGGATAAAGCTTCAACAGGCGTGGAGCTGGCGTGGGCTGATTCTTGATCTCAACATCATACCACTGTCTGCATCATGTCGCTCCTTCTCCCCGTCCGTACGCTTGTACCGTTCCACTGAAAGAAGCCTCGCCGCTGGGAGATATTCGAAGCTCCGGAGCTTGTATTGATCCTCCAACTGTGTCTGGTGCTGCATCCAGTCAGTGTGCGTCACAGTCCGCAACGCATGCGTACCTGCCAGAGCTTATAAACGCTCATTGACTCCTTCCCTTTGCGCTCTTCTCCCGTTTGGCCTCGAGGTTGCTGACTGTCTTCTCTAATCGTATTGCTAAATGGCCACCAACAGCGATATTCGGACTTCCGAGCTGAAAGAACCCGTCGATGTGGCTGTCTACCTGTTCACCAGGCTTAAACAGATGGGAATCGATTCCGTTCATGGTGTACCCGGCGATGTACGTCCTGTCTGGACCCGAGATCTGGCTTCTTCTAGGATCGGCGGTCTTGTCCTTCGTTTATTGTACCCAAAGCTTACAAAGATCCCAGTTCAACCTGGTAGCCCTCGATTATTTGGAGGGCTGTGGCCTCAAATGGGTCGGCAACTGCAACGAGCTCAACGCCGGATACGCAGCCGATGGCTACGCCCGGATCAAAGGTATCTCGGCCGTCATCACTACCTTCGGCGTCGGCGAACTTTCACTTCCCAATGCCATTGCAGGAAGGCAGGCAATTTGTCTCACACTGAGAAAGGAGGCCCTGCTGACAGTCACGCTAGCTTTGCCGAGTACGTGCCGGTGGTGCACATTGTTGGCACGCCCAGTACGATTTCTCAAAAGAATGGCATGCTGCTCCACCACACTCTCGGAAACGGGAACTTCCATGTCTTTGCGGACATGGCTGCCCACCTGGCAATCGAAGTTGCCAAGTTGATCGACCCTCGCGACATTGCAGCTCAGATTGACCACGCCCTGCGCGAGTGTTTCCTCCAGAGTCGACCGGTCTACTTGACATTACCTACGGACATGGTGGGACGAAAGGTTGAGGGATCAAGGCTAAGGACGAAGCTGGACCTGAGTCCCCACAAGAACGAGCCGGAGAAAGAAGACTATGTGGTCGACGTGGTGTTGGGATACCTGAGCAAGGCGAAGAATGCCGTCATCCTGGTCGACAGTTGCGCCGTCCGTCACCGCGTCCTCGATGAGACCCATGAGCTGATTGAGAAGTCCGGATTGCCTGTGTTTGTGGCCCCGATGGGTAAGGGCGCCGTGGATGAAACTCTGCCCAACTTCGGCGGCATATATGCGGGAGCCGCGTCAAATCCAGGGGTCCAAGATCGCGTCGAATCTGCCGACTTGCTCTTGACCATTGGTAGTGTCAAATCCGATTTCAACACCGCCGGCTTCTCGTACCGGACCTCCCAATTGAAAACCATTGACTTCCACAGTACCTACACTCGGGTGCGATATTCGGAATATCCCGCGGTTGGCATGAAGGGCGTCCTTCGCAAACTCATTGACAAGCTACCGAAACTGAACATCCAATCCGTTCCGACTCCTTCCCAAAAAAAGATGCCGGAGGACGGGGCTGCCGGCACGTCTGCTATTACTCATAGCTGGTTCTGGCCTCGCCTTGGTAATTGGCTCCGGGATGGCGACGTTGTGCTCACTGAGACTGGGACCGCCAACTATGGCGTCTTTGACACTCGATTCCCTAAGAATGTCACGAACATCAGCCAGATTCTGTGGGGCAGCATTGGCTATGCCACTGGGTCTTGTCAAGGCGTAGCACTCGCCTTGAAAGAGTCAGGTGGAAACCGGCGGACTATCCTGTTCACTGGCGACGGCAGTTTCCAGCTCACCTGCCAGGAAGTGAGCACCATGATTCGACACAATCTCAATCCTATCATCTTCATTATCTGCAACAACGGCTACACCATCGAACGGTTCATACACGGCATGGAAGCAGGTTACAACGACATACAAAATTGGAATTACAGACACTTGCTCCCAGCATTTGGGGCAAAAGAAGGCGGCTACAAAACGTTCCAGGTCAGGACGAAGGACGAAATGCAGGCATTGCTTGGAGACGACAACTTCTCCAAAGCTCCGTATCTGCAGCTTGTCGAGTTGTACATGCCGTGGAACGATGCTCCAGCAGGACGTGAGTGCCAACTTTTGTCACATGTCCATGAGCACTACAGGCTAACCCATCTTCACAGTTTGTGTGACCGCTGAAGCAAGTGCGCGTAACAATGCGAGGATGCTAGAAACATCGTAGAGTGGGACGACCCAAGTTGATGAAGCAGGCATGACAGGCGTCGGTGCCAGACACATTAGAGCCTCAGTAATGATTGAGGCACTAATGATTTGATAGACCAGAAGTATTCTGATCGAGGGATTTACCAGCCACCCGCTGTCTTTGGCGCCTGCGAGTGCCTCGGTGCCTGGAAGGTTGAGCCGAAAGGCGCCTAACAAGTGCCTAATCCTGCCCTACTGTGTTATGCTGCCTGGGGGCTCTCAAGTAAGCACCCCGCTGGACACCATCCGATTGGCTGCTACACGGTCCTCCAGTCACAGTCACAGTCACGATGCACTGCATCGCACGCCGAGATACTGCGCTGCACGTTGGGCAACTTACCTCATTCCCCGTAGTTGAGTTCCATGGGAAACCGACACGGCTCACATCACGCTGCTCAGCCGGCAGTCATGGCAGGTTGTCTCTAATCCTGCCAATAACTGTTGTAGAAGGAGAACATAATGTGCCTGACGCTCACCGGTACCATCCATCCTGGCTATCAGGCTCTCGATCCATTCCACCGACGATCCCGCTGTCAGGTGAGAGCGTCAACACCGCATCGTTGAACCGGTGACTGCCCAACGACTCGTTTCGAAAGGCACACTGTCTTCAAGCGTCCCTTGCCCCAGATGCATCACAAATCGGCAAGCCGCAGTTGACGTGGGCGTTGTGGCCGTGCGTCGAGGACTTGCTCGTTTGTCTTCACCTGGACCTAGCGACGGCAACTTACAAACCGCGCCATCATGTCAACCATCGAGTCCCCTCCCTCCAGGAAGGGCGGTCTCGTCCGCAGACTCTCAAAGCGACCTCACAACCTCAACCGCTTGCCCTCGTCTCACATTCCTTCGCGCCTACGTCTTGGAGACGACGCCCAGGACGATGTGACTGCTCCTAGTCGCGGCCGAAACGCGCCCGCATCCTACATGAATCAATCCATCTTTTCCATGATAGCCGCTGCTGGGTCGCGGACAGACTTCAACACCCGATTTGACGAGTCCAGTGACAGTGAAGACGAGATTCCTAAGGAAGAGCAAGAACCATCAGTGGGAGATGATACATCACAACCGGCGGCCGTAGAGGTTGAAACAAAAGCCAGCACAACAGGTGGGAAGCCCACGGGTGATAGCAAGCTGAAGCGACTTTCAGCCCACCGCCTCGTTCAGTCGTTACCACGTCTCTCCGTACGGTCAACAAAGAAGAAAGAGAAGGGTGTCCCGCGAAGTCCTGAGAGCGATGTCACCTCCAAATCCTCCAGGAGCAACCCTCGCGAAGCCCCAGTGCTCAGCAGGTTGATTACTGCCGAGGCGGCATTTCAAGAAAGCGCGGGAGCCGATGAGCAACCACCAGATTCACCAGAAGCGCACAGATCAAGAAGTAGAGGCGAGTCGACTCCTCAAACATTACTTGCAACACGGTTGATGGAAATCTTTGGCTTTGAGAGCCCTGAAACAGTCGTTGCTGAATATCCGTGCTGGCTGTTGCAAAGCGTCCTTTTGCAAGGCTACTTATACATCACCAAGCAGCACATCTGCTTCTATGCATATTTGCCCCGGAAGTCGAATACTGTTGCGAGAACAGGATATTTATCCAAAAAAGGTAGAACGAACTCCAAGTACAAAAGATACTGGTTCTCACTGAAAGGCGACGTGCTCTCATACTACTCGGACGCGTCGAACCTATATTTTCCATCTGGAAACATCGACCTCAGATACGGCATTTCTGCCGCTCTTTCCACAGATAAAGAGAAGAGCAAGCAGAAGGAGTGCAAGGAATTCTCGGTTACAACCGACCATCGTACATATCACTTTCGAGCCGATACTGCTACGTCTGCAAAGGAATGGGTTCAGTCTCTGCAGAAGACCATCTTCCGCTCTCACAACGATGGAGACAGTGTGAAGATCTCGCTGCCTATGGAAAACATCATTGATTTTGAGGAAAGTCCGGTCGTCGAGTTTGCCGAGACGGTCAAAATCCGAGTGATCGAGAGCGAAGACTCCTATGCCATTGACGAGGTAAGTCACCTGTAGCAGGAATCTTGTTCAGTGCTAACTCCCGCAGTATTTCTTCTCCTTCTTCAGCTTCGGTCAGGACGCGCTTAACGTACTAGGAAGCCTTCTCACAGAGGCTCCTGGTAGAAGAGAGTCTGACGACGTCCTATCTCCAGCAAGAAAGGCTGAGCCCCTGCCGAGCCCAAGATCCAGGCCTACTCCAATTCGCCAGTTCTCGGATATCAGCACAGGCAGTGCCAGAGCTCAGTCGAGCCCGCCCCTCAAAGACAGTGTTAGAGCCACACTGCTTCCATACACGATTGGTGACGATGGCAGAATGTCGCCGAGGATAGGCGGAGAGTTCGCACGGGGTAACAGTCCGGCTCGTTCAAGCAATGATTTTGCCGGTGACTACAGTCGAGCCAGCTTTGAGCGAGGTCGGAGAAGTGGAAGCACTAGTCGACTTGAGATCAACAATCCGAAGCGGAGCGGACGGTCACCACTGGCGAGACACAATGACTCCGAGGATTCATATGTTCAGTCCGTAGACAAGGAAACAGACTCGTCCACGGCGCCTCTGTCACCCCGAGCAGAAGCCCAAATGTCAGCCAGCCAAATTCTGACTCGAAGCGATGTGTTCCACACGCCAGCTGTCCATCGAATGGATACCCTCGCGTCCATGTCGACAGAACCATCGAGGAAATCGTCTGATGATGGAACAATGCGATCAGGATCTCCACAACGGGGGCAGATTTCACCCATCCCAATGCGGCCCTTGCCCGAGCCACAACAAGGTCGTCGGCCCAAAGTGCATACTGAACCCTTGCTCATGACAGAAATGCAATCCGGTCAGAAGCTGCCGAGGAACGACTCGTCGCCCACACTGCAGGATCTGGTAAAAGCAGGATCTTATCCACTGCAAAGAGCCGGCGCCTTCGCCGACTACCTCAAGAACCGCTCGAGCTCCATGCGAAAGTTACTGGCTACGGAGTCCATGTCGTACCTCGAGAAGGTCTCCGGCATGTGGGCAGGCAACAGAAAGCACTACGGCGAAAACGAAGGTGTGGTCTCCGAGGACAGAGGAGTTGACCCCGAAGACGAAGAAGCCAACGTCGGACATGGCGATCGGTTCCGCGCGCATTTCGCTCTGCCCACCACTGAAAAGCTGCAGGCGACTTACTTTGGTTTCCTGCACCGTGTTCTCCCGCTGTATGGGAAGATCTACATCAGTAACCGCAAATTCTGCTTTCGCAGTCTCCTACCGGGCACGCGCACCAAGTTGGTCCTCCCACTAAAGGACATCGAAAACGTGGATAAAGAGAAGGGCTTTCGCTTCGGGTATCACGGCCTGGTGCTCGTGATTCGCGGACACGAAGAACTCTTCTTCGAGTTCTCCTCTGCAGAGCACCGCGACGACTGCACGGTCACCCTCCTGCACAGCCTGGAAACGGCGCGGTACATGGCCGAATCTGGCGTCTTGGGAGGACACGACGACGACGACGCCGAAATTGCCAAGGAAGAACACCGCATGCTCCAAGAAGCGCGGCGCTCCTCCACGGCCGGAGGGGAGCACGCCCTCGTCCTGCCAGATACGACCGAGGCGATCTACAGCCACAAGGACGAAGAGTCTGCGACTGCCATCTCAGGAGCCTCCAGCCGTCTCCTCTTTGACAGCGACCCGCGAGCCTCGATCCTCAATCTCTCCAAGCCCACCACCTCTCTGCGGGTGACCTGTCTCACCATCGGCTCCAGGGGCGACGTACAGCCTTACATCGCGCTGTGCAAAGGTCTGTTAGCTGAAGGCCACCGAGCCCGGATAGCCACCCACGCCGAGTTCGAGCCCTGGATCCGCAAGCACGGGATCGACTTCCGCCCCGTGGACGGCGATCCCGCAGAACTGATGCGCATCTGCGTCGAGAACGGCATGTTTACGTATTCCTTCCTTCGCGAGGCAAGCGCAAAGTTCCGCACCTGGATCGACGAGCTGTTATCCTCGGCGTGGAGCGCGTGTCAAGACTCGGACCTCCTCATCGAAAGTCCCAGTGCGATGGCAGGCATTCACATCGCAGAGGCACTGGGTATCCCCTATTTCCGCGCATTCACCATGCCCTGGACACGAACGCGGGCGTATCCCCACGCGTTTGCCGTCCCGGAGCACAAGATCGGCGGCGCATACAATTACTACTCCTACGTCATGTTCGACAATGTGTTCTGGAAGGCCATTGCCGGACAGGTCAATCGGTGGCGGAAGAAAGAGCTCAGCCTACGGTCCACCAACCTGGACAAAATGCAGCCGAACAAAGTTCCGTTTCTGTATAATTTCTCCCCCATGGTCGTGCCCCCACCGTTGGATTACAGCGATTGGGTCAGAGTCACGGGCTACTGGTTCCTCGATGAGGCAAGCGACTGGACGCCGGCAGCCGAGCTGACCGACTTTATCAAAAAGTCCCGCGAGGACGGCAAGAAACTTGTGTACATTGGCTTTGGCTCCATCGTGGTGTCGGACCCTGCAGCTCTCACCAAGACCGTGGTCGACTCGGTTCTCAAGGCTGATGTCCGCTGTATCCTCTCGAAAGGCTGGTCTGACCGCCTGGGCAATCCCGACGCAGTGAAGGCTGAAGTGCCCCTACCCGAGGACATTATCCAGATCAAGTCGGCGCCACATGATTGGTTGTTCCGGCAAATCGACGCAGCATGTCACCACGGTGGTGCAGGCACAACGGGCGCCTCATTGAGGGCCGGTTTGCCCACCGTCGTGAAGCCATTCTTTGGCGATCAGTTCTTCTTTGGGTCGAGAGTGGAGGACCTGGGCGTGGGAATTTGTCTAAAGAAGGTCAATGTGAGTGTCTTCTCGAGGGCGCTTTGGGAGGCGACGCACAGTGAGAGGATGATCGTCAAGGCGAGGCTGCTGGGGGAAATGATTAGGAAGGTCAGTACCCCGAATGAATTGGCGGTCTGCAATTGCCAAGTTGAACTGATGTTGATGACTTTACAGGAAAACGGCGTGCAAACAGCTATCCAAGCAATCTACCGCGACCTAGAGTACGCCAAGTCACTCGTCAGCGCACGCGCAGCGATTCAGCAGCAAAGCGCGGCCACAGCAGCAGGAGCCTCGGGACTCCAGGCAGTTGACCTCCTCGACGAAGGAGGTGACATTGAAGAGAGCTGGACGTTCATCGGCGATGAAAGTGACCCTGAATTACAGCGGCGGATGCAAGAGTGGGACACCACAGGCGGTGGCGTCACTGCTGTGCGTGGCAGAGCGCCGCGCGTCAGTATTGACTTAGCAAGGCTGGGTGCTATGCAGGATGTTGAGCCGGTTAGGAAGGTGAGTGTTAAGAGGTGAATGCCGTAGGGGGCTGTCACAGCGACAAAAGTGAACGGCGCATCAAGAACACGAGTCAAGGACTAGTCGACAAGGTCCGTCAGTCTATGAATCGAGATCATGTGGATGAAAGATGGGAACAGGAAGACCACAGTCATGGCATTGAATGGAAATGCCGAGATGTTCCACGCCGGGACAAGGAGGGTGGTGATGTTTGCGGCAGCTGGATCAAAAACAGCGCCGACAGCGATCACCGTCGAAATTTGAGTGGCGGCGAAGCAAATCGGGCAGTCATAGGTGTGTTCGGCAGTTGGTTTGACAGTTGTGCGGATGGTAATGATGTCGACGATTGCACAGCGCAGGCGTTCAGGAGCAAACCGCCTGTGGTGTGCTTGCTGCATGTCCAGTGGATTCCACACCCTCCTTCGAAGAGGACATGGCGTTCAGCGGGGATTAATTCGAAATGATCCAGGAATCAAAGGAGATGGTCGACGGCGTTACTTCCTCGGGCCCTGGTGTTAGTGCAAAGGAAGACTTTTCCGGCTGGATCTGATTTGTTGCAAGGTCAACGACGTTATGACGCTAGGATAGATCGCTGGAGAGTCGAAGACGCTAGGATCTCTCGCAGGAAAACTGGGGATGAGCTTAGACGGCGTGGTAATGAGATAGAGCCCAAAGTATGGAGTACAGATGCATCTGGTCGGGGCTGCTCCTTTCCATGTTATGATGATGGCCTTGTAAATGGGGATTTCCGAAGGTGTTCTTGTTGACCATGCTGTTCGCTCGTCAACGAAGAAACTCCCTCTAAGCATTGGCATGATACATTTCTGAGCTGGAATCATTGGGGCATAATAGACCGCAAAGCTGCGAGATCTTGGTTCGTAAAATGGGTCCCAGCCCGCAACAGAACGTGGTCTGTGCCACACAGAGCAGGGCTGTCTGCACAGAGACTTGGTAGTGTTGACGTCAATGTTCGGCAGTACGCGTACCAGCATCTTGGAATCAGTAGTTGTTGTCTATTGCATTCCAGGCGAACTGCATCTGCCTTCCAGTTTTACCGCGTGGGGCTGGATTGTCAACTGACGCTCAGCCCTTCGAGATCCAGAAGTGATGACCTCATCAGATGTCCATTCTATCGATGTGCCTGAGAAAATCCAGCTCCTGACAATGGTGGGCGTTTACGGAGCAGCTTGAAGCAGTCGGTCCGTCACGCGACATGACTTTGTACCCACGTAAGCTCGTGACTCCGCCAAAGCATGTGTTGGAAAGAGGAAATGCGAAATGCAGCCGCCGCGTGACGGGATACTGTATGCGAGCAGCATGCGGCCGACGACGGCCAATCGGTGTCAAGTCTCCCGGTAGGGGGATCCAAGGCCGGATATCAAATCACGAGCTGAACTTCAAAGGCGTCGGTGAGATACTTTTGAGAGTGAACTGAAAAAGGATTTCAAACCCCTGTACTTCGTAGAGTTTGATTGGAGAAGGGGACAAGACAAGGACCGTGGAAACGTTTCCGAAGTTTGAGTGGAAGTTTCAATTGGGACTCCGTACCCGCAGAATAATGGAGATGTGAGAAAAGGCAAAGAGCGTGGGAGACGCCGAAGGTGGTGTTTCTTCGGGTTCGGGTCGATGGATAGCATATCCGACCCAAAAGAGGGAGGTGCGATAGCGAGCAGCAAGCCCTTGTCCGTCGTTTTGTGTGTGTGTCTCTTTGCTCCGTCTCTTCTTGTGACTCTGCTGTGTATCTCAGGTGCTCAGCGGCTGCTGCTGCTTCCGCCACTTGCCCGTGACAAGGTTCCGAGGTTAGCTGGTGGCGGTGGCGGCGACGATACAGCGTTGTACTCGTGCGAGAGGGCGATCGCAAAGCGAAGTCAGATGGGAAGTCAGCAGTGTGTGTGTTTTGCAATCGCATGTCCAGTGCCGAGATGAGCTAGATCTGCAGGGACGAGCGATGTCCTGCAGGAAGATAGCCAGCGCCGGAAGGTCAGGTATGAATTGTACGGAAGGGTTGACTTACCCCAGAGACCAGTAATTAGCCTGGGACAGAGTTTAGCATTGAAAAGGATAACAGAGTCGGCGTCGCTTGGGGCTTCTTAGGGGTCTTGGGGCTCCTTAGGGGCTGTTGGGCGTTCTAGAAGCCAGCAACGGAGGATTGCCCTGCCTATTCGAGGGTTGCAGCCCTTGCGGAGTGTTCAGCACGCCATGGCCCAATGAGCAACCTCGACCGCCGTATCGAACCTATCTCGAAAATCTTCATCGAGATCGCTCAATTCTGCGTCCGCGGATGTCTCGAATACTCGCCCTGTTCTGTGCACTTCGCTGTGCCCTTGCCTCCAACCGGCCCCTTCTCCGTCTCTCACCGTTGAAACGCGTTTTACCGTCCACTTGAGATTTCTGCTCGGTGGCTTTCCACATGCATGAGCGTCGCTAGGCCCCAGTCAGAAGTGAGTCTGCCAGCCACTCCGCCTTTCTTATGTGTCTGTTAGCCCACAGTACGGAGCTCCTTCTCCGAGCGTTCTGCGCTTAGGGAGGGCAGCTCCAGCTTATTGACTCCATACTGACCGTGCTGTGTACACCTAGCTCCAGGGCCGCGTCGCCATTATCCAGGCTCCAGAAGCTTGACTAGCGGCATAAGATCGCCTCCCCGCCATCTCCGAACCGCTCGCAGCTGCCGCGCCCGAGCGCGCCATAACAGTGCTTAGTGCTCGCTCGCTTGTCACGCACTCGCGGCCGTCACTGGCAGAGCGATCTGAGATAATCGGCCGTGCGACTCGGACAGCAGGTTCTGCATCACGTTCTAGTCGAGCCTTTAGTCTCCAGCTCATGGCGAGAGAACGGGCGACCCCGGTCGCCTTGTTTCTACGGGCCAGTTCTGGTCTGTTCTGGTCGCAATGCCAGTCAAATCCACCCTACGTCTTTCCAGGTCCCGACCCTCTTCGCGACCCACTGCAGTAATGATTGACCGACACATTCGAGCCCGTTTTGCCAGTACAACAACGCTTGAGCACTGTCAACTTTCGGTCGCGGCGCAGGCCCAGTAGAATTCGAGGTCCTGTCGGAACAAACCACAGCTACCCGTCTACCACCCAATCCAAACCCAATTCGCCATTTGCCATTCACCTTGCGCTTGTCCCTGCTTCAAACACTTGTCCACACAGCACTGCCACCGACGTTGCGCGCTACCGCAACGTACTCCCGACCATCCATACCCACCCAATTCTTCCTCCGAAACCCTAGTACCACGAGATCGGCCACACAGATCTTTCACCTCGATACATCAACCCGTCAATACCCTCGTCCCTTTCCGAAATCTCACTTGACCCTTTTTCTATTCATCCTTCCTCTGCGCGTCTCGACTGCTATGCAGACGCCTCGAATCAACGCCGAATCCCTCTTACAACCGCACCGCTGGACCTGAGGCGTCGGTGGACCCGATTGAGTCTCAAGGATTCAACCTCGGCATCTCGTGATGAAACCTGGCAACCATATGAGTACCGGCAGCCTGTCCCCACCATCCACAGCTTCAGCGGCAGGTATCTCTAAAACTACATCGTTGCCTATTTCTCGGTCAAGCAATTCTGCCTGGGAGAAGCCCGAACGAGCACGTACCAGCCACGCATGTGAGCCGTGTCGGGAGCGAAAGACAAAGTGTGACGGCTCCAGACCGGCATGTCGCCGATGCCTCCACACGGGCACCACGTGCTTCTACGGCTATGGCAAGGGTTGGAGGAAGCGAAAGTAAGTCTGCGCACGCTGGGACTTTCAGTATCGACGTTTTTGTCCCGAGGGTCGTAATTTCTCCAGCACAGCTGTGCTGACTCGGGATTGCAGGACCGCGGAAGATCTTACTGCGACTTCCCGTCGTCTGGCACGGTATGAGAGCCTCTTGAACGAAATCCTACCAATGGTGTCCCCTGAAGTGCGGGTTCTGATCGAGGACGCACGCGACAATGTAAGCCGACAATGTAACCCTCCTGACTTCGAAGCACCAACTCTGACGCTGGGACAGGACACTGGCGCATCTAACAATGGTTCTGAAACTAATGAGACCGAGCAAAATCTCCAACCGCCGACATTGCTCAAGAACGAGTCAACCATGTCTGGATCGAGTGCGCGCATCATCCTCCCGTTGCCGGTACCTAGCCTTGGTGCTGGGGCCAGCCCCCTTCCTCCAACGGCTTCGCGTTCGTCAACTTCCTCAGGCACTTTCGAGTCTGTCCCGCCTCTCCCGACTGCCACCACAAGCGGTAGTGCCAATGTTCAACAAACACAACGACTTTCCCCGGACTCTAACCCTGTAGCACGGTTGCCGTCCATCACAGCTGATGGGCAGCTAATCGAGGCCGGGGTCAGAGATCATTCACCAACAAGTCTCCATCACCGGCCCGATTCAGCCGCAAGTTATGGCATGGGAGCGACGCCAACCTCCCCCACTAGTCTTGCGTCCCAAGGAGGTGCGTTTTCCGGACCGTATCCCGGACGTTCACATACTGACTGTCGGAGAAGAAATGGCGAGGCCACAACAATTCACCCCTGGTTGAAATCCACCGAAGCTCCAAAGGTCCGAATTTGATGCTTCAGCACATTTCCACGCGGGTCCCACAATGTACACGTGCTGCGTGGTCGCGGTCGTGACTTTTGATCTTCGCCTATATCCAATGGACATTCAAGCACTCCAGCCCGCGACGACACCGCTCGGGAGCCCAGACCCTTTACGCGAAGTCGACTACAGCAATATGCATGGGAGGGAAACCCAGCACTGACCCAGCCAGCATGTGGGTAAACACTTTTCCTTAATCCTTACGACCTTCAGCCTATGACCTTGAAGCTGCATCGGGTCGAGCAATGCCGCATCCAGCAGAATACCTCGAATTTGCAGGAGCTCCGGACGAGTGGACACTTCTATGTGCAAGCCACCCAGGGCTACCCATCAGCACTGTGCTGTCTGGTGGTTCATCAAAATATTGCTCCGTGCTTCCTTTGGGATCTTGCTCAGGATCCGCATTCCTCAACTGTATTTTGAGTCACGGAGAGGATGCCAGCAATTCGGTGGCAGCAATTCGGGGTGCAAAATTGGAGGTGAAGCGCGTGAGCTGCTGCAGGGACCGAGGAAATTTTCGAGCTTCTTCGGAAAGGAAGCACCGGCGAACCCTGGTGGCCCCGCAGACCCAAGACTACCCTTGGCGCAGAACTGCACGCGTGGGCCTCGTCGGCCTGGATTACCCTTTCATCTCTTCCATGCGATGGTGGACTACTGGTCCGAGCGTGACACGTCATACAGACGCGAATCTCACTGAATTACAGTCGACCGTCAAAGTAAGAGAAGATTACTGTGCTGACCGGAATGAAACGTTGTCATCAATCCTATGATGGTGGTGTGGTCGGCGTATTATAGAGCGACGGCTAATTTTGAATGGGTCACTGGTAAGATCAACGGACATGCACATCCGGACACGAACGACGATCGGCTCTTCAATCGCCTTGGCGTCAATATGCCGGAGCTTCAACGAGCAAGTATTTCGGCAGCCCGACATTTGCTTTGAAGGGAGCGTGAGGAGCCTCCAAGTGCCTTGTTGCCGATCGGCACGCAGGGCAATTCCGATGACGATCGAGATTGTGCAGTTGGAGAAGGCGTCGGGCCATCTCACTACTACGACAACACTGATGTTTCCCCGAGGCGTAATCGTAAAAGCGCCGGCAATCTTGTATCGTTAGGCATCAACTCGTGGAGCAGTACTCGTACTCATAGCTAGGACAGGTTTCGAAGCCAGCAAAGGCTATGACAAAGAATACATTTGGCTCACATCTTATCAATCCCTCGTCTTTGCATTTCTAGGCGACATGATCCTGCCTTGCAGACGTCTATTCTATCACATAGGGGCTGGAATCTGCGTGCTTGCGTGCCCACCTTCCAACATTACTTAGTTGCTGACCTGTGTGGCAACGTGTCAGCACAGCGGCCCGTCTTCGGTCGGTAATATGCAACATCAGTGATGAGCAAGAAACGCCATGCTGGAAGGCGGATGCCGAAGGATGCATCTGGCAGTGGAAATCGTGTTCTGGCAAGATGCAATTTCTGTGTGCTGTGTCTTTCCAGCTCCGGGAAGCTGGGGCCACGAGTTCTTGTTCTTCCTTTGCTGACATTGCACATTATGGCCAACACTTTTTGTACGAGCAACCAGCCGGTCCATGACGCGGCAATGGCGCAAGGACTTCCTCATGCCCGGGGGAGTAGGTGCTCATCAAACCTTACGAATGACGGACATACCTTGTCGGGAACATCCTTGCCTGTTGCCTTTTCAAACATGTCTCTCGCCTTGTCGGTGACCTTCTCATTTACCGAACGCGACTTGGCTGGGTCAATTTTGCCTGTTCAGCGCCACATAGAGCACATTGTCAGACTCTGAGCCTTCGAAGGATTTGCGCTCCGGATCTCGTCAGGCAAAAGTCGACTGGGAAGGTTTCGTACCTTGGCCGAACCTCTTCTCGGCGGCATCCAGTCCTGTCACAGTCGCGCGGATGAGCACGACCACATCTACTCGTCGTCCTCAGAGAATTCGCCTTACCCTTGTCGAGGTAATCCTCCCTTGGCTGACCAGCGGCTTGTCCCTGGTTATTCATGTTGGAGTGAGTTCAAACAGCTTCTGTATGTAGTAGTATGCTTGGGTTGTTGTGGTAAGACGCGATTGCTATGGAACGAATCAATGGATACGCAGTCGCGAGCAGGTTAGATATCTATATAGTTCATTGAAATCTCCACTTCTGCCGTCATGCAGAGCGCATGCTCCTGTCGCAGCAAGAAACCCAAGGCACGTCAGGGCACGCCGCACGAATACATCATCATACATCATGTCAAGCTCGACCACCCAACCAATGGCGGAGGCAATCCTCGGTGTACCGCTCAGAGACCCTGAGTGGGAGACAGCAGCACACAGAGAACATGGACAAAGCAAGAACAACTTTGAGTTTCCAGGCTCAGAACCTGCCTGAATCCATGTCCAAGTGTCTGCGAAACGATACCAGCCCGAAATCTACCGTAACTACCCCGCCGACGTCATTGTTCCCCAAAGCGGACCAGCTCGAGCGCGAAGCTCTTGCCAAGCTTTGCTCTTGGCATTGTCGCACCTTCCTCCTCGTGAAACCCACAGTGAGCTTCACCATCGTCCGGCTGTTCAACCCTCCGGGCCCGAGCGCCCCTCCCTCCTCCTTTGGATGTATCAAGAGACGCTGCGAGTCTCAGCGTGCTGCTGTGGCTGATCTATATCTGTCTCGATCCGGCATGGACGGCTGCCGGCCCAGCCCAAAATCGGATCGAATATCTCAGTGCGCGAACTATCTCAGCCTCAGACAACATCCTCATGCTCCTGCACCGTGCGTCTAAGATTGCACTTGTCGAAAGATTCACGCTTACTCTTGTTCTGCTCATGTCAGGAAACCTGCTACCCAAACCGGGCTGACTCTGCCGAAGTTCTGGCCCAACCCGACACATCCACGGTTGAAGCACAGCGATCTTGGCCGAACCACACAGGCCACTCTCCACGTTTCCTTTTCCGCCCACTGCTCGCTAGCAGCTAATTTTGATGTTTTCTGCTCGGCAACTGCCAGCTTCCGATTCACGGAGCTAACCTCAAAGGGAGGACTGCCATAGTCTGTTCGTCCCTGACACAACCATATGGCAAGAGTTGAAACGATCACTTTCTATCTTCCGGTATCACAATTTGTAGTACACTGAGTACTCCCACCTCTCTAAGGAGTACCGAGAGATGGCAGTCGCCCAAGCGAGGCTTCGGATCTTCACACTCCCTTGTCGAGGTCCATCTTAGAATGCAGAGGTAGATGTATATAACTTCCTCTCCTCCAGCGCTGTATTCCAGTCCCATCCACAAGCAACATTGAGCAGCACTCGCATTCCATTCCTTTCCAACCGACTTTTGACAAGTCCTTCCTTTCTAACAAGGCTGTGCCTTCCGTTCTCTCATTTTCGGGCTTTTGACAAGCTCTGCTTCACTTCGTCGACGTTGTGCTGGACACTCTCATTCATCCAATTCTAGCCGGTTGCCTTGCACACCACGGTCTCTATCCAAGATGAAGGCTTTCACGCTCTCTGCGCTGAGCACTCTTTTCGCTGGCTTGACGCTGGCTCATCCGGTCGACCTTGCCAAACGTGCCGGTCGATTCTCCGAGGTCGATATCACCATCCTGCAATTTGCCTTGACCGTGAGTATCCGCTGGTGGGGACCTTCTACCTCGTGCTTTCGTGCTAACAGTGACATAGCTTGAGCATCTCGAGAACACTTTCTATCGGGAAGCCTTTGCTACTTTCCAGCTTCAAGACTTCCTCAATGTTGGTTTCGACGAGGCTTTTTTCACCAATCTTCAATTCATCGCCGCCGACGAGTCCGCCCATGTTGACTTCCTCATCGCAGCCATTCAGTCTGCCGGTGTTGCCCCAGTTCAACCCTGCCAGTACAGCTTCCCAGTCACGGACGTTGCCAGCTTTGTCACCGTCAGCGCCATTTTGGAATCCATCGGAACCAGCGCCTACCTCGGGGCTGCCCCGTTTGTCAGCTCGCGGGAAATCCTCGCTGTTGCTGCGAGCATCATGGCCACAGAAGGGTTGCACACCAGCTTGCAACGCAGCTCCTTGGGTGCCATAGGGGCGGCTAACCCATTCCAAACCGTGAGTCACTGGATCTCCAACCTGCTAAACCCTGAATGTCCTGACACCCCCCAGCCGCTCGATCCCAACTCGGTCTTTACCCTTGCCTCGCAGTTCATCGTGTCCTGCCCGCCCACCAACCCACCTCTGCCGTTTACTGCCTTCCCTGGCTTGAAGGTCAACGCGCAGCCTTGCTTCAACGAGGTCGGAATTGCCAGTAACGGGGGCTTTTCCACCCAGTCGGTCGACTATGCCACTATCGTCTCCGCTATCGAGGATGCGACCGCCACCGACACCGCCACTGCTTCTGTTACCGAGGCCACTGATATCACCGCTGTCGAGACCGCCGCCAGCACTACAACCACCGAGACATCTGTCGCCACCGAGGCATCTGCCGCTGCGGAAGCTGCTCAGACGACCACCGCCACCGAAGCGTCTACGACCACTGTGGCTGCAGAGATGACCACCACCACCGACCCAGCTGTTGCCTCCACGACTGCCGCCGCTGCTGAAAAGCGCAGCCACCTCGAGGCCCGCGCATTCGTATCCTCCTGTCAAGCTCCTGGCGCAGGCACCTCCATGCAGTTGATCCCCGACTTCTCTCAATCTCGCGGTATCGACTTCTCACGGATCCAGGTCGTCTTCGTTACCATTGTCTCTGGCCTCCAAGTCGTTTCCATCCAGGCAGTGTTTGGGCCGGACGGGTCCATCACCGTGACCCTCCCCGGCTCGATTGGTGGTGGCCAGGTCTTCATCTTCATCACCACTGTGGACATTTCCGGACGGAGTCTGAGCGCCAACGAAATCTTGTTCGGACCCGCCGTGTTCGAGCGTAAGTGCCTTGTCCCATTCCTGAGATCTTGGTCATGATGCTTACCCGCAATAGTCGCTCCTTCATTCCCCGGCCTTAGCCTGTAGTTTGACCACTACGGCGAACAATCATGTCGCCTCCAAACGCAACCAGATCGATGTCAACAGTCTGCCGCCGGGGGGAACCGAGACGTGAACTCCGATCTTCGCGGTGGAATTCTGTTGGTACCTTTTCATGTCGCTCCTTGATGAAAACGTTACGTCTGCTTCTTACCGCCTTTTGTTCGCTTATATGTTCTGTTGGAAGTCTGGGGAGCGAGAGCCAAAAGGCTGTGCGGGACTGTATTGTCTATACATATTGACATCTGCTGATGGGGATGCACAAAGATACCCCAGAGGACAGCAGAGCACGAGAAAGATCAGCAGCCTTTCTTGTGGAGGAAAGAGTGCTGCAGAAGAGCAGTGGTGATGGGTGAGCCACTCGTGGGAGGAGAATAGCTGGAGACGGGAACGGGAGCGTTGCCCATAAAAACTGTCGATAGAGGATGAGATCAATCAGTCTCATTATATAGGACAAGAAGTGTCTGGTTGCGCCCGTGTGTTGCCCCGTGTGCTTGTTGATCGCCGCGAAAGTACTGTCCTCGTGGTGGCCTGGGTGTTTGGCAGTGCCCCAGATGCTCTAGGCGTGCTTAGTATGGAGGCAAACACTGCGTTCAGAAGGGAAGGTGCCTAGGCAAGCTCCCAGGCAGGTGGGCGCCAGTCCATTAAAACCGCCGGATACTAACAGTGGCTATTGAGTCCAGGCTCCCAGCACATGGTTTCTTCGATTCTCGGCTTTTCGGAGTGCTCTACTGTACACAGTATGTCGATCGGTCACCGGTAACGAACTCGCACAACGCATGTTTCTACACGTAACACATCTTCAAAGGCGAAAGACATTGACAGACACGGATGCCGTGCCTATGACAATGACAACGTGAAGGCGGTAGGAGAAGAGGAGCACAGTCTCCGCCTTGACAGACAACAGGTACAGTACTCGGTGTGATGCCCAGGGAACTTGCCGGCCAACGTGCCTCAGTTTACTACTCTCCGAGAGCCTGGTCCCACGATGCTTGCGCGCAAGTGACCCAAGAGTCGAGACGGAGCTGATCACCGAGGAAAAGTTGTCACTATAATACTGCATGTAGTCCTGTCGTTGGTTATCCATTGCGTGCGCTCGAGAGGATGTGTGCTGGACGGAGCTGATTAGCCTACGTTACCTGACAGACTGATTATGTACCGGGCTGACTGATGGGTTTCCAAACCTCGACGCAGGCCTTGACGTCGCTTCTGGCTTACTCCGTGTTTCGGATCCCAGGTCTCAGGTCTCATCTTTTGTCACCTCAGTCCGTATATCTATCTGTAAGTCCGACAGGACGCGCTAGTGACTGAGGACGGATTGCCTCTCGTCCGGGAAGAAACGAGCTCACAACAAGGGACTTCACATTGATTGCTCTGTTTCCGGGAAGAAACGACTTACAGTCAGGGGCCCCGCACTGGCGCCGTCGCTAGACCCGTCAGGCACGGCGAATAATCTTTTGTATGTGGACGGAATGCTCTGTTCCGGCAAGAAACGACTTCACAATCGGGGATCTCATATCGACGCTGAAGCTGGGACTGGAACTGGAACTGGACCTGTTGGTTGCGGTGTATGTTCTTTCTGATGTGGCTGACATACCGCATTTTGCAATCCCTGCAGCTCGCGTTTGCGGCGCCTCAAGGATCCGGATACTCTCCATAATATTATCCTATAACTGCTACGCTACGCGCCGCGGGATGAGAAACACCCAGTCGGTGAGTCATTCAGTCACATCAGATCATGAAGCCGCTCCGGTATTGGCATACAAACTCGTGATAATACTCTCTTCTCTCCCTCGTGATATGGTCCTCCTCCCTGTACGAATGTCCACTAGACGGTCGATGCAGACAATCGGTCTCTCCGGCCGGAAGGTCCGGGTTCTTGTCCATCAAGCAGCCCGGGATCATGGACTCAGGCAGCCAGAAGGTCCCTGCCGTCATGCGCGGCTCGAGTTCAAAGGCCTGGACGACATAATTCTCGACAAAGACTTTGAGGCGCTTTTCGAGATTATTCGGTAGCGAGTATCGCGTCTGACCTCGTGCTTTTGTGGCGTGGTGCCCGACGACCGGCGGGCCAAAGTATGCTTCGACGGCATCGAAGAGTGGGCGATGCACGTCTCTGAGGCCATCGAAACCCAGCAGATCTCCCTGCTCCTCCAGTTCCGCTCGGATATCATGTACGGGGACGATGCCGTCGTCGGGCACAAAGACAAGTACGTCCGGGTACATGGCCGAGCTGATGGCCTGGTTCAACGTGGTAAAGACAACCGACAGAAAACCCATGGTCGCCGTCTCGATGGTCTTGTCGGCCGTTTCGGTATGCCCGTCCCAGTGGAGGTTCGTGATGCGCCGCAGCATCCGCGCATAATCGGAGCACATCCTCTGCAACGTGCGGAACGCCTGTCGGGCCTTGGGCGCGAACCGCCTGATCACGTCAAAGTCGATGGTCGAGTCGGCGAACAGGCCCATGAACGTGGCGGCCATGAGGCGCACGACCTCGGACGTCCGGTGGTGGCCGTCCCGAGTGGCCTGCAGGACCATCTTTTCCCCGGCCTTCATGTGCGTCATGGCGGCCTCGAAGTCCTCGTTGCATTGCGCCATGGACGAGAACAAGCGGCAGATGATCAGCCCGACTTCCCAGGAACTGCTTGGCTCGGTGGCGAAGGCGGCGATCGCTTGGTTCCGCCTAGAGAGTATCATGTCCCTGTGGTCCGTGCCCGAGACGTAGGTGTCGAATGTCAAGGACACGGCAATCATGGCGTGGCGGACAGCGGCGTTCACCCACGCGGCCTGCGGGACTATGCACTGCCAGAAGTCCCGCCATCGTCGCGTCGAAGACAGCAGAGGCGCCGTCTTGAGGAGGTAGTACTGTGTATAATTTTGGTCGAGTTCCGTCGTCCACGGGCTCGATGGCTCGAGAAGAAGAATGTCATATGGACGAGCAATTCGCGGACCCAGGCTGGGGTCCCCAGTGTAAGCTGCGTCGGTGTCTTCGACTTGTCCAGCGTTGCCTGACCCTAAGGGTAGCCCTAGATTCTGACGGGTCGTAGAGTCGTCGCTGAGGCCCAAAGACCGCAGTGACTCGTCCATAGAGTCGGGATCTGCATTCGAGGCCCTGGCCTCCTCGACCTGGACGACTCTTGGCGGCTCGCCAGGCTCGGACACCCACGCCTTGGGCGAATCGTAGCCATCACACGGGAACTTGTCCTTGAGGCAGCGCGAGCAACTCGGTCTCTTCTCATCGCACTTCTTTCTCCGGATCTTGCACGTCTTGCACCCGGTCCTCACTTTCGGGGCCCATCTCCGCTGCCGCTTACCTTGCTGCGGGACTGGCATATCAGGGCTTGGAGTCGTCGACGATGGGCTCAGACAGCATTGCTAGTAAGCTGCGTTCCGGCATGCGTGCCGCCTCGCAAGGACTGGTTGGTGACCCCATCGAGTAGGCAATCACTTTCTTCACAAATCCAGGCAGAAGTTTGAGAGGTTTTAGGGGCTGCGGATAATTGCCGAGTACTGCACCGTAATGAGATGACGCCAGTCACGTGCTAGACACGTGCAAAGCCGTCAAACACGGCAAACTTGCAGAATGTTAGGGCAACACTTACCCTGGTGCCTCGCTCTCTAACTTTACCTACTTACTTTTACGTCCTGCCTGATTCGACCAGTGCTCACGAACCCCTCCTCATGTCGGCATCTGCGCCGACGATAGCCCGAAGTGTGGGGAGATGGGGTGTGTTGATCAAATCCCATCGCACCACTGCCACTGAGAAGAGATGAGGTGGTGACTCCCATTCCGAGTTTCCGTCTTTCATAGGTTTCAGTCTTTGGAACACAGGCTCTTCTTCTCTCCTTCATTGACATTGGGACACTTCTGCTGTGCGTGTAGCTCTCCAGATTGTTCAGGAGCCTGACATCAGACTGTTGCGAATGGTGAAGCTCTCTGCATAACGGGTTTGCAAACTAGCACTATCTCACGTAGCGGAGCCCACCCAAAAGGAAGAGCACGAGACTCTATACACCTCCTCTTCTTGCAGTGAAGCAGCTGTAACAAGACTTTGAAGATGACGGACAAGAAAGGAGGCTTCCAGGAAGCACGGTACCTCGAGTTTGTCCGCTCTTCGGACGCGACGGGCGTCGATGGCAAACCCATGCTCAACAGGTACTCGACACATCTCACCCGCGAGCACGATTTCCCCGGCGCGCAGGCGATGCTCTTCGCCGCGGGCGTGCCCGACCGACAAGCAATGCAGACAGCTCCGCATGTCGGCATCGCCAGCGTCTGGTGGGAAGGCAACCCCTGCAACATGCATCTGCTGGACCTGGGCAAGGAGGTCAAGAAAGCAGTCACGGCAAGGGGGTTGCTGGCGTGGCAGTACAACACCGTGGGCGTCAGCGATGCCATCACTATGGGTAACCAAGGCATGCGGTTCAGCTTGCAGACTCGAGAAATCATCGCCGACTCGGTGGAGACGGTGACGTGTGCGCAGGCTCATGATGCGAACATCACCATCCCTGGCTGTGACAAGAACATGCCCGGCTGCATCATGGGGATGGCGAGGCACAACAGACCCAGTCTGATGATCTATGGAGGCACCATCGACAAAGGGTACTCCGAGACGTTGCGAAGGCCCGTCAATATCGTCACCTGCTATGAGGCGTTCGGCGCCTACCGGTACAATACCCTGCGCCAACCTGATGACGGCGGCGATACGTCGAAGACCAAAGACGAAATCATAGACGATCTGGAGCGGCATGCGTGTCCGGGCGCAGGTGCGTGCGGGGGTATGTACACGGCCAACACGATGGCGACGGCGATCGAGTCGATGGGCCTGTCTCTACCAGGGTCTAGCTCGACGCCGGCAAGCTCGCCGGCCAAGATGCGGGAATGCGCCAAAGCTGCCGATGCCATCAAAGTGTGCCTGGAGCAGGACATCACACCCAACAAGCTTTTGACCAAACAATCGTTTGAGAATGCCCTTGTGATGACCATGGCGCTAGGAGGGAGCACAAATGCCGTTCTTCACTTTCTGGCCATGGCTGTCACGGCAGGTGTTGAACTCACCCTCGACGACTTTCAGCGCGTGAGCAACAAAATCCCGTTCCTCGCAGACCTTGCGCCGTCAGGGAAATACTTGATGGCCGATCTATACGAGATTGGTGGCGTGCCAAGTGTGCAGAAGCTGCTGATTGCGGCCGGTCTCCTTGACGGCTCAATCCTCACAGTCACGGGGAAGACGCTGGCAGAGAACGTCGAAAACTGGCCGAGTCTGCCCAGCGACCAGGTCATCATCAAGGACTTGAAGAGCCCCATCAAGTCCAGCGGCCACATTCAGATTCTCAAAGGTAACTTTGCACCCGCAGGCGCCGTGGCGAAGATCACGGGGAAAGAAGGTCTCAAGTTCACAGGCAAGGCAATGTGCTTCGACAAGGAGGTTATGCTCAACGAGGCGCTCAACAGAGGTGATATCCCTCGAGGGGAGAATCTTGTCCTGATTGTCCGCTATGAAGGTCCGAAAGGTGGGCCGGGCATGCCGGAACAGCTCAAGGCCAGCGCTGCCATCATGGGCGCAGGCCTCACGAACATCGCTCTGGTAACGGACGGGCGCTACTCTGGTGCCTCGCATGGATTTATCGTCGGACACGTCTGCCCAGAGGCTGCTGTCGGGGGACCCATCGGCCTGGTTAAAGATGGTGACGAGGTGACGATCGACGCCGAGACAAACACAATCTCGATGGACGTCACTGATGAAGAGTTGGAGAGAAGGAGGAAAGAGTGGACTCCACCCAGGATGGTTGTAACAAGGGGCGTGCTAGCAAAGTACGCCGCGTTGGTGAGCGATGCCAGCCACGGTGCTGTGACCGATCTGTTTTGAGAGGTGTATACTCTCGACCTGTCTAGCTTATACTGGTCTGATGGGTAGAGTCTTTGCCTTTATTGTCACAATGCTGGAAGGCTGCATGTGACAATACGTCGAGATCCGCTGGAAGTAAATAGCTGTTGCCTAACTGCTTGACTACCTCTCCGCATAGGTGAACCCTTTTCCAGACGAGACCTCACCAACTTCAAACAAGTGTTTGACCCGGATCATCCCATAAGTGTTTGTTCGCCGAGGTAATTAGGCCTCCGTCACATTTCAACGGCCAAGTCGAGCAGCTTTGTGAGGTTCGGCGTGCCCAGCCCAGTGACAGCATCCCACCCCTTGACTGCCTTCCACCCGGCGCCAGGGACTCCCGGCGCGTCCTGTCCCGCATTAGTCACGTTGTCACAGCCGCGCGACGACCCCTGCGTGATGTCCGTGAGCGCCTTGTACGCCGTCTTGTACAACCAAGGGTTCAAGAAGCCCAGCGGTTTCTGGCCCCGGGACAGGCGCACGGAGTTGAGGTTGGCGATGATGGCGGCCCAGGTCGGCGTCGCCACGCTCGTGCCGCCGCTCAGCTGCTCCCGGCCCAGATGGAAGATGGGGAACGTCGTCCACGCCTGCGCCGCGACGTCCGGGATGCCCCTTCCCGTCGCGTTGTACAGTCCCTGGAACTTGTCCTTGACGGTGCCGTTCAGATACGTCTCGACCTGTGCGCGCTGATAGTCCGGCCGGGCAAAGACGTCGCTGAAACCGCCGCCGGACAGCCGTTCGGCAATCTCGGGCAGCACCTGGCCTGTGCCGCCCACGCTGGTGACCCACGGACAGCTGGCGGGGAACTGCGGCATGAAGCGCGTCCTGTTTTGCCCGTCGTTGGTCATGCAGCCGTCCCCGGGCCCGCCGTTGCCACTGGATGTGATGACGCTCACGCCGCGGGCGCCCAGCTTGGCGAACAATTGGCACACGCTGAGCATGTAGGATAACGGGTGGGTCTGCTCGTCTTCGCCGTACGAGATGCTAATCACCTGCGGCAATTTGTCGTGGGTCAAGTTGACCATGTACTGCAGATACTCGAGGAACGGCTCCTGCTCGTTCAGCGCACCTGGTATGTCGGGGAGTTGCAGGTCGTGGATCAAGGGGCCCCTGCCCCCGACTTTGTAGAAGTCGACCGGCGTCGGGTACGCCAGGGTCAAGCCGTATTGGACGTCCATGTTGGCTTCGGAGGCCCAGATCGCGTCGGTAGATCCGTTGTTGACGCCGCCGTTCACAGAGGTGATGGACAAGTTTGCGCCGCGGGCGTATGGTGCCCATTTGTCGACGAACAAGGCCAGGTCGCCGCGGAGGACGTTCTGGCTGGCGAAGGCGGGGATTCCGAGACGCGAGCCGGAGCTGGCATTGGCGCGGAAATCGCCTATGCCGTAGAGTGCACGGATACAGTCTGCCGAGGTGGTGGTGTTGCAGTACGTTGCGTTCAGTTTGGTTGCTGATCCGTACACGGGTATCGAGCTGGAGGTTGGCCCGGGTTGTTGATTTGCCCGGGAACGTGCAAAATGTGTCGTCGGTTGGATCATCCGGACGTATGGATGGAGCCTGTCGGGGATGGAGTATTCGAGGGTGCGAATGCGCCAGCTTTTGTCTTCAGCGTGGTGGAAGAAGTAGAAAGTCGTGTCGAGGAGGTTTTCTGCTCGCGTGACCGTGGTGTCGACACTGATCCAGTCTCCATTGTCTTCGATCTCCACTGCCGGGATGCCTTGTTGCTCGAGCCAGGAGAGCACAGCACTGGAAGTTGCCGGCTCAGGACGTAGGAGTGCGTTGAGCTCGTGCGCGTCGTAGTGTTGGCCGTAAAGCTCGTGCTCGGGATCGGAGATCCTCAGCAGCTGTTCTTGGAGGAAAGCATGCTTGTCATCCTGGCGAATGGCTATATGGAGTTTGAGACGTGCGAGCGCCGGTGCTGGTACCCCGCGATACCAACCGTCAGGGACGTCGGTGAGCTGCTCGAACACCTTGAGCTGGCCGCTCGGCACGGCGCCTGCGACGCCGGTGAGCACTGAAGCACATGGCACCAAATACCTTGTAAAAAAGTTCAACATCCCTGAGGATCGACGCAGTTTGTGAATGAGGCTACAGGTGTTTCGAGACCTGTAATACCGTTTCAAGCGGCGAGATACGTGCGCATGCCCATCCTATATGCTTTGCCCCGAGGGATCGCCACGATGCTGTGTAATACTGGGATCAAGACCAACCCCTAAACGACTCGTATGCCGAGTGTCGGTACGTTGTAGGATCGTCAGGCCTGAAGCCGAGCTCCACAGATCCTGCTGCAGGTCCAATGCAAGGAGGACGGTATGGTGCTGCCTGCCATGACAATGTTTCGGGGTGGCGACGATCTCGTACAAGAGAGGTTGAAGTATGTCCTTAGACGGTCCCATCAGTACGTGCCATGTGGGGAAATCGAACCTCGCTGCTCGAGAAAAGAGTAAGAGTATCGCTCCCGCCTGACACTACCCATTTGTAAGGACCATAAGGCCACCGTCGGGCCGCCGATGCCCGTCTGGGGTACAGTAACACTCGTTCCCGTCGGTGGAGAGGCCGAGTCCGTAGCAGGCAGGGGGCCATTCCTTGTCCAGAAGAGGATAATGCGCATCGTCGAGGCAGCCATCGGTCGCTTTCCCTGTCGTCGTCATTCATTCCCATCCCTGGAGAGTCGTGGTGATTCCTAACTGAGCTCCGAGCAGATGGTCCCTCGATTAAGCCGCCAAGTGCTGCATGGCGCTGAACTTGGCCAAACCTTCTTCTTGTAATGCAGCTGCTCCTTTACCTCGTCTTGACTTCTCTTCTTACGACCCGCCTGGCAGAGGTGAATGCCCGAGTGTACACTACTGCTGCATACCTCGCTCAATGGCTGTGGGCGATCGGAGACCTTTAACCCGCCTTTGGTCCATGGCGGTGGACCTGGAGGAGTCCTTGATAGGCAAACTCTGCGAAGGACTCAACCATAGCGCCGTAATCCTGGAAACAAATTGATCACTCGAACTCTCAGCTACGAGCAGTCCTGCTCCAGATTTGCGTCGGTGTTTGGCAGCCTTCCGATCTGCAAAATGCGGAAGTGAGCAGGGACGTCGGCCACAATCTGTTCATATTCGGCCCATGGTGTGCCGTCTGGCCTCATGGAGGACCAATACCAAGACACCGGAGCACTGAAATTCAGCATGAAATCTACCCATCCCAGGTCCTGCAGATGCTCTCGGTGCGGTCACGGAATCCTGGCCTCCCCCTGCGTTAGGGACGCTTTCAGGTCTCTGATCGATGTCTGACTCGCGACCGCGGCTCACAGGCCTAGGGCCTCGATACTATTCCCGGTTTGCATAGACGAGTGAAGTCCTGGGTACCTCATGATGCACAGAGGAGTAACAACCTAAGCTGAAAGGTGGCTGACAGTATAGTGACTTGCAATTCACGTCGCGTCCGACAGAAAGCGGTCATGGGGTCTGGTAGTATATGGAGCGAGCCGCCTCGAGTCTCGTTCTTAGTCCATCCTCTCTCAATCTGAACCCTTCGCGACGACACTTACGTCGTGCTCACAATGCCTGTCTTTTCCGCAATTGTCAAGATCATCTTATCACGATTTCAACAGACTAGATCATCTTCTCCCCACAGTCTTCCCTCTAATCAGCCCAGCAAAACTGAGCCGGCCCTGTTCGACGACTTGCCAGAGAAAGAGAGAATAACTGCTATTGCCAAACTCCACAAACTCGCTTCTCGACAGCCCGCCTCTGCCGCAACTCATCTTCCTGCTCCTTGCCACGGTCGCTTCAAGTGGATGACCTTCGCCATGGCTTTGCTCGCACTCGGATTCATAGCATTCGCCGCCGTGGCCTCGGTTGCTTTGGCCGCCGACGCTGACAGAGAGACGGACCTGGTTGCTAAGCTTCACATGGCCAACACCAATCTCGACCGCATGGAGTTGCTGCCAGATGATTCCGACTGGTTCTTCGATTTCACCAAACAGGACAAATACACATTTTCTCCTGGCGGTGTCATCAATGCCAATGCCGCTACCTTTCCTGCCACTGTGGGACAAGGCATGACCTTGGTAAGTCGACTATCAGGGCCAACCGTGGTCCAAAAACAAGACTGACAATTCTCACAGGCCATGCTCAACCTGGGTCCATGCTCCATGCTTCCACCACACTTTCACCCACGCGCAACCAACTTTGTCGTTGCCATCAACGTGAGTTTCCCACATTTCTGGCACAATCTCTGCTGTCGTCCTGCCAATATCAGTCCCTGCTAACACCAATCTGCAGGGCACAACTCAGACCTACATGATCGCCGAGAATGGAGCACGTACTGTGACTGAGGTCCTCAAAGCGGGCCAGATGACCATCTTCCCAACCGCTTCAATCCACACCATGATGAACGTCGGCTGTGAGAACGCACAGTTAATCTCAGCCCTCAATTCCGATGACAGTGGGACCACCAACCTCGCCAATACATTCTTCTCCCTTCCGGCCAACATTACCAATACCATCATTGGCGGCGGGATTAGCGCTCAAGACATTTACGGCCGAATTCCAACTGTCGGCACCGGTTCCAGTTTCGGCCCGGATCAGTGCAGAGCCGCATGCGCCAAGCAGGGGAAGATGATCAAGCGTGAGTGGTAGGCGGTTTGCAAAACGAGCCAAGGGTTCGAGCTAGAGAACAGGAGCTACTGAAGTGGTGTTCTGGATACCTGCCTGTCTGAAGCAGAAGCCAGTGGTGTTGGAAATGACTCGAGGGGCCAAACAATACTGAGTACATTGTTCCACAAGAAGGCAGGCGAGGGGATAAGAGGGAGGGTCATGCCCATCTTGACGGGCGCTGGCTAGGATCGCATTGCAGCAGCAGAAAGATGTTCGTCTCTCTTGTCTAAGGGCGCGCGCCTCTACCGCCGATGTCTAGTGTGCGACGCAACGATTTTCTCTTGAGCCAGTCTGAAGTGGTGGATGTATTTTCGCTAAACATGTTTGATGGTAGCGCTAGATGAGGATATCCTACTCGAGACGCACAACTCGCGCCAACCGCGAGATTGCTGCGGCACAAGACCGCTGGCTTCGAAGAGTGTATTTTTCTCCCTTCCCCCCTCCTATCATCCCACAATCTGCATCCGCTGCAGCCGGCTTCGGTGGCGACGCGACGGCGGACGGATGGGCTTTGTTACCATTCCTGGCTTGTTGTCACCCGTAGATTCCCACCCCCTCTGTGCCTGCTAGTGATTCCCTTGCTGTCGGCTGCCCCCCTACGTGGCACTGTGTGGCTGTAATTATTCTGATAGCTGTTCGGCTACACCATCCCGCGCTACGGCATCCTGCCTGGCGCTTGTCTTGCCAGTATGTGATCAATCTCGGGGACGACACAAATGTCCTGCATCCGGATCGATCACTTATCTTGACCAAGCCGGCAGAGCCTCGCCGCGACCCTCCGGTATTCTTGGCTCAGGAGGTTCGATGTTCTTGATTGCTGGACGTCGATAACGGGTCAGCACACGTACGCTTATCCCCCGACGAGTTGTAGATGACACCAGACAGAGCGAGAACGTCGACACGGGAGGGCTTCCGTACCTTGAACGACCCTCTTGGCCAGCGAGGGTTTCTTGTCCTTCTGTGCTTGTGCTCTCTCCTTCTCACTCACGATCGAGTCTGTAGAGATGGAGGCAGTGTCAAACGACATGTTGGGCTTAGAATCCGAAGAAGGCATCTTGGGCAGTTGTGGAATTGAAGGTGGCTGTTTCTGTATGAACGCGATCGTGCTTGCTGGAGGAGGTGTCAACCGCCCTGTAAGTGATGGCTGAGACCGTCAAGGTAAGCCGAAACCTTTTCTTCGGAGAGTTCTCGTTGACCGGCTAGTACGCGAGAGTGATAGGAGAAAATGGTAAGAATGCCTGAGGAATGCAAACATGTAGGCGGCGGCCAAGAGTCTCTTTATAGATACAGGACAAGGCCTGCTCGACACCGGGATGTCAAGACCCTTTTCGATTCATGGGAGCCTGGATGCCTGAGCAGGCAGCTTGCATATTGAACACCGGCTTCAGCATACGACACTCGCACGACGATAGGTCAGCGCTGTGACTGGGACGGCAACTCAACTCAACCTCCCGCATCCGGCAGGATAGGAGAGCAAACTAAGCATTGCCTTACGAGCTGAGGCAGGGGTGGTCCAGAGTGGATCGCCCGATACGACGAATGAGGAGCCAGTCTTTCGGGTTTGCAGATGGTCGTGGTGGCCGCGTGTGGACGACGTCCAGGTGCTTCAACGCCACCAGAGGCGGGATGAGATCTGACTCATTCGTATTGGGGATTTTGCGCTCAGCCGAACTGCAATCCGTGATCCACTGGGGTGCAGTATGGTGCGCTGTATCTGGATGCACGATCCTCAGAAGTCGTCTGTTGATACAAGCAATGCTCATGCTTACACTGGCATTGTCCAGCGCAGGGGATTTTGCGCCCGGCAGGGGAAGCATGGATAAGCTCATCGTGGTCAACGCGCCGGACAAAAGCTTGGTTGGAGAGCATGATAGGAGTGAACGCCAATAACAATCAACACTAACAGGTCACATGTTAATCGACCAGTAACTAACATGCGAGCTGTGCACGACGTACGCCAGCGCCAATCACAACGTAGCACAACAGGCACTCATCGGCAGCGCCAGGCCGACGTATTTCGCATTCTTTCTGCCTGACTCACATCTGTTTATCTCGTGTGCTATTCCTTCACTAGGTATGCTTCTGCGTCATTGGCACCGTCCTGATCACCGTCTGGACCTGGCATCTCGCATGCAATTCGACTCAACTTTTATCTCCCAGCTTCTGGAAGTGGAAGGTGGAATAGGCCGAGTGCGAGGAGCGATACGATTTTGATCGGACGACTATTGAAAACGGCAAGACGACAAGGCCACCACTCCCCTGCCGCACGATATCTGCAGGTGTCTTCTAATGCCATCGTTGGGTCTACGTCGACAACGCTTCAAGTGGCCATGCGAGCTCGTACAATAGCGTCGTTGAACCCTGATTTCAGATGCCAGGCAAGAAGGACATTCGTGGCCCTCTCCACAGAAAGATCGAGCCTCCCATCCGCAATGGAGCGAAGAATCCGCTGGAGGCTATCCATTCACCCAGGCATCGCGCCTATTCGTCTTCGCGCTTATTCGTCTTCACACGGAGTACAGTATCCGCCTGTCAAATGCAGCTGGCTACTCCACTTCGTGCGTTGACCTCCCGACTTTACTTCCTCCGGAATGCTTGAGTCAGCCTAGTCACACAGAGTACTTATCTGCACAGGCACATTGTTGCTCCGTCGCTCCGGAGTAACGATCACGCACTCGATTGAACATGCTCTGTTGCGGCAGGCATCGAGAGGACTAGGTAGGTGCTCTGGGAAAACGTGCATTGGGTACTACCTACGTACCACATGGCTTCCGTCAACAAGTCACTTCGGCGCCTCAATACATTTTCGACGGCTGAAGATTGACCTCAAGAAAGCACTCAAGCGCGTCCAGTTTCAACGTCGTATGCTGTCTCCTGGCAGTCAATGCTTGCGCAGTCGCTGAAAGAAGCTGGACGATTCAAGCAAACCACTTACTGAATACATGCCTCCAGCTTGTGCACAAAACGCAATTTTGAAACATGCTAAATTGAACAATCGATCAGCGCAGCTCCAAAGTAGAACAACTGTGGCATGTCCAGCACACAGACAAGGGACGACTCCACACAGAAGAAGGTCAAACAACACACCATGGAGGATTGCACGGACTTTGTCTCTGTCTCAGACCACCAGACAATGCTCGCGACGTACACAAGGAACACTGAACAGCTACCTCAGCACCGCACAAACATGCATTGCTCCCTCCAGCAAACATGCCCTGTCTTGCTGAGCCGCATTTGAACAGACCACATGGAGCACCGCGGTAGGATTTTGATTTTATCCCTCCTGTCCCTCTTCCACTTCTTTTCCGTTCACTCATAATCTCTGATCCCTTCCCGTCATCTACCTGTGGCGGTCACTTAGAAGGCTCGATTCCAAACTTTTAAGGTCAACGAACCAAGCACCAAGCAACTGCGGTCATCCAGTTCTTCAACCGTATCCATGGCGAAGAGGAAAGTCCTCCGCGAGGCTAATGCCCAGCACTTCTCAACCGATGGCCCGCGAAGGCGTTCACCAGGTCGCCAGACGGAACAACAACAGCGTCGACCCCCTACACCCTCTTACCGACAAAGAGCTCGAACAAAGCAGTACCGACGACCACGGCCACGACCACGACCAGAAGCAGGTTTCTACACACAACTCATCGAGATGGTGCAGGAGGCCGCCACTCAGACCGTGCTCACGGCCATCTTCATCACGGTTCTCGTTGCTGTCATTGTTGCTCTGTATGTAGTCTTGATGACGAGTTGACGTGGATTGCGAAACTAAGACTGAGCTGGAGACCGAGATGGACAAGACGTTGGATCATGCGGTCCGTCCTGCCAGTTGGACGACAAGCGGTTTCAGTCCGATAAGTGGCTCCCATTGAATGACAGAGCTGAAATGAAATGAGCTGAGGCCAGGTGCGATGTGATATGCTATGGTGCTGGCGGATGTGGTTCGCAAGGAAGACAAATTGCATGTCTGGCTAATTGGATGGATGGATGGACGGCGGACAGATGGCTCGATCAATAAACCTTCCATTCAATCCCAGTCAATGCTCGCGGACCGGGAGGAGTTTCGTGTAAGAAAACCACCATAACATCGACAGACTGTGGAATCCCCCCCTTCTGGCTGAATAGTTCTGTTGGAATAATTGAATGCTCCGGGCCGAGTCTTTCCAAAGTCCGTCTGTCGCCATCCAAATCCTCCCAAGTAGGCACATTGTGGTCAACACCCTCTCCGAAACCCGGCGATGACACTGCTTTTCACGCGCCTTCACATCACTTCTTGCTCAGTCTTTGACAGGCGCATATTTCAATACTCGTTCCTCCTCACGTTCGACATTTTCATGTCCGTAAAGTATGAGGTCTTGACCTTTCCACCTCGACCTGAGGCACTGATCACGGACATTAGGACCCATCCTCAGCATCTAAACGCCGGCTGTGCTCCTTCGTGTCGAGCGCCTCATTGACGATACTCGCCCTGGGAGCGTTTAGTACCTTGGGTATCTAGAGCCGTGGCGTCACGCTATCCCAGACCCTTTCCAACTCGACCTCCCTGGTTCAACACATTCACCATCTTTCACAAGGAGAGGATGCTGAAGAAAGTGAGGTCGAAGTCTTCGCGGATGGACGATGGGATCAGAATAGAACCGATGACTGGTGGCGAGAGATTGCTTGAATGAAGCGAACGAGGATGACGTAGTATTGGAAGATACCAGATTGGACTGTGAGCGGGAATGGTTGCGTCTTAGCTTAAGACTCTTGATCTTCGAGGTTTCTGTGTCTGGCAGCTCAAGAAGCCTGTGGCGAAGGGACCTTGTTTAAGTATGCATCGAGTTCATGGTGGCTTGAACTTCTGCTGAAACTTACTTCGGGGAATTGACGGCGGGCAGTCCGTTTCTTCAACATAGGACCTTAAAGCGGAGGTATACCTACTCACCTGAGATGAACACGTATAGAGGCATCATCATAGCAGGAGTTTGGCCGTTCAGGTGCACCTGCTTTGCACAAGCGTGCGAGCATCCCTCCAGACGATAACACCCGAGATCTGCTCAGAGTACGCTCGCATGCAGTGGTTCAGCGGTATTCGACAGAGGGGACGTGCACAGCAGGCCTCGTTGCGGACCACGTGAATTCTGCCAAACCCATTGAAAAGGAACCCGTGGCTCACCCATGTCTGTTCATTCCACGCTTGCTGATTCCAAAGAAAAAAGAAGAGACTCCGTTCCCACTGCTATACATTTTCATCTCCCCTTATATTGCCCATTTCATAGCTATTATTCCCCCTAAGTGGTTCCGCGAAACCGTTTGCCGGTTCTCCCGCAGGAGTGACGTTCTTCTTCGTCGCGGGAGTCCCAAAACTTATAGGCTGCATTTCTCTGTACCGACACGCCCAAACGCCCGTGACGATCATCAGTGCCGCGCTGGCGGCTTCAAGACCCCACCATAGCAAATTTGTAGGGATTGCGCCGGTGTAGAAGGACGTGACGAGCAAGTGGATGAAGTGGATTGTCAACGCGAAGTCCGGGACGAGCTTCGACCGTGTAATGAAGATCAGGATCGGAATCACCCTTTTTGTGATCGGCTGTCAGCGATAGTCCCGCCATGTTCCAGTGCCATCCTGTTGAGTGCCGCGTGCCGCTCGAGAATGCAGGACGTATACGTACGTGACAAATCCATTAACAACGCACAGAAAGCCCACCGTCCAGCCGAGCGTGTTGTCTCCCCTCACACTCCGCCAGTCGAGGACCAAGTCTGGGGAAAAGTTCTGGCCGAGCACAAGTGACACGAACACGGCGAGGATGAAGAACGTGGTGTAGTACCACAGCTGGAGCACGAGGATGGACCGCAGGATCTTGAGGGGTGGGAGTTCCGTGAGGGCGCCGGATCGGGGTGGTTTTCGCCGCGGACGTGGCATTATCTGACGAGGTTGCAATGTCGCGACACGATGGCAACTGTTATCGCCGCCATGGAGGTTGGAAATTTACTTGCGGGTTCGGTCTCATGGTTGCGTGGCATGGGTGGGTATGGAGAGGTGTTCAGTGAGAGATGATATGTAACTCCACCCAATGCACAGCCTCGTCACGTGGATGCAAGGCTGAGCCTTCTCCAACTCCAAGTTCCATGGAAGCTTGCGGGCTCGGAGAAATGCTTCGATGCAATCATTCACCACGGACATTCACGTTTCTTGCACTTGACAACGGCAGTAGATCGTCCAAAGTTACACTCATCTTCGACGCCTTGATAAGCCCTGAGGAAACAATCGACTTGTCAGCAGCGACAAGACCATCTCCGCGCATTCCTTTTCCTCCGTCGCCGCCGCATCTACCATGAGCTGGGGCCTCCCCTCCTGGCTTGGAGGCTCTTCCAACCCTTCCTTACCAGAGTCCTCAAACCAACCACCTCGATCCAAAGACGGGGGCTACGTCGCGCCAGACCGCACCTCCCGAGAACACTGCTACGAGTCCCGCGACGCATTCTTCCAATGCCTAGACCGGAATGATATCCTCGATGCGGTCAAGGAGGATGAGAAGAGCAGGAAGCTTTGTCCCGCAGAGGTGGTTGCTTACGAGCGGGATTGTGCAAGGAGCTGGGTAAGCTGGCTTTCATGGTCGCGAACGAGACCACAAGTACGGGACTGACGTCGTGTGCCGCACAGATCAAATACTTCAAGGAGAAGCGAGTGATGGATTACAAGCGTGATCGCACGTTACAGCAGATAGCCAAGGAGGATGCTGCATCGGCGGCGAAGGCCAAGGCGGAGAGAGGAGGGAAGTCCTGGTTCGGGTGAGGGTAAAGACACACGAACTCAGGACAGTGGCAAGGGGCTCCGATGATCACCAAAGTGAGGCTCGTGGGTCGAGGCATGAGCTCGCGCCTTGTATAATGAGACTGTGGTGTCTTAAAAAGGTTTGCATAGCGTGGCACTGTATCAGGTGGGAGCTCGATTTGGGCCTATGATGATGGCATTGCACAAGCTGCGCTTTCTTGAATTGAACATCTTCACTTCTACTTCTGGGAGGGCTCCGGGTACACTTCTACCGACTCTGTGAGGCGCCAGGGACCTTTCCGGCCTGGAGGCAGTTCTTCTTACCGACCAAGCAGGCCTACGACACTTCCAACCATTACAGCAGCCTCGCGTTCCCAGTTCTCGACAGTTTCTTCTCCCTTGGACGCTGCGCTGGCTCTCGCGTCTCCTAGTGTCACCGTCCGAGGGAGTCTTGAGCCTCGCAGGACGCACTCTCGGATCTCAGCCCGTACCATGTCACGCTGACTGCGGAGCGTGCGTGCTGAAATGCCCCCTCGGTTGAGGATCTCCTGGACCCGGGTGGACAACGAAGAGGCCAGCGACCGCCAGAAGTAGGAGGGCAAGGATGCTGTGTCCAGAGCATTGAGCAGAATGGCAAGGAAATTTTCCGTAGGCTGTTTGGTGGTGGGGCTGGTGTCATCTTCATCCGAGGTGTCGTCGTCGGTCGTGAGGGTGTCAATATTGGCGGGCACTTCGGACGCCACCATGGGATGCTCGGGCGCCATTATACTCCGCAATAGTGCTTCTAAGGCCACGACATTCTGGCATCTTGCGCTAGTCTCAAGTAGGGCTCTGTCGAGGGTCGGCAGTTGTCCCAGTGCACGCCCTATCGACGCTGAACTCGAAGTGATGGCAGTCTGCAGATAACCCTGCAGCGCACGTATCAGATATTCCGGCTCAAAGTCTTTCCTGCTTATCTTCTGTCCATCTATTCGTGGCGCTGGGGAGAGGAGGTAGAGTATATGCGCTGCGCTGGTGAATCGGGCTCGGCTGTCTTCCACCTCTCGATATGTAGGCGCAGAGGTTGTGGAAGCTCCCCCCAGTGCTGGGGACAATGTGTTCATTGAAAACTCTCTCACAACTCGTCGAGCGAAATCCGAAATCCTTGCCTCCCCGTCCTCGAATACCCTTCCCCGCAAAGTCCTCACAAGGTTGATACGACCCAGTTGTTCGCCTTCGCCGCTCATGATATTGCGAAAAGAAAGAATTGAGATGCTCGCGCGGACGAGCACGCCATGGTCTTCCTTGCCGACACGCGTGCCTCCGAGGCCAGATTCACTGATCAGGACCTCGAATTGTCGGGCCAAGTTGAGAACGCGCTGTACAGCTCTGCCGAGCCTGAGGACTTCCCAGCTCCGTTGGGCGATGGTTTGGGCCTCGACGGCCTTCTGGTGGCGCACAAGGACCTCCTTCTCCAATCGTTCGTAGCTCGCATTTAGTCGTGCCCGTTCTTCTTCGACTTTGGATAGGATCCGTTGGGCCGCAGCATTTTGCGTCGATGTGTAAGTCAGAATATCAAGTGCTGAGCGCGAGGTGAGGGTATGGATGTGCGAGTCGATCTCTTGCAGGTCGAACAGAACACGCGACAGCGGTGTGCTGAGATCTATCGCTGGGTCGGATGAGTTGTTGGTTGCAAGAACAAGGCTGTTGGCGTGTGCATAGGGCGAAAAGTCGTCGGAGATGAGAGAGTCAATGTCAATGTAGGATGAGGTTGTCGCGGTGCTCCTCGCTTCCACCAGACCGGCCGTAGCCATGATGGGCAGTGAGATAATATGAGCTCGTAGAGGGGTCTCTCCACCGTTGTTACCAAACTACCTAGTAGTAGTCCACCAGGGTGTAATTGATATTTCCCAGAAGTCGGATTGTCAGAAATCCCATGAGGCTAACAAGTATTATTTCAGAAAAAGATTGTCGAATTGTTATTCTAATTTCGCAAAATCGAAGCTTTGATTACACCCGGGAGTGCTCGATACGTCCATGTTTCAGCGCAATAGCGTTAGTAGGTGATGGAGGGGCAGCTGTAGGTACCTAAGAGCAGATGTTGGACGAAATCGCATGTACACAATTGAAGGATGATCGATGTTCCGACGAGGCTGAAGTTACTCCGACGGCTTCGATTTGTTGGCCGCTTTGGAGTTAGGTGTGAGGTTAAAGAGGTGCTTCTTACGGAGGATGCCACGGTGCCTTGCTACCGGCAGAGGGGAGTATCGTGCCCAGTACTCTCGAAACAACATTCTACCTAGAGAGTACAGGAGGATAAGGGCAATCGAGGTGCAGCATGTCTGCGCCGAGCAGAGATGAATGCATGTTGGACGGTGACACTCCAAATTACTCCGTAGTTGGATTCGCTTTGTCACATGCAATTGTTGCTATCTTAGCTCCTGGCATCTTTGAGGCGGTAGTTGATCAAAAAACTGCTGGAAAAAGCAAACACGAATCCAAAATGGATGGATAACATGTACATCAAGACTTTAGACCGTGTCATCTGATACTTAGACTAGAAATGTCAGAGGAGGAGAGAACGTGATTGGCACAGCTGCTGGACTCGGGAGTGTACCTGAAGATAATGTGCCTGTTCCTGGATGGAGCGAACATTTAAATGCGGCTTCTGGGCTGTCCACGACGAGGCGACAGTCTCGGCAGCACGAATTGTGTACCTGACCCGGTTGGATCCTGGGATTTGGCTAAGACTGGAGGCATGAGCTGATTGGAACTGTCAGAGAACCCGAGACACCCGGAGCACCAGTCGAGGGGCGGGATGTATGCGGTCAGCGGAGGAGGAGAAAGAGAAGGATGGCTGTCAGAAAGGCGCCCGAGTCTTGGGTGTTCAGCGAGAAATGAGCCGGCATGGCAGACGTGCCGCATCTTAGGCTCTTGAACGCGCAAACAAGGTGAGTCAGGCGAGGACATATACGAAGCGGAGTGTCAGACTGATGACAGGCACCTATTTAACAGGCTCGGCTTTCGTTGGACTGTATGGCGAACAGCCGATTCACTCGTGCAATCAAGAAGCAGAGTGTGAGTGGGATGACAGGGAAGTCAAGCGTAAGGTGGTGAACAGCGGTCGTCGTGGTCGTCCCACGAGTTCATGGCCACAAAGGCAGTGTGCAGCTCCATCCCGATGAATGTTGGGTCCAGTCTGCCGCTGGAAAAGAGCGACGACGAGTCAAAGGTGTGGAGGAAGAGGCCTTTTAAGAGTTGCGTCGTGCATTTGAGTGGCCGCTTTGCTGATCTCGCAGGGATGCCCACGAGGCTAATGCTGCACATCAACCGCAGGCGCAGGTCTCGCTGAAGGAAGCCCGAGAGGCCTGGTGGGCTGTGCCTTGAATGTTCTCCAGCCATCAGCCTTGCCCCGCCAATCACTCGTTGCCCCTCGCATCATTCATCCTCTGGTAGCCGCTCCGCTTGCCAGGCGTGCCAGCGACAGGCACCTCAAGGACCGGGAGAAACGATTTAGTCGTCTTTTGGTCCGTTGATTTGCCCCTTCCTTGCCTTGAGGCTGCATGTTTGGGTGTTCGTGTTCGCCCATTTCGCGCTTGAACACCTAGAGCGTGCATAGCGACAGCAGCCATCGGCTCATCAACCACCCAGACGTCGCTCCATACTGCTGCGAGGCATCTACAACTGAAGCATCGCACATGCATTGTCAGTCACTGCGCTCATCCTCCCCTCTGCCTCTCTTGATCCCTCTTCATGGTCGCGGTTCGCCCTCCAATATCTGTCAGAACAGCCGCTGACTAAATCGAGGACATCCTCACTCGTCTCCAAGACTCATCCCACCTTGAACGCACCGTATCCCCACTGACCGCTCAACACGGGCACCCCCTAGGCTCGTCATCTGCCACCGGCCTGGAGCTAGTCCAGGCTCCACCATGCACACCAGGGGCACGTCTTGCCGCCAACAATAACTCTCCTCCCACTTCGACTACCCTTCCGAGTCTTTGCGTCCACGATCAAACGCCTCAAGATCTTGCCCTTCTTCGTCGCGAGTCGTCGACATTGCCTTGTCCGATCTTTCTAGCTGTTTCTCACTATCCGTTTCTGTCCTTCGTCATCCCCTGGTCTTGTCGATCGTATGGAGCATCGGCTTGCGCAACCGTAACCTTCTGAACCCCTTGCGCGGAAACCCTAGTTCTTATCACCGTGCTCCAGCCCCTCCGAGAGCGTCCGTTGACGTCGCCACCCATTCGACCCTTTCGCTGCTGGATCTTCCGTCTTCTTTCAGCCTGTCGCCCTATCCTCCTCGTCGGCGTGCCCATTACGAGACAAAACATAGCGCAGTCTCACCGTCGACAGAGCCGCTCCGGATGTGTCATTACTGCGTGGCGTAAAGCCGCACCCGGTCAAGTGCCTAGAGGTCGCACTAATCCTGCTTCACTTCAGGCCCCACGATGGCCGCCATTTCCAGCCTTGTCCTAAGCGACAACATACCGTCCAAGGACAGAATGGAGGAGATTGATTCTCCTACAACACCTCGAGCCGGTAGATACGGGTCGTCATCGACAAATGGACCCAACATGGCAGTGATCGATAGTGCCATTCCATCCCAGGAAAGCCCCTCTACGAATTCCCAGCCGTCGAGTCTAGGCGGGCAGAGTGGCAACGGAGCCCATCATCATGCCGAGGAAAGAAGAGATAGTGAAGAGGCGATATCTTCCAACATGGATATGGACGAGGATGACGAGGGTGCACCAGGCTCGGACAACGACGACGAGTCGGGCGAGGCAGACCCTGCCTCGAGAAAGAAGAAAGGCCAGAGGTTTTTCTGCACGGGCTACCCGCCCTGCAACCTCAGCTTTACTCGGAGCGAGCACTTGGCTCGCCATATAAGGAAACATACAGGCGAACGTCCGTTTCAATGCCACTGCAACAGGAGGTTCTCGCGGCTGGATAATCTGCGTCAACATGCTCAGACTGTACATGTCAACGAGGAGATCCCGACCGACTCCCTTGCCGCTACCGGGACCCGATTCCAACGTCAAATCCGCACCGATCGTGTCAGACCAACGGGTCGGCCGCGAACAGGCACGGGTGGGAGCACTGGTGGACACAGCCGGGGGCATAGCCGAAATCTCTCGGCTTCAAGTATTGGGTCAACATCCTCCAACTACAGCGTGGTAACAGAGGCAAAGAGACGACCGCCGCCTCTACTGATGGCCAACGACAACGCGAGTAGGCCGAGTCTGGGCATCGAACCACCGCATACTCCACCTGCTCAGTATCGCGGATACAATCCATCCTCTCCCAGTGGTCTGAGCACGCCTACCTCAGCCAACTTCTCCGCCACTCCAGGAAGTCCTGGGTTCTTATCCTCCATGGCTTCACCTGTTTCGAGCAACGCGCGTCTGGGTGGCTTCTTCGGTTCAAGGCCCCAGGCCCGTCGCCTGTCGGTACCTTCTGGTCCTCACCCCTATCAAAATCCATATCCTGCGGGCTATGGTGTCGGATATATGAATCAGATGGGTCCACCAAGTTCTCATGCGTCCTCAAATTCCAGCGTTTTTGCTAGCCCTACCTCAGCATCATTTCCAAGTGGCGCTGGCCAGCAAATACCACCGGGGGAAGACTGGCGCAGACGAACATGGCACGCCTCCACTTATCCCGCTGGCAATTACAATTACGGACGCCCCGCTACAAGCGGGCTAACATATTCGCAGACGCCGGATGCCCCTCAACCAGCACATGCGCAACACGCAACCGCAGCAGCGGCACAAGCTCCTCGGCTCCCGGGCATCGAGAGTTTCGATCATGTACAGCATCGCTCGTATACGCCTCCTCGCCGCCAGCCCAGTCCCATGCAGATTGACCCCAGTCTATCTTCCGCGCCTCCCGGCACGGATCCTCGTATGCGTCAGGGACATGTGTCCTGGGACGGCCCACGTCCCAGCCAATACCCCGAACTCGACGACCGAACGCAGGCTGTAGGTTCCTGGGGGCAGCAAACCCTAAATGAGATCCAAAGTGTAGGCATGCGGTATAATGAGCCGGCCAGGCACGCCGACATGGGACCACCGGCATCAATGATGACTGTACAACCACATCAGCAGCACATGGCACCTGAAGCACACGATGGACACTCGTTGGGCAAGAGAACGAAGAGGCAAGCGTGGTACGGAGGACCCACGCCGGCTCGGACGTCCCCCGAAGACTCCAGCAGTAGCGATGGTGTTCCTACACCTGGCATGACGGCAGTTGAAGTACATCCCATGATCATGCCAAGCAGTGGCTATATGGAACCGCAGCATGGCCACCTGCCCCCTGACACGCATCAAAATGTGAGTGACCGTCTAAAATTCGTGCTCGCTTGTCCGGAAGCGAAAGTAACCTTGTTGCAGGCGTGCCTCGCTCCGGCTCCATTTATCGAACCCGGCCAACACCACCACCCGATGTCCTTTGGCGGCCGTGGCGGCCATGGTGGGGAAATGAATCGACTCGAAGCCCTGGTAGCCGTGGCTACCAGCGGGGAGAATAGCGCTCGATGAGTGGGCGCCTCTACTAGACATTTGATGACGACCTCTTGACAGGTATTACGAGACGGAACCCCCGGACGGGGCGGCTTTCGAATCCATCATGACGACCCAAGTGGTGGCATATTTCGAGACGCAGCTCTTCTGATTACCAAGTTCTGACGGCCTGCATTGAGAGATACCCCTAACGACCGTTCCTCTTATGACACTTTTTGTCTGATGCATTGATGGCTTGTTGACGAATGCATGCACTTGGGCCACGACGTCTTGCTTCTGATGCCTATGGCGAACAGCGTTGAGCGTTTAGCGGTGGTATTCTGGGCCCATTACGAAATCGGAATACCCACAAGTAATTCATGATCATGTCGTTTATATACGAAGGGGCTGGCGTTCGGATCTCGCTTTGGATGATGCTTTCGGGGCTCAATCAAGAAATTCGCTCCTCAACATCCATGATCCACGCACCTTATCTTGTTTTTTACGGGTTGAAAAGAGACAAGAGCCCCGTTGCCTGGTGTTGATGTTCTCACCTCATGTTGCTCGAGTAGCCAGGACCAGCTGAATGAAGATTAATTACTCTCTTTTCCCAAGCTTTCTTGTCTGGTTTGTAGTGGTATAGCTCGACCACTCCTCCGCTATGCGACGTGCGGCAGCTCTTGCGCACCCTGTCTGCTCCGTCGTAGACTCATAACCACTTGGTTGCAGTGATTCCCTGCTGGAGGTATCGCTTAATTAGCCGCGGCTCAAGGGCAAAATTTGCCAAGGCCCCTTTCCCTCCGAGAACTACAGAGTTCAGAGCACAGAGCACTGCATTGCCACAATAACCGTGTACGTTCATACGTCCATCTCGATATGGCAGCACATGGCGCATGCTTCTAGATTTGAAGAGGCAAATACATAGCATGTGCAGCTGACCCAGACTGGTGGTGATGATGTGACTGAAACCCAGTCACACCGCTTTGGCGCGCCGCTGACAACCACGACGCGTCTCGAATTCAGGAACACAGCAGTCGTCTCCAAACATATCGGGGATAAAAAACACACACCAGAGACCGGAGCCCTGTCGAATCTAAGTGGTGTCACTAAATTTCCGACGCGAGAGCGAAGGCAGTAGATACCCGAGTCTATTTGGAAGGAGATACTGGGTCAGCCTTGCGGCTGAGGGCTTTGTAACCGGGCTGGGGATGGGATCTGGCAGGTACCCGGCCGATAGCAAACATTTTGAAGTTGGCGCTTGCAAGGCCTCAACGTGCTCATCAGAGGTCGGATCTGATCGAGAGCTTGACCTTGCTAGCTGCGAACGACGGCTGTGATCAGTTGAAGCTTTGGCGAGAAGTGTTTGCATTACACACAGCATGCAGCTCTGCGAGATGTGAGTGTTTCATGTCCCTCCTCAACATCCACGCCCACGTGGCGAACTCCCGACCCTGCCTGAGAAAGGCGACAGACTAAGGCTGAACAGGGCAGAAATAGTCAGGACGTTACCGTTACCATCGGCGAATAGCAGATATGTGCACTGCATGTGTACTAACCCGATGACAGGCTTCCAGAAAGGTGAATTAATTGCGTGTGGGCCCGGTAGAGAATGATATCGAGCTTGCAGTGGCAATGAGGCTATGACAGAATGGAGCTGTCTGGCAACGACGAAGCTCCGAGAGTGCATTCCCTGCTGCCAGCAACCTTTTGCTACGGCAGGAACTCGCAGGTGAGAAGGTCGTCAAATTGTCCTTTGCGATGCGCAATTTGTCGTCCTTACCGACACCTGGGCTCAACCTCTTCCCAACTTCACCTTCACTTGGGTCATTGACAATCAAGTGACTGACTTTGGAGCCTTCTCTCTACGTCTCTCGCAGTCTTTAAAGCTCGCTTGATCCTCTCACTCTTGTCTTCCACTTTTGTCACACTCATTTTCCCTTATTGTCAGCCATCCACCATCACCTCTGACTCTCGCCGTCATCTGATCATTCCCTCTTTCTTCGAACACATCAGACACCGTCCATCAAACCACTGGCCAGGTCACTCACACTCCTTCTCACCCACGGTCATTGCCACCATGAGACTTTTCGATTCAGCCCTCCTTCTGGGAGCGGTTTCTGGACTGTGCCAAGCTGGTGTGTTGGGTATCAGACAAGCGTAAGCAAAAATCTCCGGATCTCGGCATAACATGGCTGTCACTGATCTCTGTGCAGGCCGGCTCAAACATGCTCTCCAGTAACCATGTGGAACCATGTCACAATCTACAAAACCGTCACGAATGTCCCTCCCACAGTCACCATCCTTCTGGAAGATCCAGATGTAGTTGCGAGCAGCTGGGCCGCAGTTGACACAGCGCAAGTCAGCCAGGAGGTTGTTGAGGCCCCGGTCTCAAACAAGCCGATCGGAACACAGACCTTTGTCGATTCCGTTCGAGTGTCTGGCTTTGAAGCTACAGAGATGTCCAACACCCCCGGTGCGTCGGTGTTCTACATGTCAAAGTCTGTCACTAGCTCGATGGAAGCGTCGATTGTTGCAAAAGTCACAACTGTCACCGTCTCTCCACTCCAACTCTCCACATCACAACACCAACAGGACATCCAAGTCAATACGACCACAAGTACTGCCGCAGATAGCAATGTCCACGGCGCCTTCACCAGTCCTTATGGCGGCTGGAACGGCAGTGCTTCAGCTGGCTCTTCACTCATTGGACCGGCCACTGCAAACAATGGCTCGGATCCGATTGGCACTGGCGCTTATCCAGGGACGCTGCCTTTCATGTCGGGGACAGACGTGCAGGCTACACTCACACAGTCTCAATGGACTTCTACAGTGACAGAGATCGCCACGGTCTATGCTACCGTGCCAGTTGAATCAGACTACGGCTACAATACCGCTGCTGAAGACCATGGCACTGTCACCTCTGATGTCGGCGACCTCCAGAAGAGACAAACTTGTGTGTGGATCTCTGCTACTATTGGTGGTCAAGAGGTGGGGTGGTGCAACAACTGGGCTGGTGGTTCAACATATACTTTCACTTCTTGGGAAACAACCAGTAAGTCCGTCCCGGACAGTCCCCCAGCGTTCCCTTGCTGACATGTCGAAGCCACGCCTAGTTTCATCCCTGGTATCGGTACTATGACTCATTCAAGCACCTCGGCTGGTACTGCAGCTACAGGCGGAGTGACCATTCAGACATCAGTGCCTCTGTCGAGCAACCCACCACCAGCTCCGACAGCCACCAGTTGTGGTGAAGTCGGGCCCTTCCAGATCGGAGTAAGTGACGGTCTCCAGACAGAAGGGAATTAGCTGACCGTGAATAGTTCGACGACCTTATTCCAAATACAAGCGATGACAGCTTTCTTGGAACGCCCATGATCCAGAATCCTTATAACTTCTTGAACTGGGGTGATGGGTGGGGATACGTACCTCCACCGAGCGACCCTTTCCCTCCGCGGTCTGGTGATCGCCTCGCGCAGTGGGATCCAACCCTCAACAACACCGTGCTAGGCTCTCCGAATGCTGGTAGCATTCCGCCAGGGTCAATTGGCGCGTGGTCCCGCAACAGTAAACACTACTGGTTCTCTGCCGATTCGGCCTATGTTGGATGTGACAACGGATCGAGAAATCTGAGCGAGGTCTGCGATTTTGTTGCCACGTCTTACCGATGGAACAATGCTACCCAGTCGGAGGTTGTCGTGGCCACTCAACATTTCCACATTCCTCCATGCCCGGACCTCGTCAACTGTCAGCTCACTATGATCGAATTCAACGACCTGTTTTACAAGATGTCCACACTACAGTTCTATGCCAATGTCCAAGGCCAGCTCAGTAAGTTCTGGGTGGACAGCATCAACATGAACTGGTACGACAATAGCTGTGAAGCTGGCCTGGCTCGTATCTCGCGTCAGTTCTAGAGCTGAGCGATGTCACTGCCACGGCTGGGTATGGCTGGCTCATAGTGGCATGGAACAGAGCTAGGGTATGTCTCCATTGTTCTCACAGAGATGCATGGAGATGCTTGGAGTATCTTGAGCTCGGAGGTGAACATGATTCGATGACACATGGGACTCGCAACAGTCCTGATACGAGATTGAAGTAGCATAAAACCAGCACACGGGAGTTTCAAGGAGAGCTTTTGTAATGAAGTGGTCGAGGCAGTCAGAGAGATCGAATCAGATTATTACCTCGACGATGAGACAAACTGAGGACTGAGTTTGGGAGTATCACTTTTTTCTCAATTGGACTTGTGCCACCCCGTTCCGAATGCCAGATGTACCATCATGGCAAGTGTCTCTGTAGTTGTCGGTGTAGCAAGACTTGACAGCATCTCTCTCCTCGTCACACACTTCTCCATGGCGATACTGTATCACCCACTGATTCCCGCGTTTCTGCAGTTCTAAAGGCATTCGAAGCAGGTGCCCTGGTCTTGACTCTTGAGCATCCGAGACTTGCCGATGGAGGGTTCACGAGCGACTGAGTTCGGTATCCTCCCAGGGGTCTCACTCAGGGTTGGCTACGGCGTGCGCCCACCTCGACTGTCCTCGTGTCTACCGTCCAAGTTGCTACTTCCCTAATTGAGGGTTGCGTTGCGCCCGTGGTGGGTGTGGTGGCGGGATGATGGAGGCTATACATGTACCGTGGTTGAGCTGCCTTTCTAGACCTAGGTCGGGAAGTGAACTGTGATGTGGAGGTGATGATGTTGATATTTCTAGCTCTACACAGCCGTCGCCATGGTCGTTGTGGAGATTCAGCCAGGAATACCAGTGAAGAAAAGAGTCGGCAATGCTCTCGACAGTCCCGGAGTCGACAATCAGGGTGGACAGTCAGGGTGAAAGATCGAGTTCTGCCCAATCACGAGAAGCCCTTGTTGCACCTTGAATATCGTCCGGCAAGGCTTCCTGCAAGATCGAACCATCGTGCGCTGGTTGGTTGGCACAAGGCTGCGAGGCTGCGAGGCTGCGAGGCTGCGTTATCCCGTCCTTAGCTCTGCGGTCGAGGCTCCGATCTTGTCCAGCCACGTGTACACAGTAGAGCCCAGATGTCGGCAGAGAACAGCGGGTCTTTGGCAGAGAGTCCGTGTACACCTGGAATAGCTCTTCTGTGGAAACTTTGCCACCCAGCCGGCTGTCGGAAGAGCGAATTGCACACGTTGCAATGGTCCAGTAAGATGGCGTTCGCAATGAGTCTTGCGCGGGTGAACGCCTTCGACAAACAGCATGCAGTGTCATGTCACCAGGATCACACAACAGCTTCCAGGTATATCTTAGTCTTGGAAATCCATCCGAATCTTGTTGTCTTGCAGACCATTTGACAGAGGGCCAAGGCTGGGTAGTCTCCATCTTTTGGCGCCGAAACCGTATCGATCGCTGGACAACACCAAGGGAACAATCCAGTTTTCCGCGAACACGGAGGAAACGAGTGGAATAGAGGCTTCGGACAGTGTCACCGCGTAATGTGTTATATCGACCTTCAACACTATCTCCATTGCAAGCATACCGACGCCCAATTCCGTTCGTGCTGGAACCCTGCCACAGGTCGAATAGGATTGGAAACTGGCGATCACAACGTTTCCCGTGCCGAAATCCACTCGTACGACAGACTCTGCGGGGCATGCTACTGCGATGCCGTAGAGAGAGCAAGCGAAAAAACCGGCAAGGTTATATCCGATTCCTGGATAGAATGGCGGACTCCCAATCAGCTTACTGTTCATATCGAGTTCAAGGACAGCGGTGAGGTTTTGGAGGCGAGTCGAGACGCTGGGAAGAAACGACCATTCCTCTTGAACCATGACCACGGTGGCAGGGTTATAGCTTGCATGTTCGAAGGCGGCATTGACCGGGCGCAAGCCTTGCGCAAGCCGAGAGCGGCATTTCGCCATAGACCAACGCATATTGGAAGGGCCGGCCAGCCAGTCCCGGAGGAGCTACAGGAGCCTCGGTTCGTCTCTGCTGGAGATGCGTACGACGCCGACTACGTCAATGATGAGTGTGACCCCACCACGAACGTCAGGGAGATTCTTCTGTACTTCCCAGCTTGCAAACACTTCAACAGTCTGTGGTGTGAGGAGATGTATGTGCAAGATGGTGATGTCCTGGCTCGCTGCGGGTGTGACGAATTCGATGAGAAGCTAGCGAGGAAGCAGTATGCCGAAAGTGCAGATCTGTGCTTGCTGTGTCGTAATGTATGGAGGCCGGGGGATCGAGCTTTGCTCCGAGAGATGGTCAGAAAGATCACTGACGAACGGGCACTCGCGCTGTGGCCATTCAGTCAACGGCGCCCACACAGGGAAGTAAGGTGATGGCGCTGTGGTGTCGGGAAGTGCCAGACCAAGGCCGAAGCATACACACTATTGATCTCCTCAAGACAGCCATGTTGAATTGTGCAATCCGATCGGCATGGCAAAGATGTTCCTGCCCTCAGTCCTTTTCCTTTGCCTTTCCGCCTACATTTTCCGGCAATCTCCCTTGTGCCCGTAGCTTCCTCTTCTCGCCAACGTCCCAGTTGTGCACTCTCGCAATCGCAACCTCCAATGTCGTGATCTGAACCCTCAGAAACTCTAGGTCCTCGTCACAGGCAGTCAGGCTCTCCTTGGCTTTGTCCCACTTGGCTTGCAGGAGCTCTTCAGCTTCGTCGAGAGGGTAGGCGACCATGACATTCGCCCCGAGCCAGAGGTATACTTCATCGACCTGCGCTGGCTTGATGATGGCTTTGGCATACAGAGTGTCCTGGAGGGAGAATGTTGTCTCAAGCTCGTCGCTGCCGGGCCTTTTCTCCCCAAGAAGATCGTCATCTTCGTCGAGACTCAGCTCCTCGACGCCGTCCTTTTCCTTCTTTTCAGCGAGGTCTTTCCGCTTCTTCTTCAGAAACTTGACAACCTGCAATGTCCTCTTCATCTCGGGCAATTTCTCTTTCAGTCCGATCGCTCTCCGCTCCAGGTTTTGTTGCATGAATGTGTATTTGGAGACCATCTCCTGGAATCTTTGAAGGGTCGGCTCGACATCTTCGATTGACTTGACGTAGTCGGTCACATTGGACATGAAGGGGAACGTGGGTATACCTCGGGGGTTGGTGGTTGCAGTGTCCATTGTTGCGGATGGTCCAGATGCAATCCGTATACGTTGATGGTAGCAGCAGGGTGTGGGATATGAGTTCGTGTTAAGAGCGGCGTGAGCGCCACTCGACAGCCTCCAGTGAGAGATCTACCTGTAGACAATGTTCAAAGTGTGATTGTGTGGATTTCGTTCAATGTCGAGGGGGAGTTCAACGTGAACGTCGCGGACTATCTGTTTCTCCGGCCCCACAAGGCTGCGATCGTGAGGCTGCAACGATGACCGCGTTATCTTCCATCACCCCCACCGTACTTGCGCTGCATTACCAGTTCCAAATGCAGGACTATTAGACTCTCCTAGCGAGCTGCTGCTTCAGCAACTCAAGCTGAGCAGGGTCGCGTCCGTCCTGTAGGCCGCACTCGACTTCTTCAACCAGGCCAGCCTCCTGGCCAAAAATCCACTCCCGTAATGGGTATGGAAGGTTCGACCAAAGGACGATTTCTCAGAAACAGCACATCCTCAACGACAATGCCCTCCAATATCTCTTTCGCTGTCGCTCCCTTTTCTGGTCGGGAGAATGGCAAGTAAGCCATCGACTCGGACCCCGGTTTTGCGCCTTCGAGGAATGCACCGTTCTTGGCTGCGGGATCGTTTTTGATTATCGTCGCTTAATCCACTCGTCGGCGTACTTGAGACCGCCACATCCTTGTATTCCTGTCAGCAAAGTCTCCCTGATGGTGCAGATCAAAGACGCGTCATCTCCAACCCCCCAAAGACACTGACCTGTATGATGAATCGCTCTCAACTCCCGTATCTCGGTTGCAATCTCGAGACCCGCAAGCGTCCTCACAACGTCGTCGCTGGCAGTCCTCCGGCCTCCGTTTTGGATGACGAAGACCTCATTCTCGTCCAGCTGGAAGAAATGGTCTGGACTACACCGCGCGTCGCAGCAGGTGATGATCCCCACGCGCGATCGGGCGCCACCAGGCGCTATGTTCTCTAGCTTGAAGGAATATCGAGCGTAGTCCTCGTTCTTGGACTTGAAGTCGTAAGGCACAAAGGCCAGCATCTGAGCTTGGCCGAAGCCGCTAACCATGATGGTGGGCGGCGGAGGCTGGATTGCAAGGGGTTCAAGCAGGCCGATCTGGTAGGAGGCGCGGTGACAACTGATCTGATCAAGAGATCGATGTACTCAAGCTGAAGACTGACATATGTGCCTTCATCCAAGTCGGACCGCTCATTCTCCGCAGCCACAGTGCTCCTCTCCATTGTACAGACCCAGGCGCGGCGGGGAGGTCAAGACCGCCTGGACCGTTCGAAAGTCGTTCGTGCATCTGAGGATAAGCTCGCAACCCTTCGCGGCAAAGGAGTTTGATTGCTTAAGTCCTATTTCCTCGTCACATCATCACCCACTACCGCAACCGTCTTCTTGAGCACCCAGTGAGACTCGGATATGCCCCTGGCAGGCAGCGCACCTATGACCGTCAGGACGATACGTACCGGCGATTTTTCTCGGCAGTCGAGCGAAAAGGCTCGATGTAAGCGGACCTAGCGGTATTTCGGAGAGCCATTGGGCTGCTTTGAAAACCGGAGTTGAGAATACCGTGGTACGATGCGAGGCGGTCATTCAGAAGAAGACTGTTGGCCGGTTCCTTCAAGACAAAATGGTGCCCTGTTCTCTACAGTTGCTGAGGAGAAGAAACGTGGTATTGAACTCGTGGCAGTGGCTGAGTCAAGCCAACGGTCGAATTTCCTGCCACGCCAAGTGCAACCCTCAAATAGACCTCGACCTCACCATAGTTTTCGTTTGGTCAAAGATATCCTTTACCCGGAATATCTGTACTATTTCTCGTTAGATGTACGGCTGTGGGACCAGTGGAGAGCTCCCTGCTGACTGACACCTTTCGCAAAATGAAGTAGATGTCAATGCCGATATGTCGAGACAGATCTACGAGTATCTTTTTCTCGGGAGACAGTCACATGCGAGGTTATTACCGGCGGTATTATCATCTGAATGGACTGCGGCGCCGCTGCTCTGCATGTTTGCAAGGTCTTCAGGGAGGTGACATACAGCTTTGTATATCTCGTCCGAAAAATCGGATAATCCATTTCAACTTAGTCGGAGAGCGGACACTGCATCTAGTCAACAATCTTGCCCCTGAAAACATGAAACCAAAGCTTGCCGTCTCTTCGTACCGATACATCGAGGTCCGACCTCTCGGAGTGTTCTCCTAGATGTATCCTGTCTCTCAAAGGAACGGGAAAAGAATCGGTCCAGATCATTAAAGGAATGGTGCTAGAAGTTTCTGTACTGTTCCTGGTGGGAACGATATCTCGGCCATATCTGACAGGTGTTGACGTTAAATGCTCGAGGCCAGCTTCAGTAGAGAATCTTCACCGAGAAAGACCTTGAACGGCCAGTACTTAGAGGATGACGATGCTTCCGGTCTGCTCCTACACTGCACACGTCGCCGGATGGACATCCAAGTCGCACTTCTGCGCCCGGAAAATGAGTAGATTGTTTACCTTGCTATACCGTTCTACCAAAGACACTCAGGCAACAGACCTCTCGGACGAGGTTCCGGCCCTTTCCAAAGTACGTACCGTTTCCATCGTTCAACGCATGCCGTGTGTTGCGGGCACAAAGTCGACATGATCGCAACATGACCTGAGACAAGCTTCAGGGTTCACGTCATATGGTTGCCGATATGTAGATGCCAATCGGTAAATCGGACTGAATCTTTCATAATGAAAGATCACTCTCTCTCTCTCAGCTTGTTCTCCTACAAGCATGTCGGCTCCTGTTAAGCAAAGACGCACATTGCGTCAGAGTACGGCACGTCGAATACACCTGACATTCATTACGGACTCGCGGAGTTCGCGCAGAGGAATCAAAAGTCCCACACGAAAGGAATGTCTCATGGTCCAATTTCGCACAACGGATGAAAGAAAGAGTACGGAATATTATGGTGAAAATCTCAATCATCATTCACTCTTCCACACAACACAGTTTGTGGCATGACTACGGGACAAGACAACACTTTTCTTACTCCCTCTTCAGAGAATGAACCGTTTTGCTCGCGAGAGCCTCACATGTCTGGTACCAGTAATGTCCACAAGGTCCAACCACCAGCCAGTTTGAATAGTGTTCTCAGCACTCGTAAGTCTTCATGGTGTATCGTTACACGTAGCTGGAGCCCACTCCATATCTCCTTGTGCGGTAGCAGTAGCCGCAATCCATTGCGCCCCCAAAAAGCCCAAAGCATGTCATTAGAGTACACATTGTTTGTTACAATGTCAAACAAGATGTTCCAGTCTGCCGGCATCCTTCATCTCAGCTTCTGCTGAGTTTCCCATCGCTGACGGCTCTTGTTCATTTCGTCGGCGTCAAACGCTGGCATCTCTAGAGAAGCTGTTTCAAGGAGAGAGCGCGTACTGTTGCTCTCGGAGAGAGCTGTGTTGGAACGTATTCTTCGTATGCTCAACTTGCTCTTCAGGGCACGATCCTTACCAGGTGCGGTGGCAGGTGGTCCCGAGTCTTCAATGATCGACATCATGTTCATGACCATATCTGTAGGAATCGCCGTTGGCGTGCGAGGACATTGATCGTCCTTTACGTTGTTCCGACTCTTGATCTTTCTCAATTCACGAGCAATTCGCTCGAGGGTTGATCCAGAAGACTTGTGCGTCACCGTGGTGTTGTCCTTCGGCGGAGGCAATGGCTTCTCCAAGAGATTCTTGTCCTGGGAGACTTGGCGGCTGTGGCTCCGGCTCCCATTGCTGAAGCTGCTGCTAGTGCTTGGTCTGGTCGTGTGGCTTCTTTGGCTGTGAGTCGACTTGTTGCTCTGAGCCGAATTGCGGTTGGACGATTTGCCGGACCCGAAAGAAATAGCCGAGTCAACTTTGCGCCGACCTTCTTCCTCATGATCGATGGAGCTGAATGACGCAGCGGTCGGCGACCGAGCTTGACCAGTAATGTCATAGCACTCTTCAATGACACTGTTGGCTAGGCTAATATACTTGTCCAAGGAGTCCCTCAAGGTGACCCAGCCACTTGCATCTTCCTTTCTCTTGGCGTGATTCATCAGGTAGGTCAAGACCGACGGTCCCGTCTTCTCGACCGCTGTGATGTACTTGAAGAATTGGGTGCGCTGCTGAGTCAAAACCTGAGGAGTCAGCTGCGCCGTTGGCTGCACAAAGTGACCGGCATTCATGTTGATGGGAGGATAGAGGGTGTTGAGCATGGCAAGACAATTCCCTTTGTCGAACGGGATCAGCGACAACTCGTTGATGAGCGTCCAGCGTCGCAGCCCTAGATAGACTTGGGTGTAGAGCGCTTCAACTTTGCGCTCCCTCTCTTCGATATCCATGACCCAACGGAGAACACCTGGGTACTTCTGTGCCAGTTTACTGCGGTGACCGATGTCTTCTTGCTCGATGCCAAGCTTATCCAAAGCTGCCACCACCTCTCGCCGGCGCCGAACTTCCAAGTCCTTGAGGTAGTCCATCGCAGTCAGCGCTTGGGGAAAGTCGACTTGGTCGAGTTCGCGCGGAAAGCATCGTCGAACGAAGCTTGTAATAAAGCTGGGGGGTAAGGAAGCTGGTTGAGAGGGGATTTGCGATATGTGCTGCACGAGAGTCGCCTTCAACTGAGCAGCTGCAGTCGTGGTGGTCATGTTCTGCTGCTCCTCAACGGCCGCAGCAGGCGGTCGGGGAAAAGCATTTCCAGGGACTGACCTCGGCGAGGGAAGAGGTGTACACTGTTGATGTTGAGTCGTGGCGTTGAGAGTGTACATGGTCCTCAGAGGTATCTCATAGGTGTTGGGGTAGGTCAATAGATGCTCTAGTACCCATGGATAAGCGGCACCTCGTTTATCTTCTTCCTCGATGGTCGACATATTGGCCAAGTCCGTGCGAGGAGGCTGACAAGGGTTTTCGAGCGAGGCTCCGACCTGAGTCGCGGAGAGCTACACGTGTGCGAGTAATGGTATAACAACTGAAGCGAGACGGTCGTGGAGATGAAGGCGAAATTTCCCCAGTGTCCAGGGCTTCGAGATCCTTCTCTTGAGGTTGGCGCCGATGTGTCTGTACTACCTGCTCCTGGGCCAGTTGCTTACAACATGCGAGATTTGTCAAGGAGCGAGTGCTGTGAGATGGTGAAGAATCGGACGCGAATTCAGGGACTTGAGACGCGAAAGTCGTGCACCGTGCGACGTCCCAAGCCGGGAAGTATCGTGAGAGTTTGCCCAGGTGAGTTTGCCCAAATCAATAACAAAAAGTTGACAGGTCAGGATTGATTGAAGGCTAAAACGGCGGTCCCCTAGGAATTGTGAAATGAAGGCTGCTCGAAGGGAGAGATCGACAATCGATAGAGGCTAATGAGGGACAAATGGCACCGTTCAGAGTGTCTGTGTATGATTGATGGTACACAGAGAGTGTGCAAGTGAGTGAGAGGTTGGCGTGGTCCAGCGGATCGGCCCTGCTTTGTCCACTCGATGTGGTGTTTTGGTGTTGCTGAGACCGATCTCCGGGGTATGCAAAAGAGTGAGTCTTCGTGGCTCGAGACTCGAATCTTGGTTCTTGAGTGTCGAGAAGAACCTGCAGCAGGGACTTTGGGTCAGTGAAGTAGCCAGCAGACGCTAACCACGGGAACTGTGAAAATGCGAGATGCTGGTGTTGTGGAGACGTTCCGGATGGTGACTGGGCCGGATTTGACTGCTGCGGCAGGGGTTAGGCATGGGCCTGCCGCTAACACAGCAAGGGTGTTTATCCTCTCGGCTTAGCTTATAGGTGCCCGACAGCACCAATAGCTCTGCCTTCTCCCGGGCGACTTGCACTGCTTTTGGTTTTCTGGGCAAGTTATTGCACCGTGATGGGAAAGTGAAATGACTCGAATCTCTTCTCAACCACAACCAGAGATTTGGGACACGTCGATATGGTCCGGTTACGAGTACTCGTACTGGCCATGAGCATCTCGAGACCCGTGTCTCGCAGCACAAGACTCATCGCTCAGCAGCAAACGCGTCGTGCTGGGTTTGCTCCCTTTTCCATCCCGTGTCTTCCGTTCAATGCCTTATCTGATGTCAAACCTCTCGTTCCCCATTGCGCGCAGAATCTCGGGTTGACCTGCCGTGTGGCTTTCTCTTTACGGTTATCAGTCTGGCCGCGTTCATGACAGTTCGAATCTGATACAAGTTGCCCTTGGCAGGTTCTCACATTTCACGTCAAGTTCGGTTCTCACATTTCACGTCAAGTTCGGGCTGTCTTCTTCGTCTTAGCTGGGTCTATCCTGACTGTCACCATCTTCTGGAGGCAAGCTCTGCCCAGTACTTAGGTCCTCTTCCAGTTTCCTGTGTACTGATTACTGTAGAGGTTCTGGCCGTTGGAATGTTCAAGCCAGTGAAGCCCTAGAGACTCGCTCCGCCCTCCCCGTCGAAGCACGAGCCGCAATATTGGTTCGCTAACACGCGACTCGTAGCCTAAGGCCCCTTTCCACGCTGCCATCCACTCGGATTCAGGCTCAATTTTCGGCTCTAGCCTCACCCAGCCTTAGCCTTCACAAAATCCAACGGTCCTGTGAAGCACGAACGGAATCAGCCCCATCACTTTCATCATCTCTCCACTGGCACCGTTGAATGCTACCTGACTAGGCTAGAACGAGTCTACTCAACACAGAGCTGTTTGCTCACACAGAACTGCTGGGCACTCATGTGGGATGATGCCCTCACTGCCGCGTGTACCAGCACTTCCTGAACCCTTCTTCGTTCATCGTGACCAGGGATCTTTTCACCCTCGTGGTGGCTGTGATGCACTCGTGCCCCGTCACTTCCAGTAAGGCACCAACCAGCCACAACTGGGCTTCTCAATATTGCGTAACACAGTAGACGAAGATGGCTGAGGAGCTGAGGTATCGAGCGTGAAAATCTGTCCCCTGATTCACCTGACGATGACGTCCAAGTGGCTGTCTGGTCGCATTATTGAGGGGCACCAGCTTCCAGTCCCTTGAGAGGAGCGTCCCACGCAGGATTTTCACCAAAGAGTCAGTGTCAGTACTGTGCTCGCAACTCGTCTTGGCTAAAGTCCTTCCACGCTTGCAAGGGGCCTCAACGTTCCTGCGCCGCACTATCCTGGACTCGGTTTCGCACGGAAGTCCCTACCCTGGTCCCGGCTGCCTGAAAGCATCCTCCAAGACGTGCAATAAATGCAGGGGTAACAGGCACCCAACAGGCAAATCGCAACCCTGCGCGTAACAATATCGCCGAGAGGCCCGCCGCCCGACTGCCGCGGCGCACTATTTGCAGACTACGGAGTACGTTGGCGTGTTGTGTACTCCGTATTCTGGGAAGGTGGGCTACCTGGTACTGTGGTCAAGTTCTTTGAAGTCTCAAGGCTCACAGATGCTTCAGTAGCCGAGGGCACCCAGGACGACTCTCGACAGGACTGCAACTCTACCGGCACGGAATACCTGCTTCGCTATGTCTGGCCCGAATCCTACGGACACATGACTTAGACTTCCTGTGGTTTCGAGACCGTCTCAAGTTCAGTGACGTCTGCAGGAGCCTGGCTGCAACACTCCCGCCACAAGCGAGCAATCTTCTTATCATTTTCATCACGCAGCTGGCATTCTGAAAACGGCGGGAATCAGAGAAGTTATCCTTGTGGGCAACATGATTCAAAAGATAACCTGAAGAACCCGGGGGGTCACCGGCCGAGGGGGTACGAGTTACTTGAGGAACCTCGAAAATTCCAAGAAACTGGTGGAACAGGCGAGATTCCGAGGCTTGTGGCTTGTGACTGGGCGTCATCTGTTCAGTCTTGTGCTACTCGCGGCTGGATATCTCCCACACAACGCGGCACGCTGCTCACGGCCTGTACAGCTCTCCGCTTGCTTGACCCGAGAGCACTCGTAATAATATTGTGTACTCGTACTGATAGCTGAGGATGCCGAACGACCGTTGTCCTTCGCCCCGGAAGCGAGACGATCAGAACGTTTGCACCTTAGCGGCCGTTTTACACCCTGCTATTGATGAACTATGATCAACTGGAATTATGGGTACGAGGTACTGTTGTCCCGGCCGCACGGTGCTGCTACCCAAACCCTAGCAGGGGATGAGAGTTCGCAGGATCCCGGAGACCAGGCTAATCCGTTGCCAATATCGTCACACTACGCTCAGAAAGGTGATCGCCTTGTTGATCGAATGCTGAAAACAAAACAAACGGCGCAGATCCCAACATCTATTGGGGATAGGATTCAGACCTTGTGCCATGGCCCATCTCTCCCCGTCACACTTCCCCGTCCTGCGGTTGCAGAACCAGCAAGTTCTCAAACCCATTGCACGGGCTCGACGGATGTCGGTGGTGATGCGGACTTCATCGCCCCCAATCCCGCACTACTACCGCGTACGATACTGTGGTATACTGGGCGTCCATGAGCTCGTTCAGAATCTCCCATGATGCTGATGAACCAGGCAGCGCTTCGTACTTCGAAACTCCGCCAGCTTCCCTAGCAGACACGAAATCCGCTGCAAGAATCTTGATATTCTGTATTCACAGTGGTGCGAACAATGATTGCATCCTCAGGCGTCGCTCTCTTCTGCAGAAGAGCCTTTTCCGCTTTGCTCCGAGTCGGCGAGATCACTCAAAGCCCACTCGCCCAAGAATCCTTCCTCTTTAACCGGACTGACCAGGTCGACCCCGTTCTTCTCCGCCCACTCCACCACTTTGGAGCGATGGACGATCATCGTGGCCAATTCGTCGGAGTCGGCTTCGGCGACTGGAGCCTGAGACGCTGCGGCGGTACCGTTCGCCTCACTCGGCAATGTCTTGGTGTGTGTTCGCCTCGGCAGCATCAACTTACAGATCCCCATTTCCGTGAGGGCAGCAACGACATCCTCAGCCAACATGCCAGTTCGATCACCAATCTCCTTGACCGTCATCTCTTCCTTTTTCGGCTGGACGGTTTTTCTGCTCCTACCGTTGGCGGTATCAAACACTCTTCTCGCATCGGCGTCGGCACTCTGACCCATGATGAATCGGGCAATGCGTTCGGACCAGAACCTCAGGTATGATTTCCTACCCATGGTGCTCAAGGGCTTCTCAGGGCCTCCAATCACTCCGCCTTCCCACTCCCATCCGCTGAGCTTGTAAGACACAGCCATCAGCAACTGGCCCAGTTGACGGTGCTGGAAGGGAGGGAAGATCAAGATGCATGCTAGATTGTTGGCATCCCAAGAGAGGTTTTCTTTTGAGAAAAACCCAAGTACGCGAGTCTGATAAAGAATGTCATCTTCGTCGCCTGCGTTTGTAGATGAGCTCCGAGTCCGGCCCCGTGTCTTTGCCGGTGCCGGAGACGGCGTGTGCGCCTGCTTGGTATACGTCAAGACGTAGTATTTGAAGCCGCCCGTATCAAAGAAGACGCTCTTCTGCTCGAGGAACAATTTGCCAAACAGCGACAGGTTCTGGCAGTACAATTTCTCCTTTTCGCCTTCGATTTCCCAGACGGCGTAGCCTTCCCATTCGTAGACTTTGAAAGCCGATTCCGGCACTGGTTGGTTGGGTTCTTGGCCCGACGCGCGCAGGAGGCGGTGGTGAGCGAGGTGCTGGGGCAAGTGTTGCTGAACAGGCGTGTAACGGAAACAACGCGGACAGACGTAGAGGACAGGGCACACCGGTTCTTCTGCTCTCAGCGAGCTGTGTTGTCCGCTGTGGTGTCCGTGAAGCCCATGGCCATAGCCATGGCCGTTTCTCGATTCCGAACCCGAGGTGACTGAGCCATTTCCCAGTCCAGCTTGCTGAAGGATAATGTTGTCCGGATAAGGCGAGTAATACCATGCATCAAAGAGCAGATCCCCCAATACCACTTGATGGATGTTGCGATTAAGAACCTTCAACGAGGCTCGGCGCGAACGGTGCGGTGAGCCTTCTGGGAGGACGGCGGTGGACGTCATCGTTGCTTTGTCTATGGCTGAGGGCATTGTGATGGAATCATGGTCAAAGGGAAGATGCGCATCTTTGGGCAAGATTTGTTATGGTCATGTCAGCGAACCCCGTTCACGTTGAGTTCACTTGGCCCTGAGCCCGAAGTCAGTCAGTCAGTCAGTCAGTCAGTCAGTCCGTCAGTCCTGGCCGGTGTTGAGTTGTCGACGTGGATCGCCGTCATCAGCCAATCATTGTCGGCTGTGGCGTGGCTCAGAAAAGGCCAGAATGTTGAATTGACTTGAATTCACATTCTTACCGACGACGAAGTGACAGCGACGCCCCGCATCTCGTCTCACGCTCTTTGTTCCCTTGATTCTTCTTCTTCACATCTGTATACTACCGCAGTAGATTTCTTTGTGTCCTTCTGTAAAACACCTGCGTGGGCGACTGCCTTGCTATGCAACCATGATTCTTGGGATCCAGCGACTCGGCCTTCTGACCCTGTTAGGCCTCTGTCTCGGTTCTCTTTGTGCCATCGAAGCCCTCGAGATCCCCTCCGATGCGTCAGCGTCGTCCTTGATTGCGTCCGGGAAGGCCGCCCGAGCCCGCGGAGCCAACAGCGACGCCCTCGTCTACTTTGATGCGGCCATCTCCAAAGACTCCTCCGACTACCTCACTCATTTCCAACGAGGCATTACCTATCTGTCCTTGGGACGGAATGCGCAGGCCAGCGCAGACTTCGACCATGTATTAAAATTAAAACCCGGGTTTGAGGGGGCACTGTTGCAGAGAGCGAAGATCAGAGCGAAGAACGCGGATTGGGCCGCGGCCAAGGCGGATTACAGTGCATTGGGGGATAGAGGTCTGGCGGATTTGGCACAACTAGAGGAAGCCGAGGGTGCCGCATACCTCGCGGCCGAAGCAGAGAAGAGACAAGACTGGGAGACGTGCATTAATCAGGCTGGGATAGCCATCATGACCGCGGGCACGGCCCTCTCTCTACGGCAACTACGTGCACGATGCCGACTCGAACGTGGTGAAGTGCAGGAGGCTCTCAGCGATCTGCAGCATGTCCTGCAAATTCACCCAGGCCATGTTGAACCCCATCTGCAAATATCGGCCATGTTATTCTACAGCCTGGGAGACACGAAACTGGGGCTGGACCAGATCAAGAAATGCTTGCATTCCGACCCGGACTCGAAGCCGTGCAAGAAGCTCTTCCGAGAAGAAAAGACCATCTTAAAGCAAGTCGATGAGGTCCAGGTGCTGTTTGACGGGAAGCAGTTCAACTCTGCGACCAAGTTGTTGGTGGGCAAGGGCACTGCCGATGAAGCTGGTTTACTATCCGATCTCAAATCCAATATTGAGTCGCACCGGTCCACAGGAAATATTCATGCCAAAGCACCCTCCAACTTGTACACCCACATGCTCGAGAAGACCTGCGAGGCGTACATGACGATGAACAACCTGGCCAAGGCCGGCAAATACTGCCCCGAGGTGCTGCGCATCGACTCCAACTCCCTTCAGGGCCTTCTGTACCAAGCTCAAAAACAGATGGACGCCGAGGAGTACGATGCCGCCATCGCCACGCTCAACACAGCGAGAGACAATCACCCGGAAAGCCAAAACGCAATCAACTCAAAACTGCATGAAGCGCAGGTGGCCTTGAAGAGGAGCAAGAACAAGGACTACTACAAGATTCTCGGAGTGTCGCGCGACGCCGACGAAGCGACGATCAAGAAGGCCTATCGCACAGCCACGAAGAACTATCATCCAGACAAGGCTGCCGCCAAGGGGGTTCCGAAGGAGGAAGCCGAGAAGAAAATGACGGCTGTCAACGAGGCGTACGAAGTGCTCAGCGACCCCGAGTTGAAAGCCAAGTTCGACAACGGGGAAGACCCGAACGATCCCATGGCCAGGCAAGGAGGGAATCCTTTCCAGGGGAGTCCCTTTGGGCAAGGTGGCCAGCAATTTTTCTTCCAGCAAGGCGGTGGTGGTGGGCAACGACAGTTCAAGTTCTCGACAGGGGGAAATCCGTTTGGCGGGTTCCCTTTCGGATAGCCGCAAGATATCTGGTCTGTTTCACGACCTTGTGTATCATGCATGTGCCTTGGTTTTTACGAATTGATACCCCATGTCTCTGAAGATTTAGCCGTTTCTCGTGCTCTTTCGCAATTATACTTTTTGATTGCAAGCCACCTCGGCGGCAAGATTTGCCATAGTACCAAAGGCGGAAAGCACCTCTCCCTTTGGGGTGCCAGCCTTGACACGAGTCGACCTCCTCTGCGATAGCGATGCGTGTCTCATGCGGACCGGCCATATCCCTATCACAGCCTGTCAAAGTCTCTCTGCGCGACCGTTGAGCCCAATATAACAACGGCAGTAGAAGTCCACAGCGAGAAGTTCAACCTCGCCAGGCTTGAGTGCACAAACATCCTAAAGACTCACGTATGGTGCCAGTGTCATGCCTAGCCCATGGGGTAACTCATGCAATAACATCACCGAACAGCCTGAGTTAGATCATTCAAGTCTTCGAGCTGGTGGAGCTATGTAGACAGTCCTCCTGAAACAGTAAGAACACCACGGAAAGGTCTTCCTGCATAGGGGGTACTGGAGTATGCATGGTGCAGCTTTCGACTAGCCCAGCCCAGCCTGCGTCCCCCTGCACGATCTTGATCAACCCGGGGATGGATTTGCGTCTAACTGCCTGGGAGAATACAGTCGCTCGGTAGTCGGGACGCCGGCGTTGTGTACCTCGTACCTCGTAGTCCACACTTGACTAATTACTGCAGATTTGCGCTCTTGTCAAACAGGGCTGAACGCCTCGCCTCGTCTCTCCCGCCAATGAGGCACGAGATGCAGATATGAGTACGCTAGTAGCTTGACGGGTGGTGAAACGCTCGACACCAGCTGTTTCTGATGTACGTTAGTACTCCGTAGTAAGCGACGTCAATTCAAAAGGGACGAGAATAATGAACGTACCTGTGTGTGGCAGCGCGGCGGGAGACACGAGTACTTGCAGCGACTTTCATATGCCGGACAATATGCCGGACATTCCGCCCAGGCTTCATGGTCCATGATACTACTCCGTACCGCGAGGACAGTTTCCCCCGTCGACCTTCTGCTGGTGGCGGGCTTCACATGAGCCAGGCGTGCCAGGTTCACGACGACCAGCGCCCATCTCATCACGGACTCACCAAAGCGCTGCCGCTCATGCCACAGGCCCGGACCTTCGCTGTTGCGTCTTCTCCTCGACCTGCAGGAATGCAATGCTAGAAAGGGAAATACTCTACTCCGTATCTCAGGCATCCCCTGGACCGACGACAAGGGTTCACTCCAGCGAAACTCCCGCCCGTGCCGCCCATGTGGCCTTGTCCTTGCTGCAGGAGTCGAGTCATGAGAACTTAGGGTTTGAGACAAAGACATTGACATTGACATTGACGCTTGCCTGTCATAGTTGGGGCTCGCTATAATTACACCACACGTCTCATTGTATAGGATGTGCTCGTCAAAGGGTCATTCTCGGATGTTTGCTATTCCGTGTACTTGCGAGTTCCGATGTCGAGGGACTCGGGGACAGTCCTCAGACGAAGTTTCAGCGTAGTTGGCAGTGTTGAGAACGAGTGGAGGGACGATCTCCTGCCGCTCGTGCTGTGCTGCGTTGTGCGAGACTGCGATTTGCCACCACTGGTTGCACGAGGACTACTGTCATGTTGTGAAAATCGAGGCCGCTATGCAAGGTTGAGGTCTGCCAGTGTCGTGGTAATTGGTGAAACTATACAGTAGACAGGAGAACCGAGCTGGTCTTCTTGACAGCTCGCCCTCGGGCTCTCGTCTTACGTCGGCGGGTGCTGCTCTGCTCTGTTCTGTTCGTGTACGCAGGCGCTTGGGACCTTACCACAAGGCTCTCGTGTGACCGGAAAAGACTGTGTCCCCTCCTCACTAGTCATCACGAGCGGCTTGATCGCCTGCCTGATGACTGGGCGCATGGGACAACCACGACATATGTGGGCTCTGGACAACGATCCACGAAGTCTCCCTTCGCTTGTGTGTAGAACATGCTTCGTCAACACCATTTGACTGGATTGGATTCTGCCTATCGGGGGTCAGGCCTATGTCTTCTCTCTGTTCAACGGCCGTCACACGTCTCATTCGTTCCCGTCATCTCACTCATCACCTCATCTCTGGTATGCGCAAAGTTTCTCCACCGTAAGAATACAAATGATACAGGCAGTGTGGTGCCATGTAATACAATCGCTATGCAATGCAATGTAGTCAAGGGTTAACCTCGTAATATCGTTAATCGTACAAAAGTGCATCTTCATCTCTGTGCAGTAACCTCTTCTCTGTCTTCCTTCTTCAGACCGCGTCCTCACTCTACCGACTCGGGGGGGCGACCACTAGGTACCGCAGTTGTTGTACTCCAAGTGGAACCTGACGTGCTCTGAGCTATCCGATCACAACACGCTGCAGCTCTGAGAGTCAGCATGGACAGCTGGGCCAGACTACTGTCAGCTCCGGTCTCGATATCGTCAAGCGGATGGAAAAGTGAGCCCACTGCTTTGCGCTCGCTTCTAGCTGGCTTCAACGTGTTGTCATCCGAGTCCGATGGTTCGGCCGGCAAAGTCGGTCCGCAAGTTTCTTGGTGTGCTCGTGTCAGGACGGCATGCTCGTCAGACGCATGCGGACTGGTGACATAATGTGTTCGATGATGGGTCTCTGGCGATGTTGGCGGAGAACTGAAGCTTCGAGCCTTGCGCTTCCCGTCTGGCGGCTTCTCTGGCAACGGCTGAATGCGGACAACCTTGTTGTCCCCATCGTTGAGCTTGTAATGTCGCCGGCCGTCACTAACATCTGACTCTGTAGCAAGACTGTTTCGTCGGGAACGTCTTCTTTCATCGGCCTCGCGCAACATCTCTGCTGGTCCCTTGACGAGAGCACCTCCCACTGCGAGCATGATCGCTACGCTGAATTTGCCCCAGAGGAACAGCGAGCGACCCCAACCGTCTTTTGGTTCTTTGGCAGCTGCAGAGGCCGAAGGAGATGATTCGTCAGGCCGGCTTCCTGACTCACCGCTGGCCCCAGTCATTGGTGGAAGGGCATCCTGTGTGGCTCTTGTGCGGAGTTCGCTCGCCGGAGGATCGTTGACGTGGGAATAGCAATGCTGATGCGCGATGCTTTCTCCATCATATCTTTCCCAATTCCAATCCAAATAGCCCGATGGCGGCCTCCGGTGACCAATGAACAATCCCAGCACCCACCAGCTCAATTTCCCAAACACCGGCCAGTTTGAGCGCCAGGCATTGGCTATGACACGTCGTGCCAGAGCCAGAGGGTCTCGCTTGAAGCCTTGAACGTAGGAGGTGTACCGTGACACAGTCGCATAAACCGTCTGGATAGTCAAAGCCGCCAAGGGTCTTGTCCCTACTCCGCGATGCTGTAGTATCTCAAGCGGATTGCGTGCGCGTGCCGTGCCCTGTCTGTCGCGATGGACGGAGTGCCTATTGAGCGGATTGCTGGTATTCACTTTCGAGCTAGAGGTTGCCGTTTCTAAGTCCTGGCAATCGATGGTGCGACGGTCGCCATTCGTGTACATATCATTTGTACAGTTGGTGTTTGCCTGGTAGGCTTCGAGACTCGAGCTAGTCTTCCGTCGCTGTCGAGGAGGTAATGGAGAGTCAGGGAATGCATTATATGACGAGCATCCATGCACACCAGTCCGATGCCGCGAGAACAATGGCCGTGGAACTTCAACATTTTCGCTAAGCTCAAGCGAGCCCGGTGCGTCAATCTTTGAGTCGCCTTCCGCGATGCCCGAATAAGAAGAGATAGTCTTCCACACCCAGGAATCAATTCCAGGATGTGAATGAGGCCCAATAGGGCTTGGGTCATGTTTAATTGGCAAAAGGTCGGTATTCCGTGTCGGACTTTCGTATTGTGCTGATTGATTGGAGAAGGAAAGCTTGGTCAAAGTCTCTTCCAGTTCACCCAGCGGGAACTTGTTTGCGTCTTCGGCAAAGACCTCGTCCAAGCTCTGGAAAGCAGGGCCAGGCCGACCAATGATCGGATCGGGACTCGAACAGGTTGCCCCGTCATATCCATCCAAAGCCGGCTGCTCAATCCGTGTCACACGATATGCATTTTTCTGAGAGTTGGAGTGAAGAGGTACAGGGTGGTTTGGTGATGCAAAGGGCGAAGTCGCAGGGAGGTTGCCACTGTCAGCGGTAAAGGTCGGTAGGAGCAGAGGCTTGAGTTGCGTCGATCCAGGCATGAACTTTCGAGGTCTTCGCTTCGACGGATGTTGTAGGATGGTTTGTGACCTGCTTTCAGCCCGAGTATGAACCCCAGCATCCATGCTTGGACTAGTTGACGCATGCGAGGCCAAAGTTGATCGCCTTGAACCAGTGCCACTAGCCATGGGTTGACAGGACTCGCCGAGCCCCGAGTCAATTGATTGTGCATCGTCGAGATCTCCTGGACTTAAAGCCAACGGCGATGAAGGAATCTGTGCTCCAAAGTAGTCAGAGGTGGCGATCGCAGGGGAAACCAGTATGGACTGTGGTCGGCTCTGTGGTTGACATGTGCGTATCCCTGGAGACGAAGGAACTCTTGGGATGATCAACGACATAGGACGGGCGCTTCGTCTTCTGGGAGTGGCAAGCTCAATAGCGGGCTGAATTTTTGTCGGTGACAATGCGAGGAGCTGGGTCAAAACCTCGTTGCGCTTGGTCATGTCGCGGTTGGTGGCTTCGAGACTGAGCTTTTCATCTTCCAACTTTTCGATCCTGGCTTTCAGGGAGTCCAGAGCGGTTTGATCCAACCTCTTCTCTTGACAATCATATTCGAGATCATGGATAACGGATTGCTTGAGTTCGACGTCGTCCTCCAGATCCTTAATCTTCCGCTTAAGCTTGAGCTCTGTTTCGGTAGACTGTTCGACGGCTTGGTGCAGTTCGTACTCGAAAGCAGCTTTGGTAGACTCGAGCTCCTTCTTAAGTCGCTGAATCTCTTCTTTAGCCTTCTTTAACTTGTCCTTCCATGGCAGATGGGAGGTGGGGGAGACCATGGCGTCTTTAACCGTCTGTAGTTCATTTTCGATGTGGTCAATGTAATCATCCGGATTGAACGCGGGTCTCGCCAAAGACGGCTTGCGGCTCAGTGTCCGGCGCTTGCCAGGCGACGGTCTCTGGATGTTGAGCGAGACTTCCCTGAGGCCCATGGTAGGCGAATTACCTCGTCCAGAGTCAGAAAAAGAGGGCGTGTGAATCTCGCTGGAAGCGTCCTGGTAGACCGAAGTCGGATTTGAATGCTTGCCGGGCGAGTCCCCAAAAACCGGAATGGCAGCGCGCCTTTTCAGTCCGCGTATACGATACGTGTTGCTATTGGAGATCTCGTTCAGGATGGCTGACTCTGTAGAAACATTGCTCAATTCTTCCGCCTTCGTCTGAACCCTGTCATTCTCGTCCCTCCTGTTCAACCGGGAAGAAGGAAAGTAGGTGGATTCGTGCTCGATGGACCGGTTCAGCTGAGGAAATCCGCCGTTGATGCCGTTAACAGATAGTGACTGTGCTGAGAACCTTGCATGACGAGTGTGCAAAAGCCGCTGTTGGTGGGTGTGTGGAGCCGACTTCGGAGTTGTATTGTTAGGCTGCAAGTCGCGCAAGGATGGGGGAATCGACCGGGACCGCGAATGGAGGCTGTAGGCAGGTGAGGGAGGATGGCCGTGAGCGTCGTCCATGAGGAATTATGTTGTCATGGAACCCTGACGCCGATGGAATGGTAAGGCATGCTATTGGTCTTGGAACCCGGGTTGGCGAACAGGTGAGGGAGGCTTGCTACCAATGAGATTCACACGATAAATTGGCCAATCTGGACATTCCAAGCCTCGTCCTGCGAGATCTGGTGCAATACGGCGCTCAGAGAGCAAAGGAATGCGAGAAGAGAAGTGAAAGAGCCTATGTCTACTCAGCCCAAGTCGAAGAGAAGAGAAGCGTGGGAGCAGGAAAAGAATGAGTTCAGCACAAGTGAGCGCAAGCGGGAGCAGCTGTTTACTTCTTCCTGATGCAGGCGAGTTGCATGGAGAATCTTACCCGAATTGTTCGCGAAGTTCGTTAGAACGCACGTCGAGCCAATGGGCGCAGGCTGCACTTTTATTAGGCTCGCTAGGGCAGCTGTGGAGACCGGCTGACTCGCAGGTCGGCCGAGGCACAGACCGGCAGCAGTGCATGGTCACGTGATCATCCACATCACCTTCGTCACTCTCTCTTACTCCCACCTCACCTCAACCTCTCCGCCAGGCGTCGTCCGACATACTCTTGTTCCTGATTATGTTCCAGCCTGCGCTTCATGGGTACGCACAGAACCATCAAGCACGGCACACGGCTTCGAATGTCCCCTTTCGCCAGATTCGATGCTTATGCGAGCCATGTTGCTTTGTCTAGACATTGCGCTACAAGCTAGTCGCTATTCACCCCTCAACAATGGCTTCATTGTCACACCAGTGAATCTATTTTCCCCTCTTTATTGTCGCTCGCCATTCTGCAAAGCTCCAGCCCAAAGTTCTTCACTGTCTCAACAATCACTATTCATAAACGAGCACAAAGATGTTTTGCCCATTGTCAGTTATTTTCGGATGTGCTCATCAGAACGTAGGTCCATATACACCCAGCTATGGGCGTTTGCTCTTGACTCGGTCAACCATATACCCCCTTCTCCTTCGTCTTCGTCAGTAAGAATCTTGTTCCACATATCTCTATCCACACGATTGTGTAAGTCCGTCTTTCAAAGTGCAAATGTGCAAAGTTCTTGAATACCGATACACTGAGTGTAGGAAGCCCAGAAGTAAGTGTCCCAAACCCCAGGTTCTGTCTTTTCGTCTAGCTGTGGGGGACACTGACTTGGGCGACTATAGATGCCGGGCCTGATTATGATGAATTTGCCCCTGGAAATCTCTGTGATGGTAGGAGACAACGCGTTCTCAAGGCTCCGTGCCTCATTCAAGTCTGCGCAAGGCATGAGGGTGGTGTGGCCCGGTACCATATTGAGGGTGGTGAGGTGGCCAACCTCAAATGCAATCCGACCGTCGAGATCGTCTACATCAGAAGCAAATGCCGCCACTGTGGCGCCGACAATGCCGGTCGCTACGACGTCCATGCTGACAAGAATAACCGGATCATGCGCAAACCCAAACTGCTCATCCGCACCGGCGCGGACACCTCGTTTCGGCCCATGGACGATTACACCGTACATGTGCCCTCGATCCCGTGGAAAGACCCTTCTTTTCGTATGCCTAATTGGAATCCTACAAGTCCTCGACAAAATGCCCTCGACGACCAGGAGCTTGTCAGTCCTTTCACTGTGAAAGAATGCCAAAAACCAACTGGCATAGTAAGTTCCCCTATCCCGGACAAGTTTGATCGTTTTGGCTTTTAGAACTGTCCCTATCATGACACTGACTTGCTGAGGAAAAATAGATAAACCGCTGGGATGGGCCCGAAGACTGGGTGGATGCCGACTTGCGGCCTACAGACCTTCTCCAAAACCATTACGACGAAATCGGCGACCACCCAAGTTGTAAAGTTGACCGGTTTTTCTATCACCACAGGACCCTTGAATTCCATCAATACCGTCACCCAGTTGTACCGCAAGCCGAGCCTCAAGCCGACTCGCGGTTGCCACAAGATGGAACGTCGCAACCGGTTGATTCTGGAGGAGCATCGCAACCCATGGACTCCAGGTCGGAGGAGGCCCAGAGAGAGCCGCGCGCTGATGAGACCCAGGAAGCATCGCAGGTCATTGGCCCAGCTACAGGTGGAGGTGCAGAGCCACCACCTTCACCGCCACGACAGCCATCTGGCAGCTCCGATATCCAAGGCCGAAGGGAAAATCGATTGTCCAATAGCTCTAGCGAGTCCGAAGAAAGCTCTACTTCCTCGCCCCGAGACCGTTCAGACAGCCCAGGGAGGGCAGCAACAGAATTGCACGAAGCCACACAACAAGCACCAGCTCAACAGCCTGCACCGCAGGAAATGGCACAGGCAGGCGGACCTCAAGCTGAAGCCGAAACTCGCAACGTCCAGCGCTACAGACCTTTCATGGGTAATGGCGACGGACTGGAATTTATCCACGACGTGTGGGCTGAGACTAATGTCAATGGGCGCCTTTTGGTTCTTGGAAGAGTACAGCATAGTACTGAATTCGCATGGCGTTGGGTAGACGACCGGACCGCGCCTCAATTCTCTCTGGCGCAGTGGGAAACGCTGCTCGGCTACTCCATCATCTATCATCATGGGGAGGTTGCCGAACTCCGAGAGACAATCCGTGAGGATCGTCTGGAAGAATTTCGACGGATTGCAGCCCGAGATGAGCTACGAGCCATGTTCGACTGTGCTGCCTACCCAGCCCTGCCAGATGATGAGTTGGACCAGCTCTTGGAGCGCTCCAACTGGAACGCGCAAATCGTCTACGACGCGTGGCAAGACTGCCTTAAGCCCATCCCTTCTGTGGAGGTTGATGATGCCCCAAGCAATCAAGATGCCTATGCAGAGCAGACCGTGGCTCATGGCGATTCTGGCTCCGGTGCAGACGGCAGAACATCACTACAAGCCCAACGCACACCGATACGGTCTTTGGAACACTCAGCATCACCATCAGCTACTCGTACAACAACTGTTGACCCCGATCTACAGGTTCTCCTTGAGCGTAATACGGGTATGCCAGCACATATACAAGAGCTGATGGACCGCGAGCTACGGCAAAGGGACGAAGAGGCCGAACGACAGCGACTTCAGCGTGAACGCCGAGGGGATCCTCAAAGCGTAGACGAGGAGGACCTCGTAGAAATTGGCGGCACCGAAAATGAAGGTCAAACAAAAGCCAATGGTGGCGGCCGAACGGAAAGACTGGTAAGTCATGCCCTGATTGACGATCCTCCCGCGTTTGCTTTGTCAAGCGTTTGGCACACCATTGGGGCCGTGTACGTGCCATCATTTGCACAGACTGTAGCTAACAAAAGAACAGGATAAACGAGAAGCGGAACGAGTACGCCGCAAACAGTCACTCGAAGACCGACAACGTCAAGAAGAGGTGGAGGAATCCGAGCGCGCCCGACAAGAGAGCATCCGGGATTATGTACGCCAGCAGCGCGAACATGAGTTTCTCGAGAGCCGCAAGGCAGCTGAACGTGAACGACTCGAACGAGACCGCGCAGTTCGACGCCTGGCCGGAAAGTATGACGACCAAGAGAATGGAGTCGCCGCCAGTGCTGGAGACCTGTCGGCCGATGAAGGCCAGCAAACAGGCGAGGTCACTGGTGAGGAGCCAGCTCAAGAAGAAGAACAGCAACCAGACGGGGTTGCCGGAGTGGAACCACCACAAGAGGAAGAGCAACAACCAGACAACGTCGTCGACGAGGAACCACCTCGAGAAGAAGAAGAAGAGGAGCAGCAACCTGCACCTCGCGTCAAAAGGAGGAAGGGTAACGACGGCCGAGCCGTACCACCACCACCAGTTCAAATCCGCACGAGACCCCATACTCGAAGCATGGGCCCACCAACCGAGAGTGCCCACCACATGCGCCTACGACCCAGGCCGAGACCGACAGCCTCATCGTCTGCGGCTGCTCTCAGAGGGTCCGGCAACGCTCCGGCGCCTTCGAGGCGAGGCCGTGGCCGCGGCCGTGCTGGCAGATCAGGCGCTGGCACAGGCACAACAAGAAGCAGAGCCAGTGGTAGAAAGACAAGCACCAGGACCACGACCACGACCAAGACCAAGGATAAACCTCGAAGCAAGAACGGTGTGCTGAAGAAGGCCAAGACGGCCAAGAAGTCGACCACTACCACGCGCCGGACCTGACCTGGCATAATTACCAGCCTGGTGGAACCCATGAGGTGCCACGATAGCGGTCGACAATGCAGTGTTCTGCAACAACGGCAAGTGAGGCACGCTGGTGGAGATGCACTGAAGTGATGAGAGACGCCATGAAGCAGTGTCCGACGCGATTCTTGACTGTGTATCTCACTGACGCTGCTGCTCAGTGTGCGGATTGACACCCTGTAAGTATGTCCCAAGGACGATCTAAGAACTGTACATGACGAGACATGACATATGTGACATGGAGTGAGTAGCATGAGATTGGGTATCGGATAGGTCCTCGACGGATATGTTCATAAGGCAACTGGGACAAAATGAATGTACCCATGAGAAACAGGCAATTTACAATGCAGGAGAATAAATAGGTGTTCTTCATACTGTCTGTACATTTGAAAAGTCGGAAACAGGATATCTAGGTACGAATACCGGTTGATAATTACCTAGGTAGTATCTTGCTTTGCACAAGATCCTTACAGTAGATAGACGAAATAGCAGAGAGACAAAACCGTGAATGCATAGGTATGACACAAGATGTGAATGGTACTGTACGCCCTAGGGGGGGGAATACTGCCACAGAGCGGATGAGGACTGATGTTTTCACCCTCTACGGTCGTCAACTTGCCATAATATTCTCAAGCTCTGTCGATTCTCAAGCTCTGCCGGTCGTTGAGCATCTCCTCGAGTGGCCCTGCAGCTGAGGCTCTCCGCATTGAAGCCGCTATGTAAAAGCTGGTTCCGTATTCCGTTCACGAATCTGGACTCCGCCGCCCCGATATCCTTGACATGTATTTTTCATCGTGGCGCCGTGCAAGCCTGCAGATAGATTATGCTACCAAAGTCTGGTCCGTAACGCACTAGAAACCTCCCAAGACCAGTCAATCGACGGGGGACGCACATTCAATCAGTAACGCCAATTGTGAGGGCGCCAAACTCCAGTCGTCCCCGATTCCGAAACCAGATCCTACTCTGAGAGCTCCCTGTTGCACCACGAATCCATCCAGCAGGGAGAAGTGCATTCGAAAGTTCATTAAAACAAACGCAAAAGGGTATCTCGTAAGCACCAATGAACCAAAATGCAAATATCAAAAAAGCAGCTGTTCACAGCTGGCTAAAGAGTCGAAGGAAGGTAGCGCAAATTGCAGCTGTCGTGGCGTCGTCCGATGACCTGTGCGGGTTGGCACGTCCTGGCGAGTCGCCACAGAGCTGGAGGACCTGAATTCTGTAAAAGTGCAGTGTCGGTGAAGTGGGAAGCTGGCTTTGGACCGCCAGACATGGGTCGTAGATGTCGTGAGGTGGTCTGCAGCCATGACGAACTGGTTGTGGTGAGCAAGATCACATCCAGATCAGTCGTCATCGTCGTCGAGAACGATAAAGGGCGGTGCTGCAGGTGCAATGGTCAGGCCTGGCGCCGCCGGCGCAGGTGGAGCAGGGGTTCCTGGGTTAGATGCGTTCGAGGCTGGCGCGCTTCTACCTTCGTCCTTCGATGCCTCTTCCAGCCTGGGCTCCCAAGTACCATCAGCTCTGACAAGAATTGCCTTGGTCTTGGTGAGAAGCTGCCCATCCTCCTCCAAGATCCTGCGAACACCCAATAGGAATCCGTCAACGACTAGCATTGGAGGTCGACAATCGCTCTTGCAGATCGGACAGAGCCATTTGTCAGGACTTGACATACCGCTATCCTTGGTCCGGCCTGTGCGACTCGACAGAAAAACCTCGAGGTCAAAACATTGTGGATGCCTGCACTCTGACCCTCTGACAGGGATTGCCCATATGACAGAGGTGAAGGGATCCATGAGGTCAATGCTCATCTCCCGGTGAATCGCCACTTCATCGTCATCCTCTGCGCTGTTCGCCCAGGATTTTATGATGGTAGCAAGAGCATCTGCGGCGGGAATCCGTGGCGGCATTCGGAGCAGCGTCTGATAGTCTGCTATGCAGATGATCTCCACTACCATCAGGAATTTCACCTCCGCCTCTTGGGGGCTGAAAATGGCGGCAATCACTATCTCATTATCGCCTTCCCTGACCATCTCTGTTATGTCTGTAGCAAGATCTGCGCCGTGGTGCGCTTTCCGCCGGAAGTCGACCCCGTGATGTTCGTTAATAGAGACAGAGAGACACTTTGGCCATCTGGTCGGTTGGGTACAGAACTCTGATAGTGTAGGCCGGGACCCTCCTTCTTCCTCAGCAAGGACGATTGCCTTCAACCTGAACTGCACATTTCCATTGGCCACTATGCGTTGTGGAATCAAATATTCCCCCAAGGCAGGCAGAGGCGTCGTCCTCCTCGACCATACTTGTTGGGGAATGTGCATGTTCCATCGAATCAGACCAGAGTCTCTGGTAATGACTTCAGGTAGCTCAATAATATTTTCCACATACTGATAGTAGCGAGCATCGGATTCATTGCCGTCCGGGTCGATCTTCTTACGGTACTCGGGGCTGCGGAGCCCAGCTTGATGAAGCGCGAAGTGGTCGGGATTCGGCACTGCCATTTGAGCCAAAATGAAATTCGGATCAGGATGGAAAAAAGGGAGGCCCTGTTGAGGGACTGCAGGCTGTTGCGGCTGTTCAAATTGTGGGATTGCACTCTGCGCTGCTCTTGCAGCTGGCAACGTTGGGGGGTTCATTTGATATGAATCATTCAAAGAAGTTTCCGGGCGGGCAGTCGGCCGAGACGGGATACTGACAGGCGTGCGCATTGAATCTGATCTTGCAGGTGCATGTACATTCCTCGATGTGGGCGGGCTTGAGAGCTGCTGGGCACTCGGAGGCACTTGCATCGCGGGAGTCCCCGAAGAGCCACGAGAGTGGGCTGGCGTACGCATAGCTGGGCGTTGCTGGAGATTTGGAGCTTGAAGCGACTGTACCATTGCGGAATACTGCTGATATCTGACCGAAGGTACGGCTTCCTGGGTGGTAGCCTGCTGTTGGCCTGCGACGTTGCTTACCAGCTGCGGTCCCTGAGCGTGTTGCTGCTGAGTCGAAGCTGCAAACGTTGGGTTGGTGCTGGCGATATACTGCTGGGTATGCGCGGTTGGCTCGCCAGGACTCAGAATTCCCAGACCACGTTGCTGATTGCGACGCAGGTTGTGCGCCACCACCCTGGCCCGAAAAACCGCAATTTCTTCTTGTGCATTCTGCAGTTGGATCTCTGGTAACCAAGAGCCGTCTGGAATCCTGGTGCCATTCCATCGAACACGAAACTCAGTCCTCCCATCGCGCTGGCGCTCATCTAAGATCGTTAAGCCACGCCAACCCGGTCGGCTTGACGGAGGAAGGCCCGCGGGTTCCATGGGTGCTATCTCGGGCGTGCCCGGATTGATCTTGCTGGCGTGGTTAGGCAGCGCTTGGCCAGGATTGCTGCCATTCCAGTTCTGACTCCAGACCTGTGAGTGGGGGTGGGAGTAAGTAATCTGGGGTGGTCCAGGAAAATTCGATGATATGTTGCCCGGGCTATGCGCCCAGGAGGTTGCAAGGGGCTGTGAGCGAAGGACCGTCGGGGAGGAGTGCTGTAGCGGATTCGGAGGATGTGGCGGCTGGGTGCTGAACCGAATCGGCGAAGAGGAGGTCGGGAAGAAATGACCTGGTCGCAATAGGGAATCTGAGGGTCGCGAGATAAACTGAGGAGGTGCAACTGGCGCTGGATGTGACGGTTGAGGGAGGCCCGGAATATTGACAGGCGTGTCTGGGGGTCCAGCGACGGGGCTATTTGCGATGTACATCTGAGCAGAATTGAGACTTTGATCGCCGCTAATCGGTGGCTGGGCACTGGCTGGCGGCAATGTCCTGCCTGCATTCCTCGCAGCCTCCTCGTACTGCTTGAGCTGTTGAGCATATGCGTGGGTCCAACGGCTGACGATGGGCCCCAGTTGAGCACCATGGTACGCATTCAGCTCAGCAATACTTATGGCTGAACCGTCCGGATTGTCTAATTCGTTTGAAAACAGCGACAAAGCCTGCGGCAGCCAGGCCTGGTCGTTATAAGTCTGACGCAGAATGGAACGAAAAAGCGCCTTTTGTAGGGCGGGTGACGGCAGCTTCAAAGAGAATTTGAACTCGGCCGGACAGGGCGGGCATTTTCTACGCAATGCGGAATCGCGTAGAGTAAAGAAGCCGGTACCCAAGTGGAAGAGAAAACAGCGCACCTCCTCGAGCAGCGCCGCGAATTGCCGGCTCCTGTCTTGAAGCAATGCCTCTGGGGCTTGAGGAAACGTCAAGAAGACTTGGAACACCCCTGAAGTCAAATACTGCTTGGGACCCAAAACTTGCTCCAGAACTTGCATGCCTTTGAAATGCAGTTCGGTGAAATGTAGCTGACCAAGGATGCCGTGTTGCCCGGCTGACCAGAGACAGTAGAGGTTATGAGCGAGGAGGAAGAAGCGATCATTCTCACGGCAGGCGTCGCGCATCATCTCAACGCGACGGCTATCAATGGCAACTGTGGGATCGATCGTGGGCGGAGCAGCTTCAATCTCTCCTAGCGCCGACTCGAACCTTTCAATGAGAGTAGCCATGTTGGAGGTTACGGGAGAGTCTTGAGGCGTTGGTAGTTGCAATTGAAGCTCGAGGACGTCCGCACTGAGTCTCCCGCGCGTTCTTCGCTCCTCAGACAGTCTCGCATCAGCCACGCGCTTTCCGCGGCTACCAGAGTGGCCTCCGTCGGCCGGAGGGGTAGCGCCAATAGGAGCGAAGTCACTTCGAGTGGAAGTATTCAGCAGGGCTGCTCTGCTGGTGGGGGAGGCGCGTTGCGTGCTGCTCGGCCTAAAGAGGTCGACGTTTTGGTTAGATGCATTTGTCGGAGGTATGTCTGGAAGCAAGATGTGTTCTGGAGACTGCGAGGTGAATAAAGGCTCGACGTCGTCACCAACAAGCGCCACCATCTCTGCCGCGACGTTGTCTTCCGCATCCGCACCTGAAGTTGTATTTGGATTCGCGGCCAATGGCTGTACTGCTACCGCGTGTGGGTTATCTGATCCAGGCACTCTCGACATGCCCTCCATCTCAGTGTCGCTAAATATAGGGCCATCTAGGCTAACGGAATTGAGAGCAGGCACAGCCTGTGCCTGGTGTGCATCGGCTGTTTGCTTGTTCGTGGCTGTTGACGGTCTCTCCAGACTGTGTAGTGTGTCCTGCTGCCGTGCATTTTCGTCCTCAATCGTAGACGACGCAAGTCGCGATTGCCTTGTAAAGTCGAGGGAAGCATGTGACGGGGTCGCAGCCGCAATGGTGGGAGATTCATCTGAAGGTCCCGCTGGTAGAGTGGTCTGGAGTCTCTGAGGCTCTGGTCTCTTGCGTGTTGGATTGCTGTACCGGCGGGCTGGTTGAGGCTGCACGGTCACTCCAATGGCGCCTGCACCGCTCTTGACCATCCACGACCTGGGGGCAGTGCCCAAAAACAAGTTGCTTGTAGCATTGGAGGACTGAACAGCAGCGGCACTTAGGGCGAAATCTTCACTGTGGCCTGGCATGCTTGACAATACTCAAGCCATGCTCAGATTCCAACGTGGCAGAGGCGGTAGCGAATGCAGGTGGTTGATTGGAGTATCCCCGAATATTTCCTTCGCCAGGGTCAGAAAGAATGCGCATCGAACAATGAAGAACAGATGTTGATTGACTCACGCGACAAGGTAACATGGCATGGCTTCTCCGGGGCTGCGTGTGTCGCCCCGCGCACGATTGTCCGTGACTGTCGTTGTGTTAGATGGCGGCGATAGAGACAGACAGGGTGGGATCAGAGTCGGCGGGACGAGCCAAACGTCCTCTGAAGAAGTCTAGTACGAGTACGGGTATCATCGAGTTGTGGAGTGTAGCGCAGCGCAGCGCTGCGGCTCAAGCGTAAGGGTCATGGCTGCGGGGAAGACGAGCGCCATGACGGCCAGTCGCCCACCAGTAATACGCGTTGCACGTGGTCGGCCAGGAGTCGGCCGTTGAGGTCCGCCTGCGCTGCAGCGTCTCGTTGTCACTGTCTCTTCCCATGGCGTGTTGGGTATGAGGAAAAGTAGGAAACACACTCGTTCAAGAAGCAGTCTGGCGCGGACTGTGTTATGAAAGAGTAAAATTACTGGGTCTCCATGTCACCGCCGCGTCGCTTGTCATGACACCTCGACTCCGCTTCTGACAGCGACACTCCCGAGCAGTAATCTTCCTCCTCTTGTGCGACAGTGTTGACCGACCTTTGCATCATATTTCAACCTCCCCCCTGTCCTTCACCCTGTCACTCTCCTGAAAGGGCCCTCTCTATCATGCAGGTTTCTGTCACGGCGCGTCCAGTCGATCTGCCGACGAAACAGTTGCAATTTCTGGGCTAGTCGCTTGTCGCGCTTGGGTTTACGAAACGGTGACTGAAGATGTCGGTCTCTTTGCAACAGCGGCCAAAGGCTGCTCCACAGCCCGGTGATATCTTGGTTGCCATCCGTGCGTTCACTCTGCCGTCACCTGGGGTGCGTGGATGCTGAGCTGACTGGCTTTAGATGACTTCGACGCGAGAAGTGCAGATGAATTGACGCTTCGCAAGACGGATCAGATCGAGTTGGTCGAAATGGACGAAGGCTTTGGGGACGGCTGGTATTTGGGCAAGCATCTTGGTCAAGGGACGATGGGTCTCTTTCCGGGGGGTAGGTCATTTGTCTGGTCCATGATTCTACCAGCTACCACTCACACACTCAACAGTCTATACCGCAAAACTCCCGCCGCACTTCAGCCCTGTAGGTGCGACAGCTGTCAGAAGCCCTGAGCCCTCTCCAAGTCTTTCCGCCTACACATCACCAAAACCTGAGCCAGTCAAACCTGCCACCCCAACAAGTCCAACAATGGAGAGCTCAACCCACCGGACAGTCGCCTCATCCCCACATCAACACTCTAGCCTGCCTTTGCGAAATTCCGTACCACCCTCTCCAACTACTCATGTCCACCGCAGCATTGGGCAAGCTCTTTCAAGCAGACAAAACGGGGAAGAGAGTCCAGTAATGAATGAGACGTTGAGCGTCATAAATGAACACATCACAGATTTGAGCACTCCACGTCAAAGCCTGGCTCCGCCCGACCATCTAGGCGAGGACACGGGGAGCGAGTACAGTAGCCACTTTGATAGGAGTCCATATATCGCCGGCCCGGAAACCGACAGTGAGGAGAACGCTCAACTCACGGAAGCAGATGTCAGGTTATGGGACGCGAAAGAGACTGCCGAGTATCTAAGAGGCCTTGGAATCGATCCAAAGCATTGCGACATCTTCGAAGAGCAGGAGATTACGGGCGATGTCTTGTTGGACATGGACCAGTCGTTCATTCACATGAAGGACTTTGACTTTGGTCTCATGGGTCGCCGCCTGAAGACGTGGCACAAGATCAGAGACTTCCAGAATCAGCTTCGTGGTGGGAAGGATTCGAGGAAGAGCAGCCTGAAGAATAATGGGTCAAATGAAGATGTTGCCCGAAGTCAAGTCCGTGGCACTACTCTCCTACCCCGGATACCCAGTTTGATGGAAGAACCCGGCCTTTCAATTCGACCCTCACAGCACCCTCACCCTTACGTTCACGTACAGTCAATCTCTCCTGTCACAGAACATCCAATGACTCCGTCCTCGTTCGCTCGATCTCAGCTCCAAGGAAGCACACCCCCTTCACCGTGGAGAGCTTCCTTGGCAACAGATAGTCCGACTCGACCGTCCGCTTCCTTAATCCGAGATACACACCATTCCCGCCGCCATTCATCAATCGAGTATGCAAGCCCCAGCGTCCAGGAGCCATCCGCAGCACACAAGAAAAATGCGTCGTTTGACAGAGACTGGTCCATGAGCAACGCTACCACCGCGAACACCAGTGGTAGCGCCCCGTCACTGAAGCTGAACATCAGCAATCAACCACCGAGCATTGATTTGTCTGTGGATGATGGCGAGAATTCGACCGCCGAGCTTGATCGTGGCTACTTCAGCGGTAATGAGCTTGACAACAGAAAAGCCCGTAATCTGCTGAGGAAGCGAGGAGGCGCGGAGAGTGCTGGCCACTCCCGCCAATCAAGCGCGATGGACGACTCAACCAAGACTAGCCTTGGAATGAAACGACATACTCGACTCAGCAGCGTTGATTCGATCAGGGAGAGAGCACTCGTAGCCATCTCTCCAGCGGCGAAAGCCTATCACAGCCGCTCCTACAAGGGTCGATTCCGCTCTGCAAGTGCCCGGAATTTGACCCCCATCAGGTCTCCTATACCACAGTCCCCTACCGTCACCAATCTTGAAGAGGATAGATTGTCGGCACTATCTTCGCCACAGCTCGTAAATGGATCAACGTCTCCAGTGGTGTCAAACCCGGCTAGTTTGACTTCCTCATCAAAGGCCCGGAAACTGCTGGGTATCCGAGCAGCATCTGAGGCCGTAACAGGAAATGAGAAGGACGCAGCAGCGAGTTCATCGAACATAATATCTGACACACTGAAGGAAAGCCCGGTTGCCTCACCATCAGGATCCCAGACTCCTTCAGCGACATCGCGAAGCTTTGACATGGACCACACCGATACCTCCTCGAAAGGCACAACCGAACAGCTCGGGCCACTACTGCATACCAAGATGCCAGTACGAACGAATCCTAAGACCAAACGCCAGACGAGCGCCTACACTAAAGGGCTGTTGCAAATCTCACCCACCGACGCACGCAAAAGCTGTGATTATTCTGGCTGGATGAAGAAAAGGTCGTCGGGCATCGTGGCACAATGGAAGCCCAGGCTTTTCGTCCTCCGAGGACGTCGCTTGTCATACTATTACTCGGAAACCGACACCGAGGAAAAAGGCATCATCGACATCTCCGGGCATAAAGTGCTGGGTACGGCCGCCGACCCCATTACCTCGCTCTCTACCGTCATGACGGGAAAATCCGCCCCGTCCGTCAAATCCGCTGGGACGTCCAGTGAGACCTCTCCAAACGTTGCACGGGGTTCCCCAAGCGGCGCACCTTTCTACTTCAAGCTTGTGCCCCCCAAAGCAGGCTCGTCTAGAGCTGTCCAATTCACGAAACCGACAGTCCATGTTTTTCAAGTGGACAATATCACAGAGGGACGGAAATGGATGGCCGAGATCCTGAAAGCCACCATTGAGCACGATCTGACTAGTTTCGAGACCACAAACCGGCAAAAGACCATCAGCTTAGCCAAGGCCCGGGCGCGGAAAGAACGGCCTCCAGCTCTGAAGGGCACGGAGGAGCAAGACGAGGCCGGCCAGCTGGCCGAGCTTCCGGAACAGCGAACGCCTCCTCTCGAGAAGCACGAGGCAGAGACAGGCTTGAACATCCAGGGCCTGGATTTCAACGACTCGGATTTGAATCTTCAACTGGGGACTGGGTCCGCGGATGTAAACACTACAGCTTTTCAGGATGATGCAGCGCGGGAAAATAAAGACATGACGACCTAGGGGAAAGAGACACCCTTCTGATACTACATATAATCGGTCTTGGGGTAATACATAATACTGTCCACTGGCTTTCCCTTCCCGATAGTACAGTGTAGCTACTTGTTCCTCGGCCCCTGTACAAAAGGGGTAGCATGTCGTATCTGGGGCGCTAGGCTGGGAGCGCAGTGACAGAAAAGGGGCTTCAGGGGTTCTGCCAATGCTAGCGGCCGATAGTCAGCCAATCAAGCGTCTACGGCGCCGCTAGCGGGGCGGCCACGTGAGGCTCCAACGTGAGGCTCCAACGTGGATTTGACCGCGTCGCCGTCTCCATCTTGTCCTCGACGCCCGAGTCACAAGCCATCGTTCTCTCCTCTCCATTCTGCGGTCCTCGTTTGTCTGTTCTTCATGGCTCAATGTATAATTATGGCGTTGCAGACAAGTTGCTGCGCTTTCTCCTCCCAGTCGCTCTTTGTGTGACGATATATCTGTATCTATATCCACTCTTTCACGGATGTGTCTTTCCAGCGACCGATGGGTCGGCGACGTCGTCCCTTATCAGTACAGTCCGACGACATCTCCTCTTTGACCACACCTTAGACACCGGCAGTGACTCTGTGACTGCTCCTTTCCGGCTGCTGGCCCTTGCTGATCCTCAGCTCGAGGGGGACAGTTCCCTTCCCAAACCTGACGATGCCTTCATACCTAAACTCAAACGGCGCTGGACGAGCCTGCCCACCACCAAGTCTCACGAACTATCGCCTTTTCTGGAGCTAGCTCGAGATGTGGCCCTTCAAGACGTCCCGGAAGCACTGGGGGCGCTGCGCAAGCGTATTGACCTCTTCGGCAATGACTACTACCTGGGTCACATATATCGAACACTGCACTGGTGGACACGACCCACCCACGTCACTGTGCTCGGAGACCTCATTGGCAGCCAATGGGTGACCGACGCGGAGTTCGAGTGGAGAGGATGGAGGTTTTGGAATAGGGTCTTTACGAAGGGTCACAGAGTTGAAGACCATATCAGCCTTTTGGACAGCGAAGCGCAGGAAAGGATCTTTGAGCTGGAGGACGCAAGCTGGACGACCCGAACCATAAACATTGCTGGTAACCACGATATTGGTTATGCGGGAGACATCTCTCGAACTAGGGTGGACAGGTTTGAGAGAGTCTTTGGCAAAGCCAACTGGGATGTTCGCTTTCAATATCCCGGGTCCAACGCCACACTTGTTGCACCAGAGACAGTGGCACCATCCCATCCGTCGCTGCATCTTATTGTCCTCAACAGTCTCATCCTGGACGGCCCTGCATTCTCAGACGATCTCCGCTCTGAAACTTTTGATTATCTGAATGGCCTCATCAACCACCGTTTGCGACCTGTAGAGGACCGATCGTCTTTCACTCTTCTGCTGACCCACCTTCCCCTGCATAAGAAGGAAGGAACTTGTGTTGATGCTCCATTCTTCGGCTACTGGCCGAATGACGATGGTGGTGGGATGTATAAGCCTCACGGAATGAGGGAGCAGAATCATCTGAGCGAGGAAGCAAGTCGTCATGGCACATTGCAGGCTTTGTTCGGTATGAGTGGTGATCGTGACGCGCCAGCGCAAGGCAAGGGAAGAAACGGCCTGATTTTGACCGGTCATGACCATGAAGGTTGTGATACCTGGCACTTTGTCCCTGCAGATTCCGTTTGGTCAACTTCCGAAGGCCAGCATGAGGATAAGGGAGAGACAATATGGGATGTTTCCAGGTGGGAGCACGCCAGCCAGGCCACTTCTCACACCGGGGTTCGCGAAATTACACTTCGAAGCATGATGGGAGATTATGGTGGCAATGCAGGACTCCTCAGTGCTTGGTTTGATCAGGGAGAAGGAGAGTGGAAGTATGAGATCCAAATGTGTGGTCTGGACCTCAAGATCTGGTGGGCAGTCCATATCATGGACCTGGTCGTCCTGGGTTTGTCTTTGTTCAGCCTCTTCACCCACCGCCTTCACATTCACGCCAGGTCTGGTGCGGCCAACAGAGCTGTTGCCTCACCGCGCGATGTGAAGACAACAAAGTAACAGAACGGCCTCTGTCGCATTCACTTCCACTTCCATCCGCGCAATGTGTCTCATCTCTTCCAATCTCAGCCGATCTTCATACTCAACCACACTCATCTCTACCAACCATTTCCTGCTACTGCCGCCACCATGGGACGAGTGTTTGTCAGAAGACAGATGCCTACTCGCGTTGATCGAGCCCAGCCCTATCATCGCCGCCGCCCTGGTCGCGACAGACCGGACAACTGGCACCTCTGGACCAAGGCGATGAGACAGGGGTGGCTGAACCGGCCTCGAGAAGTTCTGGCACCTAACCTCGACTTCAGCGCCTACCCTCTGCGCATCTGTCTCGACTGTGAGAGACCGGTCAAAGTCACGGAATATTGCAACGGAGATTGGGAAATCATCCACCAGACATGTCGCTTCCATCGTTACGCGTGAGTCTGCTCTCATGTTATTGTCTTGTTCGCGAGCTCACAACCCAATAGACCTGACGCGGGCTTGACAAGCGCGAGAAACCACCCGATGATGCCTATCATGTTCCCCAATGCGCTTCACACCAAGACACATCACGTCGGTAACTGTATCGTGAACCACACGCCAATCATTTCGCCCAACAATGGTCTGGCTGACTCCGTCTACTTCCTGCGCTGCACGGGCACTTACGTCAACTCTATTGGGCAAGCGATCACCGTCGGGAAAAGCATCAGCCGGCGGAAAGTCGGTGATATGAAGAGGGTTCCGGTGGTTCGTGCCAACATACCTGCCGTTGTGCCCGAGGAGGCGCCGTTCGAGGTTCGGTATGCCCATGCCGTCCTCGATGCATGGGGCTTTGGTGCCCTCCATATATGGAAGGACATCGTGAAGGATCGCATCACCAGTACAGGTGATAAGTACAAGTGTGGGACGGAAGGCCGTGGCGTCAAAGCTAGCCTGGCGATAAAACTGTAGGGGTCGCAACCCGAGAGACAATGATCGGATGGGGTTGGAGAGGATACCCGTGGCGTGGTCTGGCGAGATGAGAAGATGAGAGTGGCAATTGTCGTTGTCAACAACCACGTCGACAATGGAATGACAATGGAGTTTACACCTGTAACACCGTCGAAGTCCAACATCCACATTCATGAATGAGCTCCATGCTGATGACAGCCTGCTAACTCAAGGAACCATCATACGGGTCAGGAAGGGTTTGTTCCGACGTCCACCTCCCATCCATCCAGCAGCAACGACCCATCTTACTGGTGACAACCTTCTCTGTCTCTATCACTACTCTACGTCACCATACTACATTGTCACCAACGAGGGAGTGACAAGAGGGGGATCGCTGCCTTCTCTCCTCCCTCTCCTGCGACAAGTATAAGTATCTGTCTTTCATCCTCTCCCTCATCTTCTTCCCCTTCCATATCCCTTCGTCCTTACACCACGGCCAAAATGGTCTTTTTCATCCTCTTCGACTGCACGCTACCCGTGCCCCTCTACCACAACTGGGGCAACGACTTGGTCGAGGCCTGTCCCAGCTGCGTGCGCGCACACGAGCTGAGGACCTGCGATGGAGAGACCACGGTCCGCTTCGAGATATGCAAGAAGCATGAGGATGTGTAAGTTCGACCGGTTTTTGTTCTCATTTCGCGATATTATGCATATGACACTTCGCGGCTACACCGGTCAGTGGTACGACGGTGGAAATACTGTCCCCAGCCCCGGTGGACCATGAATATCGCGAGGACAATTAGGCGAGGTTATGTCGCGATGTTTATGGGGACAGTGACAGTGATGGTCACGAATATCATCCTCAGCGACCAGCCACGGAAGATGAGTTTTAGTTTCCGCGAGAAGGATCACTTATATCTATCACACCTACATCTCCAGGCATTAATCGCGATCCTGCTCGATGCGACTATAGGTCTTATGGATAGTTACAGCCTCGTCACTAACTTCCAGAGGACCCCCCAATGCACACATTTCTTCACTTGTTCAGTCTGACATACCAAGAGAAGCACATACTAACTGTGCATCCACAGCGCCAAGGACCCGTACTTCGACGACACAATGCTCAATGAAACCCGCAGACTCATCCACCCATTGCACTCCGCCGTTCAGAACTTCCCCGTTACCGCGGCCGGCGTGACCGCGACATGCATGGAGGAACTCAGGAAAAAAGTCAAGGAAACAGTGAATTACATGGAATACCAGCGTGGGCCGCACAAGGTTCAGTATTCGGAATTCGACCTGACGCCGCTGCCGACGTTTACGTACGCGCACGCCAGGGGGTGTGTTCACTCTGACGAGCCGCGTGTGGTGCTCAAGTCCAAGGCAGATGTGCGTCGCATGGACGACTTCGAGAGGGCCAGGCTGGCGATGATTGACGAGCTCCTGGAGTTTGGGGTTGATCATGACTTGAACGCCCACCCGGACGGCGAGAGTACGGCCAGTGTAAGGGACGGGCGGTCAACTTCTAGCGTCGACGAGGACGAAGTCTTCGCTGGGACGGACAAAGGATCACCACCGTCCAAGTTCCTCAGCTCGGCCGTAAGCACAACTTCAAATTCGAAGGAAGCAGCAGAAGAGGAAGAAGAACGGTGGATGGCTCGCGCTAGAGAGAACGAAGCGCGGTCGTGGCTCCGAGACATGAAGAAGCGGTTGGAAGAATGTCTGGCCACCAGCTCCCTCGCCAAGGGTATCTACTTCAAGCGCTGTAATCGTCAATGGGTCAGTGCGTTAGGCGGTGTTCTTCCGCCCCACAGTCAGGAGGTCGGGGCACGTGCAGAGACAAAGACCAAGACTGATGCAGCGCCACCACTCCGACAGTGTCACGACAAGGACGACGGGGATGTAAAGTCCGCATTGAGCACCACATTCACGGCCTTGACATTGAACACGACGACCAACACGGCATACACAAGCGACCTCACGACATCGACAACAACATCGACAAACGCCACGTCCGTGTCTCGTGGCACGACTCCTAGCGTCGTCGTCGATCGGAATGCCAAGTCCCCCACCAGCTACGCTCTTCACACCGACAGCGACATCTACCGCGACATCAACACCATTTTCGCCAGCTACGCCTTCGCGGTAACCGACCCTGAAATCCTCCTCGATCTGGCCGAAGACATTGCATCACAGACTGGAGTCGAAAATTCCTTGTCATTGCCGCTTCCCAGTTTTGTCGCCGATCTGTGGCGCCGCCACAACCCTGCGTGCTCCCCACCGTTCGAATACCGCACAAGCATGCTCATGGCGAGGGAAGAGTTGGTGCGCATCGGGCAGGTCAGCGTGAACGACCTGGCCCTGACGAGTTGGGGGTATAATCGGCTCGTGAGGAAGCAGGCCAAAGCCCACGAGGAAGAGATGAAGGCGAAGGCAAACGGCGGTGTCGGTGTCAGTGGAGATGGGGCTCAAGCGGCGTAAGAGGCCCTGAGTGCAGAGGGTTTCTAGACGATGAAGACGAACTGGCACAGCGGTCCGGTCAGGCGACATGATTTGGGTTAGGGAAGGGGAGCGTTCGAGGATGCTTCGTGTGCCAGGGATTTTGGAAAGCGTTCCTTTACCCTGTCGATCAGCAATCAGCAGACAACCGACACGGAATCGTTTCAGCACAACACAAAGCAAAGAACATGTGGTGCGCGAAATGAACACAGGACACCAAGGTGGCAGATAGACTGGAGGTGGCGCGATGCATTTCGAATTTTCTGGGAAAGCGACAAGCTGGAAATGCACACAGGACATCAAATTGGCACATACTTTGGAAGCGCTGCGATGCATTTCGAGTTTCTTTCAGGAAAGGCAACAGGCTCGAAACGAACCTTAGTCTGGAAGGGAAGGGAAGCGATTGAAATTGGAATGAAACCTGGCCATGTATTTTCGCCGTTCTCCAATCGGGTTTTCGAGGCGTTGGATTCGTCGTCGCCTTGGGTGCCTTTTTCTGCTGCATAACATACAGTAGGCATGTACTGTACCTAGCTTTTCAAGTTCTGCAAAGTCACATATCCCACCATGCTTGAATCCCACCAGCACTGCACCAGATCTGCGCGTGAGTGTGACATCCGACTGTAGGATGGCGGCGTCCACGAGATATCGCGCGTCCTCGTACTTCTACCTCGTAATGTCCAGCCTCATCGTATACCTGTACATACCTACTGTTGAGAGCCAAGCCCCCATATTGCCTACTGTGTACGGCGCGGAAAAAGCGGAGCAATGTCTCCGTACAGTGCATGGGCCTTTTACCCGACGAGTTAGCGGTAGGAGGTATGAAGCGGGGTGCCGGGGAAGACGGGATCGAGATCGACATCTGATGTGCTGTGGTCTGTCTGTGGCACTGGCCTTATGGGAGGACGACGAATAGATCTGGATACCTTACTCCGTACTGGAGCTGCAGATGGTGATGGGATCGGAGACCGGTAAAGCCAGTCGGGTCATACGGACCGCATCCGTCTCCTGTGATGCGCACTGTTGCCTACCTGTTCCTCGTGGTTGAACTAGTAGTTCAGGTAGGGGACATACGATACAGCTCTCCTGATTGACCCGCAAAACTCGATGGAGACAGACCGGTCTCTATTTTGAGGGTAAGTGTTCAGGGTCAGGATTGCTCACCACTATGTTGTCATGTCTGTCCGGTCAGTAGATGCTGTCTCAGGCGCGAGCAAAGGTATTTACGCTTCTCAAGTCGGCATGCGAACGATGATTGAATGTCTGCTCAAGCATCTTGATCCGGTCTCATATTGCTATTTCTTCCTGCCTGGCTGTATTTTGTCTAAGACGGACCTAGAGTAGCGAACCTTGCATCGAATCATTTGCATTCGCAACCGCCGCCCAGGTCACCTTATGCTGTGATCGGTTGCAAGGGAATCTGCTTTGGTAGAGTATGGGAATATCGGTGGAGAAAGGTAATTGGGAAAGATTGTTCAACCGCTAGTAGTCCAGCCGTACAGTCGCCTCCTCCCCGCCATAAACTGGGGTATCTCTACCGACCGACACCATCGCGAGCAAAGACACGCTTACTCTACTCAGTCTTCTCGGCAGCAGGCTCTGCTGCAGGGGCGGCTTCGGTGTCCTTGGGAGCTTCACCTGACTGAGCAGCAGGGGCCTCCTGAGGTTCAGCCTCGGAAGAAGTCCAGAGGGTCTGCACGGTATTAGCTGAGGTAGACAAAGCAAAACACTGTTACGACTTACCAAGTTGTCTCTCAGCAACTGCATGATCAATGTTGAGTCCTTGTAGCTCTCTTCGCTGAGAGTGTCGAGCTCGGCAATAGCGTCGTCGAACGCCTGCTTGGCGAGATGACACGCCTGGTCAGGGGAGTTCAAGATCTCGTAGTAGAAGACAGAGAAGTTCAGCGCGAGACCAAGTCGGATGGGGTGAGTAGGAGCGAGGTCGGTCTGGGCGACTTCTGTAGCAGCCTTGTAGGCCTCGAGGGACTTGTCGGCAGATTCCTTGCGCTTGTCGGCAGTAGCGAACTCAGCGAGGTAGCGGTGGTAGTCGCCCTTCCTAGACAAGCATTAGAACATGTAGTCGAGTGAGAACGACACCATAGGCTTACATCTTGTGGTAGAACACCTTAGATTCACCTGTCTGAGCGGAGGCAATCAGATGCTTGTCAAGAACCTCGAGGATGTCTTCGCAGATCTTTCCCAACTCCTTCTCGATTGTTTGGCGGTATTCCTTGATTAGCTTGACCTGAGCTTCGTTGCCTTTCGACTCCTCCTTCTGCTCGATGGAAGTGACGATTCTCCAAGAAGCGCGACGAGCGCCGATGACGTTCTTGTAGGCGACAGAGAGGAGATTTCGCTCTTCCACGGAGAGCTCTTGGTCTGCAGATGCAACGACCTTCATGTTCTCGACCATCTCTGTAGCAACCGTCAGCTGGGACTGGATGTCAGAAGCGGAAGAAATTTACCCTCATATCGCTCGGCCTGCTCAGCGAGCTTTGCGAGGTAGACTGACTCTTCCACACCCATCTTGATTGTGTTTTCTGATACTTGTAAAGGAAAAGAGACCTGTTGTGGTGGATTCAATTAGCCGAGTCATCCAAGACAAAACATCTCAACAAATAATTCTGACAACAACAAGACCAGGACAGAGTGTCGACTTGAATGTTGCAATCGCGTGAGAACGCCGCTGGCGCTTTCCACCAGATTCCGTAGCGTTGACGCCCATCTCAAGTTGACAATTGTCGATAGCGGGTAGGGTGCGGCAATTGACGTCAATCATAGCGCTTGGGTTGGGATCGCTCCTGGAGAGCCCGGTCCAGGGTGAGGCAGATTGATCAAGCGTCGCCGTCGAGCGTCGTGAAGCGATGTCGACCCCGATGTCGACACGAGCGATGCTGAAGTGACCAGGAGCGCGACTAACCTGGGACAGTCGACGATTCGATACGTGGGGTATGGTATCCCCCTGGAGGAGCAATACACGATTACTGGGGTGTAGCTTACCGTCTAAGGAGAATTGAGACGTCAAAGAGACTCGAACGGCAGGGGACCCGAGAGATCGAGCAGAATTAGATGTGCTTGCGACGAGGTGGTGGTGATCGCAAGGTGCTGTTGGTATGGGAGAAAGAAAGACGAAGATGAGAGTGTGCGCAGTCTGCAGGCGTCGCCTAGTCAGGTTCCAGGTAGCCGCAGGAAGTGGGAGGAGCGATGCAGAGTGGCTCGATAAGTGGGAGGGTGGAAGGCCCAAACAGAAAGCAGCAGTACCCAACGGAAGGGGGGAATCACAAGCAAGGAAGGTCCATCAGCTGGACCCTGACACGCCTGAGAACCACGCGGCTGCTTTTACCTTTTCTTCAATTTCCCTCACAGTCTCACTTTGTTTCATCGACGAGAATTCCATGTGATTACTCCGTAGATTCTTGTGTCAAGACTCACTGCTCGTCTTTGCTGCTGGCGGTCTGCCCGTGCCATCGTGCTCATGCCTCTGATGCTGTACTGCAGGCATTCAGCCTTGACTGACAAAGGTCACGTGCTACAAATTATTGCTCAAGGCTGCCTTTTCCGTCGACCGTAGCAGCTCCCAGGAGTAGGGCGAAGCATTTGACGTGCTTTGTACTGGTAGTCGTCACTGCTGCGATTGCAGGCGAGCTTCGATCGATCCTCATCCCGCAGCCTGAACTTCAACTGCCACCGTAGTTCCCTTCGCTATCCTCATCTTGAACAACAACCCACTGACCACTCAAGATGCTACGAACGCAAGTTGTCAAGCTCGCAAGAGCTGGTGCTGCTCCCTCAATCCGCCGTTCCTTCTCCATTTCTGCCATCCGAGCCGCCGAGGGAGATACCGGAGCCACGAGATCTGGCGGAGTTGCTTCAGGGTACGGCCATCACCAACTTAATGTTGTGATCCAAGGAGTCTGAGGGGGACATTCTTGTCTCTTTATCACATACAGTGCACTGACATCCCATTTCCAACAATTAGTGATAGCTGGACCAAGCGTGAGCAAGCCAGCGAAACCAAGTTCATCAGGGAAAAGGAAATGGAAAGGTACGCCCGATGCATTCTTTGAGGAATACTTCAGTACGGATGATTAATACGTATATTACTGCAGCTTGAGGAAGCTGAAGGAGAAGCTCGCCCAACAACGAAAGCACCTCGACGAGTTGGACAAGCACATCCAAGAGCTGGAGGGAGATGCCGGCGAAGACCCGCAGCACATCCGTGAGAAGTAGAAGACGGCAAATGTGGTCAGTCGTTCATTTGACAATGCTGTCGCGGCCTACAGGCCTGCGGGCGGAAGGGGGGGACTGGACCTGCATGAGAAAAGGACTTCGTGGAAGAGGACGGTATATGGCTCAGCTTCACCAGTAGCCCGATGGTGGTACTGCTTCAATAACATCCTCGCTGTACAGAAATAACAGACTGGCAATGCCAAAAAATCTTCTCTCCGCTCTTAGCTACCTCGGGGTCATCGAGTCTGGAGTGGATTCGCTGATCCTCGAGTCAGCTTCAACTCGACCTGAGAAGTGTCGTGCACTGAGACAGTAGCGGCTTAAGCAAGTATGGAGGTTGGATTCCTTGCACGGAAGTCTTCTATTTTACTGTTCTGATCTTGCAGCATCCATTGCCCGTCATGCAGTCAAAGGAAGATAGGAGTGCAGTATCTGGGTGTGTCAACTCCGTGCACATGGAGCAGATCCTAGCCACATGAGCAAGTGCCCCAAATTACGCCGAGGACTAGTTGCTTGTGTTGGCATGCAAGAGCAGAGTGTGTTGTTCCATAACATACAGGATGTCTTCCAGCGGCAGCCACAGCCCACCAGACAATGTGCGGCGGCCGATATGAGTCAAGTCCGTCCCAACACGTACTCATGGCGAAACGAATACCAAGACCCTCTTGATTTCAGGCAATAACCAACAGCTTTTGCGACAGCTGAAACCGAGCAAGGCAGATCAACGCGCCTCCCAACGCAGTCACTGCGCCCACATACATGGACAGAGCGAGGTAGCCGTACTTTATAAGCTCACCACTGATGGGAGACCCGAACAGGCCGCTGTTCTCGACGACTTGTTAGCAAGTGACTTCAACCAAGGTGAGGGATATATCCAAAAATACAACGCTAAAGTAACAAGAGCAAGACCTACGTTAAGGACACAATTGCCATGATCATGCCGACAGCGGTACCATAGGTCTCGGGCGTTGCTAGCTTCGTCCCACACGACACCTGTAGAGCCAAGATCGACTGAGATAACAAGTTAGCCAGGAACCAGACCGATGCGTCGAACAGGCAACCCACCCCTGAGCAGAACCCGTAAGCTAGAGCCCATATCACAATTCCTGCGGTATTGGTAGCTGCTGTCCAGCAAAACGCAACAGCCGCCGACAGAAGGGCACTTATGGAGCACAGGTTGAAATGGCCATACCGATCTGCAAGCCACCCTGCAGAGATCCTGCCGAACAGGGATGCGGCGTTCAGGATGGAGACCAGGTAGAAGGCGAAACTGGTTGAGAAGCCAATGCTGACAGCGTATGAGGTGGTGAAGAAGAAAGGCGAGAACATGCCCAGGTAGAATAGTCCTATACCGGCACAGAAGGTCTGAAATACCCGATTCTTGACGATTGACAGGTCTGTCTTCTTCTTGGGTCTGTCTGTGGTGCATGATGTGGCAGCCTCTTCCTCCTCGGGCTTCTTTGCGGCAGGAGGACGCACAGTCGCACAAGTGATGACCACGAGTGGAAGCATGGTAAATGCGACGATGCGGATTGTCCAGCCAAAACTGACGGCCTTCTTGTTGAGGAGCTGATTCACCATGATCGGCCACACGACTCCACCAAGAGAGGAGCCGGCGATGGTAAATCCTGTTGCCAAACCCCGGTTCTTGTTGAAATGCCCGCTGACCATGGCAAACACTGGACATGCCAGGAATGCTTGGCCCACGCCGAGGAGGAAGCCTTGTGCCAGGAAGAACTGGTAGTATTCTCGACAAAGAGAGATCATGAACATGGAGAGGACTGTGACTGTGCCACCGACGATGAGAAGGATCTTTTTATCATCTCAGCCTGATACCTCTTCTGCCTGATGGGGACATGCTCACCGTAGGCCCACAGCGATCAACAAGTAGACCTGCTGGCGCAGCAGTCAGGAAGAACACAAAGGTCGAGAATGATCCAATCCATGACAAGTCGAATGAGGATTTGTCGGTCAACAGATGACTTTGATAGTATTCAATGAAGACTCCGAATGCGTTCAGGAAGCCAACGGTGCAGAAGGTCGCCAAGGCAGATCCGATGAGCGTCAGAATAGACCTCGTACTGAACAAAGTTAGTGCTTTGTACTCGTCGCCGGAGCATTCACCAACTTGAACTCGCTTGGCTGCTGTTCGCTGGCACCCTTTCGAGGCTCGGCGGCGATCGAGGCTGGAAGTGGCTTTTCGCTTGGGGACATGGTGTTAGAGGTTGGAATCTGTGTTTACCTGATCCCTCCATCGCGACGGTTGGTCGCAAAGAGCACGGTATTAATCTCATCAGGATGGTCGGGCGCAACGGACTCTCCGCGGAACGTACTGCACTAGCAAAGCCGCCAGAGTCAGGACCCCCTGCCTGTTTGTACCTACCGTATAGCCTGCTCACTGGCTCCGCCTCGGAGATTGAGTGATGGACTGAGTCTGAGGTCGTTGGGCGCAGAAGCAAACTGAAATGCTCGGGTGAAGGTGGCATCATGTCGTCCTTTGACAAGCTGCTGGATATCACAAGTGCTCGCTCGATCACATGCGAAGCATGACACGAGCCAAAGAGCAGCGAGCACGCAGGAGGCACGGCTTGCGCCCAGGCGTCTTAGTTAGTGGGGCCCGCGGAGTGCTCGGGGCTTCCGGGCCAATTATGGTTGGGCACATGGGCATCCGGCATCTCTAAACTGGCCCCCAGGCGCCCGACGAGCCAATGGATTCTCTCTCCTTCAAAGTCCCAGTACCGAGTGATGGCCCTGTAGACTCCTAGGTGACTCCCACACGGGACTTGTTGTGCCGCATTTCTCTCCTCGAGATCTTCGGCTCCGCGTTGTCCATGGAGCAAGCTTGACTCGACTGCCGGCTATGAGCCTCTCCTACTGCCAGCTTTGTCAAGATGTCCTCCGGTGCGAATGAGACTCGTCCGGCTTTGAATCCTCTGAAGCGACCACGGCAAGATCCAGTCTCATGTCAGTTCTGCAGATCGAAGAAGCTCAAATGCAATCGCCAAAGTCCGTGTTCTAACTGCGCTTCGAGAGGCCTTCCTTGCGATGGTGATTCTGCTTCAAATGCACGTCGCCCTCTGGAAGCAACAGGAGATGCAGGCGAGCTATCTATTTTGGCACGATTGAAGCGGCTCGAGGATGTTGTGCTGGGGCCGCCGCCTGATTCGAAGCCGGATGGCGTTGGTGCGAGCGCGTCTCATGGTCTTCCAGCGAAGGCCGCATCGTCGCCCAGCTTGGCCTGCGTCTCGCCCGCGGCGGAGTACCAGGAGGCTATACACAGTCTGGAGGAGACAGGCGCTCGCGATGCACCGTCGTCAACTCGAGGCCTCAACATCCGGGTCATGCCCACCCATCAGATTGCGGTTGATCAAGACAAGCTCTTCCATCTCCAGACGGCTTCAAGGTGTCTGTGCCTGCCACCAAAGGCTGAAGCGAGAGTATTGTTCGACCACTATTTCCAGTATGTCGACCTTCTGCAGCATGTCATTCACGTGCCTACCGTGCAAATGTCGCTGCAGACCATTTATGCCAGTCTAGAAAGCGGGCTACCGGTCGTCCCTTCTGAAGTGGTGCTGTTACTCGCCATCTTTGCGAGTGCTGCTTCGCTCTGTACTTACTTTCCAGGAGAAACTCGAACTTTCCTGTCTTCTGCAGATGCGCACCAAGCTTCTCTGTTCTGGACGAACTCTGCTCTGGAAGTATTGGAATTCACTCGTCGCACGGCAGCGAGACGGCTGGCAGACATTCAGGCCGGTATCGTTCTCGGTTTCCTGCTGTTTCACAATGAAGGCTTTTCGACGCGAGCTCGCTGCCTCTTTGCCAGCGGCGTCGCAATGGCTCGTGAGTTATCACTGCATAAAATCGATGCACCCAGCAACCAAGCAGTGGGCTCACCCAACAATCAAAATGCCTTGGAGACAGAGATCAAGCGCCGAGTCTGGTGGCACACGGTCGCCACAGACTGGTAAGTTTCCCTTCCATCCCACAACTCTGCCTCCACATTGATAATAAACCCAGGCTGCTGGCCCTGAGCGGAGGTCCGCAAGAAGGCACATACTTCGTCCAACCTCGCCACATGCGGGTGAACATGCTACGTAACGTCGACGACGACGACCTAGTCCGCGACAACCCAACTGTGGACAAGCCCCTCTCGCAACCAACAGTCATGTCATACTACATCCAACGGATAAAGCTTGCCGACATCTGCCGCGATGTGATCGACGTGATGCCCTTGACCAGCTTCGAGCTCGGCACAGTCAACTATCAAGATGTGATTAATCTCGACCGCCGGTTCGAGACGTTTTTTCGAAAGTTACCGTCATTCTTCAAGATCGACGAGCGCCACATACGCGAGAGCGAGCACATCATGCGTCAGCGCCCGCACATGCAAATCCAGCGGTACGTTCTGGGCATGATTGGCCTGACTCGCCGGTGTAAGCTGCACCAGCCATTTCTTATCCGCCGCTCTGTGGAACATCACTACGACTACTCCCGTCAGATATCGCTCGAGTCGGCTCGATCGGTGATTCGGATGGAGGACCTTCTCCGCCACGAGGGAGAGGAAGACTTCGTGACCATGAGTGCGAAACACACGGGCGTTATATATCACATATTCATGGCGACAATTGTGCTTGTGATGGATCTGTGCTTCAACCGCGTCACCGAGGGGGAAGACGATGTCGCTCGCAAAGCCGAAGTAGTCGCGGCATGCAAGATGCTAGAAGACGGGAAGGCTGAATCCGCGATGGCCAGTAACTTCTTGGACTCGCTCATGGACGTGCTGAGGAAGCATAAGGTGAGGCTGCACAACAACAACAATGCACGCCCACCTGTCGCGGCTGCCCCGACCGGTGCTGTCTACGAAGGGAACAGGCTTCCTGTGGTAACTCCCGCAGCCTGGTCGCAGCAACACCTCAACGGCGTCGTCGCTGGCGTCCCCAATCGACCTGCGCCAACGCCAGAAACACAATCGCAGATATTTAGTGACAGCAACGCCTTGCCCGTGCAAGACCCCTCCCAGCACTATCTGTCGGACTTTGACGCAATTTGGCAGGAGTACGTCGAGCTAGGACCGAACATGGGCATACCGGGATGGGACAGTCTCTTCTCTGACCTGGATTCAAGGTTTTGAACGGAGGGGAATCATGTTTGCAGCACACGAGCCAAGGGTCACTTTGGCGTAGAACGAATCAAGCCACATCCCACTCGCTCGCTATGAGGCTCGATGCAGAGCCAGAAATGAACCGCTTGCATTCTTGCGACAAAATCACTTACATTTTACAATCGCCTTCCTATTTCCTGACCCGCCTCGCATGCCGCACCAGATTCTCGATGACTCCCTCGAACGCCTCCTTCTCTTTGACCAGCCCGTCCCTCAATTTCAACCAGTACTCCAACAATTCACTCGTCCGGCTCGTCAAGTCGTTCAAGTCCTTGACATGGGCCTGCAACTCGTCGTCCGTGAAGCCGTCGAGCTTTTCGGTCGTCGTGGCACACAACCGCTTCACAGCCGCTAGATCGAGTTCGGGTGGGGGTGGCGGGCCCTTGGGCTTCCTTGACCGGGCGTGCCGCTCTTTCGCGGTTCCAGACTGTGTGCTGTCAAGTGAGGCGGTGGAGTCGTTGACACCGCCTCCTTGAGCTTTCAATCTCGCCAGCGACCCGGCCGGCTTGTCGCCTTCCGACTTCCGCGACGACGAGGGCTCCAGGTTGATGTCCGGGAGGACGAGCTTCTTCTGCTTTGAAGGCGGCAGGATCTCGTCCAGGTCGACGGGCACGCCGAGGCTGACGAGGAAGAGGCGTCGGATGCGGGATTGCGTCCAATTGGGCGGCTGGAGGGGAGGTGGGGTGATGAGTTGATTCCAAAGCGAGCGGGAGCGGTCCGAGGGGAAGATGGGTGACGAGTCTGGTATGGGTTCTTGTTGCGGGATGGAGGAGAGTGCTGAGGGTGTCGATTGTGGGAACATGGCGTCCAGGTGTGCTTCAGTGGCGGCGAGGAGGTCGGATACTGAGTTCAAGGCCGCGAAGTCTATCAATGGCTGGAGGTCATGGTATATTAGCGCGATGATGGTAACAAGAGGAGGAAAGGGCAGGACTCACGAACGGATCAACAGGTATAGTATTTGCTTGAGCGATAGGTACAAGAGGTGACTCCACGACAGCTTCAGGTTCTTGAAATCCATCGTCAAAGTCCCCGAAGTCATCATCCGCTCCGGCCTGCGCGCCTTGTTCAAAGTCATCGAAGTCATCGCCGAAGTCATCCGCGTCGTTTTGGTCATCTTCCTCATCATCGTCGTCATCATCATGGTCATCCGAAGCGGTCTTCCTCCGCGATGGTTCTAGAGATCTGTCGAACGTGGGTGACCCTGATTCAGGTCAATGGTCCTCCTGAGTCGTAATTCAGTCGCTGAAGTTACCTGGTTGTGCTCCCACGTCCGCCTTCTTCTCTATGATGTCCGGTGCTGCGTCTAGCTTCCGCTTTTTTGCCGCCTCCGTGCCGGGAACCTCGCCATGCGCAGAATTGCTATCAACCCGCGTGATGACGGTTTCCGGGACTGGTATGTCTGAGGTGGAGCGAGATCTGCCTTCGCCTTCGCTAAAGAGGGGTTTCCTGCCCGGTTCGGGCGTCTTCACTATGACATCTGGCACTGCATCCATCTGTCGCTGCAGATAGCCAGAAGTCTTGGGCACCTCGCCATAGCTCGGAGATTCGGGGTCGACCTTTTCGACCACAGTACGTGGAATCAGTGTGCCGCCGGGGGTTGTGGGTGGTTCGAGATACTGTGATGATCGTTTACTCAGGCGGCCCTGGCTTTCGGGGAGAATCTCGACCTCGTCGGGGACAGCGTCGGCAATTCGCTTCTCGTAAGCAGGGGTACCTGGCACTTCGCCATGGCTTGGCTGGTCGTCCACCTTTTCTATGCGGGTTCTGGGAACAGGTGAGGCAGGGGTCACTGGTCGTGAGGGTCGCTTCTGCCCTTCGGAGGCGTCTGAGAAGTGTTCGTCATCCTCGCCCTCTGAGGATACTAGCAGAGGTATTAGTGGTCTGCTTCGAACTGATGTGTTATGCTCGCCTCACACTCATGAGCGCCGGGATCTTCCAACTCGGTGCTCTTCCTAGGTGGCTCAAGATGTAAACTGCTCCTGGATGAAGACGGTCTGGACATTTCTAGGGATGTGTTCGTGGTGCACTTCGCCCGCAGGATCTGGAGTGTGTCGGGGACGACGAGCTGTGACGGCTAGAGGCTAAAGCACAGGCAAGAGGGAACTGAGTTACAGCTGAAGCATTACATAGCAGCTCAGAATCGCTATGGAGATCACTGTTCAGCCCTGGACTTTGTTCCATGGACTCAGGAAGGAAAGTCACCCGAGTAAGACCGCGACAAAGAAGGGAAGGACTAGCCGAGTAAGCAAAACTGTGAGCACGTGATACTCAGCACCAGGGGTCGTCACCTGACACGTGCCTGACCGCAAGCCTTGCCTCCAAGACTCCCTTTTGCCTGCCCTCTGTTGGGCCATTTTCCTTACCAGCCTTACCTTCACCTGATCATGCTTATGTCGTAACACTGATCTGGGGGTCTCACAAACCGCTCTGCTACTAGCCAGTGCCTTCAGGCCGAGGCATATCTACCTCCATATCCCCACCATTTTAGATGTGTGGGCATAGGATGCGAAGGAGGATCTCTGCGACTGAACGTCACAAAGGCTGCGAAGCGAATACGCGTTTACAGCCCCGCCTCTTTCCACCTCGTACGAGTACTGTAAAGTCCTCTTGCTCCCCGCATCTTGGCACGGCTACTCACCTGAACGGAAGGGTTAGTGCGCACTAGTCCATTGAACAGCATGCTTAACTGTAAAGCATGCATGACACGACTACTCCGTACCCACGCGGATATTGTTCTTCAGAAACCGACAACAGGCAAGGCTATCCGCTTTGGCTGATATCTACATCAATCCGAACTTCCCGCAGTGTACCTGCCAACAGGGCGACAGTCCGCCCTCTGGAGGCTTTCTAGTTCTCTCCAATGCATCTCCCAATCTCACCGAACCCATAGCCGCCGTTTGCCTTCGTCTGCCAGAGAATCGGGATATGCGACCAGAACCCTTCCACATCGCTAACGGCTCTCGTTTCCTTTCGAGCCGCAGTCGCTACGGTACACCAGCATAGCACACTAACACTTCCCACCTCTGTCCCGCCTATGTCCCGCCTCTGTCCCACCTCTGTCTAGCTCCAGAGACAAGGTGGAGTGAACATCGACGGCGCTCGATGTTACATGGCACTAGCCGATCGAGAAGCTTTCGCCAACGAGGAGATCCAGATACCGATTAAGCTTCCTGGGTTATCTCGGCCTGACAAAGCAATTGAGTGCCGAGGATGGTAGCGTCCCTCCACCCCAACATGCACTTGACCTACACTACTAGTGCACGCTACCGACATCAACCCAAAATTGGCACCAACGACAAAAAGGATCCATTTCCAGATGAGGGCCCCTCTCAGCCTTTACGGAGTACTTGGGCGTGTTTCTTCCGGCGGCTGGTAGACCGGCTATCCAATTCAGAAAAGCGGTGGGAAGAATGTCTTCTTGGGTTGCCATCCACCCTACGGTGTACCACAACTTGGCTCCCGAACGAAAGCATGCCTGAATGATTCGCGCGCTTCTGCTCCATACCCACTAATTAGTGCCCAGTACGCCTGTGAAGGAAGGGCAGATCCACGTGCGAGACCTCCCCACGGGGAATCTCCGCCCCACTCGACACCAGTGGGTAGGCAGATCCAGCCTGCTTGACAAGGCTAACTTGGTCACACATCCATCCGAGGGCACGCACGCAGAAACGTCATTTGGCCCGTTCTTTTATCCCCGGATCCACGAGTACTGTCCCATGTTCTCGCCTAAACATTCACAATAGAACACAGCAAGAAGCTAATGCTGGTGCTGAGAGTGGTCAATACCACCTACCTACCCCAGAAATGTTGATGCCGAGTTTCCAGTTTGGCAAGAATAGGCTCCTGGGCTGTCGGATACATGAGGAATGCGGTGAAGTCGGTCCCGCACGATGAGATGCTGGCAGAAACAGCATAAAGCATGGCAGCTGCCCTGATATGATTGTGGTATGGACGGTATGCCACGATGCAGAGTCTAACACCGATGTTTACCTTGACCACCCTTTTCGCAGTGCTTGCCGCTGTCCAAGCCGTGCCAGCTCCGAGACGTGCTGCAGCAGTGGTACCGCTCACCCTCACACTCGACAACTCGAGCATCAATTTCGACGTCGCGCAGACAGCCGAGGCGGCGCAGCCATTAGACCCCCAATTGATCAGTCTATCCATTGAGTATTTCTCCAAGGTCTTCTGGACCATCCAAGGAGATCTGACAGTTCTAGATTTGGCAACGCTATCGACTTCTTCGGCGACGTGGGCAAACCCAATGAGTTCTCACGAAAGCTATTGCAGAACGTTGTCGACAGATCCGGAATACCGCCAGTCGTACGCCTTGGAGGAAATACTCAAGACAAATGGGTGTACTGCGACAACTGCACGGCGGCATTGAGCAGTATCGTCGAAGTGAACCCCAACCATCCAATGAGCAGTGAAGCAGTCAACGTCACCGTTGGCAAGGCCTTCTTCCAGGCTTTGGAGGAAAATGTGCCGCCAGCGACAAAGTTCATCTTAGGTCTTAACCTTGGACACAGTAAGTTAGGACTTCGAAAGCAGATGTTCCCCTGTCCCGGAGAGAGCACATTTTCGGTAGTTTTCGACGTTGACAATTGTTTGTCTGGCAGATATCTACGAAATCGCGCAGGCCGAGGTGGATGCTTCTCTGAAGTATTTCAACCAGTCCCGCATCCTTGCTTACGAGTTAGGCAACGAACCAAATGTCTACGGAGGCTACCCGCCCGTGCCGGCACGCTGGCGACCGAGCACGTGGACTGTCGTTGATTACGCTCAGCAAATGCTGAGTTGGATACCTCGACTGAGAGCCAGGGCAAAGACGAACCCTCCCAGCTTTCAATTCGGGTCAATGATTGGACCACCCACCCCTTTCCAAGATTTCAGCTTGACCACGCTGGCCAGAATGGGTGTTCCCCAGAATATTGGAGGCGTTAAATACTTTGCCTCTCATGGGTACCCAGAGAACGTCTGTACAAGTCAGTATTGAGATGCACGCCTTATAGCTAGCCTTGGTCTGCCGCGGATACTAACATACGCTTTGCCACAGAGGAAGCCTCGGACCAGGTTCAGCTGACCAACTACGTAAACCATCTCGAGACTGTTGGTTTCGTCTCGCAATACCAAGGAGAGATCGCCGCAGCAAAGTCGGCGGGCGCGATCTTCCACATAGGCGAGACCAATAGCGTAGCTTGCCACGGCAAAGACGGCGTATCCAACACCTTGGGTGCCCTGCTGTGGGAGATCGACTACGCCTTAACTGCAGCGGCAGCAGGGGTAGATCGCCTCTTCTTCCACAGTGGTGTTGGGGGTTTCTACTATGCAATGTGGGAACCGCTGCCGGTCAACTCTACAACACCTGCCCATATAAACCCGACGTGAGTATTGACCGTCGATAAGAACAACATTACTCTTACTGACGATATTTCTCGTAACAGGTACTACAGCATGCTCTTTGTTGCCGACTTGGTTGCTGACCTGTCCCAACCCACCATTTCTCGAATCGTGAAGCTCGACACGTTCGACATGGCACAGTACGCGATTTATGAGGAGAACAGGCTCCAGAAGCTTGTCATTCTTAACACCCACTACTACAACGACACGAGCGAAACACGGCCATCAAAGTTTGTGAACGTCAGCTCTGTCCTGGGGCCGAACATCAAGTTCAGGCGTCTCACTGGCTCTGAGACTACTGCTAGGTCGGGTGTCACTTGGGCCGGACAATCAGTGGATGCCTCAGGAAACATCGTGGGCAGACTGATAACAGAACATGCGTCCAACGGGCTGATCCAGTTGCTTGCTTCAGAGGCAGTCATCGTGGAGAGAAATGGTACAAGTAGTTCTTAGGCGTGGTTGGGTCGCCTCCTTGTCAAGACAGTCAAAGCGCAGCAGATGCGAATGCCTCGCCTCGAATCTACATAGTCGAATGTACATACCAACAACGTATCCTCACGGTCGCAAACATGATAACGACAGCATATGGGGTCACCAGGGGCAGCAACTCGGCAGCAGCAACACCGGGTTTTCTTCGGGCGCATTAATCGCGGCGCAGGCTTCACGATATTTTGAGATTTGTGACGCGTCGCAGTCGATAACATGCCCGTCACTGCGCTTTAGCAATCCTCTTTGTCTCATCTCCTGACCACGTCCAATAGTCCAAACCAAGCTGCGATGCCATTGCCGCCTTAAACTGTGACGAACACTCGACCTCAGACACCCCTGCGCACCTCTCCTACCCAACATGGCGTTCAACTTCGGCGCCTCAGGTGGAGGGGGTCTCTTTGGTTCAAATAATAATAATAATAGCAACAACACCCCTTCTTCCACCGGAGCAACCAGTGGCGGTTTATTTGGCTCAAGCACCGATAAACCCTCTCAGCCTAGTCTGTTTGGAAATCCATCGGCATCAAGTTCAGGAGGAGCAGGAGGAGGAGGAGGCTTCAGCTTTGGCAGCTTTGGAAAACCTGCCGCGACCGCTGGCTCCGAAGCACAGAACGTGAATACAACGGCTGGCTCGACTGGCGCAGCGCCTAGTCTCTTTACTGGAGGATTTGGCACCCCAGACAAATCGCCTGCCGGTAATCCAGCAACAACATCTGCGCCTCCGCTGTTTGGCTCTACTACTCCTGCAACCACCAAAGCTTTCAGCTTTGGCAATTCCACCACTCCTGCCGGCCCTCCTCCAGCCACTTCAGCCTTTGGCACCAGCACGGGTGGTCCCACCACGAACCTCTTTGGCAGCAAACCGGCTGATGATGGAACGAAACCGAACCCTACCTTTGGTGGTGGCTTCAGCTTCGGGGACAAGACTGGACAGACACCATTCAAGCCAGCCGAGCCCAAACCCTCTGGGTTCAGTTTTGGTGGAGCAGCAGGGCAAGCCACCTTCAAACCCGAAGAACCTAAAGCACCTTCGTTCAATTTCGGCGGAGGCCCAGGCAATACTCCGTTCAAACCTGCAGATCCAACACCAACTACCGCACCCTCGGTGACCACCACCTCGGGCTCGGAGCAGAAATCAGCTTTCTCGATGCCCTCCGCCTCAGCCCCAACAACCTCGCAGCCAGCCGCTTCACAGCAGTTTGGCTTCGGCGCGACATCAAAACCGTCAGAGGGACAAAATCTGTTTGCAAAGCCGACCACAACTGAACCCACAAAGTCGCCCTTCAACTTCTCACAGCCTGCCACGACGCAGCCATCGACGGGATCTTCGACCCCTGCAATGACGGCTTCGAAAAGCATCTTTTCGGGAATGGGGGCGTCTGCACCAGCAAGCACTGCTACCGCCGCAAGCACTGCCGCACCTGCTCCTGCTCCTGCTGCAAATCTCTTCTCTTTCCCTCCCACCACCGGTGGCCAGACGCCCGCGACCTCCGCGGCGACATCGTCTCCCTTTTCTCTCGCGACGACCACGACTTCTCAACCCACAACCACTTCAGCTACAGCGCCAAGTCCTTTCAACTTCACTAAACCGACTACCACGGCTCCTCCTCAACCCTCTTCAACCGCTGCCGCTCCGGGCTCAACCCCATTCTCTGCCTTAGCCACGACAACGACCACTTCGAGCTCCCAACCTGCTACCACGGCTGCAGCCCCGGGCTCCACTCCGTTCCAGGCGTCAACCACCGGTCCAGCTCCTCCGGCGCAGTCCCGACTGCGCAACAAGACCATGGACGAGATCCTCACGCGCTGGGCAACAGACATGTCGCGCTACTCGAAGGAGTTCAAAGAACATGCAGAGACGATTGCTCGTTGGGACCAATTGATCGTTGACAACTCCTCCAAGATCGACAAACTCTACGTCCGCACGCGTACAGCCGAACGTCAGACCGTAAGCGTGGACATGCAGCTGACGGCGGTTGAGAACTCCCAGTCTGAGCTTGAGGCATGGTTGACAAAGTATGAAAATGATGTGGAAGAGATGCTGGCCAAGGACTCTGCTGCTCCTTCCGAATTGGGTGGACCGGATCAAGAACGGGAGCGCACGTACAAGCTTGCTGAGAAGTTGGGTGAGAGACTCGATGAAATGGAGCGAGACTTGGGTGGTATGGTAGAGGAAGTCAACGCTGCGAATGCAAGCTTAAGCAGAAATGGGAAAGGAGACGAGCCGGTAAGATCGCTACCTGTTCGCTGGTCAAGTTCGAGACTAACAAGTCACAGATTACGCAAATCGTCAAGATCCTCAATTCACACCTGATTCAGCTCCAGGCTATTGACCAGGGCACCCAGGCATTGCAGGAGAAGGTCGCTGCGGCACAGAAGGCGGCCAGCCAACTTGGGTACTTGAATGCATCGTCCTTGAATGCGAGCAGCGGGGCAGCTGTGCAAGACTTCTACCGGAGTTACATGGGAAAACGATCGTGATCACAGCACGTCTGACGATCGCTTAGGTGGTGCACTCTGCCTGGCTGTTGACTTCGGCAAAGCAAGAAAGACGGCTTGCCCCGTCAGTCCTGCGAGCGTAGGCGTTGAAGAGGGTGCATAACACCTGATGTGTAGGATTAGAACGAAAAGCAACCTTTGCTTGCCACGGCGCGCATGGGCGGGGGATGAAAAGACTCGGTAAAAAATTGTCGATTACACAGTACGAAGTGTGAAGACAATTCACTTCCAGACCACGGCATAGCACGGCGCCCTGCCCACTCCGCTTGGCAGAGTCGCGCTTCTGTTGAAGCTGCGTCCAAGAACCCTGCCTAGTACTTAGCAGATCGCACTCCTGTAAAAGCGCCGTCCAAAAATAAAGCTTGGCAGACAAGTTAGGGCAGCCAGATCTGACAAGATCTGACCGGATAGACGTCGCAGTTTGAGGAAAGTGTTATACACAGTACATCGTTCACAAGGCTGTGCTTGGCCAAATTAGGTTAGACATTACCGAGCAGGCTGGACATCCATTCGCAAGCGGCTCTGCCTTCAAGCGTGCTTCTGATCCTGGCGGACGTGAACCAACAACTGCAACATTCAAGATTGTGACCTCTTCTACTGTCGACCCCCTCGTTCTCCCGTTCGTTCAGCATCAAAAGTTCCCGCCTGACTCTTATTCCAACCCACCATCAAGCACATCTCGGAAAGTCACCGTAAGGGCATACGCGCCTCCCAAGCAGCGCAACGATGCCTGCAGTCATGTCCTCACAGTCTGCCTCTCTCGACTCCATCCTCCATAGCCTCCAGCAATCTCTCAGCCATGGCGATGCATCGCAAGCACAGCAACAATTACAAAAAGCCAAGATTGCCCTCCTACAGCAGAACGCATTAATACCTTCACCACAAACACCTGTCCAGACTCTGGCCACGGCTCGCTCGATATTAGAAGCTGGCGCCCTGCTTTCCATCCGATCAAGAGATCCCCAATCCTTCATCAGATACTACTCCCAGTTACAGCCCTTTTACGACTTCCCCGGCCTACAACAGCATCCATCAAGGGATCGCTCAAAGATCACGGGGCTCTATCTCCTACTTCTGCTCAGTCAAGGTGACTATGCTGGCTTCCATACGCTGTTGGAGAGCTTGATCGTGGCGGCGGGAGCGAATGGGTCAGCAGTGGTGGAAGAGGATCCATTCATCAAATACCCCATCGAGCTGGAGCGTAGTCTCATGGAGGGCAGCTACGACCAAGTGTGGAGGAAGACGAATGGAAGAGACGTGCCGGGCGAGGAGTTTGGCTTGTTCTCCGATGTATGTTGGCTTCCGTCAACAGTCCTCCCACAATGCTGACCGCTGTGTTTACAGATCCTCATCAACACTATCCGCGTCGAAATCGCCTCTTGCGCAGCCCGTTCATACCCATCCCTCCCGATTGCCTCGGCAAAGAACCTTCTCTTCCTAGACTCCGAGGGTGCAGTCATGGAGTTTGCAAGTGATCAGGGATGGAGTCTCGAGGATGGCAGGATATACTTCCCTGGATTGGAGGATGCGAAGAAGGCACAAGAGGGTGATCAGAAGGAGGTGATTAGCCACATGGTCGGATATGCGAGGGAGTTGGAGAGTATTGTCTGAGCTCTTTTCGGTGCCGTATTAGAAGCGACATGAAGCGCACGACGCCGGAAGACATATGTAAACCTATTCAACAGCATAGCCTGGACTGCCGGCCCCGGGACAGCAATGTCGGCAAGGAACAAGAGAGCATAAGATGGGTGCAAAACGCGAGTCAGATTCTTCTATTGTGCCACGTCTCGGTCTGACGTGGTATGATGCTCACCATGCCATGCTCATATCTTCTACTGGGCTATCAAAGCTCGAGTTCTTTTCTCTACCTCAACGCGAGCCCGCCAACATGCAATCACTTTTCCCCAGCATTTGACGTACACCGCATCCCGAGAATCGAGAGCCACCCGCTCATATTCGCATCATTCGTTTTCAGATCTTTGGTCATGAATATGCCTGAGCCTCGAGCTTGAACTCATCCACGAAAGTCCAGGTACAGATCTTCATGTCGTAAAAGCTCGTGCTCACAACAGTGTAAGTAGGCGCCTCTGTCATCTTTCTAATCATGTTCGTGTCTACGTTCTCGCTCCCGTTCCCAATCCCCATGTTGTACGTGTCGTTGCGAATACCCTTGCCCGGACTTGCATTTTCGAGCCGCGCATCACAGCAGTAGACCATACTCTCGTGGCCGGCGGAAAAGGTCGCGAGAGGCGTGACTGTCCACGTCTCTTCGCTATGCGGCACTTCTGAGCTGGGCAAAACACCGCCACCGCCACTCCCTGTAGCGTAGGTGATGCGGACGATTGCAGCGCCCGCGTGCATTAGAGACGCGAGGACCAGGTAGTGGTGGTGCTGACAAGCGCGGCCGCCTCTGTCCGTGTGGGCGTCGTTGTTGGCTCTGGTGTCTGCATCTGTGGTGTACTGGTCAAGGACCTTCAAGCGCCACACGCCGCCATCCAGGCGTAGTTCGGTTTTCAAGCTTGCTCGGTAGCCGTGGGGATCGGTCTCGAAGATGCGCAGGAACTCGTCGTAGCTGCCGGTGAGGAGGGGGATGGTGCGCGGGGGCATCGGATCCTTCTCCTTCCCTAATACACCACGAGGTGGTGGCGTAAGCGGCAGTATGGCAACCACACCGGCGGTATGATCCCTGCGATCCTTCCACATGTGCGTGGCTTCAAAGGCCCCTTCATCCGACCGGAATGGCGTGGCGGGTGAAACACAACTCGCGACGACCGCGCTATCGTCCCCGCCACTGAGGATCAAGCGCTTGCAACCGCCGCCGTCACCACCATGGACATGTGCCCCATTGTCGCTCGAGGTGTACAACGGCATGTTGATGCTCGCTACAGTCCACGCCTCGAGATCATGCCTGTGCACGACATCACACGAGATCCGCGCCGCCGATACGACGCCATCCGTATCCCCACCGACGCGGTGGTCACTCACGTCCCGCACGTCAGGGATGCTCAGCGTCGTGACGCTCGTCTCGCCGAAACTCGTCGTGGCAGCCAGCGCGACGATCAGCATGTCGTCGACGCCTCTCGTCCCCGTGCGCCGCATCTCCTCGAACCAAGTAAACTGCGTGACTAGTGGCGTGAGGCCGTGCTCGTCATCCTCGCCGACCCGCACACTCCCCAGCGGGAGAAGTCGCGTCGTCACCCTCCTGCCAAGCACGTCCCCTCGAACGACGAGCCTGTAGAAGTCGATGGACGCATTGCTCGTCGCGACGCCCAGCAGCGTCGGGTCCTCCGCGTGGAAATGCACGTCCAGCGCCGCGCAGGGGAGGTCCACTCTGTCGAGGCCGGGGGGTAGCATGCCCGCGTAGCTTGGCGTGAATGTCGAGGACACGGTCATGACGCGCAGGCTGCCCTGCCGGGTTTGGCCCACGTACGAGGTCGGGGCGTCCTTCTTGACGAGGCTGTAGGTGCCCACGATCATGTAGTCCGGGTGGACGGGGCAGATGGCCACGGTGTCGATCTCTTGGTCCAGTGTGCGGGTGGTGTATTGGGAGATTGAAGCGACCTTGTTGGTGGAGCCCATGGTGCTGACGATCGTGGACGGTGAGAGCCAGAGCGCTGGGCTATCGCTGAAGCTGTCTGCGCGCTGGCGGCCTCGTGCTGCATGAAGTCGTCTGAGGTTGGCTTTTACGTTGGCTATCAATTGCGAGATGGACGCGGGTGGCGGCTGTGCCATTGTGGGAGCGCGGGATTGCAAGACGTAGACAAGACTAAGGGCTCTAGGGAGAGTAGGAACTTACATGGAGATTCTTCGCCTCGGGCTAATGTTCGAAGCTACTGTAGCTTCTGGCTGTCTGTGAAGAGAGGGAAAAATCCGCGCAGTTCTGCTGATACAGTACTCGGGGATCGAGGTTGTGACGGCAGACTGGTACTCGTAGACCCATAGCGGCTCGGTCGATAACGGTCACTCAGTCATCCGCACGCGAACCGACTATGGTCTAGCACAACGAGGTAAGGACGAAATGTAGCAGAAATGATATGGTGATCCAAGGTTGTGCTGGTTGGAATGCAATCCTCAGCCTCGTCACGTGTAGGGGTATCTAATGAGCTCATAATCGATCATCTAGCATATCCGAATGTCTCGCGCCTGGAGTGGAATCAAGGTTGACTGCAAAGTAGCAGGCCGCGAGACGTTGGAAACGGTAAAAAGGGACTGGGTGCCAGAAGTGCTTCTCGGAGTGTCACTAGATGACTCTGCACTCATAGGAAATTTGTGTGACTGTGCACTGGCGGTCCTCTCATTTGTTCCTCAGTCGCCTACAAAGTCGCTACTCTGCTGGAGCGCTGAAAACCCCGGTATAACCCTCCATTTTCATGACCATCTACCAAGTCAAGGCGGCACGCACCGTCGTGGACATTATGAGCCACTAGCGGCGCCATCCATATCGCCTTCACCTATTCGGCTTGGGTCGGAGGCGATCATCGAATCGAACCACCAGTGAGCAGCCAGGCATCAAAGCCCGCTGCTAATTTCACTAGCTAGAGCAGACGCGACTCCCGGGCAAGCTGCTGGGAGGTGACCAAACATAACGACGACAGTGAAGTGTCGTGCCCGAGTCCGGAGCTAGACCTTGCTTGCCTGGGTATCGATGAGGTATCGAACTTGAGAACGGTCGCAGAGTTGCTGCACAGCTTCAAGGTCCCAAAGATCTTATTCTTTGTTCTGACTCCGAGACATCGTCTCGAGGTTTATTTTGGTCGCTTGTGCTTGAGCCAATATCAGGTCGCATGCCATTGGACGCGCGACTTCGTCAATAATATGTCGCCGATGGTCTAAGGGCGTTATCTGATGGCTGGATGGCGGACCAAAGACGTAAAGAACCCCATTCAGTTTGGGTGGCCAGTAGGAGGTACACCGCCCGCACCTACCCACCAGATTTTTTACTCATGATGCTGGTCGTCGAAATCCAAGACAACTTTTGGTTCCCCGTGATCATACACTCTCACCAATGCGGGGTATCTTGAAGCAGAACGGACACATCAGCACTACTTCCGTGCTTGCTCCCTCTCGACCTCGTACATGAAGTCGAAGTAGGACTTGTCGAAAGCGTGCATTCTGACGTACCCGTCTTCGCCCCCACTTGCATATGAGATGCCTTGCGGGTGGACTGAGATGGTGTTCAGCGGACCAAAGTGACCTCTTACGCGACCGATCTCATCCTCAAAGATTTTGTGGTAGAATCGAGCCTCGAATTTGCCCTGCCTGGCTGAAGTGGTGGTAACGTCCATGGCCGCTTGACCGCCTCCTAGAATGACAAAGTCCTTTTTGGGCGTGATGGCAGCAGTGTTCAGCGGTGTATCAGCAACGTAAGTCTTGAGAATGCTCAGATCCCGCGTGGACAAAATCTTAGCAGACTTGTCTTTTCCGGCGGTGATGAAGTATGTGCGGTCGGGAGAGAATTGCAGGTCGTTGATGGTCGTGTCGAACTCGTGGACCTCCATGCTCATCAAAAGCTCGCCAGTCTTTGCGTCCCACTGCGACACGGTTCCGTCCTCGTGTCCCGAGATGATATATCTGTCCAGATAACTCCATCCGGCTACTGTGGCTTTGCTTTCTTCGCAGGTGATTTTTAAGCTGTGCTCGTCCGTCTGGTCCGTCAAATCAGTACCATACCGAACGTCGTAGACCACGATAGTCCCAAGGTATCCCATTCTCTTCTCCGTGACTGCGAGCAGTTGCTTTCCGTCTTCACTGAATTGAACCCTCTTAACAGCGGTGGGAAACTCCCACGTCTTCACGCATTCTCCTGTTCGAATGTCCCACAGCTTTATCGTATTGTCGGCCGCCCCGGAGGCGAGAAGTTCGGTGTTCGGGGATACATCCACAGTCCAGATTGCGCCTTGGTGGCCACTGTACGTTCCTAGCCGCTCTCCGTTGCTGGTGTACCACGCACAGATGACTTTGTCTTTCGCGACCGAGAAGAGGAGGTCGCCGTCCTTGTTGTATTTGATTTGGTTGAGCGATCGCTCCTGAAGAAGTTTGTCAGTCAGTTTTCTGGTGGATGTTCCTTACACCCCACTCACATGGCCTTGCAAGAGTATGGGCCTCATTATGGAGTCTGATTCTGTTTGAAATATCGGCAGTGCGTAGAGAAGAATCTTCTGGGATTCAAATACTCGGAGAATATCAGGTGTAGAGTGTGATGGCTGCCTTTGATCGAGGAGTCATCGGCGAAAGATGTGGGCAAATTCAGGCCAAGATTGCGGTGCGCTACGGGGGATCAAGTTAGTCTTGCTCGGCCGTAGGCGTCACGAGTCACGCAGCTCGGGGATATTGATGTTGCACGATTCAGGTCCAGAAAAATTCCGTGACGGGAATCTTGAAACCATCGTCACAACTTTTACCCGGCGTGCTGGACGATGGATGCGGTTCAAGAGCCAGGAATACCCTCTCCTTGGTCACCTGGAACGATATTTCTACGGAGCTGTGAGCTCTGATATGGCCAGCAGGTTATCTAGTGCGACGCATCTCAATGGTATATTGGCAAGTCGCGTTCCTCTCAAGCTTGCATCGTTCTCCAAAACTCGTCTCCGCGCTCCGACTTCACCCTCTTCTCTTCACCCTCTCATAAGCCCGACCGCCCATCGAGCTGTCTCTCCGGTCAGCTTGACCTGCCGGGGTCTGTCTTCGTACAGGAAGGGACCTGCTGGTCAGAAGTCATCTTATTTCCAGGCTCACACTCCGCCGACTCGTCCCTTACCTGAAGGAGTCACACGAGCAGGACTGCTCCCTCTCTCACTGTCGCTGCAGTCACGATCTTTTTCCCGTACAGCGGTCAAGATGGGGGCTACCAAGATCGATGGCAAGGTGGTTGCCCAGAAGATCAGGGAGCGGCTGGCCGAGGAGATCAAGGAGAAACAAAAGAACAACCCCCGTTACCGGCCATGCTTGAAGATCATTCAAGTTGGGGACCGACCAGATTCGTCTACCTACGTGCGAATGAAGTTGAAAGCAGCTCAAGAAGCCGGTATTGACTGCGCTCTGATACATTTGCCCGAGACCATATCGGAGCCCGAGCTGCTGCAGCAAATCATTGATTTCAACAACGACCCTGCTGTGCATGGTATTCTCGTCCAATTGCCCATTCCCAAGCATCTCTCGGAACATGCAATCACATCTGCTGTCGTGGACGAGAAGGATGTTGATGGATTCGGGACCATGAATATTGGCGAGCTTGCGAAGCGAGGCGGGAAGCCATACTTCGTCCCTTGCACACCTAAAGGCGTTATGGTGTTGCTGCAAGAGAGTGGTGTCGAGGTCAAGGGCAAGAACGCTGTCGTCCTCGGTCGCAGTGACATCGTGGGCAGCCCGGTCAGCTACCTTCTGAAGAATGCCGACGCCACTGTCACAGTCTGCCATTCAAAGACACAGAATATCAAGGACGTGGTCAAGCAAGCTGATGTCGTGGTTGCTGCTATCGGGCAGCCAGGGTTCGTAAAGGGAGACTGGCTGAAGCCGGGCGCAGTCGTGATCGACGTCGGGACAAATTACATCTCTGATCCGTCCAAGAGTTCAGGTCAGCGCCTTGTTGGTGATGTCGACTTTGAGTCGGCGGCTGAGGTCGCTTCTCAGATCACTCCTGTTCCGGGTGGTGTTGGCCCCATGACAGTTGCAATGCTCATGCAGAACGTTGTCGAATCGGCCTCGGCCTATTTCGAGAAACTGAAGTCAAGGCACGTAACTCCATTGCCAATCAAGGTCCAGACACCTGTGCCATCCGACATTGCAATTTCCCGCTCACAGCACCCGAGACAGATAACGCACATAGCTACTGACATTGGCATCGCTCCTCACGAGCTAGAGCCGTATGGTGCTTACAAAGCCAAAGTCGACCTGTCGGTGCTTTCAAGGCTTGAGCACCGAAAGAATGGCAAGTATATCTTGGTTTCTGGTATCACTCCGACCCCTCTGGGCGAAGGCAAGTCCACCACCACAATGGGTCTCACGCAAGCACTGGGTGCGCATCTGAACAAAGTGACCTTTGCGAATGTGCGACAACCCAGTATGGGTCCGACCTTTGGCATCAAAGGTGGTGCGGCCGGTGGTGGGTACAGTCAAGTCATTCCTATGGATGAGTTCAATCTTCATCTGACGGGTGACATCCACGCGATTACTGCTGCCAATAACCTGTTAGCGGCTGCGATCGATACGCGCATGTTCCACGAATCCACACAGAAGGACGGTGCTCTCTTCAAGAGGTTGGTGCCTAGCAAAAAAGGCAAGCGAGAGTTCGCCCCAGTCATGCTTCGAAGACTCAAGAAACTGGGAATCGACAAGACAGACCCGAACGAGCTCACAGAAGACGAGATCCGTCGGTTCGCACGCCTCGACATCGATCCTGAGACAATCACATGGCGGAGAGTGCTCGACGTCAATGACAGACACCTGCGAGGCATCACAATCGGCCAAGCACCTACAGAAAAAGGTCATACCCGAGAGACAGCCTTTGACATCTCCGTGGCAAGTGAGTGCATGGCGATCCTTGCCTTGAGCACCGACCTCAGGGACATGCGCGAGCGTCTTGGCCGCATGGTGATCGGCTCATCCAGGGCTGGAGAGCCCGTCACTTGCGACGATATTGGCGCTGGCGGTGCTCTCACGGCACTGATGAAGGATGCTATCAAACCCAACCTGATGCAGACTTTGGAGGGCACTCCTGTCTTTGTCCATGCTGGGCCATTCGCAAACATCAGCATCGGCAACAGCTCTGTCTTAGCGGACAAGGTTGCACTTAAACTGGCGGGGACTGAGCCTGATGAAGACCATGAAGCGAAAGCCGGATTTGTCGTTACCGAAGCCGGCTTCGATTTCACCATGGGTGGCGAGAGATTCTTCAACATCAAATCCCGAGCCTCCGGCCTCGTGCCCGACGTCGTCGTCGTCGTTGCTACGATCCGAGCACTAAAAGTCCATGGCGGAGGTCCCGAGATTTCGGCTGGAGCCTCTCTGCCAGAGGCGTATCGAACCGAGAATGTCGAAATGCTACGCGCCGGATGTGTCAACCTCAGAAAGCATATCGCCAACGCCAAGTCCTACGGCGTTCCCGTTGTTGTGGCCATCAACAAATTCGAGACTGATACTGAAGCCGAGCTCAAAGTCATAGAAGAGGAAGCTCTTGCTGCGGGCGCGGAAGCGGCTGTGCCAGCTAACCACTGGGCTGAAGGAGGTGCTGGCGCTGTTGATCTTGCCAAGGCCGTAGTTGAGGCTTCGTCGAAGCCAAAGGACTTCAAATTTCTCTACGGCCTCGAGGGCAACGTCCACGAGCGCATCGAGAAGATCGGCAAAGAAATGTACGGCGCGGACAAGGTCGAGTTCAGCGAGTTGGCCCAACAGAAGGTGGACATGTACACTAAACAGGGCTTTGGGAATCTGCCCATTTGCATTGCGAAGACGCAGTACTCGCTGAGCCATGATCCCGCGCTGAAAGGCGCACCCACTGGCTTCACCGTCCCGATCCGGGACGTCAGGTTGGCTGTTGGGGCTGGCTATCTGTATGCCTTGGCTGCAGACATTCAAACCATTCCCGGCCTGCCCACGGCGCCGGGATATCTGAATGTGGACGTGGATCCGGAGACCGGGGAGATAGACGGGTTGTTCTGAATGGGTATGTGGCGGTCTCATGACGGATATCGGTTAGATGCATGGCTTTTTATGACTTTCAACAACAGACGACTTCAGAGATACCCTCAACGTTTCCGAGAGATAGTACTACAGTAGATAAAAACTGTCCGGGCGGTTCAACTATGCTGATCACCTTTGGTCAAGTGGACGAAGTGAGTTAGTTAACTAGAGTAGATGCCTATGTCGTACCTGATTTTCGTGAATACTATCCTGGGGCGGTCAACGCGGATGTTTTCGCGTTGCTCAAGGTCAGGCGCAGTACGGAATACCTCGCATACCCACATAAGCTGGAGACAACAAGGACATCTTTTGCTTTTCTGATAGCGTAACCGAGTCCGGTGCTCGAGACGTTCCAGATCCATTGTTCAGCCCTTCGTGTAAGACGTCTCTTCCCCAGTCAGCCCTGCCGGAGTTCACGCAGTGTAAAGGTATTGCCGGCGTCTAGCAATCCGGGGTGCAGCAATTAGCGCGAGGGAGAACTCGGGGTGTTGAGGCCTGTGAAGCTGCCTTTCTGATTCTACAGCCGTAGCCAAGGCACATTCGGAGGAGCACGTCGGGTTCATGTCGCTGAAGAAGGCCTCAACTGTCGGATGTTTCTGCGCGAGGAAGGAGGCTCGGCTTGATGAGGCTTCCTGCGTTGATCTTAGCGCCATGGAGTCGTGCTGCCCGAGCTCTGAGTAATGTCGTTTCACCCGGACCAGAGTCACCTTCAGAGCGAGAAGATATCCTGGTCGTACATAGCCCTCAATGCCGTGGAGCAAATTTGAGTGTGAGCCGTCATGTGTGGTGACACCAAATCGCATCGGGCGTCAGAGGGAATTGGAAGACAACTTGCGGTGGAACTTCCATGGCTTCATGTTCGCTGGTGTAACGATATCATCTTGTGCTGGGCTGGATTCCGCGCCAACGGTCCGAAGTAGGTTACATATCAACGTCAGATAGAGCAAGTCAGCGTCATTCAAACTTCCGGCACAATTTCTCAGCGCGCCCTGCCAGCTCGTTCAGCTCCGTTGTCACGCCCGTGCACCCTGGTCGGCTTTGTCTTGGTCATTGAAGAGCGAGCTTCTGGCCTGAGCTCAGATTCAGCTGCGAGCTCTAGCCTCGGTACTTTGTATGCTTTCGGCTTTCTTGGACAGGACTGCTCTTGGTGAGTAATTCGTCCCTTACCTTCCACCCTCCTGCAGCATTTCAGAGATGCACGGTGAGGGGATTATCATGTTTGACTCCACGTCACTCATCAGTCTCCTCCTTCTGTTGTACGTGGATTAGTCAGTCTGTACCTCATACTCTGATCCTATACGCATGACCATTGCTCTCAGTAACCAATCCCACATACAAGAAGCGAACTGGCATCGACATTATTCGCGGATCATCCTTGGCAATTCAGTGCGATCGACGGGCGCTGCGCTATTCCGACATCTATTTTTATAAGTACGGGGCTCCGTCAGAAACGCTGGAAATGGGTATATCGCCCTTCAAGATCGATATACCCGAACATGAAGTCGACCGGCTTAAGAGGAAGCTGCGAGACACGAGGCTGCCAAAACGGCCGATTGTTCCTGAGGCAGGCAGCGATTATGGTATGCCATGTTAGCAATCACTACGCTTCGGTGCTGACCTTTATGTCGCGTACAGGCCCTCCTGTAGAGTGGTTTCATCGCCTCCACAACACATGGCTGCATGACTTCGACTGGTCCTCTGTGCAAACGCATCTGAACCGACATGATCACTTCCTTGCGGATATTGACGACGAGGCTTTCAGCCTCAAGGTTCATTTCACGCACACCAAATCTATCAGAGATGATGCCATCCCGCTCATGTTCATCCACGGCTGGCCTAGCTCCTTCCACGAGTTTGATCGCGTGGTTGACGCACTCGCCAATCCGGAGGACCCCTCGCACCGCGCATTCCACGTCGTCGTTCCCAGTTTGCCAGGCTTCTGCTGGTCTTCTCCTCCTCCACGACGAGGCTGGACCATGAAAGATACAGCCCGAGTGTTCAACAAACTCATGAATCAGCTCGGGTATAACAGCTATGTGGTCCAAGCCGGTGACTGGGGCTCATTTGTTGCTCGCGAGTTGGGCGCCCGCTTCGAAGAATGCAAAGCTGTGCATTTCAACTTCTGTCCCGTCGAGCTGGATGAGAGTATCACCGACCTGACGCCCCGGGAGAAGGTAATCAAGCAAAGACAGCACGACTGGCTAGACAAGCACCTGGGATATGCAGTCGTCATGCGCACCCGTCCACACACCATCGGCTTTGCCCTGACAGACAACCCAGTCGGCATCCTGGCGTGGGTTGGAGAGAAATTCATCGAAGCCGTCCACCCGTCGAAGCTCGAACCTCCAGATCCAGTCTGGGACCAAGCGATTCTTACGACGTGCAGCTTGTACTACTTCGCGGATTGTATCATGACTTCATCGTTGCCATACTTTGAGGGCATCAAGCACTCTGAGTTTGGGAATTTCTTCCTCAAGAAGGAGAACTATGTCAGCGTCCCGATGGGCTATACCAGTTTTCTGTATGATACGAGGCCCGGGACTGAGAGGAGTGTGAAGCAGACGGGGAACATGGTATTCTACAATGGTGAGTCTTTGGTGGCAGTGTGACGACGCGATTCACTAACCTCATTTCCCGCAGAGTGTGACGATGGCGGCCATTTTGCCGCGCTCGAAACACCCGACGTCATTCTTCGGGACTGTCGGAAATTCTTTGGTCAGTGGTTCAAGACTTGATGCCGGGTTTGATGACGGATGAGCCATCTTAACAACCGGGTGCCCCTCCAGCTGAGCGTCATTCTTCAGAAGCTCAGACAACATCTTGTAATATGGGAACGGCAATGCAGACGGTTGGGACGATGCGCAGTGAACTCAACGTCCTACCTTGGCGGCAGGTTGGCCATGATATCCCTGCTATTCCCTGTCGCTGACGACTTCTCGCTCGCCCCGACGAACATACCTTTGACGTTTCGTGGGTCAATTCCACTGGTGCTTGTTGGCGCGGACGTGTTGATGCGACCGGAACTGGAGAATAGAGGCCCCCTGTCGAGCCCGCCACTTCCCGAATTCGCGAAACGGTTTCTCAGTACTAGATTCAGCTATTTAGCCGCGGCGACGCTGCAGTCTACCAAATTCGACGACATCTCCCGGTTTTTGCGCGAAAATCACCTATATTGTCCACGCCTGCAGGGTGAAGATCTGCGGGAATTGGCGAGTCTCAGGATGGGTGGAGAGTTGATCATGGAGGATGGCTGGGTTGGCCATGGAGGGAGAGATCACTCGCTGTCCGGGTGGACATGTAGACGATCGGGTGTCCGGAAGAAGGCTGCGCGCTTGTAGATATGTGTGGTACCTACGGAAGAATACTAGCCGTAACGAGTCTTCATGCTATGTGCCCACTCGAGCCTACTCAGGTCATAAAAGGTAGTTGAATGGATGAGAAACTTGTCCGAAGCAATGGCCGTAGGTGCTCATTCAGTGTGTAGTGAGTGGTAGGTCAATGTACGGAGTAAGGTGAGTGGTGGTAGCCCAGTCCGTATGACGTCACACGCCGCTCGCGATATGCCCACCCCCATGCTCCGAGATTGCCTCGATTAATCAGGCAAGGCTGAACCACACCTCTCCTCTCCCGAAGAGAAAACCCGGGCCACCCATTAGTCCATCGACTGGCGAGCTAGGAGTAGACAGCATACGAGGACAGCAAGCAGATCCTGATCTTGGCCTCCACCCGAGTCTGTCCTTCCATCACGACTCTCGCATCTGACAGTCAAGCTCGAATCACCACCATGAGACACAGGCGATAAATGATAATGCCCGCGCCACGACGCCATGACGATTGCTTCTTCGACGCTCAGGGGTCTGGGCTTGAGCTGGAGCCCGCCCTCGTCCTTGTCTCTGCTCCTGCCTTTGGTCGATAAATACTCCTGGGGCTCCCGACCTTTATGCACCCAGGTCCAGGTCCAGCGGCCTCACACTCGTACCTTATTGTCAAGTAAGATTCGAGACGGCCCTGGACTGGTCCGTGTAGATCCACGACGGCCTTCATCCCCGCGAACCCTTGCGCCGCCACGATGGCCCTCGTCGCTGTCGTGGAGCCGAGCAGCATCCACGCAGAGACTCACCACAGACCAGGACACGCGCCTGGTGGACTCGGCGCTCGACGCCAAGACCGGCAAGATCACATGCGTCTACTTCGACAAGTCCGGCCGCGTGGACCGCGAGCACAGAAAGAAACCCCTACAGCTTACAAAGGCGGAGATCGCGGCCCAGTTCGAGCTCCGCCACCGCGACCTGCGGGACATTGATCTGCGGAGCGAGGGTGTCACGCGCATCCTCGTCCGCCCGTCGACCATCCTGCTGCAGTTCTTCCAACTCTGCATGATCGTGCAGGCCGACGAAGCGCTCCTTATCAACAACGCTGCCGCGGTAGGGACGAAAGCAGATCCGAACGAAGACGACGATAGCCTCGACGCCGACATTGGCAATGTGGCGGCAGAGAAAGAACGCGACTCTGCCCACGACAAAGCCCAGGCCCAAACCCGCCAGCAGCAGCAGCAGCAGTTCTACAACGACTTCGAGCAGCGCATGGCCGCCCCGACGGCCGAGATGGCCGACATTCCCGAACTGCCGTACGAGTTGCGCGCCGTCGAGGCCGCGCTCGTGGCCGTCCTGACATCACTGCGCGGGGACTTTGTGACCGCGCGCCAGCAGGCCGAAGAGGCGGCGCGCAGCCTGCGCCTCGACTCGGGCGCCGGCTCCATCGGGCTGGACCGCGTCTTCGAGCGGACCCGGGCGCTCTCCAAGATCGAACAAAAGGCCCGCCTGGTGCGCGACACGATCCGCGACGTCCTCGACGCGGACGACGACCTGGCGGGCATGTACCTGACGGACCGGCGTGCCGGGAAGCCGCACGACGTCTCGGACCACCAAGAGGCCGAGTACATGCTCGAGGCGTACCACAAGGCGGCCGACACGCTGGTCGAGGCGGCGCAGGCCGTGATCGACATTCTGCGCAAGAAGGAGAACACGTTCCGCTCGTCGCTGGCCGTGCAGCGCAACCAGATCATGTTCCTCGAGGCCAGGATCGCCATCCACACGCTCGGCCTCGCGGCGGGCACCATGGTCGCCGGCCTGTTCGGCATGAACCTGGTCAACTATCTCGAGGAGGCGCCGTACGGGTTCTTCTACATCACGGGCGTGTGCATCGTGCTGAGCTCGCTGTTCTCCATGTACGGCATGCGGAGCTATTGGCGCATTCAGAGCCTCAAGGGCATCCAGCGGTCGAAGGCGGGTGGTCTTGGGCGGCGTCGGTGGTGAGGTAAAATCATCTACCTCTTCAGGGGAGCGGGGTCCGGGCGTTCACGAAGATTTAGTGGGCTGCAGCCATAGGACAAGGTCGTCGCGTCCTAGTACGGTGGCGGCAAAATGGGATTGAAGCGGACACGAGCGCTTGAGCAGCTCTGATCTGCGCCTATACTGTGTTGATAACCATGGTGCTCTCATTGTCCTTGGATTGTAGCGCAGTTGATGATACACCCTCGTTCAAATTCGCACTCGAGCGATTTCAGTGGAACATCGCGCTCAGTCGATGGGCTGCTCTTCCAACCTGAGATCGAAAGTTCCGTCGAGGTATAGATTTGGTGCCTGTCAAGATCTCGGAATGACACGTATAGACCGCGAGAGTACGACTGCTAAGGGTTGCGGGGGCTGGGGGGGGGGGGGGGGAGAGCGAGACGCGTGGCCGATGATTCCGCCTTCGGAAATCTGCCACTGTTTGGACAGTTTAGAGAACTCGAAGGAAGGCGGCAAAGGCAGGACGTCTCAGAGAAATAAGGAGCTGATACCTCTACGACGGAGCGGTAAGAATCTGTAGAAGTAATGTGTCTTTGCTATCAGCCAGCGTCTTTGAACCCCCTGTCGTCGATGTCTGTGGCATTTCGTGTAATGCAGCCGGCTGCGGACCAACGGAGCACTATGTCTTGCCCGGGAGGCGTGTTGAACTTCATGTGCCTCGATCCGCTGTCCGCCATTCGACTTTGCTAATCATGGATAATTCCCGTGCGTAGGTTGATGTTCATCATCCTTCCTGTGTCTAAGATGCATTTGCTCCGGCTGCGTAAACGCTCTATCATCACCAGATCGTTATGGCTTCGGGACATGTAAAGTTCTGCTCGTCATCAAACAGCCATTGACGATAAACATCGCCGCTGCTGGGTGAAACTCCAACGCGGTCCCCGTAAACCAGGTGCCCAGAGGGAGAGTGTCGTGTATCAGGCCCAGAAAGGTGAAGGTGGCCATGACGCTCGAAGTCGTCAAGCAAGCGAACGGAATCGGGGTTCCCTCAAAGTATTTGGACTTTCCGGATTTGTCCTTTGGTAGCATTGCGACTGTTACGTTGAACCGTGCCAATCTTGTCAATCCACAGAGCACGTAGAAGCTCAGGAGTATCTGGTCGACAGAGGTGCGAAAGCCAATCGCGAAGCCAGCGGCTGCGGTAGCCACACCAAACGTTACCTGGAATTCACTTGTCAGGAGCCGAGTCCTATCAACTATGGACTTTTTGCATAATGCGTACCAAATCAGCCAGGGAGTCCAGCTCTTGACCCATCAGAGATGACTTCTTTCTCCATCGAGCAACTTTGCCATCGAAGAAATCGAAGAACAGGCCAAATGGCATAAAGGCGAATGCCAGCCATAGATTCGTCAGATCGCCAGGGTCAGAGAGACAGTATCGCATCGAAGACAGGACAGACATAACTGTGGCCGGACGTCAATGGTGGTTTCACTTAACAAGCGCATGAGACGTACATCCACAGAATCCTGGGCTAAGTTAGCATTTCTCCGGTACCTCACCATCTGAGCGACTCACCATTGAGTTCAGTGATCAGGTCGGCGAGATGTAGCGCCCTGTACAATATTCAGCTCTGTCTCACCCCAAGCCAGACCGTGGCTACCCACCTGATCAAACTAAAGTGCCCCGCGTCTTCCGATAGCAGCATTACCTGCTTCGATTGAGTCTTCTCCTCGGGTTGGCCCGCAGGCTCTTTGGGACCTGAGTTGGTTGTGCCCGTGCGCCTCGACATTTCTGCGATCACCGAGGTGCAGGGTTCAGAGGCAGTCAGGAAAAGATCTTATGGAAGGATCGGTTGGTAGGATGAGAGGGGAGAGGATGCAGGAAGATATACCCCCAAGTGGAGGCTACGTCCTCGTGCTGCGGCGAAAACAAGGCGACAATTGCGATACTGGGAAGAACCGCTGCAGTGCGCGAGTGTGACAGCACTCGATGATGAGCCGCTGGGTGGGCAAAAGGCCGGTTTACCGTGTGTCGTCATCATGCAGCAGCCGTCACAGCCTGAAAGGGAAGAATGCGACAGTCACGTGCATTCAGATCACGTGTCGAGGAAATGCTTATGGAAGTGTATGTCATCTGTGGGAGAGACTACTCACCACTGGTCCCTGTACTGTAAGAGTGTAAGAGCGACCTAGCTTTTCCATATCCATTTCTGCCGTGAGACACCAACCGAGTACAGATCCATCAGAGCGCATTTTCATGATGGATATCCCGTCCGAACGCCAGAGCATGTAGCCTGCAGAACCCAGGACAATCGACAGTCAAGAGACGAGGCTGCTGCAACTCAACCTCTGCCCCGACCTCTTGAGCCGAACCCGCCGCCCCTGGAGAAGCCGCCGCCTCGTCCGCCGGAGAAACCTCCACGACCTCCACCTCTGGGAGCACCCCGACCACCGCCAAACGAACCTCCGCCAAACGACCCTCGGCCTCTGGGTGCGCCCCTGCCTGGAGCGCCTCGTCCTCTAGGAGCACCTCGTCCACCTCTCATACCTCCTCGTGCCCCGGCTGGCTTCTTGACTCTTGCGGCACCTTCAAAACTGTGAGCGTCACGCCAAGTGCTTGAGTTGGGCGGTAACTTACCTGGTGGTGGTTTGGGCTTGGGCAGGAACCTGCTATGGTCTTAGCAATATATCCCGTTCCCACTGCATCGCAAACCTTACTTCTCCAAAGGTAATAGCTTGTCCCCGCCAATAAAGAACTTGTCACCCTTCTTGAATGATGTGGCTTGAATGCCTTCCTGGGGCTTGATCGTGAAGTAGACTTGGTTGATCGGCCCCAGAATCTCATCCACTTTTCCTATTGTTGTCTGCTTTGGTCAGAGAAGTCGCAATGCATTTGGCCACGGGTCGCACCTTGTTCTCGAGGTATATGGGGGCGTTAAAGTAGGGGACCTTGGTGTTGATGGACTCGCAGACCATCTCTCCCTCGGTGGCGTGCAGGAAGGTGCCCATTTCTGGCCCAAGTTAGTCTCAGCGTGGTCGCATCAGTACGTGAGATCTCACCGAGCACCTGTGCAGGCGGTCCGAAGCTCTGCGGTTGGAAGCCCCCGCGTCCTGGTCATCGTCACTCGTCAGTGCCATTTTCGCGGCGGCCGCCAAAGTGTGCGCGGAGAAGATTTTGGGAATCGAATTTACCTCCGCCCCTTCCTCCAAACGATCCTCGTCCTCTGTCACCACCTCTGAACCCGCCACGCCCTCGCGAATCGCCTCGGAACGACATTGTTGTAGCGGAGAGGAGTGGTTGCGGTTTGCGGTGCCAGCGTCTGGGGGAAAATAATTTTAAGCACCTCCAACTCGATGCGCGGGCGCGGGCTTGTTCGACGGCACGTGACGTTATACGCTCCCTACCGGCACACAACGAATACCATCATTGGTACCGCCATTACCCACCGACCCGCTGCCATAATATTCAACAGCCTCGATTCCCCGCTTAGAGACCTCAGTATGAGCCACCAGAAGAAAGTCAGTCTCAACCCTCACGATCTCTGGGGGGTCCTGAAAGGCGACAATATGAGTCAAAACGGTACGGCCGCCGGCCCTGACTCATCCTCCCCGCCATCACAGACATCAAAAAGACCTGTGAGCCCAACCTCTAACAAGAAACTCCCGAGCCGACCCAAAGAAATGTCGTCTCAAGCAGCGCCTGCGGCTCATCAGGCCCCAAAATCATTACCCGATTTCGTCCTGCAAAGAAACGAGTTCTTTGACCAATTGAAGAAGGAGTACGACCAAGAACTCGCCAGCAGGGACAAACCCGCAATTCAGATCAAGCTCATTCCCTCCCCCGGTCAAGAAACGACTGTCGAGGGCAAAGCATGGGAGACCACGCCCGGCCAGCTGTTGAAAAATGTCTCCAAAGATCGAGCTGGCCAGATTGTGGTCGCCAAAGTTGACGACAAACTATGGGACCTTGACAGACCACTGGAGAAGGACAGCAAAGTCTCTTACCTCACGTTCAGCGACTCTGAAGGCCGAGATGTCTTCTGGCACTCGTCCGCTCACGTTCTCGGCGAATGCGCCGAACACGAGTACGGATGTCGTCTGTCCCACGGCCCTCCCACAGCGATGGGTTTCTTCTACGACATGGCCCTTGAACCAGGCCAGGCCGTTCGCGAGGCCGAGTGGCCTAGCCTGGAGAACCGGGCGAAGAAGTTCACCAAGGAGAAACAAGCGTTTGAGCGTCTTGAAGTCTCCAAGGACAACCTGCGCAAGATGTTCGGTTACAGCAAGTACAAGATGCACTACATTGAGAAGTTTGTGCCGGATGGCGAGTCCTCTACGGTCTACCGCAACGGCACGCTCGTCGACCTGTGCCAGGGTCCACACATTCAAAACACGCGCAAGATCGAGTCTTTCAAGATCATGAAGAACAGCTCCGCCTACTTCCTGGGTGACCAGAACAACGACTCCCTGCAGCGCATCCACGGCGTCGCCTTCCCCTCGAAACAGCAACTCAAGGAATGGGAGAACTTTCTCGAGGAAGCCAAGAAGCGCGACCACCAACTCATTGGTCAACAGCAGAAACTTTTCATGTTCAGCAAAATGTCTCCGGGTTCACCATTCCTCCTGCCTCACGGCACCCGCATCTTCAATGCCCTCCAGGCCATGCTCCGTGACCAATACTGGGAAAGAGGCTACCAAGAAGTCCAATCACCCAACATGTACGACGTCGAGCTGTGGAAGACATCCGGCCACTGGCAACACTACCAAGACGATATGTTCCGCGTGCAAGTGAAGGACGACTCGGCTGACCCGATGCCGCTGTCGGACAAGAAACCCGACGGCAAGACCCCCCTCGCGGAGATCAAGGACAAAGACAAAGGTGTCTTTGCTCTCAAACCCATGAACTGTCCGGGCCACTGCATCATGTTCCGCGACGACGATCGCAGCTACCGGGACTTACCTTGGCGAGTCGCGGACTTTGGTGTCCTCCACAGAAACGAAGCCTCGGGTGCTCTCTCTGGGCTCACACGCGTCCGCAAGTTCCAGCAAGACGACACGCACATTTTCTGCACAAACGAGCAAGTCCAGGGTGAAATTGAGGCGCTTTTCGACTTCATGTCGCACGTCTACAGCCTATTCGGGTTCCCCTTCAAGCTCAAATTCTCCACCCGACCGGAAGGATACATGGGGACCTTGGAGGAATGGAACGCGGCCGAAGCGCGCCTGAAGCAAGCGCTCCAGAACTTCCGCGGCGCCGACTGGGAGATGAACGAAGGCGACGGCGCCTTCTACGGCCCCAAGATCGACGTGACCATCTCGGACGCTCTCGGCCGAGAGTACCAATGCGCGACCATCCAGCTCGATTTCCAAGGCCCGCAGAACTTCCGCCTCGAGTACCGCACGTCCGAAGGTGGCGACGCCAGCAGCCACCAGGCCGACCAGAAGACCGGCGACCGCGACCCTAAAGCCCCTGGCGTAGGCATGGCCCGCCCGGTCATGATCCACCGCGCCATCATCGGCAGCTTCGAGCGCTTCATCGCCATCCTGTGCGAGCATTTCGCGGGCAAGTGGCCGTTCTGGCTCTCTCCGCGGCAAATCCTGGTGATCCCCGTCATGACGGCGGCGGAAGACTACGTGCGAGAGATCCAGGCCATCTTCCACAAGGCGCGCATGTACGTCGACATCGACGTCAGCGGGAACACGCTACAGAAGAAGATCCGAACAGGGCAGCTCGCGCAGTATAATTTCATCTTCGGTACGTTCTACATGCATGTCTCTAGTCTTAGCCTCATCCCCCCCATCCTCCTTTCACTTGTTCTGCTCGTAGCCTAGCCTAGCTGACTCTTGGAAACAGTCGTCGGGGCCAAAGAACAAGAGACCCGCACGGTCAACATCCGCAACCGCGACGACCAGGCCACGCAGAAGATGGGCCAGCTCATCCCGCTGGAGAAAGCCCTTGAACGACTGACCAAGCTGAGGGACGAGAGAGGGCTCGAGAACAAGATCGATATGAGTGAGTAGGACTCGCAAGATCTGGGCGTCAGACACGAGAGTCGGGCCTTGCGTTTGAGGCATCTCGACTGTCGAAATGGGCGGATACCAAGCGTAGCAGGGGCCCTCAAAAGATGGTACGAAGACGCCTGTTTGGAAATTTCGGAGGCTTTATAGGCTAGAGGGGATGGAAGTTCAGTTTGAGGTAGTCATCAAGGAGCCGTGGGATGGGTGCACGTGACGGAGGGATTCGGGCATGGTGGAAGAGAAAGGCATAGGCGTACCGTAAAGCCTGACGAGTGTCGCTCGAAGAAATGCAGAAATACCCATCATCATTACGCGTGCTTGGAAGGCCTTTTCCACCCGGTAAACTCATTCCTTAACATTCAAGAGAGATGGAAGTCGCTCAGTTCCCACCTTAACGATGTACAACGACAAGATCATGGCGTGTACGAAAGAGCCCTAGTGGAAATTCCTGAATTTATATCTGTACAGAGTACATCCAGAATCGGTTGCATTCTTTCACCAAAAAACTTAAAGAGACATACACAAGCTTAGGCAGCCTGTTCAGGTGTCTCTCCCGCGGCGACAACCGGGACAGGCAATCCTCTCGAAGGAGACTGCAGAACCAGCGCCTCGTGCCTCCTTGCGCGCAGGAAATCAGACACCGCTCTTATCAGTATGAACCAGCCAATAATCATGAGGACGTATGATATCCAATCTGCACTCGTAAAGCCGCCCATACCGCTACGTTCTCCGGACGAGTCCGCCTGTCCATTCACAGCGTTGGGATCGAAATTGTGGCTGTTTGGATCTGGTGGTCCTGAGTTGCTGAACTGGCCAGGGTTTCCCGTGTCAGATGATCCGTCACCGGAGCCACTCATGTAGAAACCGTATTGAACCAGCGTTAAGCCCAGACCAGCCCGACTACCGTGTTTCGCGGCATGTGTAGTGTGGAGGAGATAAGTAAGCAGGAATCCGACGAGTTGGAACGACATGGAAATCATGCCATTCCAAACGAAGGAGAAAACGGAGCCGACAGGGAGGCCATCGACATAGACTTCATCCGAGGACATGCCGGGCGCGAGGATGGTGGTTTCCCAATACGGCGGTGTTGCATCTGCGGCGGCCTGTTCGTAGGTCTAAAAGGCAGTTAGTATCAGACATGGTGGAGTTGCACGCGACTACTTACGGGAGGCTTTTCCTCTAACTGTTCACCCCGTTCCGGCTTGGCGGATAGATTTGCGAAAACGCCGTCTGTGGCTCTCACGGACTCGGGCATGGGCCGAAATGCAGGCAATTCGGTGACTCGGCGCTGAATCACAGGTGCCGATTGAGTAGCGGGAGTAGAAGTAGTCGGAGGGGCGGCATCCTGCCTGCTAAGTCCCGTATCGACTCTCATCAAACGTTGTCTATCGTCGCCATCATTCTCTGCATCGGATGCCTCTCCATCGTCAAACGTGTCCTCCAGATGGTCGCGGTCGGTTTCTGGTGATAATGGATCTTGGTTTAGTAGGCGCCTGGAAGTGGGCGAGGACGCTCGGGATCGAAATGACGGTGGCGGTGAGGATGGGATTGGGTGACGCGAGTCAGGAGAAATAGGAGAGTCTTCATCGTGATCGTGTGAGTTCAGCTGTGGCACACCCGTTAGTCGATGAAAGCGAGATGTTGGGGATAGACGAGCACGCACGGCTTCATATCGTTGAGGGGCCATCGCAGGCCAGGCGCTTCTGTCGGTGTATCCCCACCAAGGTGTAATCCTGTCGGAGTGTATAAGAACGGCAGCAAGGAGGGAGAGTTAGATGAGGAATATGAGGTGAGTGAGGGAAATAGGGACCCCAGGCGATGAACGATGATCGAGGAAGGAACGAGGTGGAAGTGGAAGGGAGGGCGTGAGTGACACAGCCTCAGCCGCCCTCTCGGCCTCGTTGTGTTTGGGCCAGACGTCCTCCGGCGCCACCTACTAAGCCACTTCCGGACTAGCCCTGATGTGGCATCGTGAACGTCATTCTGGTGATACTGAAGTGAGTCTGCTACGAGTTTACTTGTACCAACACGAAGTGCTGGAGTACGGTACCATACTCTTTGCCCTCCTGATCACCCACAAGCTCGAACAGAGCCCTCGCAATGGCTGCCAATAACTCTGTGAGCACGGCCAAGCACCCTGATCCTGAAGCATTTCCACTGACTCTCCATCAGGTCATCCTCAAGCACTGGGCGCGAATTATCAAACAATGGCCCGTCGACCGAGTCCGCCCAGCGCACGTCCACTTTCAAAAGGTCATGCAGTCGCGTCTGCTGAAACTCCAGAACCCAGCTGCTGCTACGGCCAATGTAAAGTCCAACGATGCTCACGCGATACCCGTCGAGCCATTCAATGAACAGACGGAGTTGAGACAAGTCAATGCTCTTTACGCGCTGTTGGAAAACCGGTTCGAGAAAGAATACCCTATTCCGCAGCGAGTTCGGCACCCGAGAAGCAGTGCATCGCACTACGATGATTTGGTAAAGGAGCTGGATGAGGCTCCGAATCGATCGTGGATAACAAACCTGTGGAATCGTTTGAAAGGCTCTGTCCGGCTTCGATGAGCACGATGTGATGGACCATGACCGGAAGCGACTGAACCTTGTACAATTCTAAGCACCTTCCAACAAGTGGACGGTCACAAGGCCGCAGGCGCTCTCTAAATCCTGCTCTGAGCACTTACATCGGCTTGACATACCGGCTTAGTCGACCAGCCAATCGGCCGTTGACACTGTACCTCCACGGAAATAAACCGTCACGAATTTTGGCCTCGAGTTGCACGTGCTCGTATGCCCTCGACGGAGGATAGCGCTCAGAGGATATGTCAGTTCTGGCTCGCTTCTCGGAAGGAGCCGATCGTATGGGAGACATTCTTTACAATATCTGGCACTGGAAGCATCTTTCGAGATGCCTAGCTGGTGTGGCCACGACGTCAGCGCGAGCCTGGCTGCTGTTGAAATCGTGTCGCCGCCCTTGGGAGCGAAAACTCGAGGGCAAATTTGGATATGGTGGAGAAGTGGTGGGCGAGGTGTTGCCTAGAGGGTTTGGTGTAACGTGTTTAGTTAACAGATGACAATCCATGTAGGCAGGGCGAAGACTCCGACAAGGCATCGCGGTGAGATAGTCAAGAAAGCTGGGCGAGCTGTCTGTCACCAGGTACTGTGAACCTGCCTGTCCCAGACGAGAGAATCTGTTTCGGACTTGACCTACGCCGTCCTCAGCATGTACGGTATGTACGAGTATTCTATTTTGTGTGCAAGTGTCGCGCGACATCCGGCCATCCACATGCTGCGTGCCCCGTACATACTCATATCTTGCTCCCCAGCCTAGTAGCCCCCCCTCCTGGCGCCGTGTCCATCCCACTAACCCTCTCGTCCTCAAGACTGTCCGTCACGAATCTGACCATTTCATCCACCATCCGACTCGGCACCTCGTGACCGACGCCGTCAAACACGAGGTCCTCAAGTACGAGACCGGAGCCTTCGAACCAGCCTCCCTTCGCACTCGCCGTCTTGAGCCAGTCGACGAACGGTTTCGAGTGCGCATAGGGCACAAGCTTGTCTGCGCCGCCCGAGAGGTTTAAAATTCTCTTGTTTCCGAAACACCTCGTCATCACAGGCAACAGGACCTGCCTCTCCTCCTCGGTCAAACTCGTGTGGAGATACTCCTGGTCATTCCGCCACTGCAGGCCGGGTAACGACCAGATCAGCCCGGCCGGGTCATTTTTCTTGACTGCCTCGATTAGCGAGGGAGGGAAGTCGCTCGAGCCCAGAAAATCTCGGCCCGGAGGTGACGACGAGGTCCAGGTCTTCCGCTTCGACAGGCGTGCCCGGTCAGTCATCAAGCGTGTATAGTCGGGACATCCTATCGTGACGACGGCGGCCGAGAAGCGGGCATCGTGCATGAGGACGTGCCACGCCGCATGGCCACCGAGCGAGATGCCCAGGACGAGATTCTGCACGATCCGTCGTGCGTCGCTTGGTTCGGGAAAGATATACCCAGGCAGGAAGTCAAGGAGCAGCGAAGTATCCTGCGCCGTACCCGTGTAGCAAGAGAACATGTCTGAAGCGTGATGCTCGTTGCCGGAACGCCACGCCTCGTTCGCGATCGCCGAGACGAGCCGGGATCCGTGGTTTCTTTGGTCAAAGGAGACGGCTATCAGCGCCTTCCTCTGCTTCCCTGTGCTCGACTTTTGGTGCTTGTTCCACTCGGCAATAATATGCGCTGCGAATGGAGCCATGCTCGCTTGCGTCTGAAGTCGCGGGTGCAGGAGCCATAATACTGCGACATCGGTGACATCTGAGGGCATGTCATCGAGGCCGAAGACCGTCACCAAGATCCCTGCGATATGGTGTACGCATGATGACACTGCTTCCGGATGGGGAATTGAATGGGCAGTTGAGCCTCCGCTCTTTGTGGGCTGCGAGCCGTACGTGTATTCTACAGGGTTCGGCGTGGCCTTTGACATTCTGGGACGCAAGTGCAGGGCGTAGCAGCAAGTTGAAAGGAACTAGAAAATCCTGGGAGGGAAGTCTTCGAGTCGAGAATGAGGCATTGATGATGTGCCGCGGTTGTCCTCTTCCGGCCCGGTATGCGGAGAAGAGAACCGTGCCCATGGACTTTCTCCGAGGCCGGCGACAACGGCGAGGGTGCCGAGTATTGGCAGCGGTACATAAGTACGTTGTACTTTGTAACAATAGCCTTACTAGGTATGTTTGACGCGTCGTTGCGACAACATCGGCTCAACAACTATACACAGGTCAAGAATAAACCATTTGCGCACGTGAGGCTGCTTAGAAGTCTCCCTGGTGCGTCTCTATTGCTTCCGTGGTGCACACCAGTATCTTCTGGGAAAAAAATCTCTGACAAAGCCTCCAACCGCCACGGACAGATTTGTAGGGTATCTATCCCGCAGTCACTTCGTAGAAGTGCCATTGCATTTCAGGAAACTTGACTGTCCCCATACCCGCACTAACAGCAGAAAGCCACATGTGTTCCGCCTCGAACAGATCGGGAGCATCTGTTCGGAGATGTCGCCACCAGCCTCATCTGCCCGCCGTCACCTGTTGTACCTAGCCAGGGTATCCATGATGTTCTGTACATTCTGTTGTGACTGCTGTTGACCGACCCCATAAGCGGGCGCAACAGGCCCGTAACCATGCTGTGTAGCCGACTGTTGTTGGTGAGGGGGAAGCTGCTGGTGGCGAGCGACATTGCTTAGAAGTCCGGCAAGGTCAGGTGTCGGTTTACCATCGGGGGAGGCACTGTTTGGCTGAGAGTCACCAGGCTGTCGCAGGTTTGCCAGAAGCTGCTGCAGTGTCGGAGCAGCCGTGGCCGAACCGGGGGTTACAGGGGTCTGGGCCTGGTTCTGGTACTGAGCATTCTGGCTGTACTGGTATTGGTTGTGTTGTTGCGGTTGTGCAGGGTAAGCCGTTGGAGGGTACTGAGGTGGCGGGGCGTACCCATAATGGTTCTGTGGCGGATAACCTTGTGGCGGATGGTATGACTGCGGGCTTTGTTGCAAACCTCCTCGTTCCTTCTGTCGAGCGCTGAGGACAATGTCGGCGGCGACGCTGACATCAAGGTCAACGTACTCGTTGAAGCTAACATTCGTTGTCCCCTGGCTCCTGTCAAAAACTTGTAACGGGATCTTACTGTTGTACTGATTCGCTTGCACGAGTTTCACAACACCCTGGACACCTTCGATGATTTGACGTTTCACAACGGCGGAGAGAGGCAACCGAGCGCTGAGCCATATCGTAGACGCACGCAGCCCCTTGTTGCGGAAGCCTTGCTCAACCCAGTTGATAAAGCTTTGCGCGACAGACGGTTCAAGAATGAGGATTTGCACATCCGGAGCATCTCGTGGATCTCTTCGCGGCAGTGGCAGGGTAGCTTCCTCGTCATAACCCCCAGGAGGGGCTGGATATGGGAAAGCAGTAGTATAGGGCGAGTTCGGTCTTCCACTAGGACCAAAGTGAGGGCTCTGAGCAGGAGTCCGATGGTCTTCCCGAGAGCGATAGCCTCTTGCCGGAGACGGCGACCGTCTGTAGTCGGTTTGCCGACTGCGCTCGTCCCGAAAGTCACTGTAGTTTGGACGCTCAAACCGATCGTTCTGGCGTGCACTTCTCCGTTCGGGTGAGCGCGATCGACGCCTCTTGTTCCCTTGCTGCCCTTGCTGGTTCCTCGTATTCTTTTGAGGCTTAGATACCTCCAAATGTACCTTTCTGCCTCGTATCTCCACGCCTTGTTCCGCCTGGAGAGCTGCATGGCAAGACGAGGCCTCCAGGTATTGAACAAAACCGTAGGCCTGTTTGATTGAAATTTGAGCTAGTCTCCCATGCTTGTGAAAGATGTGGAAAATATCACGCTTGGTTACCTTCTCACTTGGTAAGTTACCCACAAAGAGACGAGAACCTGACGGAAATTTGTCCCATATCCCTTCTGTCACATATCGTCTTTCATCTTCAAGGAAAGAATCGTAGACTGCTTGGGTACGTGGCGTCCATGGTCTTTCCGCTGGGTCTGCTGATCTTGTCGATTCCGGGCGTTGTAACGATTGAGCAGGAGAGATGGTACCAACTTGGTTGCCAGGTGGAGGCCATGCGCCTGTGCCCGGGGCCTGCATAGGAATCGGCTGTGGGAGAAATGAGGCTGGGTAGGATCCAGCCGAGCCAACGCCATTAGCGTGTGTGAAGACATCAGGGCTCACAAGTTGGTGCTGCGCCTCTTGATTGACAAGCTGGGACTGTGCTTCTTGCGCTACCTGCTGGTATTGTCCTTGTTGGTCGGTGTTGACAGTAGGAAAAGCATACACATTGGAAGGATCCGTAGGTGGGGCTTGCGTCGGTGGCTTTGGCGGTAAACCTGGAACTGGCAACACTGATTGCGCTCCTTGATAAGTCAACGAAGCGGCAGTAGTAGGGGCAGAGACAGAGTCCGCAGTGGGGGCAGTGGAAGCAGATTGAGAAATAGTGTCCAGAAGCGACTGGTAATCTACACCACCTGGGTTTGACTGAGGTTCAAGCTTCACGGTGGGCTCTGAGGCAGACGAGCTCGCTGCAAGGGCGTTTTGCGTCTCGTTGTTGGCTTCCGGATCGGTAGTGGGCTCAGGAGCTGGCTTAGGAGCTGGGTTCAAGTCATCGTTGGTTTGCGATTCATCTCCGGCTTTGATGGGTTGATTTTGGGGTGGATTTGCATGGGCATCAGATGATTGTGGATGAGCAGAAGCATTTGCAAGTGCCGAAAGGAGATGTGCTTCGACGCTGGGATCATTCTGGGTCATTTGGCCGTGTGTGGATGGGAGCTGAGCAGGATCATCCAGACGCGCATTTTCCTCCTCGGCGCCTCTTAGGAAATTCTGGACGGCGTCCTGCTCGTCCGGGTTCGGATCATTGGGATCATTCTCATTCATGGCGAGAGCAGATTCTGAGTAAGGAGAGAAAGTCTGGTTATGCGGAATATTGTACGTCTCGGTATCATTGAAGACCGGATCCATCTGGTTCAGCAGGACTGGGATGGTGGAAGGTTCAGGCACGTGGACCGGACGTGGAGATTCGGGCGTCTGATCTCTACCAAAGCATTGAGCCTCGGGCAGGGGGTCTGCATCAGTCATGACGAGGCGCAGGAGGCAATGCAAGTCATGTTAGAGTGAAGTAAAGAAGAGAGCTGCCTGGTGAGACTGGCGAGGCGGGGCAAACGCTGGAGAGGTCGGACAGTCAAGGGGAGTCCAGCGACACCGACGCGCCACAAAGAAAGAGGAGAGGGCAGGAGACTTCGATCTGAGATTCAGGATTGTGATGAGATTGATGTTTAGACGACGAAGAAGTGATGCGACTAATTGCGAAAGCTTTCGAGAATCCGAGCAAGGCGCAGGAAAGGCAGAACTCTGCGAAACCACGCCGCCAATTTTCGCCGGAGATGCACTAAGCCGCTTTGAGCTTCTCCCTCTCGGATCCCTGCCGGAGTGTGCGGAATCAATGTCCGAGTACTCCGTACTGAACAAGGACTCTCCTCCCTCCCTTTATGCGGAACCAAGCAAGACCAGCGAGCCTCATGCTTACATGGTCGAGAAGGAGTCTTCGCGCGACAGTGACTCAGTGGAGATCCTACGCCTCGCAGGACAAGCACCCAGAGTTTGACTATGCTGCAGCCAGGGAGTGGTACAAGCGCTTCAATCCACTGGAGTCGCTACGTGATGTTGGAGAAGTGACCTTCGCCCGGTCAAGTGGCCCGGGCGGCCAGAATGTGAACAAGTATGCTGTGTTGGTGCTTTGTACTGAAAAGGCCTGACTGCCCCACAGAGTCAATTCTAAAGCGCAGTTGCGCGTACCAGTCGGCCAGCTACTCCCACTACTTCCTACCGCCTTGCACAATCCCATCCTGACATCACGTTATTATGCCGAGAACACCTCGTGCCTTTTGATCCAGGCAGACGAGAGCCGTAAGGCTCAAGCGAACAAGGACGCGTGCTACCGAAAGCTCAATGAGCTGATCGTGGATGTGTTCAAGCATACTGTACCAGGCGAGACGACGGACGAGCAGAAAGAGAAGGTCAAAAGGCTTCAAAAGGCGGAAAACGAGTCGAGACTGCGGTGGAAGAAATTGCATTCGAGCAAGAAGCAGTCGAGGTCATCCAAGGGAGATTCTGATTGAAGGCTTACGAAGCTGCGTCCGTCGCACCGAGAGACCTGGCGACCGACTCCCCCACCATCTTGAGACCTGGGTCCAGATCCTCTGTCTGCATGAGCTTCGCTAGCCAAAGTTTGGCCCAGGCCAGCAGCTCGGGACTGTTTGCCTTTTTGCGCGCTTCCTTCAACCGTGCCAGTGCCTGCCTAAAAGCGGGAGGAAAATTCGGTGAGGACGGAGTGATTGAGACCACAGTCATTTGAATATGGCAGGCTTGGGCTGCCCAATGTTGAGGGTGGTATCTCAATAAGGCGGCCTCCACGTGGCCTGCGACTCTGATGCAGGCTGGAATATCCTCGAAGTTGAGCAGCATGTTGAAGAACTCGAGTCCAAATTGTGGGTCTTCAAATTGGGCCATGGCAGCATCGAAGATTGCGATGGGAATGGCGCCACTCAGAGCAGGAGTAGACTCGAGCGTCTCTAGGGCAGACGTGTCTACCTCGTGTTCTTCTCCTTCCGGGTTGATGTCCATCGCTGTCAGTCTGGGTAGCCGCAAAACATCCTCATTCTCCTCCTCGTGCTGTGGTGATTCTCGTTTAGCGGTGGTGATGCCCAAAACCTCTCGCCTTGTATGGATCTTGGCAATGTACAACATCTCAAGCCTCGCGTATTCCAGCCACATTGTTCTTGATCCTTTGCAGAATCGAAGCCCTCTCTGCATGTAGCTTCGCGCTTCTGTCATGTCACCATTTTCTTCGAACGAATATTGCGCCGCGCTGATCCACAAATCCGCTTTGGTGGGGTGTAGTCGGAGTACCTTTGTGAACATCTCTTGCAGCTTTTTATATGCCTTTTGCTTCTGTGCGTAGTTTATAGCCTCCATCCACAGACCAACGTCACCCGGATGCTTTCGAGTGCCGCGGTCAAAGACAAAGAAGACGCGGCGCTTGCCATTATGTGCTGTCGTCTTGATTCCGAGTCTCTTGACTCTTTTGCGTCTCAAAGCATCGACATTGATCTCAAATTCTGCATAACGAGCATAGTCGGTGGGAGTTGAACCCCTAGCGTTGATTTTGTGTTCGAAGTCGGATCGTTTGCGCGCGATGCTCGTGATCTCCTCGGCGCTGAAAATGCCTTTGCGCTCGTACTCCTTAAGTTCAGGAACCGACTGCTCGAGAAAGAAACGCGCCTTGTCGCTGGCGGCAGCCATTATCCCTAGGATGAAGAGAGGGAAACTTTTTTCTTCCAGGCTGCGGAGAAGACAGACAAGATTGGCCGCAGTTCTACCGAGGCCGCGGACTTTCAGGGGGGTGCCCAAGTCAGATTAATTCAGTTCAAGGCCAGTTCACGCTCAGGTTCCTCCCACGCGCCGCGCAGCTCCTTGACCTTTTCGTACTACTTCTTGTCACTCCTTGTCCCACCATTCGCTGGCTTGATGCCGCTGGTCGCGTTCTAATACCTTTAATAGCGAATATGGCGCCGAGAAAGGACGCTGATGTGGTGTTTTCTGTAAGTCTCGCTCCTCCACCTCATCGAGTCGCGCTGACACGCGGCAAGTTCAATGCAAAATATATCTCGTGGGCTCACACAGCCGTCGCCTACGCAGCCTTTCTCGGAGCACTAATCGTTGGAGTCTCCCTACACTACCACAAAATTGTACAGAATGAGCACTATGGATATCCCGATGAATGGTTTCCCTCTGTCTCCGCTACCATTGGCGACCGATACCCTGAGCGGTCTGTCTTCATGCTCTTCATTGCCATCACGTCCGGCCCTCGGTTTGCTCTTGTCGCGCTGTGGTACTTCCTTACGCGAAGGCCAAACTCGAACCTACCTGCCATCATCGCGACGACGGGCTTGCTGAGAACGTTGACATGCGGCGGCTGGACCTATGTGACATCTACCGACGACCATGACTGGCACGACATCTTCATGATCTCCTACTTGGTATTCACGTTGCCGTGGACCCTAGGATGTCTGGCGCTGAGTCCACCTAATCCGCAAGCTGTGAAGTATCGAAAGGTTCTAGCCAGCTTGTTTTTTGGCACGCTAGTTCCCTTGGTCTATTTCTTCATCCAGCATAAGATTCATAAAGTCGCTGGAGGTACGGTGTTAATGTCCCCCTGCAAGCCGTAGCTGACCGCCTAAGCCTATACCATTTATGCATTCTTTGAGTGGGCCTTGATCCTGTTCGATGTTGCGTTCGACGCCGTCACCGCGCTCGACTTCGAGACGTTCGAACTTGTCGTCAAGGACGTTGCGGGTGCTTCTAGAGGGTATGTGCAGTTGCTCCCGAAATACGCAAATGTACGACCAAGTGGAACGCTGGCTTGGGTGGGTTGCTGACCGGTCTGCAGTGATACCAAACTGCTCAAGGAATCTGTCAAGGGGAAAGAGTGAGCACAACCCGCCATCAAGAATCAGAGAGGCTGGCTGACCCCGGATAGGCGCAATAACGCTGTCATCCAGATATCGACCTTTGACGGGCCATATTACTGGACGGCAATGCTGGATGCTGCCGCGGACATCCTCCATGGCTTCTTCTTCTGGTCCATTCTAACTTCACTGGGCGTCCTCATCTGGTACTTTCCACTTTGGCATATGGGGATATCAGGCTACGAGGTCCTGGTCATGTGCCCTGCTTCATCCCTTATTCTCGCTATCCCTTCCGTAAGGTCTTTGGCAATCAAGAACCTCCGCTGGCTTCACATGGCTTCAATGGTCGGGCTTTTGGCGTGGCTAGCCAAGGAACCCACCAACCGTCTGTTTACCGTTGGCTTTGCCGTTGTGGTTGGTTGTATGGCTTGGCCAGCAGAGTGGTATGCCGAGCGCAGAAACTCGGCTCGCTTGCAGCGGAGAATTCTAGCCTGGTGTATTGGGTTGGTGCTTTCCAACATAGCGAAGTTTGCGAACCACACAAACAATCCCGTCTGGCCAATTCTGCATTCGGGCATCGGTGGCTGGAACAAGACCGGACTTGTAGTGGCACTGCTGGCTGTATGGCGTTCCACCAGACCAGACTCGACCTCCGGCGGAGACTACGTTCCTTCTCCCGCCAAGAAGGGATCAGCCCTACTGGCAGCTCTCGGCCTCGGAGGACTGTTCTTCACGATGCACTCCCTGCTTTCGGATTCCAGCACTATAATCCTTTGGGTATGGGAGGGCTTTCCGGTCCGAGGACCATTAGCGGTACCACATGGCGCGGTTGTCATTCTAGCCATGAGCGCCGGTCTGTTCCTAGGCGTCGCCCTCCCTGGCTTCTTCGAATCGTGGACAGCCTATGGAGTTGGAGCTGTTGGTGCTGCTTTGCTTACCACGTGCGGTCACTGGACGGGCTTCTATGGTGGCCTGTTGCTCGCCTTCTATACGATGGGTGTTGCGCCCGTCCTGATTTCTTCCGCCGTGCAGCATGGCCCCGCTTCCACCTTTGGCTTTGGCTTCTTCGTCTACAACCTGATGGTGCTGTTCCACGTCTGGGTGGTGGCATATGCTTTTGTGCCCGGCGGACCATTGGTCAGAGAGCACACGGATTGGATCATGATCACGACGATGCTGTTGATCGGCGCGGGCGTGTTCTCGGCCTTGATAACCAACTCAGGGTATCAATCTAAGAGCAAATCGAGCCCTCGTGGAAGAAAACAGTCGACCTACTGCCTCCATATTCTCCTGATGCTGCAACTGCTAGCTGCATCGATAGCATATCTGCGGTTCCCCACCTACGACTACACGCCGTATCACCCGGAGGAGAAGCTGCTGACTGCTGGGATCTGGACTATTCACTTTTCCTTGGACAACGACGACTGGTCATCTGAGCGACGAATGCGTGACGCTATCAAGGAGCTGGAGCTCGACGTGGTCGGGTTGCTGGAATCTGATCTGCAGCGGATCATCATGGGCAACCGAGACACCACACAGTATCTTGCTGAGGACCTCGGCATGTATGTGGACTACGGCCCGGGCCCGAACAAGCACACTTGGGGCTCAGCGCTGTTGTCGAAGTTTCCGATCGTCAACTCGACCCATCACCTCCTACCATCTCCTGTGGGCGAGCTTGCGCCGGCTATTGAAGCTACGTTGGACGTCTACGGCACTCTGGTCGATGTCTTTGTGTTCCACTCGGGGCAGGAAGAGGACCCGGAGGACCGACGCCTGCAAGCCGAATATTTGGCCGAACGAATGAACGCCACTCCCCGGCCGGCAATCTTGCTCAGCTATCTCGTGGTAAAGCCGGGAGAGGGCAACTACAATACTTATGTGGGCGAGAAGAGTGGAATGCATGACATTGACGTTCGTGATTGGGACCGCTGGTGTGAATACATTCTCTACAAGGACATCAAGCGTGTCGGATATGCTCGTGTGAGTCGAGGCACCATTACGGACACTGAGATCCAGGTAAGCAATGCTCTCGATCGTCTTACCTTGATTTTACTGACAGCCAGCTCAGGTGGGCAAGTTCGTGGTAGGAGAGCCTGTCTCGTACAGCGACGAAAGGATTCCTGAGGAACAAATCGCGCCTGGGCGGAGATTCCCAGCATTGTTCCGTGGAGAGGGTGTTCGGGGACATCGATACCACGTCTTTGATGAACCATGGTATTACGCCTGAGGCAACGATTCACGATTGGTATATCTCGGCTACAGTAGCCTAACGTGAAGCGGCCAAAGATCGGCGTCATATGAAGTAGGAGCCAATTAAATCCCTTGGGCCGGACGTAGCCCCGTCTGTCTGCCTGACGTCGTGGTGTCTTATCGCTATCGCGGAACAATGCGGGGAACATTGAGACCGGATGACTCTGAGTGAGTCAAACGTGACAGTGAATCGGACTCGATGAGACAACAGCCCGGATCTGGCATGCAACTCATGACCAGCCTCACCTCTTCTTCACCAACACCTTCATGTGAACAAGTTCGTTTCCTTTTCGTTTGACGGAGCTAGGTGAAAGGCGTTTCTATAATCCTCTCGCAACAACTGTACCTTCACACAGCTTCCGGATCCAACCCTTGACACCGCCATGTCTGATTTCTCTGCTTCTCATCCGCCTGGCTCCCGTGCCATCAAGATTCCCTTGCATGGGAACAGCAATGCCGACTACGCTTTGTCGAGTCGACGTCGTCGCAGCTCGCGTTATGTCAACCACGCCGATCAAGCCGAGGCCTCAGATGCTGGTCCATCTTCGCTAGGCTCGGGCTCTGACCAGGACTCTTCGTGGTCCTACAGCCCTCTACCCGCTCGGCCCCAAGATCGATTTCAGACTGTTGCTTCCCCTACGACCCAGCCTGCTCGTTTTCCTACCTTATCCACGCCGACGAATGACCCGAGTCGGTCGCAACGCAAAGACAAGCACAAGGCTGACCTCCCACCGCCCAACGGCATGGCCATGCTCTTCAATTCCTCGTCTCCACTAGGCCCCTCTATGCTCTCGTCTAGCTCATACAAGTCAATCAACCTGAACGCGCACCACGACGATCCCGACGAACCTCCACGTTTGATCACCTACACGAAGTATAGCCAAGGCTTCACTTGGAACGACGAGTTATTCTTGCCGAGTTACATGCTGGGGCGGTACGGAGAGCGGGGACGTAAGAAGCAATATGACGGTGACTTTGGAGATGAGGACCAGTGCCCGGTGGCTGAGATCTTCGTTACAGACGAGGAGGCGCAAGCAATGATGCCCTAAACGGCACGGTTGATCTCGCAACGCCAACGACGAGCTACGAAAGAGGGATATGACACGCACGGCAAGCACATTGATTTGGAGCGGCGTTTGCGAGCTAGGGCATACAAAGGACGAACCACGGCTATCACACGACTGAGTGGCGGTCAGTCAGATAAGGGCTCGCAATGAGCTGGCTAGAGGTGCAGGAATAGCAGGATTATTTGACAGTTTTAAGCAGTGTTGTGCTCGGTGCGGCGCTGGGCAACTCGGAAGGAAGGGCAATCCGGCAGGCGATACATGCAACATGGCTCAAGCCAATCTCGACTCACAGGCGGCACAGCTGCAGGTATTATCTTGATCAGGCGTTTGAGGGACAGAGAGGTGGGGGGAAGATATGCAACCGGGGATGGGAAGCTCGTATTATGGCTATTAATCCACGAAATAAAACAGATATTTTGCTTCCACCCCATCATCTCATCTCTGGCTCTTTGATTGTAATTCCTCGTCCGCCAGCCCATGCCGCTGCGTTTGGCGGTCCGCACGCACCTTGAGTTTGCTCCACTCGACCATCTGCAGGCCGAGCTTAGATCTCATGCTAGTACATCCTGCTCTGCCGTGGGACCAGGGCGATCTTAGCCGACGACAATGCAGCGTTGTCGATGGCGGTGGTTGCCAGCACACAGCCCAGCTAGAGCAGTGCCTTGGTGGGCTCTCCCACAGAGTTTCTCGTGTGTAGTGGATACCCGATAATGAGCGGTAGATTGATACAGGCATGCAATAGTTCTGTTCGCGGGTGATAACTCACCACCCTGTCACACCGCATTTACAGTACCTAAAGTACAGTACCTCCGGCCGGACTCGGCGCATCCGCAATCCTGACCTTGGTCTTCTTCGAAGCGCACGCTTGAAAGGTCTTCCTGTTACCCCTGGAGGATTCCTACCCTATCGGACCGTGACGTTCGGCGCAATTGGAGCGTGGCAGGATGGGACCACCAGTTACCGACAATTCTTGGCGCTGGGTATCTCAACTTGCAACTGGCAACTTGCGGATTTGCCGTCGGCGTCCCACGATGCGGGATCTCCCGCACTCAAGGCGGCAAGGGACGCTTGTATAAGAAGCGGTGAGCATAAAACGGCTGGGTCTACCTCAACGACGGCTATACCTCCGACCGTCCATCCCTCCGCGAACCTGCGCTGCACCAAAGGGGCCAGACTGTAGAAAGATGGGTAATTATAGCAGAGAGGGTCTCACAGACGATGGTTCATAGGCCAGGATAGGAGTAGAGCATATACAGAAAAGGATGAGCCAGAGTGATATGGTCGGGAGACCAGTTGCGATTGATCGTTGCCAACCTAGGCATATAGTTCAGCCCGCTATGTTGTTTCACCTGAGTTGAGTATATTGCGTCTAGGAATCGCTGCCGCCCCGGACTTTATTCCCCGCTACCAGGGGAGCGTACGGTGACAGCAGCATGGACTCGAGCCAGAGTTTGACGAGGCGCGTAATAAAAAGTCAGGGTGGGATGATGACCTACTGCTCATATGATCCAGAGCGGTATGACAGCCAAACAAGAACTTTTCGCTTGGAATCTCTGCTTCGTGAGGGTCGAAATTTCCCAGGAATCTGCCTGACGTTTCTTTATCTGGACTTTCGTATTGGTAATGATACATCAATTCAGGGGTATTCCAAGAACCCCGAAGCCCATATCTGAACAGCACGCTGTGTCGATATGGCGCAAAAGGACACCAGATATGGCCCTCTGCACGACTCTCAACAGAGAAGCATCCTCTATCTCCTCATTGGTCTTGCCATGCTCGCCGAGTCCTGCATGTTTTGGAACATCAATTTGAATCCGTTGCACAGGTCTCTCATGGTCGGATAAGGTGTCCGCATCAGTTCGAACCCCTGGGGGATCACCCGGACACTCCAATCCATCAATTTGGCGTTCTGACCTGCCTTGAATACAAGGTGGAATTGGCCCGGTCGCTCACGGTTGAGGCAGAACTGGTACATTGACCGTTTGGGATTCGCATTGGTGTACGTGTTCAACCACTCCTCTGTTTGCTTGTTAGCAATGCCTGTATAAAATGCCAGGTAAGCAACTCACCTAATGCAGCCTTGGACTTGTTCTGGAACTTTTCGTGGCTGCACATCTCGTCCACTTTCCGCGCCATGGCCTTGACGTGCAGCACAATCAGTTCGTCCAAGTCAGAGTAGTTATACCGGCCTCCAATTCTCAAGGTCCGGCCGAGGGAGAATTCGTTCTCCTTGTCGAGTTCAAGCACATCAACATGTTGGAAAATGCCGTCTGCAACCTTCCAGGTCACTGCGAGGTGGTCGGTTCCTTTAGAGGATGGTCGGATCACAACGTCTCCACGATTCTGACTACCCAGGTATTCTTCGGCCTGCTTGGCATTGAACGGCCGGAACAGCGGATGCTTGATGACTCTTGTTACTCGGGTTCCGGACTCACTCTTCTCCTCCAGTAGTTTCCTGTCCGCAGCCTCCTCACGGTCGTCCCATTCGTCATAGTTTCGTTCATTGTGATTGAAACGCTTGAACGGCTTCTTGACCTGGTCGTCCCTCAAGCTGACGGTGACGACAAAGTCTTTGCGGTTGATCGATGTGATGTGAGCTTGCACGGTTTGATGGACGGTGTACAGCTGTTTCGGCGACAACCCGCTATCAGCCCACTGACCGTCCTCAACGACGGCGTCTAATCCGCATTCGAGTTTGCCCTCGATGTGGTGATCCGAGACGCGCTTTAGCGAGATAGGGACGTTCATGCCTCTCTGCAGCGACTCTCTGGTTTCCCCGGTGAGCATGACAAAAATCTCAGACTCGCCGAGATGGGCGCGGAACGGGGTTCGGATCTCGCCGTAAGCATCGTTGAGTTCGTCTGTAATGTTCTTGAGGGTAGCGCGCTTCTTCGAATGAAGGTTTTGCTCCAGTTGCACAGCATACTCCTCAAGGACCAGATCATTCACCCGATCCATGGCATCTTCGCGGATCAAGCGACGCACAATGGCTCCAGCACCAGCTTCCTGTCTCTCGGCTTCAATATCTTCTTCGTCGAGTTCGAGTGCATCGGCTGCCATTTTCCGTGCAATATCGTAGTCTTCAGGGTGTATTCGCGTGCCGTCCAACGGTTCCGAGTCTGGATCTGACGACTCATACGGTATGCAAAGGAAAGATGCCGCATTGGACCACACCTTAGGACTCATGGCTTGATGACCACCGTCGACACCTAGCAATTCCGCACGACTCCTCACAAACCCGCCACTGAGGTTCATGACCTTCAGAAGATGGGAGGCCTTGCGCGGACCGAGTCCGGCAACGTACGGCAGGAGGTTTGCAAGCGCAGGATCCGCGACCGCATTATTCAGGTCCACGCCCGTCAGCATGACCATATTGACAAGAGCCTGTTCCAGCTTCTTCAAGAGTTTGTCTTGCGGTAGCAGGTTCTGAGCTGGATGAAAATTGACAGAGACCACGTCTCGGCCCAGCCCGGCATACTCTTGCAAGGGAGACTGCAGATAGCGCGCCAGACCTACACAGTACAGCGCCATTTCTGAGCGAGCCAGCCCCGAGTACTCGTTTCGCATCCGCTCGCTTGCCTTGGAAATCCGGGCCACTTCGTCGTTGACCAGGATCACGTCTAAGAGATCGTTTCGATCCTCGTCATTGTCATCGGTGTATGTTGCACCCCGAAGGTCGTGGTTCTTAACCAGAGTGGACAAGTTAGCCAGTAACTTCCGGGTTTCGGGAGACCATCCGGAGACGGCGATGACTTCAGGGTCCCTCCTCCGAATGACTTCCACGAGCGCGTCGACATCCTTCCCGTCTGGGATCCCACGGTCTCCATCGCCGGGCCCAATATCCTTGAATTGACCATGCTCCGGCACTCTGCCGTCGTCGTTGACGTAGGCCCAGTAGACCGGATCTCGACCTATAGTCCCGCCACCATTAGTGAGGGCCAGGACACGAGGGATAGTGCCCTGCTTGTGCCCGAGTGGCTTCCACGGAGCCTGGTCGAGTTTGGCGTAGAAATCGTCGCGGCATTCGTCTCCGATGATCTTCTCGCATGACTCCTTGAGGTTTTCTTTGACAGAGCGAGCCATGAGTTTCATGATCTTGTCTAAGGCGGCTGACACAGCTTCGCGGCGCTCCTGATTCCAAGCGTCGGCCACGGTAGAGTAGTTGTCCGTTTCAATGTGTTTGTAGAGCTGCTTCTTAAAGCTGTCCAAGTTGGGCAGCCTCACACGAATCTCGATAAGACCTTCCTCCTCAGCCTTCAGCATCTTGAGAAACAGGTCGGGACGGGAACTGAAGGAGAAGCAGTCCTGATTCCGGAGGTATTTGAACTCAAAGTAAGGATGCTGTTCGTCGATCTTACGGAGCCCCTTCTCGGTACGATGGCAGTCTATTGCTCCTTCGGGGAAGATCTTTTGTCTCATGAGTTGGCGCAGCCTCGGGCTCACCGCGAGCTGTTCGACAAACATGGCCTTGGCTGCTTTGAGCACTCTTGTGCCAGTCGGGAATTCTTGGTCAATCAGGGTATCCGCAAGATTCTCGGGGCTGTCAGTCGGATCTTCAGTGTAGGTTCGAACACCTTCTCTGGTAGCGTTGCGGGCAAATGCGTCTGCGGTAGTGCCGAAAGCGCGCACCAGACTAAAGGCCTTGGAGGCCCGGATTTCCTCGTATACCGTCTTGGTCGAAGCTTTCTTCTGCGACATATTACGTCCGTTGATTTCGCCATCTGAGGTAAGTGCCAAATCTTTTAGCTGGGCTGCGTACTCGAAGTAGAGATAGTCCTGCAAGTCTTGAAGATCCTCCATGCTGCTGGACCGTGCCAGCATTTGCTCAAAGGTGGAGTCCTCAGAAACCGTATTGGACTTCAAATCCGCATATGTCTTCTGCAGCACTCGCTTCTTCTCAACAAGGGCGCGGTATTTGAGATCGTAATCCACCATGTCCCACAAGTCTTGTTGTGTAAGCAGCTTTTCGGTCTCCTCCACCATTTTTGGCGTTCCATCATCGTTCACTCCGATTTGCTTGGTCGTGTACAGGAACAGGTAGTCTTTACGATGTTGAAAGATGAATGGCGGCTCAAGATCCTGCCGGACCAGCATGTCGAGGTTTTCTGCGACAGCTCGTCTGAACGCGTCATGATGAGCGGAGATGAGCTTTTTGCCTGGAAGTATCAGATTTGCAATCCAAGGTGCTTCCTCCTTAAACTCGTCTTCGGTCAGCTCCAGACCGCTGTACGGCCGCCTAGCCAGTTGATATCGCTCAGGTATGTCGGCAAATCGTATGGCATTGTCATCATCGGTCAGGAGCTTCTCGGCGAGCTGAGAAGGTTCGAAGACATCCTTCAGATGGAGATTCTTGTCCTTCTTTGCTGCCTCTTCGTCCGCCTCGTCTTCTTTCTCCAGCGCGAAATCATAATCGGTGCCGTCGCCAAACGCAGCACGGAAGTCTTCAAGAGCTTGCTCGTCCAGACCAGCGGCATCTGCAATGCCCAGCTCCGCAATACCTCGCCGATTAGGCCGGGCAACCTCCTCATCTTCGCGTTGTCGCTGCTGCTCATCGTCGGAGAAGACATCTTCTTCGATAAAGTCATCGAACTCGTCCTGCAGCGCTTTGCCATCACGACGTCGACGTGTGTAGTCCACCGCCTCTTCTTCCTCATCGGAGTGGCCAAATATGTCGTTGACACCGTAATGCTGCTGAACGTCACGGTCTTCGCGAGGACCTCGCTTGAGCCTCTTGAACTTGGACTCGGTCGGCTCTTCAGCCGGCTTCATACCAATCAATTCAAGATCTTCTTCATCGAGGTCTTCATCCTCGCGTTCTTCGCGACGGCGCTTTTTCCGTTCCCGTCTTCGTTCTCGGCGAGCTCCTTCGTCGTCTTCGTCCTCGTCGACAATGAAGCCTCGGGCGATCTAGTAAAGCTGTCAGGTTTCGACTTTTCACTTGACCGGCTGAATCCACGTTACCTCAGCTGCAGCCTCTTCGTCATCGTCCTCATCATCCTCTTCCGAGGAGTCGTCAAAGCGACCAGTGGCGCCATTTGACTTCGTCCTCACTTCGCCCGTCTCTTCATCGAAAGATTCATCGTCCTCTTCATCATCAATTAGTGCACGGTCGTCAATCAGGGATTCCATGTCGGCAGATCGGTGCAGCTGCAGTTCTAGAGTAGGGGAAACAAGGGAGAGACTGTGGACCTTGGGGCGACCCGGCGGCGAGCTGGGAGTAGAACAAGCGCAGCCAGCCTCAGGGCAGCCGTGGTACGCCTTCAGTGCGGACACGAATTGTCGCGCGCATGCCGCGCGAAAGTTTCCCTTTGAAGAAGCATTTGCACGTGAGTCTGATCTGCAGCACCAAGCCCGATGCGGGCGGTAGGGTCCATTAGCTGGCTGCAATTGGCTGCGGGGCGCACTCCTCACTTCGATCCGAATTAGGCTGCGGTGCCTTCCCACTGACTGATCAGTGAAGCGAGCGTGAGAATAGCCGCTTGCGCTTGGAGCTCCTATTCACACCCATTGGCGAGCTATTGACCTATACAATGCACTATTAACTGAACTTCCAGTTTCAGACGAGGCAACGCGGGTATTGCTCAAACCCAATCTGAAGCGCCAGAGGCCCCCTATCTTCGTCGAAGGCATCAAAAGACCATTTCAGTCTCACCATCTCCCAACTGACTACTACCCCGTCATTGCAGCCCAGGTCTGAATCGTGGCTTCGGGCATATCCACGCCTTTCGACAGCGCTCAGACGTCGCTGGTCTGCCTCACTGCTCGGACAAGTGTCAATTGCCAGCCTGCTAATCGCTTGATGGCCTTGATTGACCTCGTACTTGAAACCTGAAATAGGCGCCACAGACCTCTTATACTGCACCTACCAGCACCCGCAGTTCCGTCAGTACCTGCTGTGATCTCCCACTACCCTTCGAGCCTTCTCTTACGAGCGACATCACCGAACCCGTCGTCCGCAAGCCCAAGAGAGATTCCGGCATCATGTCTGACCCCTTCAAGGCTCGCACGCTGAAACGAAAGAATGTCAAAGGGCTGGCTTTGAATGCCCCGACTCCTCGAACAGCGCCTTCAGATGGCGACTCACAGATACCTGGGGCATTGGGGAACTCAGAGAGCGATCGGACAGACACTCTGGAGATAGGGCTCGAGTTCAAACTTGACCTCAGAAGTGAAGATCTTGTTGTTCTAAAAGAGTTGGGTGCTGGCAATGGCGGGACAGTCAGTAAGGTCATGCATGCCTCGACGAAGGTGATAATGGCAAGAAAAGTACGAGACAGTTGGTCCAGCTAGCGTATAACCAAGTCCTGATTGAGCGTACAGATAATTCGAGTTGACGCCAAAGAGAACGTTCGGAAGCAGATCGTCAGAGAATTGCAGGTTGGCGCCGACTGCAGCTCGCCATATGTCATTACGTTTTACGGGGCTTTTCAGAATGAGGCACGTGATATCGTGCTATGTATGGAATATATGGATTGCGGGTGAGTAACTCAGGCCGGGTCTAATCTAGTCCTTCAAACTGACGCCTTTCAGGTCCTTGGATCGGATATCGAAAGATTTTGGGCCGATTCGGGTCGATGTTCTGGGCAAGATCACGGAGTCCATCCTTGGAGGGTTGGTGTATTTGTACGAGGCTCACCGTATCATGCACCGCGATATCAAGCCGTCTAATGTCTTGGTCAACTCCCGCGGCATGATCAAACTATGCGACTTTGGGGTAGCCACGGAAACCGTTAACTCAGTGGCTAACACATTCGTCGGAACGTCAACATACATGGCACCCGAACGCATTCAAGGAGGAGCATACACCATCAAGTCCGATGTTTGGAGCGTTGGCTTGACGGTAATGGAGTTGGCGATAGGGAGATTTCCATTCGACTCGACCGACTCTGCTGCAGGCGACAGGGCCAGTGCCGGGCCTATGGGCATTCTGGACCTTTTGCAGACTATTGTTCACGAACCAGCACCTAAATTACCGAAGAGCGAGGCCTTCCCCGCCATTTTGGAAGATTTTGTGGCAAAATGCCTGCTAAAGAATCCGGATGAGAGGCCGACTCCGCGCGAATTATACGACAGGGATAATTTTCTGCAGGCCGCCAAAAGGACGCCTGTCGACCTGCAAGAGTGGGCTGTCTCAATGATGGAACGCCACAACCGGAAATCATATTTGGCACCTCCCGCACCCAAATCGCTCAAAAGTGATGGCACGAGCTCGGACACGTCCCATACTGCTTCGTCAGCATCTACAGCTTCTTTTGCGCCCGACGCTCGAGGCACCCCAGTAACAGCGAAGCGTTATGCCAGCCCTACTTCTGGGCACATTCCAGTAGCACCTCCGCAGTTCGCTTCTCAAGGCACTCCGACAGGCTTTGTGGAAAGATCGCCTCCCCCTCCATTATCGCTACAGCACCTGTCTCTCGAGACCAGGGATGCACCAAACGGAATAGGTCCGCGTGCAAATCGCCTGGGGTACAGTGACCGAGACAACATTCCAGAGCCTGCATCGGCCATTGAACCTTCCCAGAGACCCATGTTTCCGCCCAGGACAAGTAGCAGCGGTAACACCATGAACGGCAGGAACCAGTTAACAACCCCGGCATTTTCTACGCGCCAACCTCCACCGACAGGACCCTTACCGGCTCCTCCCATAAAGGATCTGCCAGCCCCTCCAGCATTGAGAAGCGCGGGCGTCGCCAGCCCGCGTCGACCAAGGTGAGGTTGAGCAGCACGATACCAGCAGATTGGTTGAACAGCGACTCAGGCATATCGAGGAAAATGGGGGTAACATCAGATATAGCATTCCACGTAGGCGTCTTCATTAAGTGCATGGTGAGCATTTGAGCTTGTAGATTTTGGCCATGAGAACAATTTATTTGCGTTTTTCAGCGATCCTCGATCTCTTCGTGGCCAGCTGTCGTTCTGGACATTTTCGTGGGCGCCAGCGAACGTGATATCGCTCGTGTATGTATGTATTGAGCCCCTCTGATATTACCCCTCGCGCTTTTCCTCGTTGCAACGCTTACTTCTCCGAGAGGCTGCCAAGGAATCCCGCAAGGCAGTTACAATACAGGTAGACACAGGCTGGCACGGGACGAAAACAACCTGGAGCGCAAGTCCAACTTACCAGGCCTCATCTACGACTGTACCTTTCTCCGGCGACGGGAGTTGACCGAGCTCGCTTGCTCCAACGGAAGAGGCGGACATGGAAGCCACATCGGCCAGAATGGCTTCACGAAACCAGTTCGTCTTCGACGGGTTTGCACCACCTCGATCAACTCTACAAAGATTCATATACAACGCTTGTGACCCTATTGCCAACCTAGAACCGAATCTGGCGCTGAATCTCGAGATTGTCGACCTGATCAACTCCAAAAAGGGCAATGCGCCTCGTGAGGCCGCAGTCACCATTGTCCAACTCATCAACCACAGAAACCCCAATGTCTCTTTGCTAGCCCTCTCACTGCTCGATAACTGCGTCAAGAACTGCGGATACCCTTTCCACCTCCAGATCAGCACCAAAGAGTTCCTCAATGAACTCGTTCGACGGTTTCCTGAACGGCCTCCGATACGACCGAGTCGAGTACAGGCCAAGATACTGGAAGCAATCGAGGAATGGCGGAGTACGATATGTCAGACTTCCAGGTACAAGGAAGACCTGGGCTTCATCAGGGACATGCACAGGCTGCTGCTGTACAAGGGCTACATGTTCCCGGAAGTGCGCAGCGAAGATGTCGCAGTTCTGAACCCAAGCGATGTATACCTTGTCTTGCGCACTCTAGGAAAGCACCTACTGACGCGTCGCAGAATCTCCAGTCGGCGGAGGAAATGGAGGAAGAGGAGCGAGCGGCTCAATCGGCGAAGCTGCAGGAACTGATCCGGCGAGGACGACCTCAAGATCTCCAAGAAGCGAACAGGTTGATGAAAGTCATGGCTGGCTACGATACTAGGCACAAGACAGATTATCGGGCGAAAGCAGCAGAGGAGGTCGCGAAAGTCCAGCAGAAAGCCAAAATATTAGAAGAAATGCTACAGAGCCAAACGCAGGGCGACAAGATCGGGAATGGTGATGTCTTCGAGGTACGACGTCCAATATGAGCCACTGCCGGAAGATGCTGATAAAGTCCAGGAACTTGCTAGTGCGCTTCAGAGTGCTCATCCCAAAATCCAGAAGATGTGCGAAGAGGAGTCAGATGACGCCGAAGCAGTGGCCAAGCTCTTGGAAATTAACGACAGTATACACCGGACCATTGAGCGATACAAGTTGATGAGAGCCGGAGATATCGAGGCCGCCAACAAAATCGCAAAAGGAACCCTGGGAACCACCACTGGAGTTGGCAAAAATGCAGCAAATGAATTATCGTTGATTGATTTCGACCCAGAACCCCCGGCCGCGCCGCCGGCGGGAGCGTCGTCGAGTTCTGGTACCAATGGCTCACTTCTCGACACCGGCCCGATAACTTCCACCACACAAGCCAGACCAAAGACCGTCGAGGACGACTTGTTGGGGCTGTCGTTGGACGATTCAGCCGCTGGCTCACTAGGAGCCATATCACTCGGGCCTAGCACGGGTTTCTCAGCACCATCAGGCTCCATCTTCTCGAATGCACCTTCGAGTCTATTGTCAAACCAGCCATCTGTTCCTCACACATCGCCCCAACCATCGCCTAAGCCGAATTATGATGCTTTTGCCTCGCTCACAAGCCTTGCTCCTACCTCGAAATCCGCAACTCCAGTTCCCATGGCACAGCATCAACAGCCACCACGACCGTCCACTCAGGCCCTGGCTGATCCTTTTGCAGCGCTAGTGTCAGCTGGTTCACGTCCTTCTACTCCCTCAAAGCAAAGCAACGTTTCTCAGCCCGCGTCACAGCCCTCAGCAGTATCCAACCAAGGTGCTTCTGCCCACGCTGAAGATGACTGGACTTTCGAGTCGGCCTTGCCGGAACCACAGACAATCAAGGTTCTCTCTGGTTCTCTGGAAATCGATTTCGAAGCGCGAAGGATGGCAGGACAAGCTGTAATCCAGATCACGGCGCACTTCTCCAACACGACGCAACAGCGGATCACTGGATTGCATTTTCAAGTCGCGGTGGAGAAAAGTTACACACTCCAACTGAGGCCTCAAAGTAGTCGCGAATTAGCCCCTACCACACGGCACGCGGTCCAGCAGGAGATCCTCCTGAATGGCGTGCCAGTGGGGAAGGGCCGCCAGGTCAAAATGCGGTTCAAAGTATCTTATGCTTTGGATGGACAACCTCAGGAACAGCAGGGCAACGTCCCACCGCTTGGGGTTAGTTAACGGCAATGGAAAGTATCCTATAGTTTACCCGGAGCTCCGGAGTCTTGCATGCAATCGGTAGCATCACGCGCGAGCGAGACGTGAGTTACCGATATCTTATCTTGTCCATAGTACAAACACTCCCATGGAGATGGCCCCAGTGGGCTGCTTCTCGATGGTCTCTGCCAGATTCCCGTCATGTCCACTTCAGGCAGATCCGCCACTCGCCACGGAGTGTCAAGGGAACTACATTTTGAGGCGACGCTTGCCTGGAATGACAGGTACCTCGTCATACCTGGTCGACAGGTAGCACAAACTGAAGCAGGATGATGGACTCACTCCACAGTGCAGAGTAGAAAAATACGAGGCACACGAGGCGAAACAAGGGGAGATCTGGATGCTGGTGTGAGGTGATTCGCGGTGATCAATCGATCAGCACACGGGTAATAGATCCAGACTGAGATCCGATCTCCTAGAGGCCCCTGTCCCTAGGCGATGTTTCGATCGCGGCGAGCAGGAAACAGACAGGGTGAAGGGGCTGTGACGCTGGTGTGAGAATGGACTCCGCCGTGAGCGCAGCAGTGATACGAGGGATGGTTGTGCGTCACTGTGGAGGAAATACGAGCAGCCGTGACATGGACTCGAGAGCTTGATTTGGGGAGGTTGCGGGCTTTCTCCTGAAATTCTGGTGAGAATGCAAGAGATCGCCGATTTCACAGCGATCTGAGGCGTGAGAGGCGCGAGCCCAGCTCTTTATGTCTTTGCAAACAACCAGAGTTTTGGTTGCTTCAACATCATTCGCCAGGGAACCTGCCGATTATTTGAAATAATCCCACAACCGGATTTCCACAAGCCGGCACTCTGGTAGACCCAGCTTGCTGTTGCTCCATGGGTCGCGTAGCTGTTCCTACCTTCGGTCGAATCAGCCGGCACAGTGCGAACGGCGATCGATCTGAGGGAGACTACACAGTCTACGTATCCTTGGGAAGACAGAGACCTCCGTTTCGGGAACATTCCAATACGTTTATATGCTAGCGAGCGGTCTGTGTTGTGTCCTGCTCGCTGCTGCGGGCGGTGAGGAAACATCTGAGGACTCGTACACAGTATGCTCAAGATGACAAGATTGCTGTGATTCGAGGATGCGGGCGACCCATCCTACTGTAGGACCCGGAAAAGGTTGCTACGGGATCAGCAGAGATGAGATCAGGCTTGTGTCAAAGCTGTCGAAGCAGCCAGTCCTGGGCAGACCGTTGGAAAGGAAAAGATTCGCGGACAGCGCTAGAATCGGCGCTAAGTTGGATGCGGGTCGCACGCCGGTGAGGCCAAGATCGGGTCTTCGTCGGGCCTCTGCTCGTATTCCGAGCCGTTGTCGAGGCTTCGCCCATGCCGCCAGAAATGCTGCAAGGAACCCCTTGAACAAAGGGGAATAGGATTTCCGGGGCACGCTTCCAGCTCATCGCATGTGTACCCGCTGGGGGATATGGTGCGCATTTCAATCCAGGCTGGGCCGGCAGAGAGGGACGGACATGGAGTTCAGCACCTTCGCGCATCTGCTGTGTGCGAGTACCGAGCGAGAGGGGCAAGTCGCGTCGATTAGCGGATCAAACACCCGCCGGAAAAAGCAGCACCACGACTTGCAGCGGGGCCTCGGACCAATGTTGGCCCAATCTGGCTGCCGCGATCGCTGACCCCCCTAGCTTCTTTTCTGAAAACTCGGCATCTCAGAACCCCCAGCCTAGTCAACTCTATCGGTCCTTCACCCGTCTCTCACCCCTGCCTCACCTGCCGCTTCTATACTAGTGGCGCTCGTAGGTATTCAGGCCTGCTGAGTATCCAGCCGGCGGCACGGAGTCAATCGCGAATGAACAATCACCGTGCGACCACCTTGTCACTGCATGCCCCATCCCTTCCCGCTGTGCTGGGCTTTACCTTTCGCATCTTTTTGAGTTTTTCGCGACTGGGTAGTACGATTCGCCTGCTCCATTGTGACAACCTGGTGCCGTGGGAGCCCACGAGGTAACCAACCACAGCCGCTTCCACTGTTGATGTGCCCATGGCGTCCTCCTGAGAAACGAGTCCACGAGAGCTCTCCTCCGTCGCTCGCACGTCTCAGCCACCGGTTTTTCTCACGATCTACATGGTACACCTCAGCAGATGCCAGGGTCTCCTCCGCTTAAGTCCATGGCTGTCGCCTCCGCGCTCAGCTGTCTCAGTATTACCAATTAAACCCACATATCGGCGTGGTTCCTCTAACCGATCTTGCCATCGTTGAGCGAGCTGGTGCGGATGTGAATTGATCTGGGCAGAATAAAGGGCTTGTTCATCCTAGGCCGTCCACCTCGATTCCGCTATCTTCTTACGGCGCCAGTACATCAAGTCCCTGGTTCGCCACCTGTATCTTCTCTGCCATAATCCAATTGTCCTTGAGACAGATCCTAAACAGCCTGTCCGCAGCATTACATATACTCGATTGGATCCGCGTCTTCGCCCGATTCATCTGCTCAGTATCGCTTGCTGTTGGGATATCCGCCACTGATCCTTGATTCGCACGTGTTCAACAGTATCGACCCAAATTTCAGACACTTAGAGCACCGCACATTCTGGGGATTCAACGCTCCAACTGATCCGACAGCTTGTTGGCTGGTCAGCACGAGTAGTCCCCTGCCTGACCTGCACCTCATCGACACCATGCCGCCGATGAAGAATACACCGCCTGCAAAGGCCGTGAAGACTGAGCGGACTCACGAGGAGAACCAGGAAAGGTCAGCGTCCTCTGCCGTGAAGAGTTACTGGGCTTCCGCTGACATTCTCAAAGAGCATACATCGCCGCCTCGAGAAGAAGTGATCGAAGCCTAGAGGCTCGAGTAGAATCCGCCCGGAGAGCATCTGAAATCCACAAACGACGGACGGGTCGGTCACTCCGAGTCACTGAACAAGATGTCATCAATGAAGAGATGTATGAAGAGGAGGACGATGATCTGCCTTTGCAGTATAGGCGGCTTACAGAGCATTTGCAGACCGGCTCGGCCGACTTCAATAGACGGTTGGCAGCATATCTGACAAACCAGGTGGCGATGCGAACCGCAATGGAGCAGATGGTCCAAAGCCCATATGGCTTACATCCCAACCGCGCTTATCAAGGCAACTCCGGCATGTTCCCATCTCCTATGCTGCCTCAACAGCAGGGCATGGTTCAGTCACCAAATGCATACCAGCGTCCAGCCCCATATCCCTCACCGCATCACCCCAGCTTCCGCCAGACACATGGCAGAGCGTTCTCAATGCAAGCAATGCCCACAGCCCAAGGAATGACATCTCCATCCGCGTCCGCTCAACAGCTATCAGCAGATAACCGAAGGTTATCGACGCCGACCTCAGCACATCCCGATCTCTCGTCAGGTCCGCAAATTCAAACGGACGGATTGAAAGCAGACCCAGAATATCAACGCCAAACCCAGTCAGCGACACTGCCTCAAGGCGGATCCGGATCAAATGGATTTATGCCTTTCTGGCGAGACATGGGACCTTTCACCACTTCGCTCCCACCGGAGTCCCAGCAGATGCTCGCACAGGCACCTGGCTTCGACGTCAGGGATCCAGACTATGCCATGCTAATGCAGGGCTCGGAGCAGTTCATCAACGATCCCTACTACCCCTGGCAGAACATGCACAGCGGCATCAAAGGTATGCCAGTCCACCCCTCAGCATATCCGGGTATGTCGGCGACACTGGCACCGGCGGCACTAGAGAAAAACACAGACTACCTCAAACAACCTGTGTCGACATCAGCCGGAGGACCCACTTCTGCACCTGCAGCACCCACCGATGTTCTGCCTAGTGCCGGTCTTGACTTCAAGTTCAGTCAAGAAAGCAAAGAGCCCGCTTTCACCTCAATAGTCGGCGACATGGCCATCAGTCCAGGCCAGGTGACCCCTGTTGGCGAGGGCTTCTGGGATCACTTCGTCATGGACGGTAGCTGGGAGGATGGCGTGAATAGTATTCATCGCCCTGGTGCTGACGGTAACCCTGGTGATGACAACAACCCTTCGGACAACATGCCCGGCAACAATCTCCGCGGCGTCGAGGTCGGGTCCGGAGGCGAGGTGGATCGAAAGCATGGCGCTTGAATAATATTGCGCCCCTTTTGTTTTGTGGTTATCACAGTGACCTGTCTGGCGTCTTGGCGAATCATTTGCTTTTGGTTCTTGGTGGACCTTTCTGCTGGCGGTGCTTGTTGCAACTCAGTCATGAGTATGACTTGTTGACGGCCGGAGGTGGGAAGTTCACCAAAAGACGTCCCTGCTTGCATGTTTGGATACCCAGAAATAATGAAACGAGGTATAGGGATTAGGAGGGCGAGGCGATTTATGGCTCGAGGATAAATTCAAAAATCCCCCAACAGAGGGTCAAAGGAGGTATATCATGAGCAATACGCTGCTCGAGTCCATCATGGTGCTCGTCATCGCATTGTGCCAAGGCCGGATGACTGGACGAGACGTGGCAGGAGTGTGCCAGAGAAGCTGATATGGATCGTATATCGTATAATGGCCCGGAAAGTCAAAGATTCCTCTCCATCACCCTGATCGTTAAAGCACGTCGTCTTTCACCTTGGCACGTACCACTACGGTATCACAATTGAGCCTCATGATTCCGTCGGCGTCCGTGTCTTATCGCTAGGCCCACTGCAAAAGCTCGATTTCTGCACAGAGCGGCCGGGAATGATTTGGCATGACATCTAGAGTTCATGGTCATATACAGGTCTGTAGAGCGGTTGTAGGAGCCAACGATCAGCGCCGGGACCGTGATCATGTGGCCGTACGGAGTACTGAGTTGAAGATGACGGGGTTAAAGTCTCCATGACTTGTGGGCAAGCCGGATGATTACTTAACATGCACGCGAAGGCACGCCGACCACGAACTGAAGTGTCATAAGAGTAGTGCCTATGAACGAAAACTCGTATTGATCGGGTGGGTGTCGGGTATCTAAGCATTTTCAAATCTCTATCTTCTTAGCTTTTGGAGGACTGCCGCGCGTCCGCGCTGATACCTCGGACTCCTGTGCGGTGATCTCAGGTTCCTGCGCCGTGCCGTGACACCACAGAATATGAGGGCGAGAAGGCGCTATATGTGGTTGTAACTCGGTTCAACCAGTCCAGCTCCATTGAATGAGGTGGAGAGTGCTCTTCGAAGTCTGACCGCCTATCTAGGACATTTAAGGCTCAGTGGCCTCCCTTTGCTCGCAGGACGATACTTTTCAATTCTGAACGCCGTTACCGTCCCCGTGAAGGAACCAGGAGGCATAACTCAATTTCCCATCAACACCCCTTGGCCGCACTGCCTTTCCGGGACAACTCCCCGCTCGGTCGGAGCGCGCTGTTTCCACTGCTGACGCTGGGGCGTTGTCCCAAATCCATACTTCTCCTAACGCTGCTGGAACTGCTTCGTCGCCGGCGCATTCTGATCTCGCTCGGGTCTGCCACATCGACGAGACCACCCACGCGGGCAAACAAGATGAGGATGTCGGTCAAGGAGACGACGCCAACTAGCCGGCCTGAGATGCGCGCGCCGGGTAATGCCGAGGCGGAGATGGACGGGCCTGTAGGTGCTATGAACGGCGGCTTTGGCGAGGAATCTACTACTGTGCTAGGGGAGGTTGAGAACGGATCTGTGGATGGGGTCGTCGTGGCGACGGGAGGAGTGAAGACATTTCCTGCGCCGTTGGCTTGCGAGAGTGATGACGAGTGGCTGGACGTGGGAGCCAGGGTTGCAGAATGCAAGGACGGGGTAGGCGGGCCGGAGGAGGACGGCGAGATGGGTTCGGTGATCCACATCCTGTGCGATTTGGTGGCGACAAGTTTCGCGACTGTGTGAGCGAGTGTGGAGAGAGGGGTGACGTGGAAGACGGGGAAGGAATCCTTTCCTTCGTACATTCCTCGGGTGGAGAGGATGACGGTGATGAAGTGTATGCAGGTGTTTCGCAGGAGCGGCAGAGAGGAGGACTTTGTGAGGAGCTTGACATCGACGCTCGAGATGTTGCCGATGACGTTGTAGTTGTGGTCGATAACTGGCAGCGAGGAGACGCCTTCGTTTAGAAGAAGCGTGAGCGCTTCAAAGAGAGGACGGTCGCCACTAAAGGTAGAAAACATGTTAGTCAGGAGCCGGGTACAGGGGAGATCGTAGCAGCATACTTGATGGCCACGACGTCGTTGGAACCAATCTTCAGGTCGCGTAGATTCTGGTGGTACAGTTGGTCGAGCACGGGGAAACTCCTGCCATTTTCCCAGAGAAACCTGATCAGACGACTCTGGCTGAGCAGGCCGGTGGCTTCTTTGGTGGTTTCGTTCCTCACCACGACGCGGTGGACTCCCTTGCCGAACGTCTCAATCGCCTTGATCAGGTCCGAGTTCTCGTCCAGAAACGTCAGCGGCTCCTTCTTGCTCAGGTCCTGGATTTCTCGCAGTTGAATACGCTTGCCTTCCCGCGCACGCTGTGCCAGCTCGAGGAATTCCTGGGCATGTTCTCCTTCTTCGGGCCGCAACAGGCCTACCACAAGCAACAGGTAGGCATTGAGATCTCGGTGGTCGAACGTCCCAATGACGGGCGAGCCGGCCTGCTCGCGGATGAGGACCACTGGGGCGCCTGACTCAATGAGCAGCTATTGTGGACAGGTGGTCAGTACCAGTTCTGGCCAAGGAGATGGATGCGCGGTCGTACATTTGTGGCAGCCTCAACGGCGGCGTCAATCTCGACGAACCTCAAATCATCTGGATTGACCAGCTCTTTGACCTTGACCTCCTGCCAATTCCTCCCCGCAAACCTGGGGTCTGGGTTCCGCATGGGTGGATTGTCGATCAGGTCTTGTACGGCGATGTGCGACAGAGACGGCTGTCTTGAAGACCGTGGTGAGGGAGGATGGCCTCGTAGTTCGTGGAAGCTCTGACGATGTTGAGCGGCCGCACTGGGCATGGACGGGATGCGTAGGGAAGGTGTTCTGCTGCCGGTGGAGGGCGAGTCCATGCTGGACCGCGAGGATATAGCTGCTGAGGAAGGGCTGTTTACCGGTGGATCCCGGCTGGGCGTCGACATGGTGTCGTCTGCGCACAATCTATAAGTCCGTATCTGCTGGTGGCAGGCTGCGATCAAGCGACCGGGCGATGAATTGGAGGTCGAAGTGGAGATGAGTTCGTGGCTCAATTGGCCGCGGGGCACAACTTGGTCACATGCAGGCAGCAGAAGTGGTGTGATGTTTGGCGGACTGCTTGACTGCTTGATTGCTTGAGCCGCTTAGTGGTGATGGCCGAGAATCGAGACATCTAGATTCTGACAATCGCTCGTGTCTGCACAGGAGACTAAGTCATGCGAGGGTCTCCTGTAACGCGGTTGGGGGGTTTTGTGCCTGCCATTTGCTGCGCGAGACCCGGGGGGGGAGCGTCATTGCCTGACTCAGTATTGTAACACGCGACAATACGAGTACCTAAGGAGAGGCTGAAGGCGCCCGCGATGAGCGGCCCTTGAGGCAACGATCACCGACGACAATACCTAATTACATCCGAGGAAGTTCGTAGACCCATATGCAATTATCTATATACATAGGTAGACGGCCCTCAATGTCCCTTCTGGACATACTCGCGATGCAGGTGTACAACTCAAGCCTTGAATTCTTCTAGCATGTCTCCCAGATTCCTGCGCACCGGCCTCATCGCAGGTCTGTTCGTTGGGCCACGCTTTGGTGGAGGTGATGCCGTGCCTGGAGCTGCCTGTTCTTGATTCCTGTTCCTCTTTGGTTGCTCACAATTGCTGCCCGCTCTTATCTCATCCGTTGCCTTCTGCCTCGGCGTATGGACCCTGTCGAACCAGATTGTCCGATGGCCTACAGAGCCGTCAGAACGAAGCTCAGTAGGACCAGATCTTGGGAAACCAGCTCCAAAACAAAAGGGGAGACCAAAATCCTCTCTGCATGGGCGAAGTGGGATCGTCAAGATACAATTTTGAGGCATCAGGGAGTGTACGTACCAGGGAAATCGTCGACAATATGCGACCACGGACGGGGAGTTCCCAACCAGACTTCGAGTATCGGAAGTTGCTGCTCAAGATTGGGTCGTCTGCTATGGCCCAGCTGGTTGAACAAGTCTTGACTCTCGTAGTAACACCCTGATATCGAGCCAGCGTGGAAATCTTCGCTCCTAATTACGGGCCGGAGGCCTTTAGCACTCCGCTTTGCGTGTCTCGCTTCCCACCCCGCTGTTTGAGACGTCTTCTCCCACACAGCCCTGTTCTTTTGATGCATGTGCGGACAATCAGTCACAATGATATGGCAAAGAGACGGGAAATGATGCGTGTATTTGAATATCCATCGGTCCAAGTTTGCTTGCCAGCCAAACATCAGAACCCGAAGGTGCTGGAATGCTTGCCCTGAGGCCGCAAGTTGTGTCCATGACAACAAAAGTCGTTCGTCAAAGCTCGAGCCGACTTCGCTATACTCATTGCCGGTGTTAGAAACGTCGAGAACTGCAAGATTCGTGATTGTGTGAACGGACACGAGATCTTGGGTGAGTAGCTGTTGGGGACAGAGGCGAACGCAAGTGAGCCATTTCAGCTCCGGGGACGTAATACCCCTGTAGTAGTCCGTCAATGGCAACGATGGTTGCTTGAGGCGTATGAAGTATCGATAGTGCCGCTGACCAAACTCCTCCGCCTCGGGATACACCGTGGCGAGAGTCCTCCAGGCGTGGAAGGTCTCAGCTCGCCTATACAGATGTTATTGACGTTGTCCTGTGACTGTGGTACAAAGGGCCATACGTTGCCACTACGTGGTCCCAGATAATTTCCGCCATCGTCCACGGTATGCTGGCAAAGTGTTCTGGTGTTAGATTAGAGAACTCTGTGACCACTTTCGCCCTTGCGACTTCCGCCAGGGAACGAGCACCCTTGGCATTCGGCAGAGGTTTTATGACCGCACGAGGCGTATTAAACTCGCGTATCCAATCCAGATGCTTGTTGCCGCTCGCGCGAACCTCAACTTCAGAGTAAACCTGGCCGCTCTCAGGGTCGAACTTCTTTTCGGCGACTGGGTTTGTAAATGATGAGGACGATGCATAACTGTATAGCTTTCCACGGCGTGAAGGTCCTCGCTTCGACCCCTGAGATTGGTAGTAGGACATGCTTTTATTGTGAAATGCGTGGATCCGTACCGTACAGCGCTTGCGCCGTCGCAATGCTACTGATCCAACGCAATGTTGCCAACAGAATCAAGTTTGCCACAATATTGTCTTAGGCAACAGAAGCAGACCTCAGCAGCTTGGTCATCGCGATGAGAGATTCTTTGGCCATTGCCGTTCGATGTGGCTGTTGGTGACCTCTATTAATCAGGAATTCGGCTCCCAGAGTCAAACAACATATCAAATTGCCATCGAGAGTCGTGCGGGCTTGTATGGGTCGTCTACGTCCTTCGAGTTCTACGAAAGTTGAATGAAAGTCGAAGGACAAGGGGAAAACTTCGCTATCCGTGACTTCACGTGATTGCGCGTTCCCCATGACATCATAGCTACAACGCGAGTTGGCACCCAGTTGGCTTGGTGTTTAGTTCTCGTCCAGGGCCGGCTTTCGCCTGCTTTCTGCCATAAGACTGCACGTCGTCTCACGTTTAACGAAGACTGAGATCTCTCACCGAAGCGAAGAAATATCTGTACAATCTCTCATTCTCCATCAGACGTTCTCCAATCATGGTCGTGCTCCGTAACGGGAAACATTCCGGCGAGGCAAACGATCAAGAAGCCGGTAATGCGACAGAGTCCGTAAACCTCAAGCGTGGTGAAGCACCCATTGCTGCAAACAAAGAAAATGTCAACCTCTCCTCAGAGGTCGACAATGCGACCACGGAGGGCAACCATAGCAAGCAAGCTAATACGAAGAAAACAAAGCTGCACGGTTCGAAGACCAGGAAAGGCCTGATCCCTGGCCGTCAAAAGCGCGACGAAGGCAACGCCACCGATATGAAGCAGGCACAAGAAGAACACGATCGCAAAGACCAATGCAGCTCGAACAAGCCCCCGGCTTCTAGGAAACGGACAAGGAAAGACCTTGAAATTGAATGGGATCGAAGCCAGTTGCGAGACCCCCGTCCCACTCCGGAACGGGTACTTTTGCCTCGTCGATCTGAAACCGATCTCACAGAAGAGGAAAAGAAGTTGTTCAAAGGTCCGCCGGCAAAGCGTCCAAGGGCAAGAGGGCGCTTGCACGCATGCCAGGAAGACCAGATGTTCCGCGAAGAAGCCAAGAGGAACATTGCTCACACTGCCCATGAGTTATACGTATGCTTTGATAAAGGCCCCAATGGCTCCCCTACCTACGATGAAGCTGGGTTCCAGCTGGACTATCGCAAGGTAGCAGACTGGATGAAGCCTAAGATGTACAACAAACAAGCCATGGTCAACGGCATGGAACGAGCGCTAAAGCGTGGCGAAGAGGAGAAGAGCAGGATGGCGGCGGCCTTCTTCGAAGGTGGGCAGGCCCCAGACGAAGGAGGAGGGCTCGGCACCCTCGATTTGTTGAAGGACAAGGTCTCGAAGGACCTGGGTATTGCATTCCATAAGGTTACTCCCGCCAAGGTGGAAGGATGGGCCAAGAAAGGATTTCCCAAAGAGAATCCACGCGACTATGTTGAGTCCACTCTCACAGCAGAGGAGAGGAAAAGATTCCTTTCTATGCACATGGGAAGTAGCTTGAGGAAGTGAACATGTACGTGTACACGATGCGCAACAGCGAGGCAGTTCAACAGAGGCGTCTTCGACATTTGGGTTTGATCGGATACCCGGCGTTCCTGCGCCCTTGTTTTGCGGAAGATGGACATCAGCAACAATAGACACCAGTGACGCCCGTGGTAGAGCCCGTGAAGAGTAAGACTGAGCTGGCACGCACGCATCTTCGGTTGTTTTTCCCCGCATATCGGCTTCGGCCGGATTTGCGCCGATGCACGTGCTGATGAGCCAATGGAAGTTGAGCAAGAGCTCCTCTAGCTTGTCCTAGCTGCTTCTGCTTCGGTTCGTTGGAGACCTTCTGCCTACTATTGTGTGCGAGGGCAGCTCACGACGGGTCACAGCTTGGTGAAAACATGACACCTGATTGCACCGTGCGGGGTCAAGTCAGGAACAGCGAAGCACGGAAAGCAGTGAGATCTCGTCTTAGCTACCAATGATCGTCGAGACAGCCCCGAGATGAGCTTCGCATCACACACCCACCACCCAGACCGCGAGAAAGATGACGATTCTTTGCGGTCTGCGGGGTTCAGCGTGCATGGGATGACAAGGTCTCGACAGCCAGTGCCAGGAACGAAGGAGCTTAAATAGCTGCCAGAATGCTTGCTCGAAGCTTGCGGCCCCATCCCTCGTACGCAGACACACTGTTTGCAGACACCAGTCGGGCCATCATGCAACTTCCGCTGCTCTTCAGCAGCCTCGCTTCTCTTGTCATTTTTGCAACAGCCCAGTCCACCTCCAATCAGGTCCTGGTGGTAGATCAACGCAGCTTTAATGTTCTCAGACCCGTTCCTCCTCCTTCGCGGTCGAACCTGACGACGGTGAGTAACGAAGGCCGCAGTCCTGTCGGTCTTCTAATCTCGCTTTAAGATCTTTGTGCCACCGGGAATCACGCTGGAAGAGGCCCTTGACAAACCCTTCCATGTCTACGATGAGTAAGTTGCCCTCATCAACGAGGCAGAGGTTGGGGAGGCCACCATCTCAGGTCAACTCGGCTGTTCTGATCCACCTCTCCTCTGCTCTCAGCTTCCCGTGGTGATGGGACGCTTCTGACGGGAATCCAGTGCCTTCTACGATATAATTGGGCCAAACCCTACATTGACCGTCCTTGCCAGTCAAGGGACCAACCCACTCTTCCACGAAGCCGTTGTCTGGTAAGTGCGAGAGCCTGCTGCGTCATTGGATTCTGTGGCGCAGAGGTCGAACTGACGTTCCATTACAGGTATCCTCCGACCGTAAGTTCGCCTTATATTAAGAGCTCACGGCGGAATGAACAATTATCTGCGTGGACACGCCTGAGGTCTCGGTCGCGGTCGCCTTCCATTTCTCGACGTTCCTCTCAAACCCCAAATACCAGGCCACCATTTGACGTATCTACAGGACGAAGTCTTCTTTGTGCAAAATGCTGGAGCTGCGGCCGCTGGTACAGGTCTGAACAAGTCCAATATCATCCAAAAGATTGCTTTGAGTCAAGCTGCTGCGGTATCATCCATGCGGAATGCCAGCGGTGAGGTTCGAATCCAGACGGTGAATGCTACGCCACCAGTGATCAATTCCAATGGTCGGCATCCCCCTCCAGCGGTCATGCTGTTCCCCTGTCTTCCGAGAGTCTAACGACCCATCCAGGAGCGACTCTATACCGTGGTCAAATTCTCTTCACAGGGGAGGGTCAAGGCAACAACACAGCACCTGCTCTGTACGTTATGAACCCAGAGCCCCCATACAACACGTCTAGTAAGTGAACGCCCTGGAACTCCTCGCAATATTCCGGAATGTCCGCGGGATTGACGCTCGTGACAGTCCTTGTGAACAACTACTTCGGTCGTCAATGGAACTCGTTAAACGACGTTGCGGTGAATCCGCGCAATGGGGATGTATACTTCACAGATACTCTCTACGGCTACCTCCAAAACTTCCGACCTTCTCCAGAACTGCCAAACCAAGTGTACAGGTTCAACCCTTCGACAGGCGCCGTCACGACCGTGGCGGATGGGTTTGAGTTGCCTAATGGTACGTCCCTTGCCTTGAAAATCTGGGTGCTTTATCGCGTGCATTCAAATCGGATATTTTACCACACGGAACTGGCTGATGTGACTATTAGGCATTACGTTCTCTCCCAATGGCTCTTATGCCTACGTGACTGACACAGGAGCCCAATACTCGAATTTCGGGTATAATATGACAGCTCCAGCCTCCATGTGAGCTAAGCCCTGAGCGTTCATCCCACACTTCTTCCCATTCGCACCTTCAACGGGCAAAGACGTATGAACTGACTGCATGGGTTTTTCACTAGTTACCAATACACTGTCCTCGAAGATGGGACGTGGTCCAACCGCAAACTCTTCAGCTATGTCAGCCCCGGAATTCCTGACGGCGTGCACTGCGACACTAATGGCAACGTGTATTCTGGGATTGGTGATGGGGTAGTCGTCTACAATCCTTCGGGCAAGCTGTTGGGTAAGATCTTCTTGGGCACTACGTCTGCGAACTTCAACTTTGCGGGAAAAGGCAGAATGGTTATCTGCGCGGAGACGGAACTGTATTACGCCACATTGGCAGCCGAAGGAGCAGTAGTCCAGAGTGAGATGCCGCCTCAATAGGCGAGTCAGAAGATATCGGCCGTGAAGGCCTGCATCGGTATCTGGGTCGGCCGCTTCTAACATCAAGACACAGGAGGAACGAAAGTCGTTGGAGAGTCGTCAGCCATGACCTCGTACGCAAGCTGCTGCTTTGTTCCATTGGCAAGAGGCTCCATGTAGCTGCAGCCTTGCCTGCCGGGAGTTATGACCACTGGCCACATAGAGCGACCAGCTAGATGATCCACCTACGCTTCGTCCTAGTCACAGGCCAGTCCTCGGGATAGGCCGGCTTGCTTTCTAGCTCTTTGTACTCGGTGTCCATCCTCTGCCTCACTTCCGACGAGACATGATCGCCATAGACAACGCCGTTGAGGTGGTCAGTCTCGTGCTGCAGAATGTGCGCCAGCAACCCGTCGGCATCTATCTCAACAGCCTTGCCGCGTTGATCGATTCCGCGCACCGTAATTGCGCGGGCCCGTGCCACTGAGGCCGAGACACCCGGGTACGAGAGGCACCCTTCGGTCATGCTCTGCTGCTGATGCTGCTGTTGTTGCTGCTGGTGCTGGTGCTGTTCACCCTTCGCATGATGACGACGGCCCTCCCGCGGTCCGTCGCGCGTCTCGACCACGGGATTGCAAACCACGCCCCAGCTCCTCTGCCCCTTCAGATCCGTGAGGTCGTACACAAACACCTTCAAATCCACGCCGATTTGGTTGGCAGCCAGCCCGACGCCATCGGCAGCGAACATCGTCGTGAACATGTCCGCGGTCAGGGCCTCCAGGTCGAGAGTGTCCAGGTCAGCAGGAGCGACTTCCCGCACTGCACGATGCAGGATCGGGGTGCCCCAGCGACTTATGGGGCGGATCTTGCCATTCGTTGGAGGTGGTGTGTTGGTCATGCTTGCTGGTGTGGTGGTTTCTTCCTATGGCATAACGCTACCACAGGTAACAGTAACGGTTAGGATGCAGTGGGAGATAGTCACGGCGGTACTGTGGTGGCTTCAGCCATGCTGTGCAGCGCATACGTGGTTCTGACCGGGTGTAGAAGTATCCTGCCCCGACACGTTCAAGAAAAAGACTTGCTGAAGAGACTCGTTTTGCCTACAGAGGTGTTGGTAAGACCAGGACTTAAACCTGAAGTCGAGTACGGAATAGAGGACGCACAACCCACCGCCCGGCGGGCCACCCTCTATCTGGACATAGGAACTTGCTGCTTTTGGGCTGCCAGCCAGTGTGCAGGTGTTGAGATAAGTTGCTGAAGGCTCTCACGTACAAGTAGAATCTCTCGTTACGAGTAAAGCCGTTCGTATTGCGTCACGTTTGTGGCAAGGTTTGTGGGGAAAAGATTCTGTGCTTGCTTGATTTGGAATCGAGCCAGGTCCCGCTACCGGATTTCCATCCGGGCTGTGAGTCGTACACTCTTGGACACTCGTCTCTAATGAAAAACTCAAGCCTGATTTCAGGTAAGCAACTCACTGTATACAGAAAGTGAGGGTCCTGCCGCGTGTCGAAGAATTAAGTGAGCTTCAAAGCGAGCATCATGGGTGAGATTGTCGTTGCCTTCGATCTCTACGGCACCCTGTTGTCAACAGAGAGCATTGCGAAGGAACTAGCGTCGCACTTTGGCCAGGAGAAAGCGAATTCAATCGCTGCAGTATGGAGAAAATATCAGCTCGAATATACCTGGAGGCTGAACAGCATGAGTAGGTCTCTCCAGCTTGTCCGCTAGACTCCGCACTGATAACTCTGGAGAACACTATGAGGATTTCTCAGTCGTGACTCGCAAATCACTCTTGCATGCACTAGCAGAGCATTCCGTCAGTCTCGGTGACCAAGACATCCAGAAGCTCATGGAAGCATACGACCATCTTTCAACCTTCCCCGATGTCAACCCAGCCCTGAAGCGGCTCGAGAACAACTTCAATATTAAATGCGTGGTTTTCTCGAACGGGACGAAGACCATGGTGGCAAACTCCGTCGACAGATCGCAAGACCTTAACACATCAGTCTTCCAGGGGCTTGTCACTGTAGACGCTGTGCGAGCTTTCAAACCCGCGCCGGAGGTGTACCATTTCCTTGCTCAGCAGGTGGGCAGGGCGGGCCAGGAGGATAAAATATGGTTGGTATCGGGGAACCCCTTCGATGTTGTCGGCGCGAGAGCTTGTGGCTTTCAGGCGGCTTGGGTAGATCGAGCTGGGTTGGGATGGCAGGACCGATTGGGACGTGAACCCACTGTCGTGGTGAAGAGCCTCGAGGAGGTGGCGGACGCTGTGGAGAGGCACGCGGGCTCACGCTAGTAATGAGTTACTGGTCCAGCTATTCATGCCGCATTGTCTCGATATGGCTCTGAAGCTGAGATCGTAGCATTATCGCGCGACCGACGAGCCTTCTCCATCTTTGCTACCCAGAGTGCACTGCCTGCCGCAGAAGTGAGGAGAAAGAACATACTCAGCACGGGGACAAGCTGCAATGTCAATGTGACGACGCCGAACCACGTGTATTTGAGCTGGCGGTGCCTGATGTATTCCTGTCTCTCTTTCTTGGAGAAGCCCAGTAGCTTAAAATACCTCCAGTGATGGAATGGCCCCGCCCTGTAGCCGGTGAGAACAAGGAAGATTGGTACACCGACAATAGGAATGAAATTGAGTGGCAGGACGACTACGAACTCGACGATCTGGCGGAGACTGAACGGAGCGTAAATGGCGGATGTCGTGGGTTTTCCCAGCATTTGCACTGAGTTCGAGGCAGTAGGATCCAGGAGCCGACCTTGTGTAACGAGGTCCGCCAGCCCTTGGTCGATCAGGACAGCATCAAATGTGTCCACCAGAGTTTCATCGACGAAGAATGCTTCGAAGAGCAGCGCGACGATAGCTGCGCCTTCACCCAGGACCAGAAAGGTTGCATTCAGCCAGGCACCTGGCCCATGGAAGATGGCGAGGAAGGCAACCTGCGGAAGATATGCCCAGATGAACAGGTTGGCGTAAATGAAGGCAGAGAGGAGGAATATAGGAAGGAGACGAGCTTTGAAGAGAGGAAATAGGTACGGATGTAGGATGAAGTAGAGGATGCCCTACGTTAGCTGATCAGACGTTGCTGCTCCTGCCAGATTTGCAGACTCACCTTGATAGGATACAGCCAGACGACATCGAAGAATGTTGCTGCCATTGTCGGAATGTTCCTGAGGGGCTTGTCATCGCAGGAAGTCGCCCATGAGCGACGTCGAGAACAAAACGAGGGCACGATTCTACAGGCAGCCGTCTCACACATGACACAACCCAGACCAATCAAAGCGGCTGGTCTGAAGCCTCGTAGCCAAGCCTCAGCCTTGCGCCGCCCTCAAGGTCATTTCCACCATGCGAAATTTGCTTCTCCTCTCTTTCTTCTTCCAAACTGAAACGTCCTCCGTATTCACTCTATCAATGCTCACGACCGTGATTGCTGGAGGGGAAATCGGAGGACAGAGGAACCATCGTTTCGACGGCTGCCAACTTACCCCGAGCCCTTCTGTCTTTAGGATCGTGGAGGTTTTGGAAATATTCATGGCTGCACATATTTCGGAGGCAAACTTGGGACGTGGTGGTCAATCTTTTCCTACGGCGTCAAGCAAACACCATGCCGTTCTCAGCACGGAGATTTGGCCTCAGTATCTCACTCGGGCGAAGGTTGTGCCTTCTGCAGCCGGTTCTAGAACCACATATAGCAGGCCCTGAGTGCAGGGATGGAATCACAAATTGCCACTCCGGGCGGGTGTGCTACCGACTGAAGCTGGCTGACTCGACCCAGACCTTGGGGTGCATGGGTGGCACCAAGTTTGGTCAATCCGGTCCCTCGCACCACTCGTACTGTTGTGGCTGTCTTCCTCCGCCTCCGCCTGCGCCTCCGCCTCTCCTGTGCTGCAAAGTGAATAGTTCTTCTCAAAGCTCTACAGTAAACGGTACCTCTATCCTTACCTTGCGAATTGTGAATCACTCGTACCTATCGGCAGATCCAAGGCAGTTATCAGAGCCGCAGCTGCCCAGGAAGACACGCACTTCCCCGCAGTCCCCGTCAAGGGCAGTTAATTACGGGGACGCCAACAGAGCACGGGAAGTGCCTACCTCGTACCTATGTACCTAGGCAGTGAGGTGTGAGTGGCTTGTTGGTCACCGCCGCCCTGCGTCAAACTCTTCCTCGGCCATCCGATCTGCGATTACAGTTCTCCACCTCCGCTTGGTCCTTCCTCACACCATCGAGGATTCGACTCGAGGTCACCTGCTCCCTGCTTCCGACCACGCCGACCGCCCATCTCAAAACCCCTTCGAACCCTGTGCCTAAATAACATGTGCCGACGTTCACCCGCGGATTGTCCACTCTCGCACCTAGTTATTGACAGATCGAATGCCGTTCGAGATGGCATCCATCTCCCCATCGAGTTCCTACCCGTCCGTGCAGCCGCAGCAGGACACAAATAGCGCGTACAAATACGAAGATCCTACCGCGTACCAGATCCCGTCAGGCTATCCAGCGAACCAGTTCGAGGTGCCTCTACCTGTTCCGCGCGCCGAAGCTGAACCTCAACCCAAGGAACCTTCAAGGGCTCAGGGTACGCCCTCATCGGAGCCCAAAGTCCGTCTGAGAAAGGCCTGCGACAGCTGTAGCGTTCGCAAAGTCAAGGTACGTGCAATTGCCCGCTCCGGGGAGCTGCCAGCTTACCAACGAGGATAGTGCGATGAAAGCGGTCCTCCCTGTAAATCATGCGCTGCCCTCGAGATTCCCTGCACCTTTGATCGACCAAGTCGTCGCCGGGGGCCTCCCAACAGACATGCGGAAGCCATAAAGAGACAAAAGCTCGAAGGCGGGAGCTTCGATGCAGCCAGAAGCTCCCCCACCCATGACGCCGCCTACAGCCTGGCGTCTCTATCGACGCCGATCCTCTTGTCTGCCGAATCAATATGCGACTTGCACACGGTGAAGATCCTGCTGGACGACTACTTCACCTACATCCACCCGCTGATACCTCTTCCGCATGAGCCGACATTCCGCAGGTCCTTCGAGGCGAGAGAAGACAGAACAAATCACAACTTCTTGGCTCTACTCGCAGCCATGGTCGAATGTCTGGTCGCGTCGTTCCCCAGAAGACCCAGACAGCTCTTCGCTACGGAGCCAGGCAAATCGCAGTTCCCGAATGCTGGCGCTCTGATCGATCGATGCCACCAGGTCTTCGTCGAGGCGCGTGGCTTGGGTTACATGGATCGACCAATGAACCTCTACGACGGCATCGCAAGCTATCTTACTGGGTTAGCTGCCGGTTACACCTTGGACATTCCACGCATGCGCCTCTATCTCGGCGAATGTACCATCATTATGCGGGAATTGCAGTTCCATCGACCAGAAATCCAACGGCCATCCCAGACCCCGGCGACGCCCTATGGACCCGGTGATATGCCCCGGTACCCTCTCGTCGACCACATCTACCAGGAATCCGGGCGTCGGCTGTTCTGGCTTCTGTTTGTCGGTGCAATGTCCGCTCGCCAGCTGGATGAGGCTGAGGGTGACCTGCTGATGCCGCCCGTCTCACACGCCGAAATGCTCCCTCCTTTACCTGTCGAGGTCGATGATGAATTCATTACCGAGTCGCAAATATTTCCTCAGCCTCGAGGTGTTGTCTCAGAAATGGTGGGATTCAACCTCAATGTCAAGGTCTTCAGAGCATTCCATTTCTTGGCTGCCCTGGAAATGGCGTTCGGCGCAAACAACGTCTATGACTGGGACCGTCAACGACAGATCATTCGTCGCGCCCTACAGACCGTTAAAGAAGCGACACGGGATGCTCCGAAGGAACTTCAATTGAACCCGGCCAACGGATTTGGCGAGTGGCCTCCAACCCAAGCCGACATATCGGCATATTCTCATCTGTTCAACGACCGGGACGGAGCCGATTCGGAACCGCTCCAGACCCCTGGTAGTACCCGTGGCTCCTTTTCGCTACCCTCAAAGAGAGCAATTCAGTTCGAGATCCAGAAAGCAAACATCTACGCAACCCAACTCTCTTCGAGATCATATCTCGTCGAGAGGTTCTGGAATCTGTATGAAATTGTCGACCGTGACAAGTTGACATTCCCTTCAGACAAGTCCGTCACAAGTTCTTCTCCTACGACAGGCATTGTGACCACAGGTATGGAACACAGTTACCGTCAGATGGCAGGTCGGACTCCGAGCGACAGCGTGATGGATGCCGGTGAACAGATGATGGCTGTCGAACGGGAAGATATTGTTCGAGACATGGCTCTTCTACTGAAAAGCATCAACCAAGTCAACATGGAGCCCAACGGGATGAGTTTCGTAAGTCCATATCGACACGATGCTCTAAGCTGGGAAGCTAACATAAATTTCAGTGCAACAAGATCCGCACCATCGCCTCGACTCTTCTGGAGACCAAACGTGCCCGAATGAGTGTCATGCCCACGCTAGACTCAGAGGGTGTCAATGCCTATCTTCATGTCTTCCTTGATATCCTTTCCAAGCTCGAACGATTGGGGCCGGGCCGGTTCCGAGGTGTCGCGGATAACAACACAGGAAGCCTGCTGCAGACACCCGAGGAGATTGAGGAGGAAGAACTTGTGTACTGGGCCAGTTTGAAAGAGCACCAGGAAAGATTTGTGAGGTCAAATGGGTTCTGGTAGAAAACTCCTGGAGGCATTGCATTTCTCTGCTGAGGAATTAATGAGTGATGACCATTATGGAGACTTCTTCATGCAGCGCGCTTCTGTGGGTGGCAACACAATCCGCCACAGGATTATTTTTCGGTGGAGGAACAAGGGGCTTTGCCTATGGCAGGATACCCATATTATTGGTGGCCGTGTGGGAGGTGATCATCTTGCAACCGGAACGGCCTGGTGTCAGTGATCCTGGTGGATCCGGACGTTCCTGGTGTTTGTGCCTCTTTCTCCGACTCGTTTCTGTCTCGAATTGTTCATAGCTATAGTTGTAGGAAGTACTGCAAGATGTTAGCAGTGCGGGCAGCCTCGTTCAGCCTCGTGAAATGCTCGCCCGACCTTCTTGAATTGGCTAGCGTCAAAGCTTCAACCTGCTTCGTTCCTCTGTTGATGGTCTATCATCATCTGTGAATGCCATGCCAATGACGGACAACGACAATGACAACTATGATGCGTTTAGAGACTGTTTGTTTTCGGCTGTCGTGGGAAAGCTCACCACGGGACCAAAGAAACCGCCGAAGAAGGCCTCCCTAGCGAGCCAGGCTGCCGGCGCTCCCGCTGAGCCAGATCCTTCAGAGCTTGCTGAGTTCTCTGACTATCTAGCTACAGAGATATTCAGTAGTCTTCCTGAGCAACTCCAGCGGCTGTCTCATCAGTCACTCCGAGATGAGGCTTTATCTGAGAAGTGGTCATTGCCCCTGACACTGACTGTGCTCGAGGAGCTCGTTGCCCACATCTCAGGAGATGTAATCGACAGCCTGACCGCATACTCACTCATCGTGCCTCCGGAGTCCGACGTCGAATCGTTTTTGGCGCCTGTGCTCTCAGGATACATTTCTGCCGTCACGACACCACCACCGAAATGGATAGATACCAGAACCGATGCTTGTGAGATTTGCGAAAGGGAGTGGGTTCCGATGACCTACCATCATTTGATACCAAAACAGGTCCACGCAAAGGTCCTCAAGAGGAACTGGCATGACGAGCATCAACTCAACAGCGTGGCATGGCTGTGCCGGGCCTGCCACAGCTTTGTCCATCGAATGGCTTCGAACGAAGAACTCGCTCGAGACTGGTACACCGTGGACCTGATCTGCCAGAGGGAAGATGTTCAGAAGTGGGCCCAGTGGGTTCGACGTGTTCGATGGAAGAAGACTTGATCATGAACCATGCTTGCATCTGTTCATGGTCCGCTGAGGGTGTCTAGTCACCAAGTGGTCGTCGCCCCCTGGACACCTGGATGCTCCTACATGCACTCCGTGATGGAGATATACAAAACCCACTGAATGTCCAAACAGACACTGGGATTTCTGGCCACAGTCGACGTCCTGTTATGATCTTCAAAGGATGACCGCACATACCTGGGACTGCCCGTGAAAGGCAAAACGGTCTCATACACGTCAAGTCTCCAGGTACTTGGGTGAAAGGAGGTGAAGTACCTCATCGCCGCTGGGCGACGAAATGCTCCTCTACGCAGAATGCCGTTATGGTTCAAACGCTTCGCCTCGATCGCAGCCACACAAATAAAACTCTTCATCCGCACTTCGGAACTTGAATTTTCAAAACATCTGACCATCTCACTCCCCCCTGCCTTTCGAGTTCTTGAACGACCTTCTTGGTTTCGAACCTTCCTCTTGTTCTCATTGTCACCATCATTCCTCGTCCATACCATCAAGGAGACGGTCCTGAGACACGACAGGAACTCCTCCCGCACCTGGAAACCTGCATGTTCACGAGCCAGCCCAGATCCGTTGACCCTGCCACGGACACTTCTTGCTCAAACCTCTTAGTCTTCAGTCCAAGAGCCAGACGAGACGAAAGTCAACCTCGTGGTATCTCTTACCTGTCTCATCTCTGTTACTGAGTGCACTTCTGACATGCTCGGCCTAGGCGAAACCTTTTCTCCGAGCTTCACGGAGTCCAGCCTCGTTGACACTGATCCAGTGACCTGATATTCACTGCGACAGCCAACATGGCAGGCAACGATGACAATAACCACCGCCAAGCGCAGAGGTGCGCACAAAGTGAATCCGAAGATTTTTTCGACAACGACCTCACGGCCCTCAACGATGCGACACCTGTTCTCGACTCTCAGCAGCAGACATTCCCACCTACCATCAACTCTCCACCTCAGGGTCATACTGACTTGGACAATCGTCTTATTGATCCCTTGCTCTTAGCCAACGACGTGACTGCACAGACGTCGGACTTTTCTCACTTTGAGGCTCCGCCTGAAGGTTCCCTTTACACAGATTTCCTCTCCGACAACCAGACGCTCGAGACCAACTCAAATCCACAGACGTCGGCTTTTTCTTCACTTCCTACTGTGCCTGAAGATTTGCTCGCAGCCGATTACCAATTCGACAATCAGACGCTCCAGAACAGCTCAAACACACAGCCATCAGCCTTTCCTGCTGTTCCTACTGTGCCTGAGGATTTCTCTCACACAGATTTTCTTTTCGACGGCCAGACGCTCGAGAACAACTCAAATCCACAGCCGTCGGCTTTCTCTTCACTTCACACTCTACCTGAGAATTTCTTTTCCACAGGTTACCAACTCGACACTCAGATTGAGAACAACTCAAACCCACAACCGCCGGCTTTTCCCTCTCTCACAACTCTGCTTCAGGATTCCTTTTCCACAGATTACCCACTCGACAATCAGACCCTCGGCGGAAACGAAACAGATCCTACCTCTCATCCTTTCGCAGCAAGCACATACAACATTCAGCATCAAACCGCGGTCCTCCCAACCGCCTCTTTTGGCAGCCTGACTCACCCAAACACAGATATTGCTCCAAGTGGTCAATATCACGAGGTCTCAGACAATCAGCCGAGCAACTTCGACTCACAGTTTAGATCACTTTATCCTTCGCCTCCTCAATCATACCATACCTTAGCGTCAGTCCCTGCTGGCAACATACAACACGCGTCAGAAGCTCCTCAGTCCAGATCACTTAATACTTCTCGTTCTCAATCATACCGCAGCTCAGGTCCAGGCCGTACTAGAAATCGACAACGAGCTTCGCAGCCTGCGCAGGTCAGATCTTCTACTCGTCCTGGAACACAGTCACATCACAACTCAGCGTCAAGCCTCGTTGGCAGTCAACAACAGGCTGCGCAGCTTTCACAGGTCAGATCACTTCCTCACAGCTTAAACCCCACCTCTACACAACCCTACCAGGCTCAAGACGACATGGCGCGCGGCGAAGCTCAGGTGGGAACCATACAAGCCCTTGCCATTGACCGAGCTTTGAGAGACTTTGACAGAGCGCCGGAGTCGACCTACGAGGATGTGTACCGGCGCGTCGTCCAACATTATGTTGACCTGGTGGTCACTGAGGGCATGCCTCAGTTTTGGATCAGCCGGCTCAACCTGGAGGTTGAGCTGGCAAGAGTGATCATTGTGGCTACCAGGAGCCCAGAACTATACACACGTCAGCACCTGGACACGTTGCAAGAGCTGGGAGACTCGATGATGAGAGAGCATCGAGCCGAACGCTACCGCGCCCACTGGTTGCATGAGCTCCGCGAAGCCGGTATCACGCTGGACGACGTTACTGTCGTCCACGAAGATACGGCCGAGTACGAGCGACGGACCGAGCATCGGAGCTGGTGGTTTGAATGGGTGCAGGGGACCCGTCCTGACGATGGGACCTCGGGAGACTTAGGCTCGCGGGCCCCTACCACCAGTGACAATGCTGGTGGTTCGGGTTTGGCGGGAACCGGTGCTGACGTTACTGTCAGCAACGGCCGTTCCCAAGCCGTCCCATCGGCCACCCTGCCCAGCATGCCGGTTCCGTCTCGCACCAGACGGCGCGCCTCCAACCGCCTCCGATCCGCCAACACTTCTGCTGGCGGTGCCTCTAGTTCGCGGCCTGTTAGCGCTGCTCGCCCCACGAGGGGCAACGCGGGTTCCAACCCGCTCACCGTGCGAGTCAACGGGGGTCGAACGACCTTCGCGATGAACACGGCGGGCGGGTTGGTCGACTTTGCGGAGCACCAGCGCGGCCTGCGATGCCCGTGGACCTGCCTGCTCGGTGACAGCTATGTCACCCCAGAGCGTGGACGGCTCACGGGCCATCTGCAACGCGACCACCAGCTTAGTGCGGCGGACCTCGCCCACATGCTGGTGGAAAATCCAAACGCGTCGGACTTTGAGGGGCACCTCAGCAAAGACTGTTTCGCCTGGGCCCAATACACCCACGGCGACCCCCGACCCTGGAAGTGTCTCCTGTGCGCCAACCACAGGGGCATGAGGGACGGGAGGAACACCCTGGCCCGCCATGTGAGGCAGACACATGGCATCCAGGTTGCCCTCCCGGCCGTTCGCGACGTGCGGCAGCCACGCCGCCGTCATCAACCAGGGACGGGGACGACGTCGGAGGCGGTGGCGAGGCAACTCGAGCCGGTGGACGGGGCGGAGCAGCAGAGGGCCGCAGGCGCGGCTGCTCAAGAAGGTGCCATGAACGGGGGGCTACGCCTCACCTTGACTGGCACGAAAAGCTCCGCCCTGGATGCCGGGCTCGATGAAGCGATGGACGAGGAGGAGGAGGAGGGAGAGGAGGACGAGGAGGCGATGGAGGAGGAGTAGCCTCGGGTGTTGTCGTCGTTGGTGTCGGTGGTGGTGGTGGTCGGCCCGAGATCATGGGCGTCGGTGCTGGTGGCGTTGGGGAATGGAGGGAGGCGTGGACGGCGTTCAGAGAGGGCGCAGGCCCTGTACGATGTACGAGGTTACGACGTGGAAACGCCGACGACAGCGGCGCTGTCGCCACATTGACACAAAAGCATTGCATTCATTTCACTAATTGTACTTCCGCGTGCAATACAGACTGCCGTCGACGCAGACGTCCTTCCTACGAGAAAGTTCAAGGCAGATGCCCGTGCACAAGTTGCTAACACAGTAAGAGCATGATGGAGAACGGTTTGTTGGTCATTGAACTATCAACTCGTCCTGGAGCTTGCCTACGGTTTCTCGCCTTTTGCATCTCCGCCTGACTCATTTACAGACGGGATAGACCCACGAGCTCACCAGGAGCATGGTATGAGGGAATCTTCATGTCCAGGGCAGCACCGCTGTAGCCAAGATCTTCGGCAGCGAGGACAGAGCACTTCTCGCCAATGAGGAGGGCGGTCTGAGTTCGCGCGTTAGTGCTGACCGGAAAACAACGGATCGGAGTGGATGGACTTACCGAGAAGGTGTTGCAGCCAACGTTGTCCGGGCAGATGGAAAGATCAGAGACCTTCAAGTTCTTGACGCCGTGGACGTTCAGTCTCTCATCCAAGACACCATGCTTGACAATGCTGTTGCCCTCGCGAGGAGCCATCGAGCATGTACCCAAGCTGTGCCATGTGGTCTCAGTGTGTCGCTGGACCCATTTCTCGATGTGCGCGACTGTAGACAGGTTAGTCAATTGGGCTTGATCTGTGGGGACTTGAACACCTACCGTCGTCTTTGCTGTACTTGAGTGGTGCACGGAACGGGTGTTTGTTCGAGTTGAGGAGGTTGGTGGATGGTTGCTGGCCTTCGTCGAGTGGAAGTGTCCAGCTTCCATGATAGATGTTGGAAGTGATATGGTTTGGTCCACCATACGCGTTACGGGTGGCGATATCCATGTCCAGTGCCCGGGCCGGTGAGTCGTGGGCGAAGTGAGGATGCATGCCGGTAACTTCACCAGCATAGGCCTGCATACGACGGGCTGTCTCACGAGACTGGATGTATCCCCAGACCATGGGTGCCATGTCACGCTTGTCGTTCATGAAGCCCGCATCAAAGTCCGGAGCCTCGTATGGGTCTGGGGAGACAATGTGGGTGAAGCCACGTGAGAACGGGTACTCCAAGAAGTGGAACATGGTGAAGAACTTGCCGGCAGGCATGTCCAAGTGGTCACCGAACCAACCAGCGATGACTGAGTAATGCATGACTGGCTTGTCGGGCTTTTGCTTGAAGTAGCCGTCCCAGCCGCCCTCGGTGACGAATTCGGGCGAAGGCCACTTCTTCATCTCCTCGAGCTCTTCTGCCGTGGGCCGTGACTTGACACCGGCCTCGATACCATTGGTAGCTAATGGACCGGTGCCCTTGAGGTTCCATTCGTCGAAGACGGCCTTCTGGACTTCGGGAACGCCGCGGACAAAGTCGTCAAAGGACTCGGTCTCGGGTTTGGCCCTGTAGGTGGCGAAGTGCAGGTAGTGGTCCTGGAAGTTGAGGCCAACACCCGGAAGATCGACAACGCACTTGACGCCTGCTTTCCTGAGCTTCTCTGGGTCACCAATGCCGGATCGTTGCAGAACCAGAGGGGAACTCAAAGTACCACAGCTGACAATGATGAGTTTGCGTGCTTTCCAGAACTTGCGTTCCGGGTTCGGACCACCGCATGGCTTGGTTGGTACGGTCAAAACACCAACGGCGGTGCCATTTTCGATTACCACTCGGTCGACCTTGGTGTTGCACTGGAGGTGAAGGTTCTGGTACTTGGCACGAGTTGCATGGATGTAGGCAGATGCAGCATCGGATCGGCGGCCTGTATCACGGTTGATCCACTTGAGCCAGTGCTCAGCGCCATGGCCAGTCACAAGATCTTGGAGATCGTCCGTGACGGGGAAACCTTGAGACTCAGCAGCCCGGAGAAAGTCTTGCATGATTGGATAGGTATAGTTGCCAAAAGACACCTTGATGGGGCCTTCGAAACCGTGGAGGTCACGGTTGTTGCAAGCACGTTGGTAGGTTTCGTGCTTCCTCATCAACGGAAGGAGTTCCTTGGTGGTCCATCCCTTAGCTTGGAAGTCGTCGTAGTCAGAAGCCGAGGCGCGGGTGTACATCATGAAGTTAATCGAGCTGCCGCCGCCGAGAATGTGGGCACAGGGGACAATGGCTCGACGTCCATCAAGCCACTCCGAGGGTCGAGAGTAGTAAAAGGTGGCCGTCTTGGAGTCGAGCTTCATGTTCCTTGGGTAGATACCAGGACGGTACACCCATGGGTTGTTGAGATTGTTCTCTCCTCCCTCGATCAACAGGACTTGGAGATTGTGGTCCAGGTTGGCCAGACCTACGATGGTGTTAGTCGTGTATCACCAAGATTCTTGCCGCCGAGCATGACTTACGTCCAGCTGGCACACATCCTGAGCTGCCACCACCGCAGACGATGATATCAACTTCGTCCGGGATCGTCATGATGGCGTTGTCCAAAGAACGACTGTTCGATGTATCGAGGCAAAATGAATATACTTGTGCTTCTGCTCAACCAGGAGCGCGCTGATGAAAAGAGAGAAGAGCAAAAGAAGGAGCAGAGCTCGGTATTATAAGGACTTTGGAAACCCTGCCTGATCCTCTCCTCTCGGGAGAGTGGAGGACGGGGGGAGGGGTTCGCGCAGACGCGTACTCGAGGCTATACGAATGAGAGTAGAGTGTCTTGCTCCATGTTTGGGCACCCTGGTAAGATGATCATCTGGAACACAGCTGGAGAAGAGCCGATTTTGAGTTGTATATGCGGGGTTTGGTCAATCAGCTTGAAGCTGACGAGGATCTAAAGCTGGCAGTCGAGCGCTGAGAGAGCCCGATCTACGTCCAAGCGAACTGAGGACCTGCAAAGTACGAGGCACCAGGCTTCTCAAAGCTACAGATGCCCAGGTTGCCATTGTCACAGAGTGTACCTTGAGATGCATGAGAAAGCGGCAGCTCCATGGGTAGCTCGCATTCGCGCGGACCGGGATATGTGATCCACCTCAATTGAAGACGGCTAGCTCCAGCGAGAGTCCCGGCGGGCAGGTAGCTCCAGCGAGGATCAAATGAATATCTGTGCAGCTTGGTCTGCTTGCCTATTGCCTAGGGCCTTGAAAGCACCGGAAAAACACCTCGTATTCAGCAGACAGTCAACGAGTGACGTTGCTTCTTGGAAAGGTGACCTGTCCTGTGTAGTTGCACGGCACAGGCACGACGTCGAAAAGAAAAGCAGATAGCCAAGGACCAAGCATTAGTGGAGCGAACGAGCGCCCGTCATTGGAGCCATCTGCGGAGAGCACGGCTGGACACCCCCACCCCACCCGCTGTTGCAGAGAGGCGTCCAATGCTCCAATGCAAGAAACGCGGGGAAAGGCCACTAGGACACGGGACCGCAGGAAACCACGGGAGACGCTGACTAGGGCAGCACAATCCTGCATAAGCTGAGTGCCGGACAAAGCGATGGCGGCCGCGAGATCGAAGCCTTTGCTGATGCGCAGCTTGTGGGCACCATGGGCGCCGATAGACTCTCCTCATTTGTGGGGAGAGCACAGGCCAAGCTGACTTTGGTAAGATAGAAGTTGGAGTAGACGCATTTCCAGCATACCAGAAGAAGTGCCGGTCGAGTTTGGAGTTACGAGACTCGCATGGTTGGCCAGAAGCGGCGGTTGTCAGTGTGGTGGATGGAAGGTTGCACAGCGGGGCATAGTGCTCCGCGTCTTACCCCAGATCAGAAAAGCAAAAGCAACAGTTGTTCTTTTTGGGAGGGAGGTGCAGTAGCAATCCTTTCGGGCCACCGCACAGCTGTTTGGGACTGCTCCGCTGCGTGCGGCTCCCCTTCTTCGTCCCGAAATAGTAGATTCCGAAACGGGCCGGCAAAACCAGCTCGGAGTTTTGGCAAGTTGCTGGCCGACGACGAATGTCAACTGACCTCGCCTCGTACTGCTGAAAACACAGTCACCGGACGGAGTGTGTTGACGGACATTGGACGACAGTCTTGCTGAGCTCTCAAGACCACCCACCCGTTCCGTCGATGTCGATCTCGAACGGCTGCGAGCAGCATTGCTGGCTGCCTTCCCGAAATCTCGGGTTTGGCAACGCAAGCTCCCTGCGGAGAGCTCGCGTTCAATTATCCCGAAATGTGCGACCGGCCATTCTCCGCATCTGCTCCGTGCAGGCGACTGCAGGTTCTGCTGCAGCAACGTCCACATCACCCTGTATCCCTGCTTATCAACGTTGCCTGACCTGTCTCCTGTATTCTTGTGTGGCTCGGCAAGAGACTCATGCTGCATGTTGGCTTTGATGTTCAAGGATTTGGCGATGCAGCTGGTCTGTACCGACCTGTATCTCGAGAATTTTGCCTACACCTCGCTTCCAATTTTCCTGAAGGGTCAAAAGTTCGGCCTTGGACTGTCCTTGCGCAGCTTTCCGAGCTTTGTTGATACTTTCGGCCTCAGATCTAAGGCCGGCCAGTTCACGTTCTAGCCATTGAAGGATCTCCTCCGTCTGGGAATTGCCAATAAGCCAAGCATTCTTGCCAAACTCGTCGAGCAATTCAAGGTTGGCATGTCGATCTGACAGGAAAGTGCTGGAGATGTACGCGTTCCGCAACGCCTCCCTCATTGTGGCCTCGTCACTGTCAATGGCTGGTTCATCAGGGGCCTCATAGCGTGATACGTCTATCCCTTGTCTGCGGGGTTCGCCCGCGGCGACCCGGTCAATCTCTTGACGGAATATGTCGGAGAAGGTGACTGCAGGAAGAGGGGCAAGAGAAGGATGAGGAGCCGTGGTGTGATTGTTGGGAAGGTGCCTTGCGATCAGGGCTTTTGCTCTCTGTCGTTCCGTGTCGATGATCTCGGGATCAATGTCTGGAGTGGCAGTCGTCAGCATGTGCAGCACCGAGGAGCGGTTGACCTACATGGCAGCGAGTCAAGAGACTCGAATGTCAAAGGCATCCTCACGCGTGAGCTCGCCAGAGAGGAGGACACTTGCTCGATGAAGTATCAATTCAGTGACTGCGACAAATCTCGAGTTGGCAATGCCAAGTCGTAGCCTCGCGGCTTTCCATTGGCCCTGTCTGGACTTAGTAGCGTCTGAACGATCGCCTTTGATTGACGGAATGACGACATCCTATGATTTGATATCGCCGGAGCCTGCGGCTGGACTTCAGGCGTTGGAGGAGTGAAGGCATATCTCAAATGTTCAATTGAACAGTTGGTCTATGTATAATCCAGCATCTCAACTCTTGTCAGAGAGATCGCCGAGGAGGACATGAACACTTCCGGCTTATTCCTATCTGACCCGACGCGGGACGGGGGCAGACCTGCCTGAAACCCATTGTAAGCTACCACCAGGAAGCATCATGAAAATGGCACGGCCGTGGCCTACTCCGGCTCTGTACATGCTGTTTCTTGCTCTCGTTACAGCTGCACTCTGGGCCTGCTTTGCCTTGCAGAATCCTGCGCAAAGCCTGCGTGTTGTCACAGCCAACTCTTATGGCGCCAACGAGCGAGACCATCTCGAGGACGATGCAGTTGTCCTGGGGGACTACCTGCTTGGAGTAGGGAAAGCAGATATCACCGGGTAGGACCGACTGGACACGTGCAGCACGCAATATTCTGACCTTTTTTCATCAGGCCTGTTGTTGAGATCAATTTAATGGGCTATGCTGACACAGATCAAGCGGGGACAGGTCTTCGCCAACGGATCTATTGTCGAGCATTCATCGTGGGATGCATGTCGAAGAACTCCTCACGGATTGTCTACCTCGTTCTGGACACGCAGTCTGGAGACACTGCCGTGCGTCATGGCATTTTGCAGAGGCTCACAGAGATGGGTCCGGAGTATCAAGTGTACAACAAGAACAACGTTGCAGTTACGGGCACTCACAGCCACAGCGGGCCTGGGGCTTGGTTAAATTATCTGCTGCCCCAAATCACAAGTTTGGGTTTCAACAAACAAAGCTACGAAGCCATTGTCAATGGGTCAGTGTTGGCCATACAGCGAGCACATGAGAGCCTCGTACCGGGCTTTCTCAGTTTCGGGCAACAGATGGTTGTGGACGGAAACATCAACCGAAGCCCCTATGCCTATCTGCAGAATCCAGAAGACGAGCGAGCCAAGTATGCCGCCGATGTCGACAAGAATATGACTCTTTTAAGATTTGAGAGAGCTACTGACGGTCAATCCTTGGGGTTACTATCTTGGTTTCCTGTCCATGGCACATCACTGTACCAAAACAACACCCTCATTACTGGTGACAATAAAGGTGTTGCCGCTTATCTAACCGAAGAGTCGATGAAAGAGCACAATCCAAATTTCGTTGCAGGCTTCTCCCAGGCCAATGTTGGGGATGTATCGCCAAACACTCTCGGGGCATTTTGCGAAGACACCGGTCTAGCCTGTTCCTTTAACGATAGCACATGCAGCGGTCGCTCTGAGCCTTGCCATGGCCGTGGGCCGTTCTTCCGCCAAAATGACCATGGAGCAAGATCTTGCTTCGATATAGGCAAGCGCCAAATGACGGCCGCCCGTCAACTCCTAGATAGCGACAGTCTAGAACGGATACCGTCCTCCACTATTTCATTCTTCCACACCTATGCCAATCTCTCCTCCTTCAACTTCATTTCTCCTTTCAACCAATCCAGGACTCTCAGGACGTGTTCCGCCGCCTTGGGATATAGCTTTCCAGGTGGCACGACCGACGGGCCCGGCCGTTTCGACTTTGCTCAAGGCACAAACGACACAGACGGCGATTCCCCTGCTCTGAGGAACCCGCTCTGGAGGATTGCACGAGGAGCCGTTCACCCACCCAGCGATGAACAAATCGCCTGTCAAGACCCCAAACCCATCCTGCTCGATGTGGGCGAAGCACACGAGCCATACGCCTGGACACCTAACATCGTGGACATTCAACTCCTCCGCATTGGTCCCTTGATCATTATTGTCTCCCCAGGTGAAGCAACAACTATGTCCGGCCGTCGGTGGAAATCGGCATTAGCATCCGCTGCTCCCTCGGTCCTCAAGATCGGCAACCCCATGGTCGTACTTGGTGGCCCGGCAAACACATATGCGCACTATATCGCAACAGAAGAGGAATACTCCGTGCAACGTTACGAAGGTGCCTCGACACTCTACGGCCCCCATACCCTCGCGGCGTACATAAATCTGACTCTTACCCATCTCCCCTACCTTGGGTCTGAGGACGAGACCTCCAATCTCGACCGTCTGCCACCCGGACCCTCTCCTCCCATCAACGTCAATCGCTCTTTATCATTCATCACTCCTGTTGTAGTCGACCGTGCAGGCTTACTCCGCAGATTCGGCGACGCTTTGTCTTCTCCTGACCCGGCTAAAGCACACTATCCAGGCGAAACTGTGTCAGTAAGGTTCGTCGGCGCGAACCCACGCAACAACCTCCGGCTTGAAGGCACATTCGCCTCGGTCGAGCTCTTCAACAATACTCTCGCAGAATGGGTTGCGGTCCGAAGCGATCGAGATTGGTTTCTAGTATACAAATGGAAGAGGACGAGTACGGCACTGGGCACCAGCGAAGTCACTCTCGAATGGGAGATTGAACGGGGGACTGCACCGGGTGTGTACAGGTTCAGGTATTTTGGGGACGCGAAGTCTTTGACTGGGCATATCACAGCCTTTGAAGGGACAAGCGGGGTGTTCAATATTGGCGAAGATAGCCAGGGTGAACTTCTGCGTTATTGAGTCTGAGCAGGGCTACCTCGTACAATCGGCAACAGGATTGAGGAAGGAGTTATCAATCGGATATCGCCGTGACAGCGCGCTGTCGACTGGGTTTCCGAGTCCTGTCATGTCAGCTTTGCGGTGTCGTAGATACGCCTAACCGCGCCTCCGACGTTGCGATCAGCGTTGTGCATTTCCGGGAGGGCTCGGAGCGTCGTGTTGCCCCTCCGTGTCAACAAACATTGCTATCCACACTGTTTGGGTGTCCAATTGCCCAGTTAAGGATTTCGCACTATCCAATTGAGCAGATGCCGGCGGTATAAGATTCTTGTGGTAGAGGAGTCCTACACAGTGCACCACAGCCGGGTAACCTATTCGGACACGACTGCCTGGGGCAGCGGTAAAGCCACGGTAGGAGTACTACAGTAGCCTGAGCTCGGGGATGGACTGCTACGAGTTACTCTGTCCGAGAACTCAGCGGGAAATTGGCGATCATGAACCATGTCCAGCGATGGCGCCTCAATCCCCCATCAACCGCTGGCGGGCTGTGATCGAGATTTGCAAATGCCAGGATAATGCCACGTTAGTGATACGATCACAACGGCTGGTCAATTGGAGCGCCACGCCCCGCTCGCCCCACGCCATCACCGTAGCAGGCCCCGGGCCCAATTTAGCCGGAGGTTGGACAAGCCGCCGATGTCATCGGCCATGCCCCAGACGAAGCCTGTTCGTCAGTTCTGTGTCTGAGCTTGGTGAGACCTCACGAATCGAAGATGATCGCCATGGGCCTTCTTTCATCGTCCAGATTCTAACGCAAGACAGCATCGTGCGCCGGTACTGTGTAGAGAGCCACAATATGAGGAGCATGGGATTGGCCGTCATTCAACTGGTGCTCCGCCTTCGCTTCTGACCCTGGCCAGTCTGAGCTCATCGTTTGCAGTCCCAGCGCCAGGGTGCCAGAGTGCCAGGGATGGTCACCCTGACGTCGGGGGAAATCATGGCAAATGTGTGATCGCAGGAGCAAGGGGAAGTTTGTTCCTGGAGACTCGTGCCGCGCTGAAGAAGTAACTTGTGGAATCTGGCCAGAAAGTGTGAGCTTGTGCCTTTCAACAACCTCGACTACAATCACTTTTATGCATGCTGCAGCCTTTTCGTATCTGTTGAGAGTCTATTTTCGAGAATCGCCACACCATCTCATGGCCTCGTCAGCTTGTCTCAGTTGCTGAACGAGCCCCCAAACTGTACTCCCGACGATGCCTCGTACCGTTGATTCTCAATATTTCGACCATAGCTATTCCACAACATCCCACCCTACAGCAGACTTGACTCATCCTCGTCGACGGAGTCCTCTAGAACCTGACAGTCCTTGTGGCTCCCAAGACCCAGACTCGTGTAACGGAGAACCTCCGCACCGAAATTCAGCATTCCTCGAAGTTGGACTTGGTGGCGAGGACGCAATAATTGACTCCAAGTTGAGACGAGATCCAAGACCGAAGTCACGAATCCACGCTCAACTGAAAGTCGACGTTGACCAATCTGAAGTCGTTGAATCTCCTGCAACTTCGCCTGTCGAGAGCCTGCCGCGGTCGCAGATGTCTTCGTACTTTCCCACCCTTCCTCGACTTCTTTTCCTCGCCCTCGTCATCGTTGTGGTTGCTCCGAGTCTTCGCAGTTCCCCACTGTTGACGGCCAGGGCAAACCCTTTGGGCCGAGACACTAGATCTTCAGGGTCAGTCGAATCGTTGCCAAAAGTCAAGAGGGAAGCGCTTCCGCAGAAGAGCAAGAGGGAGGACACGCAGACAGACGTCTGCAAACGATGGGCAGGACAGAGTGCCATCGTCAATGGAACGCTGTACTACTACGGAGGGAGGGTGACGACCTCTCCTGATCAGACCACTGACACATGGAGTATGCTGCTTTTCCCTCGAAGACTGTCGTCCTTACATGCTAATACTTGGATCTGCAGATAACGATTTCCTTTCGATAGACTTAACCAAGTCCTGGCAGATCTCCTCGCCGTCACTGACCGGCCTCCCTGTACCTAGCGGGCCACCTGCCGTCTCCCTCGGCTACCTATGGAATTCATATGACGCCTTATATCTCTACGGCGGCGAATTCTCTGACACGCCCGTCGCGACCCCAGTCCCGTTTTCCACCTGGATATACGACATTGCTTCGTCATCATGGTCTGAATCTTCCGACCCTCAAACGAGTTCGGGAAAGAATTCAGAGCCAGCTGATCAACCAGTCCAGCGTGCAGCCGAAGGTGCAGGAGTCTCGGTGCCCAGTCTGGGTCGAGGCTTCTATTTCGGAGGACATTTGGATTTCTTGACTACTCCAGGGTGGTCCGTGTCAGTCGCACGCGTCTACCTCAAAGGTCTGCTCGAATACACCTTTCCGGGGTACAGTAATTCTGCCGTGGACGGTGGAAAAGCTGCAGGCTCATCTGGCATCTACCGCAACATTACGGATGGTGGCACCCAAGATTCAGCGGGCTTTCCCGAGCGTGCCGATGGAATCCTGGTCCACGTTCCTGGCTTCGGTAAATCTGGCATCATCTTGGGTCTGGCGGGTGGTACAAACTCAACCTTCACCCAAATGAACATTATAGACGTCTACGACATCGATTCGTCGACATGGTATAAGCAAGCGACCTCGGGGCCCACTCCTGACATCCGTGTGAACCCATGCGCGGTAGCGGTCTCTGCAGCCGACGGAAGCTCCACGCAGGTCTATATGTACGGAGGGCAGAACTTACTGCCATATGGCGAGCAGAAGCAATACGACGACATGTGGATTTTAACCATCCCTTCTTTCACCTGGATAGAGGTCGACACAGCGAACCAAGCCAACCCCCCGGGAAGGGCCGGACACATGTGCCATGTCTGGAATGCGCAGATGGTGGTGGTTGGGGGATACGTTGGCCAGGATCTATCATGCGACACCCCAGGAGTTTACGTCTTCAATACCAGTTCTCTGGAATGGCAGAGCGATTACGCCGCATTCAAGACGGACGACAATCTCAATCGGCAGAAGAGCCAGCAGGACGATCCCTCAGCCCTGCAAGGCTCCTATGGCTACTCCGTTCCAGAAAAGGTTCAATCCGTAATTGGTGGCAATGGTGTTGGGGCAGCGACCGTCACAGCTCCTGCGCAGGCCGCTACTCAAGGGCCCCTTGCCACAGGAGGTCCGATAACGTATACTGTCACGCAATCGGATGGGTCTGTGGCGACAGAAACGGCTTCACCTACCGGCACAGATGGCAGTGTTCCCAGTGTACAGCCAGGCAGTTCGAATAACGGGTCTTCTGGGGGCAGCAATATCGGAGCGATCGTTGCTGGAGTTATTGCCGGTTTGCTGGCCGTCATCGCTGCGTACCTGGGCTTCTGCGTGTGGCTCTATCGCAAGCAGCTGGCAGTCTACAAGAATCACGTTGCTATGGCCCAAAACCAACACCTCACCGGTGACCCGAGGTTCATCGGCGTGGGAGCCGCGGCAAGTCGACCATACACCGACAAGAGCCAGCCATCCAGTGATGGAAGTCGCTACAGTGCGGATAATCGCAGCGGCAGCAGTGGAGGCAGAGCCAACCAATTGTCGAGTAACAACCCGTACCGCAATGTGCCTGGAGGCGCTGGGGCCGCGACTGCAGCGAGCAGCACCGAAGACCTAATGGCAGGCCAGGAACCCAGCTTCTTGGGTGTCGTGCTGAACCCCAGACGAAGCTTGAGGGTTGTGAATAGGGATTGAACGAGAGGCAGCGGGCGGAGGAATTTATGATTCGATGAACCAAAAGAAATGATTTGAAGAGGCACATGTTTGCAGGCATAAAGTACACGTATTGTTGATGCCCGCATTTCCGGGGACTTTCGCTATTGTATATATACCCACACAGCGATGCCAAAAAGGTCTTCATAGATAATGGAGGTTGTCCGAGGTGTCTAGGAGGACCCGGCTGAGTGACAGCCGCGAATACGGGTATATTGAGCTGGGAATAACAGTATGATCTTTTCAATGTTGCACCTCTTTTGTACCTTGGACGGATGTCGATATGCAGAGACGAGTCTTTGCATCGTCCCGTGTCACTTCTTTCCATGCCCTAAGCGGTCCCTCAACCTCTCGTTCTCTCAGTCTAGCAGATGCTGACTTCCTGGGGCAAGACGCACTATACCACAGCGGGTCTAATTGTAGAGTGAGGTGTAGGAACTGCCCCATGAGAGAACGCCATGATCGCACTGTATGGATCAGGTATTGGCGTCATGGTGTTGAGCCGACCCTGTCTGTATCGGCCGAGGATGTTGAGTACATTTGGGGGATCCCTTGGGTTCACAACCTCCCTCTTGGTCGTAAGCGCTATACGAGGCTGTATACCTAGTGAGAGCTGTAACCAGATACACCAAGCCGGACTTGCTGACCTCCCAGGCGTGGTCCCTTGATGAATATTGCTGGGCGCCGATACCAGCGTCCAGGAGCGCTCGTAATCAAGGGTGGAGGTGGTGGTCATCACGAACGTCGACTACCTTGTACATAGGACAACGTGAGCATGCACAGGCGAAGTGAAGATGAAAGTAGGTCACGCAAGACTGGCACGACAGACAGACCCCACGGCGCTATCGATTCACATATGAGATGGGGATTACTGTAGCCGGATATCGATTCCTGCTCGCACGAGGCTCCAAGCTCGCCAGCACTGTCTATTCTGAACAGGCTATGGTACACGATATACCCGCGACATTGTTTGATCCGTTTTGGTGGGATAGAGGTACCGAGGTCCATGAGTACCTCGTAACAGCTGCAGGTCAAAGGAAGCGCGACGGCCGACATCTGCAAAAATCTGCCATCGCCACCCACCGCCACAGCCGCTGCGAATCGGGTAAATGAGGGGCGCAGGCACGAACCCCGCCACTTCCATCACACGAGGAACCAGAAATCTCGGCGGCCAGCAATCAAAAACCGATCTTCGCTGCCTCAACACGTCTCGACTATCTCCGACCTTTTCTCCATGTTGTACGATTGCCGCTTGTCCCTTTACCATGGCTTTTTCTGTCCCCGCCCAGAGGACTGATCTCCCCTATGACTGGCTTGCACGGCACCTCGTCCCGAGCATCTCAACATTGCATATGCCTGTCCAGATATCTGTGAGTTCACCGCAACCAGTATACCGCTTTGGCCGAGTAGGTTCATTCGCTCTTTCACGGCTGCGTCTTTCCTTTCTCTACCCCTTTACTGCGTCCAAAAGCTGTGTGCTTGCTTTGCCTTCGCACCAAAGTAATACTGCCTTCTTCCGAGGCATTCATATTGTTTTCGGGTCTGTTTTGGTCCCGCAAGTCTTCCTTACGCCACAATGTCAGATCCTGAAAAGGCGGTTCCGCCGGTCGTCATCTCCCAGTGGCCAACCGGTCCTGGCTCGTCCCCGCAAACACCTACACACAAGGAGTTCTGGTCTCCTACGGAAACCTCCCCTACGTCTTCGAGATCAGACACAGACAATGATGAACGTGCCCTCACACTCACCATCACACAAGCGTCGCGGCAGTCGGCCACTCGGACAGCCACACGGATAACTACTCGCGGCACGGATTTCACGTTAGATCCGAACTATGAGGTGGACTTCGACCCCGACGACCCTGAGGATGCCAGGAATTGGTCAATATGGTACAAGTCATACGCGATCTTCTCAATCTCATTCGGCACCTTGTGTGTGGTGATGTATTCAACAGCATACACGGCAGCCATGGCGGCCATGATGCTGGAGTTCGGAGTCACATCCGAACCGGTTGCGACACTGGGTGTTACGGCGTACTTGTTGGGCCTGGCCGTGGGTTCGTTGCTTCTTGCGCCTATCGCCGAGACATATGGTCGGAAACCAGTATACACGATATGCCAGGCCGGGTTTACCCTGCTTGTCCTACCTGCGGCGCTGGCCAAGGATTTGCCAAGTGTGATCGTTGTGAGGTTCTTTGGTGCGGTGTTTGGGAGTGCTATGATTGCGAACGCACCCGGCTCAATAGCAGATCTCGTATCCGACGAATACCGTGCCACGGCCTTCTCCATCTGGTCCATCGGGCCGATGAACGGCCCCGTCGTGGGGCCAACAATCGGTGGATTCGTGACCGAGTACCTGGGCTGGCGTTGGACGAACTGGATCGTCATGATCTGGGGAGGCGTCTCGTGCGTTTTACTGATACTCCTCGGCGAGACGTACGCCCCGGTTCTGCTGCAGCGCAAGGCAAAGAAACTGCGGAAAGAAAACGATGACGAACGGTACTGGAGCCGCTACGACATTCGTGTCGGCTTCTGGGAGCTGATGCGAATCAACCTCAAGCGGCCGTTCGTCATGGCCCTGACCGAACCGATCTGCATGTTCTGGAACGTGTACATCTCGATCTGCTACGGTACGTTCTATGATGACTGGAATAAGCGCCCCGATTTTCCCACCCGCCGCGTCAGACCCACGTGAAACAGTTTTGTGTAAGTGTACAAACTTTGCTGACTGTCTGAACTGCAGGGATACTATATTTGTGTTTCGTCGCTTACCCGATCGTCTTTACCGAGTACCGGGGCTGGTCGGTCGGTGTCTCTGGCCTCTCATTCCTTGGGATCGGCATCGGCACCATGATTATCATCTGCAGCGCGTCGCCAATCCGCAAGATGATCAATGCGCATAAGCCCGACGCAGATGGCAACGTGCCGCCCGAGGCCATGATGAGCATCGTCTGCATCGCCGCAATTCTCGTCCCAGTAGGTGAGATCTGGTTCGCTTGGACGTGCTACCCAACAAGCATTCACTGGGCCATCTCCATCGCCGCAGGAATTCCCTTCGGATTCGGCAACGGCGCCGTGTTCATCTACGCCGGCAACTACCTGGCCTACAGCTATGGGATCTACGCCGCGAGCGCTATGGCCGGCAACGCGGTAGTGCGATCATTCCTCGGCGGCACGTTGCCGCTTGCCGGGCCTTCGATGTACCGCGCCCTGGGACCCAACTGGGCGGGCACATTACTAGGAATCCTCCTAGTCCTGATCATTCCGATCCCGTTCCTCTTCTACCGCTACGGCGGGCGCATTCGCGAGAAGTCGACCCTCATCCGCCAGATGCGAGAGGAGGAAGAACGCCAGGAGCGGAAACGAAAGAAGGCCGAAGAGCGCCTGCGTATAGCCGTTATGAGCGGTGATCAGACGGAAACCGCACAAGCGAGGACCGAGCTCGTGCGGGTGAATAGCCGGCTGGATGACGAGAGGAGCTTTGAGGCCGCGGGCCAGGAGACGTTGAATAACATCCAAGGCTTGAGACCCGGGAAGGAGACCGTTTGAAAAGGGGTTGTTCCGACAGATACCCCCTCCAGAAGAAGTTTGCGATATGATGAGACTTTGAAAGGATTATGAGTGATGAGTGATGATGGATGAGTTTTGGGTGGCCTGCATACTCAAAGAGTGGTCAATAGTCACTGATCCGCCACTGTATACAATACACGATACGGCTTAGAGGTTCGACGCATCAAGCATGGCGTTCTGGATTTTAGAAGAGAAACTCCGAGATTGGGGTAGTTGTCCACCATCCTCGAGACAATCCATCTGATTATTGTGTGGCAATGGCAGCCTTTGTATGGTTCCTCAAACTCCTCGAACGCCCGAACAACCAACCTATCTGTCGTGCCATGAGTCAAGGGATCTTGCTGGCCCATCTCTCCCTGGACACCGTCCTCGCTGCTGCGTCTCCTCAGATTGCGTACCTGCTACCCAGGGCATATCTGTAGTCATGAAGACGGATGGAATGGGGGAGAAAAGAAAAGAGTGGGCATCTCGTGGGCTTTTTCCACAGGCCAAGATCTGGATGAGAATTCTCGATGAGTGGAGGAGAACAGAGGACCGCGTACTGTCCACGTTGGCTTCGTACGACTTGTGCGGAATACTACAAGAGGGACCTTGGAGCGCGACGGCAAGTAAATGAATAAAGACCTTGGCAGTAGTATTGTACTCGCGCTAAGCTCCCGCCTGGCTGAACAGAGTTTGTGCTGGATCAAAGTAAGGCGGACTCGAAGTCTTGCAAAATTGGTATTTCCTCTTCATTGCTCAACCGATCAGATTCCCTGTCCAATATTTCATTTGTTTCGATCTGGAGGCGTAGCCCTTGATCGTCATTGACCCGAGTTCGCCCAGCCAGCCATGTACTGACGGTTGTTGTTCGCAGAGTGGCTCCACACGCCCAACACAGCTGGCAGGACCGTTGCCGTGATGGGGCAACTTGCTCACAATCATCCGAGTCCGCAAAGCGGGCAAGAGCGTCGACGCCGATGGACCAATTTCGCAGCCGGGGAATCGATGCACGCTTGCGCAACCTCGCACCCACCCACCTACTCTGCTCGAAAGACTGCTGTCTGTGTTTCTGTTCAAGACGTCTCGAAGATTGAGACAAATGGTGCTGTAGCGCATGTACATATCGTTCTGTGGTTGGATGTCACGGTTGGACCAGCTGCAATCGCGTTGAGCCGGTCCGGTCATCAAGACTCAAAAAGACACACTCAAAATGTCGGCTGGATTGTTGTGTTGAGTGTCGTTGAAATGCATGCCAATGGCACGAGAAGGGTAAAAGTGAAATAGTCGGATCGCTTTCCACCTTTATCTCTTCCAGACACCCTTCTCGTCTTTCTTCCACCTTCCGCCAATCGGTGTATGTGTCCTCGATGGTCGTGGCGAGTATTCGTCAGTTGTCATGCCCGAAACGGACAGTATCCCTACGCCTTGTCGCTCCACCACTTCCGAGGGTGGGATTTCGATCGTTTTCTCGTCCTGGTCTGCTGGGGTCGATCGCCCCGAGTCCCGACCGCCAACCACTACGCCTTCGATGATATCGTCGTCCAGGGTTGGGAGTTTCCGCTGCTTCCACTCGTCGCGCATTTTCTCCCACTCGTCCAATTCATCGGCCTCGTCGCCGCTGATGATGCGCGTAAGCAAGGGCAGCCCGGCTTTCTCCTTCAGTGAATACACAGCTGGGGACCCCGAATGCGGATGCCGCTTCTCCTGCTCTCCAGCACTGATCAACAAGTTGTTCTGCGTCGCGCTCGACACGTAAACGGGAGCGGAGCCCCTCCGCACGTCCTTGTATTTAGGGTCCAATGCCAGCTTGGTTTTCACCGCGGCGGCATGTTTGGATGTGATGACGGTGGGCTCGGTGTCTTTCTTCTCCTCCTTCTTCCTCCCAAAAAACTTGCCGAAGCCGCTAGATGATTTTCCGGTAGGCGTTACAGGCGCGGAGCCCGTGCGACTGCGATCCACGCCATTCATTGCGGCCATCCAGCCGGGCTCAGATTGGCGCGAAGTCCTAGAAGCATTGCTGCTGCTTCGAGACAACGTAGGAGGGCTCATCCTCGACTGGTCGCTCGAATGCCTGCGGTCAAGCAAGCTGCGACTTCGGGGGTCAGGAGACGCGAGGGCATTGCGTACGGATGCCATTGTTGCTGCACTCGAGAACGTACAGTAGGTCTATACGTAGATTCTGTTACACGTATTTTGGCAGGAAGAGGGCAGGTACTGGCACGGTGACGCACAAAGTCACGGGCACGAGCAAATCGGTGATAAGAGGCGACGATGAGGGAACCCTGAAGGACTTACTGAGGCATCGGCAGAACAGTCCGCGCTTCTGATATCAAAATGGTGTCAGCCAGATCTGCAGTGAATGGAAATATCCAATTGGAGTTGAAGAGCAAGCATGTGGCAATCGGCCTGCGAGCGAGAGCGGTACGAGTACGCCGTTGGCTCATCAGTGCGGCACCAGCAAAAGCAGGACTCTTTCCCCAGCGTAGCAGTGTTTCGCAAGAATTGCCGCTGGGGTTTCGGTCTGAGCCGGTTGATGATGCAGTATCCTTGTACCGTTCAATGCGGAAGAGAGGGCATGGCTGACTGGAATGTGTTGGGGAAATTTAGACGTGGAAAGCGTGGTGGCAAGCGGAAAAGCGGGATTGAGTGCCGTGAGCCGTGCGGAGTATCTAGGTAGCAAGGTAGGTAAGGCACTTGGGAACCAAGCCTTCTTCAAATGATGTGGAGGATTTCCTCTTGTACGAGGCATTTCCTTCTGACCCTGAGAACTCACCAGATGGAACAGGAAGTAATCGGACTACATGCGAGCGCGTTATATGTAAAGCGGCTGTTTTTGGCTAGCATTCAGCTCGAGGACTCACTCTTCCCGTCCTTGCTCGTCTTCTACAACCTCAACCATAACGGTGGGGCGCGGCTCCTCGATAGGTCTCATCTTGTGCTCTGCTGCTGGAAACACAATATGGCAGCTGAGATGCAGCAATTTTGCACTTGCTTGGGTTGTGACAACAACTAACGATGCGCGTCTCTCGTCCCAAGCAGCCTCAGCGCCGAGTTCCTTTGTGTTGGCCGCTTGCCCCTGAGTAGCAGTCCATCGAGCGGGAGATACCAAGGGCATTAAGAAGTATCAGTCCTCCAATTCCTCATGCGCACTCTCCACCTCGCTATGATACTCTTCTCTGGCCTCCTGCAAGTCTTCAATATCACTGCTCGATGCACTTGAGCCTTCTTCCGCAACCTTCTCCTGAGCCTCCTCGAGGTCCTCGCGTGCTTCTTCGAGGGATTCCCGTTGGCTGGATGACAGGTCGGGGTTGTCTTCAAGAGGTACAGGGGCCGCCGCTGGAGGTGGCGCGCCGTATCCATAAGGCGCTGCGGCGGGAGCGGCGTGGTGCTCTACAACAACCTGAGTTAGCACCCAATCTGTGGCAGTGACTTGAGCTTCGGGTAAGGCCACTTACCGTCGTCACTGTCATCCAACGCGTTTGCAGCGAGTGCACCTACTGCCGCACCGCCTACGCCGGCAGCAAGCACTGTGCCCATTCCATGGCCTTTCTTTTCTTGAGCACGGACATCACCATAGTATGCGCGCTGGTTGGCATCATGTCCTTGCTGATATGGCATGCCAGGCGGCATGGCATGGCCGTAGCTCTGGTAATACCCTGGTCCGCCTGCTGGGGGTGGTGGTGGGCCTCCTTGCCAGATCGGTTGCTCCCACTGTGTCCGGCCGGTCGCTTGTTCAACATAATAGTACCGCTGGCTGGTCTGATCCCATTGTGCTATCCAACCTGGAGGAAGCTGAGGCCCAGACGGGGGAGGACTGCCATAGGTAGGGTAATGCTGCTGCTGTTGATGTTGTCCATACATATCTGGTGCGGGCTGGTTGTGATAGTCTCTGGTTTCGCCGTGGCCGTGACCTGAAGGGGCCCAAAGATCAGTATTGCAAAGAGGGATGTGATCACACCCTCTGCGTCTCACCTCCTTCGTCCTTTTTCTTATGCTCTTCGGCCTTCTTCTTGTCCTTGTCGTCGTCATCATTCAACATCTCCTTGAGTTCATCTTTGAGTTTCTTGAAAAACGACATTTTGGTGTTCGTGGTGGCTATGGCTTGGGAGCTTCAATGTGCAGAGGAAAACTTGAGAGAGAGGTAAAGCAGCAAACCTTTTGTTTGAGAGGCCGAGTCACGAATGAAAGCAAATAGGGCTACTTCGCTCGAACTTCGCCTGTCACCAGCAGCAGTTCATGCATGTCATGGGCCCCCGGTTACGCTGAATGCCAGCGCATCAAACGCTTGCTCACTTTATACCTAGCTTAGTAGAACCGTCTGTGGGACGGAGCCGTGCCTTCTTTCCGAGAGGTGTTGTATACCAGGCCTCGATCTTCCTTGGCTGCATGTGTGCATGGAGGAACTTGATGAATGGTTGGGCGAGACGTGAAAAAGAGCCTTGGCAGTATCTTCTCTGCATGAGGGACGCGTCATGCCACTGGGTATTCGACTAGAGAACGAGTAGATATGGGACATCGGGGGGCGGTCTTCCTCGAGAGGCAGAAAAGTTAGAAAGAGGGATAGGGCAGAACGGGGAGCACCAAGTTAACTTCATTGCACGGGCATAGGCACCGAGAGAAACTGGAGTTCCTGATACATATCAATCTCTCGTTGTACAGTTATGCAAGAAACAATGAAGCAAAGATCAGGGCATGATAAATGAGAGATCAAGAAGAGGCTGACACCGGGTCAAGCACCTCCAAGGTTCGTCCTGTACATCCCCAGCGCTCTTTTGAGCCTGCAACTAAATCCATGCTGTGCGATCGTTGAATCATTAATTCCGGGTATCGGCTTCTCAATTTGAAACTTCTCAGGAGGGAGCAAGTTGTCCAAAGCCGTTCAGATTAACATCTCGCCGACGCCGACGCCAGAAGTTCATTGTGACGATTACTTGCCGCCGAACCAGCTGCTGATGCCGCTCTTCGCCTTTGCAGCCTTCTCTTCCACAGTCTTGTCAAACTTGTCGATGGCGCTGTTGATCTCTTTACCAGTCTTCTGGCTCATTTCCTTCGCTCTAGCTTCGGCCTCGGAGAGTTTGGTTTTGGCATCGGCCGACTGCATCGTCAGCATATAGATCACAAGTACCCGGCTCAGAAACCTACAGCTTGATCGAACTTGTGGCTGGCTTGGTTTGCTAGTGCTTCTCCCTCTTTCTTGGCTTCCTTTTCTCTACCAGGCAAGTCGCTCTTTATCTGAGAGGAGACCTTGGAGGCATCGGCTGTTCATCACGTCAGTAGAGGTTGAGAATCGGCACTGCTATCTCCTCATACCTTCAAACTTCTTCTGGGCAACCTTTGGATCTCCTCCAGCGTTATAGAGGTAATAGCCGACACCACCCGCGGCAGCCACACCAAGTAGCGTGAATGCTCGATTCGATGACATGACGGAAGGCTTCGATGTGAAGTGGTTTAGGAACGGTGGTTGTCTGGAACTGAATCGCTCAATGTTGTCTGAGGGGCTCAGGGCAGCTCGTACCAAAGGAAGAGGAGGTCAAAAAGCCAGAGCAATGGTAGTGGAGAGCTCGGCGGTCAATCACCAAGCCAAGGTGGAATGATTATCCCGGCCAGAAGCTCGTCGAATGTGCAGCTGCACGCATCCAGCTGCTCTTTAGCAGTGACATCATTGGAGGCATCAGAATCAAGGTGCAAGAAGCGGGGCGAACCAGCCACAAAAGCCAGAAGCCTGTGGTGCCTGCGCCTGCGGCGACGACGTAAACACTATGGACGTGAAATGCTCCAGGCTGCTCTCAGCGCCACACTCTCTTTTCGCACACTCCGTACTCCGTACTGTCCAGCTTTCCGCCATTCCGTTCCTATCCCATTTTCCTTGACCCATCCCCTTCTTTTACGTGCTCAGTAGTGACGCTGGACGGAAACATCCCTCGGCTCTGAGTGATCTTGACGGAAATCTAATTGTCACTTGCGCAGCCCCAATCCTTGCTTCCGCTTGGAGCTGAGAACCTAAGGTCCACGTTCACTACTCAGTTTCGGCCGCTAGAGGCATGTCCGAAAATGTCTCCAAGATCGTGACTCGCATTACCACGCATGACGGTCCGGCTGATTCCTTCGACCATGAAATCTCCCTTCTCGACACCACTGACCAAGGGAACGACGCCGGGTCTGGGGATGAGCCCCGATCTGGCTCCCCCAGCACAAGCTCAAAAGAGCTAGCTAGGAGGGGGACTAGAGATTCCCTGAAGGGTCAATTTACACGACGGAGGTATGCCAAATATCAGCAGGGCCGGTACCACTCCAAAACGGATGGTGTGACCAGGGCGGAAGATCCTTCGTCGAAGTCAGTGTCACGACAGCCCGCACAACATGTCGAGGCTCAACCTAGGACGCAGACGGTGGACTTCGCGTCCGCCGAGCCAGTTGACGTGCCAGTGGAACGAGGGCGTCAGAGTGCGGACAAAAGAAGACGGGAGTCAAGAAGGCTTAAAGAGGAAGTCTCAGAAATCGATATTTTATACGAGAATCAGCGCGGGTCTTTCTTCTGCGGTATCCCTCTCTATTCGCACTCTTCCCTCATGCCCATCGACCCTGGCCCATGGACGAACAAAGACTTCAAGGATTCACCGGTTGATATCACGAATGCGCAAGTACCTGACCCAAGCTGGGCATGGGCGTGGAAGACCTGGTATGTCGACATGAGCCACGATGTAGACGAGGAAGGTTGGCAATATTCCTTCGCTTTTGGACGGAATTGGGTCTGGCATGGCACGCATCCTTGGTTCCACTCATTCGTGAGGCGGAGAAGATGGCTGAGAAAGCGCGTCAAACGGGACTTCGAAGGTAGAAGGGGTAGGCCTGGGACCATGAGCGAGGCGCACAACCTGACTGGCGATTACTTCACGATCCATTCTAAGCGCGATCGTAGTCCGATTGATGCTGTAGACGGCACCGCTAAAACCGCTCGGCCTTCGAGCTTCATCAGCTTCCCCAGTACCATCGATATCGAAGAACTGCCGGAGGACGTTAAGGACATCGCGAGCCTTCTTACAGCGCTCAAGCTCGCGAAGATCGACCGGGAGAAGATCGAGGTGGTGAAGAAGTTTGTCAAGCAAGGTGGAGAGGAATTGGCATATCTGAAGGACCACATTCCCCAAATCATGTCTTTCCTTGTCTTCCAGACTTCCAGGACACAGCTCCTATCCTATCTTAAGAAGACAGCAAATGAGGCGCGCCAACACCGTCAGGATCACGAAGACGACGAAAAACCAGGGGGTGATGCTGAAAGCCGCAGGATCGACAATCTTCTCGCCGCAGTTGACGCCGCGAATGCAGAGATCGGAGGGTTAGAGTATTGGAGTGATCGAAAGCATGTCTTGAAGACCACCGATAGTGACAGCCTGACAATGCAAACGATCGCAACAATATTCGATCAACCCGCGCCGGAACCAAAGTTCGAGAACGACCCTGTGCACGCGATCAAAGGTATATCAGAAAAGGCCGATATTCCTGACGAAAGCACGGAGTCCATCTTCAATGCTACGCGCCCACCGGCACCGCAGAGGCCGGACGAGACAAATGAGAAGCTGGATGATGCGGCGAAAAAGGAGGACAAGGGCAAAGGCCGGGCATATGATAGCGAAGACGACCAGATCGAGCAAGATTCCATTCCCCGGCTAGGAGCGGACGACGTCTATGTTCCTGATGCTGAGGACTAGCGGTCTGACAATGGGCAATGCATTGTTAATTAGCGCAGGCGTTGGGCGGTAAATCTGTGAATGAGGATGAAATTACTCCGTATTTGCGTGGTCTAAGAATGAACCGGCGTGTCTAGTTCGTCGATTATCGCGTGGCTGGCGAAGCTGGGAACCGGCAATATAGCCACATCCGGCTAGTGCATACGCGGTCGCGTAACGACGCGTCTCGTTCAGATCTCAAGCATCGAACTTGGACGTTCTTCAATGAAGTGAATTCAAACCATCACGAGTCATCCCCCGGGCTAATGCTCGAGCTGGTTGTTCCTTTCCCTGTCCTAATTGTATTTTTGTCTCCTACTCTTGCAGACAGTGGTGTTTGAGTATCCATCTACGGTCGCACCTTCCTTCTGATACCTGTCATGGCTCCTTCCGTTCGTGGAACATCAACTCGAGTCAGTAAACGACAAACCAGCGTTCGCACCAATGCCAAAGTTTCAAAGCTCATCAGCAATCACCCGGCCGTAAAAGAGGAACTGGAAGAGGCTGCCCTCAAACAAGCGGTCACCTCCAAGACATCGGTCAAGCAGAAGGGCAAGCACGTCCCCAAGCGCAAACGTGATGAAGTCGAGGACGACAGCGAGGCCGAACCAGTGGATGCACCGCTCAGCTCCGTTAAAGCGAAGAAGGTCTGGTATATCACCATCTTACCTACGTACATACTAACATCTACGAAGGCCAAAGTGCAACATCCAACACCTCCCTCCAGCCAAAGACAGAGTCCGGTTGACCATGAACTATCTCCGACGATCAGTTTTCGCCAGCTTTCGCTCGACTCCAAGTTTGCCGTTCGGATGCAGCAAGCCCTTCCTCCGGTGCTGCAGGACTTTGTGTCGTTACATGCAGCGTTCCTCAAAGCCCTTTCACTCCACATCGTCCATAATGGTCAAACAGCACCAGCCAGTCTGGCTAGTTTGTCAGCTTCTGTCACGCGATTATGGAAGAAGCACACGGTCTCCAACGAAGACATACAACGCATGCTGGCCATCTATGAACTGGACGTTACGACGCACTTTAGTGGCCGTCTTCTCAAACACCAGGAAGGACCATTCAAGTTGACAATGACCGGCACTGACTACATTCGTTACAGCGTCGAGTACGTGGGCTGGGGGAGCAACAGAACGACAAGCTCACGTTGGGATGAGTACAACCTACAGCAGCTTTATGAAGCAGAAATCGAAGGCCTCTGGATTTCGTCTCGAAAGAACCCAAACTGCTGGGTCCACGGCGAGGTTCGCAACTTTCCCAAGCTGGAATTTGCCGTTGGAATTCAGACCCAAGCACGGAGAGGGAAAGCTGAAGCTGCTCGAAGGGAGATCTTGGGACTTTCTACTCAAGCACAGAATCGGCAGGGCGCACAATTTGCCGTCCAATCAATCAAAGATACACAAGATGCTGAAGTCCAGAAACCGGAGACCGTTAAGAATCGAACCCTCTCTCTGCTGGATCGTGTCAGAGCCAAAGCGGCTGCGAGTGCATCCGCGGCATCCGAATCCCCAGACGCAGTCCTTCGCCGATACGCTGTGGGCCGCATCTCGGAAGTGGTCGAAATTCTCCGTATGAAGCAACAGAGAAAGCTGAGCTCGACCTTCATCTCATCGGTCCACTCGAGTCCAAGCAAAGTTCGCTCCAGAGTGTCATTCAGCATAAACCAGCTGATCAAAGATATCAAAGGCAGCATGAGGGTCCCACTTGGAGACGCAGAGATTGGGATGTGCTTCACGATCCTCGAGTTCGAGATCCCTGGGACGTGGCTCTCTACCCACGCTTTCGGGGCTGTTCAAAGTGTTATTCTTAACGGGCCTGGCCTGAGTGGTGTCGAGGTGAAGAAGATCCTCGATGAGCAAATGCGTTGAATGGGAGTTAGAAGACGTTGGACAAGGAGAATGGCCGTGTCTAAGGACGAGGGGAAGCCGCTACGCGATATCAAAAGTCGGTTTACAGTCTGTTCGATTCTGCCGCGTTCAGCCTTGCAATTAGCACTTGTACATTTCGTGTTTCTTGCCTGCTGAAATGGAATGGAGTTCGAATTGGAAAGGACTCTGCGGGCTCTGAGAGGACAAGCAATCCTTCATAATGTGGTCGAAACAAGCACCCTGATGCGCCAGGTTCGATGGCTATCGTATAACGGCTGGGTCAAAAGCAATGGTGCTGCAACAGAGAACTTGAACAAAGATTCAGTCTCCTCTTCCGATTCCGTTGTTTAATTGCGGCCGCGTCCTTGAATGTCCCTCTGCGTTTCGCCATTGAGCCTTCAGAGGGAGGCAGCTCACCTGTTCCGTATCACGCTCCATCATCATTTCCCGGACATATCCTGAAATCCACTCTTGCCCCGGCCTTGCTTTGCTGCATAGACACTGATACATGGCCTTGTCATGCTTGCTGGGACTAATACAAAGCTGGCTTGGCCTCGTGTGAAAAGATCCTGGAGGACTACAGGTGGTGCTTGTCCCTAGACATCCTTGTTCCTCAGAAACTCCGCCAGGTGATCACCAGGCATCCAGTACCCCCTCGGATGTTCACCGCCCCATGCCTGCCCTGGCTGTCGTCCCATTGCACTGCTGCTTAGGAACAAGAGTAATCATGTTATTCGGCGTCGGCATTTAGACGAGGCCATGTCATCAAAGGGCGCACGGAGATCTCCAATTGAGATAGAAGGCTAGCGGACATATCGCTTTCGAACAACATACAATCTACATGAACAGCTGAAGTCGGCATTGACCGTCCGTGAGTGAAGCTTTGATATTACCGTCTTGACAAGTGCCCACACATTACCAAGGATCGTCGCAGAAGAGAAAGAAACAGAACCCCACCGTCGAGTCCAACATTACAGTCCCTGGCGCTTCAGCAATGGCTGGCGGAGCTCCTGTGCTCGTTCCCACGGGTGGCGTGAAGGACGAGGACCCGATCGTCTTGTGCATGGAAGACATCAAGGCCGTCGCAGATGGGAAGCTCCACGAAGTCGCAAGAGGTAGGTCCGCATGAGAAACAAACCACACTCCGAGACGCGAAAGGAGACAGCTGGCTCACCAAACGTCTCAATCTGGCTGTGTATCAGACTTCTACAATTCCGGCTCCACATATCAAATGACCATCAACGAGAACAGCACCGCCTTCAACAAGTACAGACTACGCTCTCGCGTGCTGATCGACGTCTCGAAGCTCAGCACCGAAGCTGCATGTCTTGGGGGTACCCTCAGGTTCCCGCTCTGCGTATCCCCCGCTGGGCTCCAGGCGATGGCGCACATCGACGGCGAGCTCGCAACGGCGCGCGCATGCGCCAAGCTCGGCGTCAACATGGCGATCTCGAGCTTCTCGAACTACGCTGTCGAAGAGGTCGTTGCCGCCAGCGCCGGCAAGATCAGCCACGCCATGCAGCTGTACACGATGAAGGACCGCGGCCTGCAGGAACGGATCATCCAGCGCGCCGAGGCCGCGGGCTGCAAGGCCATTTTCCTGACGGCCGACTCGCCCGTGCTAGGGGTGCGGTATAACGAGTGGCGCAACGACTTCCGCACGCCCGAGGGCCTGGCTTTCCCCATGCTGGAGTGGACGAGCGAGAAGATCCGCCAGCAGACGCACGACAGCGGCTTCACAAAGTTCAACGACGACTCGCACAACTGGGCCAGAGACATCGCGTGGCTGAGGGAGCGGACTAAAATGCAGATCTGGATCAAGGGGATCGTCACGGCCGAGGATACCGAGCTGGCGATCCAGCATGGCTGTGATGGCATTTTGGTCAGTAATCACGGCGGCAGGCAGTTGGACGGTGTGCCCGCGACGATCGACGCGTTGGTAGAGTGTGTGGACGCCGCGCAGGGGAGGATTCCGATCCACATGGACGGAGGCGTCAGGAAGGGGACCGACATCTTCATCGCCTTGGCCCTGGGCGCCGACTGTGTCTGGGTTGGTCGGCCCGCGATCTGGGGGTTGGCGTACAATGGCCAGAAAGGCGTTGAGAAGATGCTGGAGATGCTGTATGAGGATTTCAGGCGGTGCATGGCGCTCTGCGGCTGCAATAGTGTCAAGGAGATCAAGAGGAGCTGTCTGAGCAGGATGGGACTGGATGGCGTGCTGAGGCGTATGGAATAGAGCCACCAATTGGAGGGTTGACTTTTGCAAACGTGAGCAAGCCAGCCAAGTCTACAGTAGATGGTCTACTTAGACATGCAATGGGGCTGTCCTGAGCCTCGGGAGTAGAGTCTGTCTTTCTTTGGACCTGCGTTACTCCATACTACATCCTCCATCACCTTTAATTTACCTGTTTGACTTGCGATGGCTCCTTTCATACTCGAGAAATGCTCAGAGCCGGCGCGTCGGGAGATGCTCAAGCCCCTCAGCTTGGGCCGAAGCTATGGAGTATATCGTAGCAGCTCATCTGATATCGCTGCTGCTGGTGCTAGCAAAAACGCATAAAACGCGACTGTCGTTGAAGACCAGCGCCCATATGGTAGAAGTGGATTACGAGCCCAGCCTCGCCTCGACCGCTGTCGATCCGCGTATGGTATGCATCCTAGCCCAGTTCTACTGTGCCAGGGTCATCCAGGCAGCGCCGTTAGCCACATGAAACACCCAATGCTTCACACCCTGGCCATGCTAGATCTAGAGGCCATGCCGCTTGACATGGAGGACTCGCCACGACCAACAGTGTAAATCCAGAAGAACAAAAGTGCATAAGATAGGAATGTTCAAAAAAGGGCTTCTTGGCCCTTCGATCATTAGGTATTATAGAATTAGATTACCACTCTGTCGTTCTGTCATCCTGTCGTCTCTGTACACACGTCAAACTACACCCATCACTCCAGCCGACTTGCTCTGGCGAAGAACCCTGGTCAGCCAGCTTGTGTCGATGGCTGTTGCCCGCTACACAAAATAAGCGCCGGCAACTTGCATAAGTTGTGCCCTCATGCCACAAAGCCTACACATCGCGTCGGCAAAGATGTGGCTGGGGCTGAACCACGTTTGGAGGAGCTGGAAGCGTTGAATAGAGTCCGAATTGTGCTGATGGACCAGGGTGGCCTTGACTCGAGAGTCACGAGTTGCTTCGCGACAACTCGCTCGTCCAGTCCAGATGTTCCATTCCGGAATGCTCATTCGACACTCAAATGTTTCGCTACCGACCCGACGCTATTAAAATCGGCCTGGCCCTGGTACCGAATAAATGCTCGAAGCCCAATGAATAACTCCTCAACTTCCTCTTGCTTGCTCTTTCCTGGTCGGTGTGCTCCGTCCGAATAAAGCGAATGGCGTATCGGTCATGAGTCTCGATATCAGTGTTGTACAAGGGGATATGTAAAGCGAATGTAGTGTCTCAATCCAGACGGTAAACAGTAGCCGCTGGTTATCAAACAAATCTTGAAAACCCAGAAGTGCAGGTCTTCTGGTGCAACGCGAACTCCGCAGCAGCAATGTGGTCGGCGCCGGTTGTATGCTGAAATCCATAGTCAAAATGGCTGGACTTCTCCATTGTCCCCCCTCCGAGGCACACCGGACCATAACAGAAGATCAATTGGAAAATTCGTTCAGAAGAAGGATATGTCGATCCCGATCCCAGTTCGAGTCAGCCTGATTAGAAGGCGGATGGAGCTGAAGCGATAGGCTCGGCCTGATACTCGAAGCAAGACTTGTTGGGATCGGAATTCCAGTAGCGTTGTGTTGATTACAGTGGCCCGATAGCCAGCTGTTCTATGTGCTCAACTCAGGACATTGCGTCGCTCATATGCCAAGTTATGTCCTTATGGAAGCGATCGGTTGAATCGTGATGAAACGCCGGAGCAAATCACGCCGAGTATGCGTCGATGAGAAATCGTGACGTCGTGGAGGTAGGTCCGTAAGGTTGCAAGTCCTCATCTTTCGTGGTTGGAATATGCCTCTGTCCATTGCTTAGGGCTCTCCTCCGTTGGGCTCAATGAGCCAGATGAAATGGAGGAAGAAGAGCCGATCGTCCACTCGTCACTGTCGGGATCAGACCCATGGAGCCCGGCAATACCATAACTGTAATCATTTTGAGTGTCCCCGACCTCAATGTAATCATAGTCCCACCTGTATCGCTTGTCAGGCTGAAGTCGCGGCAGGAATTTAGCCTTTGCAAAGTAGAAGATAGTGCCAGCCATCAAGCTGCCCGCGACCAGATCAACCGCGTAGTGGTGTGAGAGGTACATCGTCGACCACCACAACCAAGCAGCGTAGAAGGCCCACAAGGGCGTGTACCGCGGGAATACATGGCTCATGAACAGAGCTTCAAGAGTTGAAGTGGCGGCGTGAAGCGACGGGAATGCGCCGAACACCATTGGAGAGGCTGTGAACCCCGAGGTATACATGTCGAATCCAAGCAAGGCATCAATGCGCGCCAGACCGGCCGGCGAGCCCTTCATCGAGTAGTTCGCAGGAGCCAAGCCATACATATTCTCGTACCACGGAGCGGAGCACGGGAATAGGACTTGAATCATGACCCCGGCCAGATTCATATAGCCAAAGGTGAAACCGAAGACTGGTAGGGTTGAAGGAGGTCCGAAGATGAAAATGACGGCTGCTACCACGAATGGCCCCCCGAAGTGACCCAACCCGTAGGGGAACCATGCCAACAAATCCAAGGCAGTATTCTTGTGAGCAGACAGGATGTTGCTCAAATTGGCTCCATAGAGGATATTCTCGAGGGCGGGGAGAACTTTCACCCAGATCGGCGGTCTCCATTCGGAGGGGATAAACCTGTCGGGGACCATGTTAGGCCTGTTTCTCGTGGAGCAGAAACTTTGCGGCTCATGGCAGAACAAAGGAAGCCCAAACTAGGACTCACCTGCAGGCGTAGAAGAAAATAAGGTACGCGGCAATGGGCGTGAAAGGTCGGAAGAACTGTCGTGTAATAGGGAATATGAACGATGAGAGGAGGAGTGTAGCGACCGCCGTCTTGACCAGGGGACCAGGATATTCAATTATGCTTAGCGAAAAGATGCCCACAACCGCCAGAAGTAGCCATTGGCCGTCGTAGATAGTCCACCTGTGATTCTGTAGAGATCGTAGTGTATCTGCAGGAGAGAAAGACGTCTTCAGCGCGGATATCGAGGAGGCAGGCGAAGTTCGATTCCGCAGTTTTGACCTTAGCCGGCGTCGCAGTCTATGTGGGACCAACAGCTGTAAGGATTTCCATGGTATCTGTATTTGCTGTTTCCTGTCGGCGTCCTTCCAGGACGGAAGAGAGGCCTGCATTACACCTGACAACGCTCGGAGAGGTACGATGTGTGGAGCGGAGTCGCTGACTCGGCTTCGGGGGAGGCTGGTCTGGTATGCTATCGAAAGTCGACAGAGATGATGGCGAGGTAACAGGAGGGTGCGACGTCGAGGAGAAGGGTTGAAAAAGTCGGGCACGGCTTCCGAGGCGTCCGGAAGAATGATAACCAGAAACGGAAGAGAAAGGAAGATAGGTATGGAAAGTAGTAGAGTACCTGGGAGGAAGAGAGGTGGGAGTGGTGAGGGCTTAGGTGAGCATGTCAAGAGTGTGGATGTCGGCGGATAGTCTTGAAGCAAAAAGGAAGCAGCCTAGGCCGGCGAGCAACTGGCTGCGGTACGAGTACCCACGTCTTTTAGTTAATCAAGCCGTGCCTGGTCGCTAGGGTCGTCGGCCAGTACCTCGTAAAGTGGCTCAGGCGATTTGTGAAAGGATACAATCAGGCCAGCCAAAGAGAAAGCGTTCTATGCCCAAGAAGTCATTATCCGCGAGCACAAGTGGCTGAGGCCTGGTGCATAACTTCGGGGGCTGCTTTGTGACAGGCTCCTCGGTGTCTTGAAGCTCCACCACAGCCCGGCCCAGAGCGCAGCTTTTGCCCCCTTTCCAAACAGCTCTCCTGTGAAAATTCTCCCTCAATTCGACGTCACCATAAGAATTCCCACACCCGCGCCATGCTTCCAAGTGCGATGATGCAAGCACGCAGATGTCAAAAGTCATGACGGTGCCGCCTCAATTTCCCCAGGCCGTGTCATTGATACCGAGCACTGAAGCATTGGAAGTTCTTTCAACCGCGCACACATCGCGTTTCCCAATTTGCACGCCTGCCTGAGATCTCCAGGAGAAGGGCATAAATTGAGCGCTTCACGCGAACACGAACACGAAGGCGCAACGGGGCATTTGAGCACAAGACACCGAAGATCTCGGATAGGTGCCGGGGATAAGCGATTGCTGACCCGTGGGATTGCTGCCAATCTCTGCCACTAAAGCCTCTGTCCTGACATTACAACAGTCTGGGGACTCCGACCGGCAGATTCGACTTCGCCCGGGCCGTCAGACACCTTCGCATTTGCTCAGTGAGCCACTCTGCATCTGCCCTCCAATTTCCCTTGCCATGCGCTAGCTCTTAGAAGCGCGTGTGTCTAGATGAGCGCGTATGGTTTTGCTTTCAACGATGCTCCTCTTCTGGCTCCAGAATTGTGGGATGATCGACAATTGCTTTGTGGCCGAAACCCTTCTTGCACGTGAGCAATTTGCATAAAGAAAAGCTCATGCTCACAAAAGACCCCCATGGCTTCCGCGTACAGCCGAGTACATACCAAATCAAAGCCACTGCACTGAAGGGCTGAAAATAACCGCCAGTCAGGGTCCTCATACGCGAGGTCATCTGCACGCACAACGCAGTCTTGCATGTTCTGATAGGCTTTCTTGGGGCTAGCATGTCGTGCTTCGGGCTGACGTGCATGCTGCAAGGACTGCTATTGTACGCACACTCGTAGCTGAGTGACGGACGAAAGGCTGCTCAAGTAATCGGCGGATGCTTAATCATGTGATGAGTGATGCTGCCCTAGCAATCTTTCGAGGCTCTGAGCACCGACCACTTCACTTATCAGAGCTCCCACTAACCACCCAATCTTGATCTGGAACTTCCGTTCAAGCATATCTTCTGGGGGTCGGATACGAGGTGTTGATGTGCCCGAAAATATGCACGATCAAGCACTTTCGAGTCGGATCTGAGCAGACGATGCTCGGTTCACGAAGCCTGCAATACTTCATTTCTACAGAGATTGCGGATTCCAATCATTTCTACTTGACGTTAACTTCATCGGAGACCCTGTGTTCCTTGCTTTTTGGGGTTCATGAGGTATAATCGTGCCATTCCCAGTCGCGACGTCATGGTATATAGCTGTCACCTGAAGCGTGCCTTGCCCGCGAGCTGTCATCGGTGGTCCATCATCTCATGCCATTTAGAACTCAAGGCGATTAGATCGGCCTGCTCAAAGCATGAAATCTGTTCGAGTTTGTCATTTGAGATCCTGTCAATGTTGGTGAAGCTCAACCAAGCTGATGGGATGATGCCCAAGAAAGCGTAGATGCCGCATTGATCTTCCCGATTGTACCGTTCACGGCAGTCACGCTCAGGTGCAACCACGATTAATAGCATTCCCAGGAGTGCCAGGCCACATGCAGTGCCCACGGGTGCATTGCTTCGGAATCCGGCCTATCGCGTCCTATTTGGTGTCGAAGTTGTCCTCGACAGTGGAACTTGCGCAGATGTTGTCCTCGACAAACTGTTCTGCTGTGAGCTCTGTCGTGAGAGAGTAGGAACTGACTGCGACGAGGACGATTGACGGGGGAATCTGAACACCAGTGGTTAGCGTTCCGTCTTGGAAGCTGTGGTCAAACTGAATGGATGGAACCCATGGCGCAAGGAACACTCACGGATTTCTCTTCTCTGCTGCTGTGGGTGTCTTGCTGCCTTGACCCCATCCTAGCATAGGCGACTGATAGTTCGGCCAAGCAGCGTTATTCCAGACTTTTGTGATCACACTGTGCGTTCCACGTCAGCACTTCCGGACATTTCTTTGTCGCAACAGGCTTGGTGTACCTCTGGGCTGCATCCTCCTGTTGCTCTTGCGATACGTGCTTCACTCCGACTTTCATGCCGTCTTTGGAGAATGAGACATTCTTCCTCTCAAGTTTTTGCCGCGTCTTCTCCCCGACCTCGTTTGCAATCGAATAGGCCACAAATCCAACAACTGCGACAACGCCGAGAACGATCACGAGGATGATGAGCGGAATGAGGTTGCTGGTCTTTGCCATCGTGCACCGGGAGAGAGGTGGGATGTAAGTATGGGAGGGAGACAAGACAGAGGCCGTGAAGTCGTCCTTTCTGAAAAGTGAAGTGAGCCAAAGAAATCACCCATTCCGGGTTCTGATGGTACCTTACGTTCTAGACGTCCAAGGACTTGCGGTGCAATGGAAGACTCTTGATGCGCTGTGCGACGCGGGGCGTCAAATCCGACCGTGTGACAGAGCGGTTTCTATCCTTCGCAACACTCAGTGACGAGTCATCCTTTGCCTGTTGCCAGCGATTGTGGTATCTCGTTTATATCCCCTCCTTTTGTAGATTGCATGAATGATCCTCCTTGCGCAGGCTATGGGGGGGATTCGATTGTGGATGATGATTGAAGGCGCATGGCAGCTGGTTACGCCACAGCTGAACGAGGGTCCGTTCCGGCTAACGGTCCGAATCGACACTTGATTGAGCCGCTTAAGGAAGCCTCTGGACGCCAGCCACAAAAGCATGTGATAGCCTCCGAGGGATTGAAAGGGGTCATCTTTCCGAGCGCCAAATCCTCTAATAGATTTCGGTTTGCAGTAGTATGTTGTCCAGAAGTGGAAGGGACTTTTGAGATGCAACGTATTGACACATACAGTGTTGTCTAGATCCATCACGTCTTGTGTTCTCTTCGAGACTACCATTCTATCAGCGTACGCCTTGGGTATCTTGTTCCTGAGACGAATCCCCCGTCTTGCCACGAACAACCAAAGCCAATGTGCGTACCATCAGCATTCCCACACCAACGCCATCGCTATGCAGCACAGAACACCTCATCCCCCCTCCAGAGTACTGTGTACATAGTCCAGCTCCTTGATTCGTTGCCATCATTCCTCACTGTAAATTTGAACCTTGTCGCTGATCTCCCAAATTCGACTCTCGTAGTTATCCTCGATCTGAGCGCCCTTGCCGCCTGCAACCCTCAGGATCAGATCGTTCAAGGAACTCCGGCCCAATATGTCGACATGATCGCCTGTATTCGGCCCGCCACGAGGACTGAACCTGTCAGGTTCATGTGGCATCTCAAAAGTTGTGATCTTGATGTTTGACGGGTTGTAGCGCTTAATCTTCCGCCAGCCCTTTGCGCACATGTACCCCGTTGAAATCAGATTGACTGTGCCGTCACCCTCACCCATTGCGACTCCATGATCGATGCTACCCGGATCCTGGAAGCGGCCATTTGGAGTGGTCACGCTGGTGTCGATGGAGATGTTGATATAGCCAGTGAGCGAGAATTCTTTCTCTCTGTAGAAATATGACCGTTCGGTTGGTTTGCCAATGCCATAGAAGCAGTAGATCTTCAAGTCGGGGGCATGAGGAAGACGGGCCTCAAGCGGATTCAGCCAGGTCATTGGTCGATGTTCGTTCCGTTCGACCTCTTGTTTGGTGTGTGCCACGCCGTGAGAGTAGGAGTGCTTGACCGTTTCCACGTACCACGGCTCCGAGACGTTCATTAGATGATCGAATGCATCATTCATGGTGAGATTTGGACGCATAGCCTGGGTGGAGTTGCCTTTCGGTCTGAAGGAGATAAAACTGCCATGAGTCTTGTTCTGTAAAGGAGGTGGTAAGTCGTCTGGTGCCCACGTGCTATTCCCCCACACGGCCTCACCACCTTTAGGCAGCATAGAAGATATACCTGGCATGGCGCGGAAGATCTCGGCGCGGTCTTCTTTGGACAGGAACCTCTCCAAGCCATATACCGCAAATGAATTTAGCTGGGCGGTGTCCTTCATTTCGCCTGACAGTACGGCCGGTATATCTTTTGCGGTGCCCAGCATGCATCCCGAAATGTTGATCCACGAGTCAATGTGCGCGTTCACCCAGTTGGAACCACCCTTACCGTGGTCTTTGTGCTCCACCCACTTCATAAAATAGAAGAGCACTTGACTGCCCATCGAATGTGAGATAAGGACAACCTTCTCACCGCTGGTCAGATGCGCCAGCTCAATGTAATTCTTGAGCCGAGTGAAATACTGGTCTCGAACTTCCAGGTTCCCATATGAGAGGCGCCAGTCGTAAGCCGCTGTGGACATTAGTGTCGAATCATACCCAATTGTTGCAAGATTCTCCAAGATCTTGTTCCATATCCAGTACCCAGTAATGAAAAAGTCGGTGGCATCGAACCCTTGCGCGGCCCGTAGCTTGATGTCCGGTGGATCGAGTCCTGTCTCTTTGTCCAGCATAATGTGCTTCTTCCAAAGCGCCTGGTCCATTATTAGAGCCCTTATCATTGACCAACTGCCCCACAGGCGCTTTCGAAAGTACGGCCTTGACTTCTCGGCAGTAGACCAGGACTCCAAACCTGTCGAGATCACTCCCGGAACCATAATGACGGGATGGTGGGCTTGGATCCCTTGGGCCTGTAGATGAAGGCCGACAGAGAAAGAGTCGTAGTTCACCACATCCCGCTCTGCCCTTGAGAGGTCTTTGACATCATTGACGATGCCCGCCGGAATAGCATCCAGTAGGCTGTCGAGGTTGACTTCCAATAAACCCTCGAGCTTGACAATATCCTGTGACTGCGCCAATAGTAGTGCCAGCATTAGTCCCAAGACACCGCCGAGCCCAAACGTGAGGCCGGATCTTCTCTTGCTATGTCTCCTCTTTGTGAGCTTTTCCAGCTTCTTCGTTGGCACCACGCTGACCTCTTCATTGGGATCCGGGGTGCCATCGCGACTCTGGTCTGGGGATGGAGTTGGCGAGTCCCTGAGGATATTGACGATGCGGCGTCGGAGCGTTGACATTTTGGCGATCACATACCTCTAGCAAGCCAAAACCGAAGCCGCAGAAGAGCACGCACCGACATCAAGGGAATAGAAACGAATTGCGGAAGTTCGGATGTTGGTGCTGTCATTGTCGAGTGGACATTTGTTGGCATCCTCAATTTCTACTGACACCCAGATTGACTTTCACATGTTTTCGTCATCGCGTCTTTCTGGCCAGGATCTTCAGGCACAATTCCTCCACAATCAATTTGCTCCCATCCATCCCGGACATGGCAATTTCGACGTTTCTCTAGACGCGGAATATGATGAGCGGCAATGCCGCAGCTGCTTCCACTCCGCAACCTGCGAGCAAGGACGACCTAGTCTCACCCAGTGCTTACTTTCAGACCACCCCGCCCGGCATCACTTATCTGCAATACTCGCTCGACAAAGAGCCCGAATACCTGCCACAGATCCGCGAACTCATCTCCAGAGACCTCTCGGAGCCCTACAGCATTTATGTGTATCGGTACTTTCTCTATCAGTGGGCGGAACACTGCTTCATGGCAGTCGATGCGACGGACAATAATAAACTCGCTGGGGTGGTCATTTGCAAGCTGGAGCCGCATCGAGAAGGGCCCATGAGAGGATACATTGCCATGCTGGCTACGAAGGAAAAGTTCCGCGGCAAGGGAATAGCCACAACGTTGGTCAGCAAAGCCATTGACCTCATGATTGCGAAGGACGCAGACGAGATTGCGCTGGAAACGGAGGAGACCAACACCGCAGCCATGAAGTTGTACGAGCGCCTGGGATTTCTCAGAAGCAAGAAATTGCACCGCTACTATCTCAATGGAAACAGTGCATATCGCCTGCTGCTCTATCTCAAGGAGGGCGTGGGAGGGATCCCGATTGAGGAGGACTACAACGACATAAATCACCTCCCGTCACGCGTCGAGGATGAAATGAAATACCCACATCACGATCCTGCTCAGATCGCATGCAGTCGTGGAATCATATGAGTCGTCAAGATCACAGGCAGCCGCCGATCCATTCCTCCCACCTTCTGACGCCCTTTCCTGCTTCTTCGCCCTTGACTGCTCCGCCGAGCACGTCAATGTTGATCCCATACTCTTCGGCCATCAGCTTGAAGCTGAACTTCTCTTCTCCACCACCTCCGAGAATATCATCCTCCGTATCGGCATCTGTATCCTCACCGACCCTGCCAAGGCCTTTGCTTTGGGACACTCTGACCCTCTCAATCTCCGTTTCCAGACGCTCCCGGACGGCACCTGTCGGCAAAGCCGTGAAGAGGTCCTGCTTGTTTGCAGCAACGAGCACGGGTATCTTTGTCGCGGTCTTCGCTATGGCCTTCCGGCGCTGTATCGCTAGCAGCGTGTCATGCAGATAGACGGCCGTATCACGGGATATCGAGGAATCGCTGGCGTCAAGGACAGTCGAGTCCACCACGAAAATGACGCCGCGCAGCCCTGGATTCTGGATCTGGGACAACGCAGCCTCTAATCTCAATTTCCCATGGCCTGGAGTATCTATCAGGACATATGGAGTCGGTTGCTTGTCCTTGAGGTGCGCATCGTTCTCGGAGCGGTATTTATTGGACCCAAGCGGGATAGAGGGCGAAAGCAGTAAGCTGACAGTGGAGGAGACTTGGGATACGCGGGTTAGGGCGGCATCTGCCTCGCTGTCCTCGGGATTGGAGGATCGCTTTTGCAGCTGAGGTTTATGTTAGCCATCGGAATGCCGGTAAAATGCGATTGGGAAATTTACCAAGGACGCGAGTGAAGTCTTGCCTGCACCGCTGGGTCCAAGGAGGAGGAAAGTTGGAGTGACTTTGGAGCGGGCATTTTGGGTGTAAAAGTAGAGATGAACCAATGACGGGAGGGCTATCGTCACCAGCAAGGCAATGAGAATTATTATGGGATCGCCCGAAAAGAGCTGCGTAAGCCAGCTGTCTGGCGAAGACCAGCCCATGTTCAGCAGTTGCGGTTGACTGATATTGAAAACTGATCAAGATGGCACGACTGAGAGACAGCCGGCCATGACGCAAATAAGGAGGCTGAAAAGAGCGACCTGTCACTGGCCCGTCGGCGGGGTTCGGTGTGATGTTTCCAGGCGGGTATTGGTCCCTTGCAGATGCTCAAGGCTATTTGCGGGTTGTGGCCTGGAGCAGTGCGCGTCTGAAATTGCCAAACTGCGCCCTCAGCTGATTCCTCCGCAACCAAGGCCATCGGAGTCCTCGAGGCTCACGACACTCGTTTACCAAGAAGTACACTTATCTCACCCACAGTCTGCTCTCTTCTCGACACGATTTCACTCTCCTCTCCAGCATTTTCCGACAACATGATCCTACGGAGTATCTGCCTCCTGGCCGCCGCCTCCCTATCGTTTGTGCGCGCTGACGTCCAAGTCGTTTCGCCTCAAGCGGGAGACACTATCACCGGACTCAATCTCGCTATACAATGGAAAGACTCCGGCGAGGCGCCAGCCATTTCACAATTAGCTAACTATCAACTCTTCCTCTGCGCTGGAGGAAACGACGAATCAGATTATGTGAGGCCTGTGTTTCAACGCTCTTGGAGGGAACAATACAAGGCTAACCCAGTGTTCAGATTCCGCTAGCAACATTGGTGTCGGCGGGCACGTATACAACGGGCAACTCCATCACCATTCCTCTGACCGCTAGTCTTGGAGCCGACGTCGCCAACGCCTACTTCCTGAAGTTCGTCTCAGCGGCTACAGGAGGCACTGTCATAAACTTCTCCGATCGCTTTACACTTAAGAGCATGAGCGGTACCTTTCCCCCATCAGTACAACAGGGACTGCGGTCTGTTACCGGTACTGCTGGTCCAGCCGACCAAAACAACCTCCAAGCTCCCCAAGCAGGTGCAGATGCTGCTACCGCGTCTGTGGCAGAGGAGGTTTATAATACCCCCTACACGCTGCAAACCGGGACAATTCGATACGCCCCCATGCCTCCCATGGCCCAAACCAAGATCACTGCAAAAAACGCTTCCCCTCAATGGCCAACCAGCGCGTACACCGTTTACCAGACAATAGCGGGAACACCCGATGCCATAACCACGAATACTTTACCGTTAACGTTCTCGGCTTCCAGTCGGGAGAACCCCGTGAGTCCACGTTCGCGTGCCTCCGAAGGATTGCGCACTGATTCTTTTAGGTTGCTGCGGCCGGCCAACCCACCGATGGAGCGGTGCAAAAGTTCCTAAACCGGTGGAAGGACTGAATATCACGACAGGAAAGAATCATACAGCATGACCCAGGAGACACATAGTGCAGGGGTTGGGCGCCAAAATGTGGATGGTCTTAACGTGCTGTGGAGAATGGAGTTAAGTCGATTGCGGCCGGGGTCGTCGTATCTATATGGTATCCTTCGGTGTGTCGACGAAAAGCATGCTGCCTCCAACGCCATGCCAAAAGATTTGTGAGCTAAAAGTCTTGAGAGGTGTATGATCACCGGTATATCTCATCAAATGGTCTGGTATCCCGGAAGCAGCTGTCCCACACTTCATTGACCACTTTCACTGCATGCACATCGTCTTTGCAGCCGGGCCGACCTCTCACTGAAAGGACTGCTCTCCGCCGAACGCAGTCTTGCTGATGCTGGGTGAAGGAAAGAACTTTGTTGCGGAAGAACTCGTTTGCCCAGCGACATTCGCCGCTGAGATTGCTGGCTCGGATCTGCTCCATCTCATTAGTCAAGTTGCCTTTGAGTGGCTGCGTTCGGCTGACCTCTGAACAAGCCGCATGCCTCAAATCATCTTCCTCCGTCAAGTTAGTCTTGAACCGCAGATGATCGTATGCATGCACCATCTCATGTGCCAGCACATCCTCCAGTTGTGACCGTTCTTGGACCCAGTTGGCACAAATTTTAATCCCGTACTTGTGATCAAACCCGCCTTGCATGGCTTCTTCCTCTCCTCGACACGTCCTGCAATGGATATTCTGCGGGCCTAGCTCTCCACCGAGTTTCCGTATGTTCTCGTTCATGAACCGAATGGTAGGAGAGTATTTTAACAGGTAGTCTCTATCCCGCTCGCACCGTTTGCAGTCGAACTCGCTGTACCGCTCATCTGCATCGGCCCAGTACCTTTTCTGCCCAGCAGGTGACATTTGGCCGGTCAGCATGAGCGTGAAATTGACCGTACGATTCCAGAAGGTCGTGCTGGGTCGGAAGTCTGCGCCATCCTGTTGGGTAGATGTGGAGGGTGCGGAAGGAGTCGCAGACGACTTGGCCATAATGAGCGAGCTGAGTCGAACAACGAAATGATTGGGAAGGAAAGCAGAGAGCGACCTTAATTGACCATGGATGCTTTCTCCGATGATGAAGCTGCAGACGAAAGAGGAAATCCTCAGGTCCATGGATCGCCAAGATGCGATCTGACTCGCTTGCACAACCCATGCAGGGCGGTCAGAATTACTTTCGTCTCCAATTGCTGTCGATGCTTTTTAGCTCCGATACTACGAGGTACAAGCAGGATGTCGTAAAAGGGCGTGCAACCAGCCCGTTCCTCATAAGTCGGCCCTATTCTAGTTCCAAATGGTAAGTCATGCTTGGACGATTCAGAACTCACAAGCGGTGTCACAAATACCAAAAGTCCGCCGCCTGAGGAGCAGGAAGCAAAATGATGAAGCCAGGAAAGCATTTGACGATTGTCATAAAGATTGGTACATATCCCCGTCTACACGATGCTTTTCCTTTATAACAAAAGAACCAAGTCCAGCTTGCTCAGGCAAATCAGAAAGAGGCTTACAGTGGTGCTTGAAACAGGAACATCGTCTATCGTGGACGAAATAACTCATGAACCCATACTGTCTATTCTCTCTCTCATAGTTGAGACGGCAATCAAGCTGAGGCGAGATGGCCATCGCGTTGTCATTGTTTCGTCTGGAGCCATCGGAGTCGGGTTGCAAAGGATGAACATGCCCAAAAAGCCAAAGCATCTTGCTCAAGTCCAGGTATGTCTCAACGTACGCGAACAGCGCCCCATGTGGTCTGACGCTTGAAAGGCTCTTGCTGCAATAGGCCAGTCACGCCTTATGTCCATTTGGGACTCTCTCTTTGCGCACATGAGCCAGCCAGTCGCCCAGATTCTTCTCACCCGCAATGACATCGCGGACCGCTCGCAATACCTCAATGCCCAGAACACTCTTGCAGAGACGCTATCATTTGGAGTCATCCCAATCGTCAATGAGAACGATACCCTCGCTGTAAGCGAGATCAAGTTCGGCGACAACGATACCCTCAGTGCTATCACGGCGGCCATGGTTAATGCGGACTACTTGTTCCTGATGACGGATGTGGATGCCCTCTACGATAAGAATCCGAGGAAGTTCCTCGATGCAAAGCCTATCTCAGTGGTCGATGAAATCGACGCGCTCCAAGCAGACGTCTCCTCGGCAGGCTCTGCGCTCGGAACCGGCGGCATGGCAACGAAAATTGTTGCAGCTCGATTAGCAACAGCGGCGGGGACGAGCACCATTATCACCAAGTCGTCGAAACCAGGCAACATTGCAGCAATCATTAGCCACCTCCACCCGCCGGTTGAAATTGATGGCGAAACTGGAAGAGATGTCCCCTTGGCTGCTCCTGAACCACCACTACATACCCGCTTTCTCCCTTCTCTTACGCCGATCCGCAACAGGGCGTTCTGGATCCTCCACGGTCTAGCTCCTCATGGTACGATTTATATCGATCGAGGTGCCTCTCTTGCGTTAGCGAACAAAGCCGGGCTGCTCCCCGTGGGTATTGTCGACGTGGAGGGCACGTTCGCGCAACAAGAAGCAGTCCGCCTCGTGGTTGTTGACAAGATCCCTATCGGGAGTCTCTCGCCTACAGGAGATTCGAATTCATACAATCCCTCAGGAGGGAGGTATCAGTTCGTGCTGAAAGAGAATGGGGAGGAGATTGGACGCGCAGTGGTGAACTACTCGTCATCCGAAGTTGCCAGAATCAAAGGGTTGCGCAGCTCTGATATTCGCAATGTGCTAGGCTACGCGGATAGCGAGTATGTTGCCTTCAGAGAGAATGTGAGTTTACATGCCAGTGCAAGTGGTGTTCAGAGCAGACCGGAGACACCTAGCGGGCCGAGAACGCCGACGAAGGAGCGCACGCCAGATGTGAGTATAGCTGATTTGAGGGGCATTGCGGATTGAATGAGGCGTAAGACAGTTACTGCGAGGAGGTGGGCTCTTCGTTCGAGTGGGACAACATGCCTGCACCAGGCCGGGTTTTGTGCTATGTAGCTCTGCTAGATCAACGACCGTGGACCACAATACAACAGCCAGCGAGCGATCAACGTTACTGCTGCATAAATGCAAGATCAGATTCACCATGATGCTGCTGCCCACGGGCCCATAAGATACCCCGGCATGCTCGTCGACAGATCCCACACATGGAAACAACACAAGTGTGCAACATCTGACAAGCGAATCAATCAACAAGCAACCATCAACCGCTTAGCGAGTGACATAGGTGCCAAATCAACTGGCCGGTCTAGGCTATCACAGGTCCACCAGCAAAGCTATGTTGCTCCAAGCCACATTTTCTCTTGCACTCCTCGAATCCCTCCTGACTGCCAGTGCCTACAGCGGGGATCTGCTGCGCTGTCGCTGTCCAATTGCCGTCGTCCAAGTTGCTGAATGGCATCACTTGCATGCCGATATTCTTGGGCATCATGAAAAATGCCTGGGCGATGTTCAGTGTCCCCGGATCGGCGTCATCCAGGAAGGAGTAGAGTTGGTTGTTTCCGCAGCCTAAGATCCAGTCAGCCAAGCTTGATTTGAACCCAACCAAATCAGTGCCTACCCATATTGTACATCGAGTGCACGCTTGCAGCCGGGAAAATGGTCATCATCCCTGGCGAAAGCACCTGCTCCACAAGCCGACCTCCATTCTCCTGCACCATGTACGTGTGCGTGCTCCCGCTGACCGCGACGACAAGGTTATTCGCCCGATGGACGTGCGGGGCGAGCATGGCGCAGGGCCCTAGATTGAGCTGGGCCACCGTGGCTCGCGCCGTGGAAAGAACGGGCCAGGTTGCGGCGTTGGCATTGCACACGCTGCCTGGTTTCCAAGAGTACATTGGATTGGCGGAGAAGTTGTAGAGCAGCTGTTGATCCGAGAGCAAGTTCAGTCGGTCGTACATGGTTGCCGCTGCCTTGAGCTTTGCAACCAGATTTGGATCAGCTGTTTGGTCGACGGCCAGGATCGGCAACGGGGTAGTGAAAAGGAAAACCGTCGTCGCGAGGCCCACGCATGCTGAGAGAAGCATCGCGGGTCGTTTGCTGCGGAGAAAGGTCTGGCTTAAGTTGAAGATGACTATTGTCGCAAGAGTTGCCGCCACAAGCAGGAATGGATCAAGGTAGTTGTTGACAATGATTAATGTTCTCGAAATCTGCCGAACTGCCTTGATCCAGTGCTTGTAGTCCGGCGCGGGCGAGCAGAACCAGGAGACTGGGTCTGAAAATAACACAGACATGGGTTGATGCGTCGTTCTTATCTTTCTATTCTTCTCCCAATCTTCCCGTGACTCCAGCGACTTGGTTCCGTTCGCTCGTGGCCCGGAGGATGGCGACTCCGAAGAGCTGGAGACCAGCTCGCGCACACGAAGGTGGAAACCTCGAGGCGTTTTCTGGGCAGGTGGTGAATGTCCACGAGATTTCATTGGGCGATCTGCCTCCTTCGTCCTCTCTGAGCAAGTCAATTCATTCGATACCGATTTCTAGACTCGCTTCCGTTCTTGTGCCCGACCACGATAGAGTGTAACGACGGATCCTATCCACGACGAGCGGGCAATCATCGTCCTAAACAACCCCTTCCGGCGAGCCCCGTTAAAAAGCGATAGAGCCATAGACTGAGGGCGTTCGGCGAGGTAGGGTGAGATTGCCGGGTAATGGCATGAGTTTGGAATCATGCTCACGGGCTGATAGCGTGGGAACCGGAGGTGGCGACGACAAGGCAGAGGCTCTGCTGCAGTCTCTGGTCGTGATACCTATGTTAGAGACTGGTTGGAGCAAGGTATTTGGGTATCCCTCACGAGACCAGCCCGTCACCAGAGAAAGTCATGAAACTGCCAATACTCGGTTCCCAAGTCGCTGGATCAAAGAAGCCCCCGAGCGGTAGCGATCACGCGAAGCTCGACGGAGGTCCCAGAGAGTATTCGAGATTTTAAATCGGTTCCCAGCTTTCTCGAATACAAACTGCCGAAATTGATGAAACGATTGCATCGCACGACTAACACAGTGACTCGGCGTTGTACACCTGATTCAAGTCAAGAGCCTTGATTTCTTGTGGAGCGATGACCTGTTCGATAAAACCCGCATTTGAGGGCAAGTCTCATCTTTCTGTGCTAACACCTGAGTATTCATTGTGAAAGCAAGGTTGGTGGCAGCCTGGGAGAGGGATTGAGACCCTCAGGAGCGGTGAACCTGCCATTTGCTCTGGCAGGTACCTCAATTGACTCATGAACGTGAACATGCCCAACTGGACGTGTTCCTGTTGTGCTTACAACTTTGCACGACCATGCCGCCACTGTAGGGAATCCTACCTCGAGATAGTGGTAGGCTTGTCAGGTGTCTGTGACACGAACAGATCTCTGCCCTACTGACCAGAAAACCTTCTAGAAAAGACTAGCAGATCCCGGTCTGGGACAACGGTAATTGTCATGCATCTTGACAGCTGCACCCAAGATGCTGGGGCCGAACGGGTGAGTGCAGCAACAGGCGAGGATGGATTTGTCCCAGTGTTGTTGCTTCTGCTACCAGTGTCGCAGTACGCCTGGATTCATTTTCACTACGCTCGTATAAAGACGTTGATCCGCGCTGTCAATGATGCTTGATCTGGCACATGGCAGAGCGTCGTTGACATGAATCTGCAGCTTTGAGACAATGGCGCATGTCTAAAGAGAGTGGCTTATGCAAACGAGAAAGCTAGTCTGTGTCAGAGTGAGATGTCGATGCTTGAACTGGCAAGAAGCTACTGTGTATGGTCGTGGGAGGGGTGGCTCTATCCAGGCAACGTGCTGATCACGTGCTCCGAGAGTTCGCTGGAGCCCGGACCTTTGCACCATCGATTTGTACTGTGTACTGTGTAGGCGAGACGTGTCGACTAACGGCCGTTGTGGTGAATTTGGGACGTGGACAGTTTTCTCATTGGAAAACGAGTCGACCTCTTCCATATCTAACCATTGGTAATCGCTCCGATGAGGCTGAAAGCGGCTGGCGAACTGACAGGGAGGCATCCCACTAATTAGGCATTAAGACTGTCACCCAGGAGTACCGAGTTAGGCCGTACTAAGCCCGAGAGCTGAGATGAGGGCCAACAAGGGTAGGCATGACTCTCCCCGCAAGGAACGATAGGCTCTCGGTTGGCCGCAGCGTACCGTTGATAACGCGAGTCTGGCCTATGGAAGTGCGAAAGGGTTCGAGTAGGGCTGCGAATAATTACCTCGATGGAAATTACGTGTACGTGCTGCCTCGATGGTCAACATGCAGTTATTGGTAGTATTGTTGTTGTCCTCACACGACGCGAGATGGTGTCGGTAAACGCCTTCCAGACGCAGGTCAACTCGTTCAGTAACCACCGGCGCAGCGCGGCATCAACGAACAAGCAGCAGCTCTAACTGCCTAACCAGAAAGATCCAGGCACAGGTTTTCGGTGGGTTTGGCCCTGGAGCCAACGGGTTCTATCCAGCAGGTGGAGTCCCCGTAACAATCAGGGGTAAGGGCGAAGAGCACGAGAAGCTTCCACATGCTCGATGCTGAGTGGCTTGGGGCTCACTAATGATTTTTGGCGCGTGTCATCACCAGCAGTGTGTGCATTGAATCTCTGCGCCGTGTCTCTGTGGCTTCCCCTTGGAATGGGTTTCGATGGGTCCCCGCGAGTCGTGGCTCTGAAAGTCTATCCTGCGCGAGGGACTGCCTGGCTCGGTCACATCGGGATCTAGAGTCGCCGTCAGGGATGAATTCAACACAACGGAGGGTTCGACGACTGCAGACGTCGCTTCCTTTTGTACACGCCTTCGAGTGAGTCTTGCGCGAGCTGGCTCGGACACCAAAGACATCGCTCCGGTTTCATACCTGCTGCGTACCTTGCTCCATCTCACACCCGGCCACCTGGCTCCCCTGCAGGCAATCAACCTGTCTCCATACCCTTCACCTCCTCGTCATTGGCGAACCGCCCAATTGTTTGCATCTGTCAACTCACCCAACCCCTCGATCAATGCTCGCGCGCAGAACCTTACCCAGACCTCGACAAACCTGTACCCCTTGACTACAGCTCATCGACTCGGACTTTTGCGATCTTTGTCGCTCTAACCGCTATACTATATTCTCGAGACACTAGATCCTTCGCGAATCCCTCATCACACCGCCCCCCTCCTCGCTTGACTGCGCAGCAGGCCTCAACTGTCGCAAAATCACCTCCTTCTCCGTGGTCACTCAGTTGGGTGCAAAATCAATCGCGTACTCTTTGATGGGAGCGACTGGGCAAGGACATAAAATTTGGTGACCCGGGTGATAACCATTTCATGGCTGAGTGAGCACCGCCATGTTCTGGTCCAGAGCGAAATCCAGGATTCCGGGCTTTTCGAAACAGGTTCACGATCTGCGCCTCTCACACACGTCGGGCTTATGAACTTGTTGAGCCTTTGCTCCAAATCATCTTGGATCTCGCCTTTGAGGCGATTCTTGTTGTCGAGTACGGGAACCACGCGAACGTATCCACGAGCGCACACGAACTCCTCCACGGCGCTTGCGTTCTAAACCAGGCCAAGTTTGAATATTGACCAGTATCTTCCTGATTCGCCCGTCGCCTTTTGAACTGCAGACAAAGACACTTCCAGCTGCAGGTACAGCACTCGGACAAGCATAAGCGGCACAGCCACTGCATCTGCAGTGTGGCCTTCCTGGCCCCTAACGGCTGCACGTCGACGCCGATCCCTCCTTGTCCCCCTCCCTCGATCTTCATGCACTAGCATCATCCTGGCGCCTGATCGCTCGTGATTGTCTGTCATTCAGACAGCTTGTCAAAGCCATGGAGTCGTCTGCACCCAGAAGAGCTTCACGGTCTAACTCGACTTCATCGCCAGTACAGACAGCCAGAAAACAACTGACTGCTCCCGTCTCGAGACTTACCGATCCTCGGAATGCTCACCTGCGAGTGAGGCCTAGAAGCCCAGATACATCGTTTCCACCCACGAGCCGATTCCGATATGATAGAAGTCGGTCAAGAAGTCGGCCAGAAAATACCCTGAGCCCCAACCTCAACATCAACCGCTGGTCTCATTCCACGTCGTCGAGTGTATCTGGTATCGAATCCGAGACCATGCGGGCACGTGCGAACATCTCTTCCCGACGCATGAGCGTGGGCCCTTCACTGGTAACTTCCGCCACGCCTGCAAAGAACATGCACACCAGGAGGTCCTCGAGTCAAAGTCCACAAGTGTCGCAGGGCTCGAACTCAGCGTTCCTGCAAGTGGAGCGAGCCCATGCGCCGCGAGACATCAGCCCTGCTGGAGTATCTCCTCGTATCACCCCGACATCGATGTTTAACCCGACTGCTGGTGAATATTTTGGTGAGACGTGGCAAAGTCGCAAACCCGGGAAGAATGGTGATGCTGTGGCGGTCTCTGTACACTATATGAAAGCAGGCACACAGTTCGCCGCGAGATCAGCGGAAAACATTACAACGCCGTACATGACCCAGGTCTCGCGACCCGCCACGCGTGAAAGAAGGCCTGAGACAGCCGTTCAAGAAGCGTCCTCGTTGGATCCTCCTTCTGCGGCTAACGCGCCCACGCGGGGAAGGAGTCACAGGAGTCCGACCCAGAAGACTATGCTCTCCAAAGCATTGGCGGTCGCGAACAATGCAGTATTGCTAGACAATGCTCAGAATATTGAGGGCGCCATTGAAGCATACGCTGAAGCATGCGACCTGCTGCAACAAGTCCTGATACGGAGTTCCATCTTGGATGATCGGAAAAGACTGTCAGATATCAGAAATGCCTACTCGAAGAGGATTGCTGATCTTCACGACCTTGATGATTCCTTCTCAGAGCTGATGGAGAAAGCATTACCTGACGATCCTCCATTTGACGAAACGAACCATTCCTTCTTCGCCTCTCATGACTCGGATCTGAACACCGCTGAGGTGCTGGAATCCGTGCAGATACCTCCTAGGTTGGATTCCATTAAGATACCTCCGAGGCAGGAATCCCTGTTGCCAGAAATATTCGGCGGAGACTCATACACCAGTGATACCGGTCGAAAAAGGCCACACATTCCCAGTCTGACTTCGCCCATGGATTCACAATACATGCCGCCACCTCTTTCACCCCGTAGGCCTGCCTCTCCAGCCTCGGATCGCGACACCGACACATCGCTTGGTCTCGTGGGACCCTCTGAATCTGCCAAGACGATATCTCATTCCCGAGAAGACAGCACCGAATCTATTTCGTGGCTCGATACTGTCGAGGACGGTGAATCTTCAACGTCGCGGTCCTCACGGTTGTCGTCGGTTGATTACGGCATCCATGACAGTCACAATCTTGATGAATTCGAAGCAGAGTTCGATGCGGCTCTCGATGCCGCTGTCGATGCTGCCTATGATGACGATCTGACCGAAGAGCCTACCCCCAGACCTGACAGGATTGGGCAAGAGTTCCATGAGGAACTCAGCAGTCCTATACCTCCGCTGGAATCTGCATTCAAGGATCATTCCACGCAGTCATCTGAGTTCGAGTTGACCAGAGAGTATGACGAGGGAGACTCGTCAGACGAAGAAGAGAGACTACTGGAGGAGATGACGAAGGGTTTCGTCTTCGACGACTTCTCATTCGACAACAAATCGAAATCGGCGTTACCCCGACAGTCAGATTCAAGCACGTTTTCGGGCAGGACATGGACAAGCTCGCTCCCGTCAACCACTGCGACGAATAATACCGCCCTGAGTACTCTGGCCGAGTCAAATGAAGCCCCAGCAGAAATCTCTCCTCGACCGGTTCCTCCAGCAAAAGACACTCCTCCCTTGTCATCACCGCCTAAGGCGGCACTCCCTCGACCCCCTTCTACGGTGCCACCGACAAAGGAAGGCAGCAGGCCGATCAGTCCAGAAAAGTATGGTGGTCTAAACATTCGGGAGCGACGATTTTCTGGCCGCACCGGAGAACAACTTAAGATTGAGACGTTCGCCCGAGGCAACTCTTCCACCTTGCCGAAGCCGCTCGTGGCACCTCCATCTGTGCCGGAACTGGAGATTCCTTCTCAGCAGTCCAAAGCCCCGTTTACTGCACCGCTCGAGCCCACATTGCCAGCCATCACGCCGCTCACCCCCCTGGCCTCGATGCCTTCCAACGACTCCATCCAAAGTGAGTCGCCCGCCACTCCAGCCTTGACACAGGGAGGTTCTCAAGGCAGTATCGATGACTCTGCGGCCATGCCGCCATCACCAGCAAAACTAGGCAAGATGCTACCTCCACCCACAGTGGTTAAGAAGAACCTGTCCTCGTCGAGCTTGAGAGTGAGGAATCTATCAGTAGCAACCACTGAAACGAATGGCGAGTCTCCAATCACCCCGCTGAGTGCAAGCTTTGGTACAGAGGCGAAAAAGATCGCCCCGCCTTTACCGTCAGCTGCCTTACCCACACCTTCCACAGCCGGCTTTGGTCCGCATCTGTTGCAGAGTGGTGGAATGTACTTGTTCGATGACCTCGTCGGACGGCCCAGCTCACCCACCACACCTCGAAGTCCGGATGCACCAGGATTATCTGCTCCACAACCCCTCGAAGCTTGTCCAGAATCTTTCCTGATCCGTCCGTTCTGGCTGATGCGATGTTTATATCAGACCCTTGCTCACCCTAGTGGTGGCTACGTTACCACCAAGCTTTTCATCCCTCGAGACATCTGGCGGGTGAGGAACGTCAAGCTCAAGGCTCTTGAGGACAAAGTGGCGCAGTGTGACCTGTTGACAGCGGCTCTGCTGAAGCTCGCCAAGGTTGACACTTTTGACGCGGATGCGGTACTTGAAGAATTGCAATCATTCGAGGCTGTACTGGATCAGGTTCGAAGTACGTTGCAGAAGAAGATTAGCAGTGACGTGGGCTTCTCCAGTTCTTCGAGCCTGTTCAAATCGGCCGGCGAAGACCTTGAAGCTGGGAAATCCGGCAATGCTGCTGCCAAGTCTATTGCGTCTAGTTGGCGCAAACTTCGGTCCAAGTCGAGTGCTCCTGCAATGGGCAATCAGAAGGATGCTTGGGCACAAGGCCCGACGATGGCTTCCCTGCCAATGACCTCGTCCTCTTCCGTCGCGTCGTCTCGGTCGCATACGAACCGCAAGATTGCGCCACCACCCACCCCGACGGAGTTGACAAACGTCCCCGCTATCCATGCCGCATATATGTCTAGCCTGGCACGTCTCTTTGACGCGGCACAAGTGCTGGACGGAATTGCTCGTCAAGTGGAAGATCCTGGCTTGAAATGTAGCAACAAGACCCAGGTTGGGTTGGAGCTGGGTGTCAAAAACGCCGCGGAATTTTTCGCGTTCTTCGTGATTCGGTTTGTGATGGCGGATCTGATGCTGCTGGTCGATAAGTTTCTCAAAAGGGGGAGCGAATGGGTATTGACCTGATGTGGCTGGGACATGATGCGTGGGACGTCATCCACGATGATATACATTGAGATGTATGATTGTACGTTGCCTTGGAGCGGCATTAGCGGCGGTTGCGGCGATTTACTTTGTTCCTCGAGATGCTCGAGCATCCAGAGCAGCTCTCTTGTGATGCTACCATGTTTTCTGCAAGTTGCCATACCTCTTAGCGAGCTGTAGGCTTGGGCAGTTTGATGTCCCAAAGGATAGAGAGAATATTATTGAAGTACAGTAGACGCGGGTATGCCATCACTAATCGATCAATGAGGCATACGGCGCCATCTTCGTGACGATGCACGAGACCTCTGTCGGATGTGAGGCCCATTCAAGATGCTGCTGTACAAATGGGAAGCGCTTAGATGAGTTCAAGCATTCTTTGCCATCGAGTAGTCAATGCCTTTGATGTCGAAGCAGAGAACAAGCAGAGGAATTGAGGAAAAGTCAGTGTTGGTGAGGCTGGAGCCGTTCTCGTTCCTCGTAGCAATCGGCTTGACAGAGTCGTGTGCTGGAGGAGCCAGAGGGCAATGATTCTCTAAGAGGCAGCCGGCAACCTGTACATTGTTTTGCGAAGGGTTCTCCGCTGGGGCTGAGACTGAATCGGGCACGGATTGTAAAGGCGAATGCTCACGGGTCCAGGTCATGCAGACTCCGGAGGACTGTGGTAGGAGCACCCAAGAGTTCCCGCTTGTCTCCGTCATTGCAACAACTCCTCCTTGATCGACTCTTTCCACGAGTTTCGGCGCTAATAGATTTGGGCTCGCGCGTTGGCTACCATTCCTGGTACCATTAAACCATGGTGGTGCGTTGCCTGGAAGCCACGTACGCAGGACGCGTACCGACGCGATGGTGCACGCCCTCTGAGCCCTTCTCAGCAAAAGACATGGCCGTAGAGCTCGGGGAAAAGATCTCTCAGAACATCATCTACCTCTGCATGTTCTGGACTTCCCCAGTCCCAGTTCATACCCTCATGCTTTTGGACGTCCCAGGAGGACCATGTAGGTGGATCTAACTTGTCACAACTGATGCTGTCCGTCCTTGCAGCATTGTCGCTTCCTGCCTGTAGCAATTCGGGCGCTTGACTTCCATCAATTTCGCTCTCAATAGCATTTATAATTGCCGTCGACATCTCATGTGGAGATAGGCCTTGGATGCGACGGAAGACCCTGAGCAGATGCCATTTGCTGAGCCCGACTTGGCGGGAGAGATTCCCCAGACTGATCTTTTGACCCCGTGAAGCATGCTCCTCCACCAGAAACACGGCACGCCGAATCTTGCCGGACAAAGGGTCCTCCTGCTGGGCCGCAAGCAATTCTGGTTTGCACCGTTTACACGCCCGGTAGCCTGCTTCTTTCGCAAGTGGACCGCTGTCGAAGAAGAGGATATTTGCTCGCCGTGCCAATCGAGCTTTACAGTCGGGGCGGCAGTAGATCCCTGTTGTTTTGACGGCGTAGACGAAAGCGCCCGCAGCGTTGGGGTTCCGCGAGACAATTGCAGACCATCGCTGCTGAGGGTTCGAAAAGACAGTCATGGTGACCTTCTTGTTTATCCTGGTGGGCGACATCGTAGGCGTCCATCTTGGAATGCGTCAAGGATGAATGCCTTTTATGTTCCCATTGGTGGCGAAGGCGTGAAAGAGCTGTCGGTTGGTCACATGGATGGCCACAAGGTCTTCGTTCAGCCTGCCCGCGGAGGAAATCGCCTCCACCTCGGCGGTCGAGGGGCGGTCAGAGATGGCAATCTTGATGGCAATCTTGACAGAATGACTCGTTCTACAATGGAACGCGCAGAGAGCCTGGGGATCGGTCACATTCAATGCAATTGCTGATGTAGCCTCACCGCGCAGGAGCGCATCTGGATTGCCATCGCTGGCTGAGACGTCGTCTTCCAACAACGAAGATAGTAAGACTTATTATTAGTTCTTGAAGTAACTCAGCGAAGGGAATTGCCGCAGCAGCGAAAATGGGTCTGCGAATGTTTTCCTCGGAGGACAGAGGCACAGCGGTTTGTTAGGTGGTAGCCTTAATAAAACGGTTGCTATCAAACTGACCAATCATCGGGGATCCTGGTAGCTTGAGGAGAATATATGTGGGCTCAAATGACAGTTACGGAGTCATCAAGCGAAAGGGGACTCCGATGGGATTCTCAGGTATATAACGACGACTGTGACCGTACTCATAGGACTCGTGCAGAGAGACTCAAGCCACCATTTCCTCAGACGAACCTTCAGCTGCGCAACAATCACAACCGACCGCACGTCTAGAAGAATGGCTCATCAAGAAATCTCGCCAGCCGTCCTCTACTTGGGGCACCCCGGTGGTGTTGATCAGCAGTACGAATCCAGATGGCAGCACATACCTGGGTTCGATGAGCCTTGCCTGATGGCTGGGTTCAGGGGCCGTTCTGGGTCTCGACGCCTCTTAGCAGACCACACAGAACATGCTACGCACGAAGCAGTGTGTGCTCAATCTTGCATAGGACAATATAGCTGCCAATGTCAACGCCATAGCCAGGACCACTGGCACGGATCCCGTCCCGGAATCGAAGCAGGGAAGGCGTTATACGTTCGTCAAAGACAAGTTCAAACGAGCAGGCTTGACGCCGCTTCCCTCCCAAAAGGTCACGCCGTCAGGCGTCAAGGAGTGTCCTGTGGTCATGGAAGCTGAAGTGATCGCCGTCCACGACATGTTCGGTGGAGGGGGTTGCAGGGGCTGGCCGTTGCGGTTTGAAGTCAGGATTCTGCTGCTCAGCATTCATCAAGAACTGAGGCTCAACGGGCATCGCAACCGCGTGGATGCAGACAAATGGAAGCCAATGATCATGATGTTCTCTGACCTTTATGGCTTGAGAGACGGGAAGTTGGAACCTTCGAGATTGGCTGAGATCGAGGAGGAGGAGATGTACAGGCCGTTGATGGACACGAAGGGCGAACGGGAGGAGGAGTCGTATAATGGCGTTGCTGAACATGTCGTGGGGTTAACTGCCTCGCAGCAGGAGAACGACGGAGATATGACGGAGGGTACTGTCAAGTTGTTGGAGCAGGTTGGCGAAATGATATAGACGTCTAGACTAAGGCTTGCACAGCACCATCACATTTAGGCATACATGCTTGCAAGGCTTTCTGTCTCACTTTTCAATTGCAAAGCGAAATGATCCGACGAAGAGTTGTCCTGCGGCGCGAGCCTGCGCCACATTGGACTCGAGGTTGACACCGTAGAACACTGCGCTAAGCAGAAGAGATCGCATGCTGAAGAATGGTCCCGATCCCACGTTCCACTGAGTACTCGCCTGCCATGATGTCCGGGTGGCTTTTATCGGGTTTTGGTTTCGTCGGATGAACGATCCTTGAAGGCCTCTGATGGAAATGGACCAGTCTGTCCTACCAGGTTGTCCAGGTGGCTCGTGAGGAGCAAGAACAGGGATGCAATTACTAATAATGAGACGCAGGATTTGTAGAAGCTCCTGTCGCTCCGTCAAAGTCCTTTAATATCCCGTGTGACGATTCCTGCAAGGCAACAGTCGGCTAGATGAATTTTCGCCAACATCTTGCGCAGTCTCCTTCTCCTACTTCCCATCGTGCTCTTATGGGCGAGGAAAGGTGAGCCTGCCATCTTCCAATTTCCTCGTTCATACCTGTGAACGTAGCAAGGCTGCAGCAGTAGCACGTTGGAGCTCGCAGAGTATTTATGTATCCGATTGTTGTGTTTGTGGCGTCTTCTTTGCGGCGAGTCGGTGATTTCCGACGTTCGCGCCAGCGCTAAATATCTCGTCGGTACCTCGTGGTTAGCCATCCATGCCTTTTACAGTTGCCAGCACGTTCACTGTTCCTCACTCAACTCCTGATCTTCGCTCCTCACACTTCAACGAGTCGCCCAACCATGGCACAAAGGCCACCCCGGCGTGGGGCAGTGTGTGCCTCTCTGCATCTCCCACGCAGATGATACCTCCACCACCATCGTCGGTCTTCTCAGATCCATCGCGCCAGCATACCTGCAAACGAAACACTGTTCGGCTACATCCGTAGTGGCCGCCATCCCGGACTCAGGTTCTGGTCCTTCAAGTGGGCGCGCAAGAGACCGAGCCGTGTCCTCTCACACGAGCCACAATGAAGTCGCTAGGAGCGATGTCACTTCCTTCACACTGACCTATGATATGAGATGGTGAGCATGGTATGACCAGGCGCAGTTGAAGCAACGGCTGAGTCTAATGTCTCGGCAAGCTGTATGAAGAGGGGTTGCCAGAGGGCGATGGCTGCAGAGACATCACAGGGCATTGGGTTCTCTATGGTGGGGATATCTTTGTCTCGTTGGCAATACAACTATGAGGTCGGAGAAATCACAACCAAGAGGAGCTGTCATCATGCTTTACCAACCTTCAGATGCTGTCAACCCCTCAACGAAACGGACACCCTCCGGCCACTTGACCGGGACGGACGAGAAGATGGCAAGCCCTCGCCGCCGATTAGACGTGCAGTCTGAGGGTAATGCTCCCCAACGCTAGGGCTGCCGATCGAGCCAGCTCCCTTGAAATCGCGGACCTTCAGCACAACTGCCTCTTGCTCTCTACTGGCATCAAGCAATGAGCGCCAAAGCCCCGTTAGGCGATTTTGTCATCCTCCAACGATATCTGGGGAGCTACCACTACCTGAAGTTCAAAACCCGGAGATGGTCCAACAAGCAAGCGTCAAAAGGCCATACCAACTCACAACACGACCCAATGGTTCAGCTGATGCTCTTGGTCTCGCAAATACGAACCCTCGACCAGTAACTGTTTGATCAAGATGCTCCGAGATCTCAGCTCGCCTATCACGAGAGACGCGGGGTAGCCAATTCAGCTGCAAGCTCCTGGAGCACGTTTAACAAGCCACTCGTCTTGTGCCTGCTCGCCATCCTAGCTCTGTCATATTTCGCCTTGCGAGCGCTGTTGTCGTATCTGGGAGAGAAGCAGGACAATATGCTCGAAGTATACTGTGATCCTTGCACCGTCACAGCCACAAAGTGTTGGCTGGCTTGGACATCTTGGGCTACCCCTATCATTTCAACAAAGTGCATTACTTCACTGCGCAACAAGAGTCCCGAATGTCTCAAGATCAATCCTCATGGCACGGTGCCCGCAGCCGTAGATGGCGACTTGAAGATTACGGAGAGCAACGCAATTCTCCAGTATGCGACAGATGACAGTGGTTCGATTACCCGAGGGATTCAAAGCAGCACTGTACCATTAACCGATGGCTGCTCTGGGAGACGTCGGTGTGGTTTCCCAGCTGCTGCGTCTACTTGGTCGAGTTCGTCGTCAAGCCACTCCTGCAGGCCGAGCCTTACCAGTCCGTCATCGACGGCGAAGCTCCCAAATGGCACAAACATGCCGGAATCCTCGACGAACAACTGTCGAAGACAAAGTGGCTCCCGGGTGATAGTCTAACCATCGCTGATATCGCCATTGCTGCGCCGATGTACCTGTATGAAGCTCAACGACTTCCACTCGATAAATATCCCAATCTGAATCGCTGGATGACGGATCAGATTGAGAAGATTCTTGAGTGGCAGAAGACTTAAGAGGCCGTCAACAAGGCATTGCAGCAAGGTAAGGCCGCTAGCACCAACGCCACGGCCGGAACTGTCCGCGCTAATTTCATCTACACGAAGGACGTTGAGAAGCGGACCGAACTCTACTTATACGGCACCGACGCTGCTGAGGATATCCATGAGCCTGGAGACGATCCACACGAGATGGAAGTCAAGGACGGCTGGTATCGAGCTGATTCATTTTCCATTGACAGGGAAGCTTCTCTTTGCACCATTTCAAGACTGAGTTTACCGACTGGGAGAACGAGGACGTGGTCAGAGAGCAGTTATACCCTGAGATGGTCGAATTCTTGAAAAGCTCAACTGGCGCAAAACGCGTCCTTGTGTTTGACCATAGCATCCGAACCAAGAAGAACGAAGCGAAGAAGCTTACCCAGGAAACGAACACTTCTCAACGAGCTCCTGTGATGTTGGTGCACTGTGATTACACTGAGGAGTCCGGTCCTCTTCGAGTACGCCAGCTTTTGAAAGATGAGGCCGAGGATCTTCTCTCACGCTGCGTTGCATTCTTCAACGTCTGGAAGCCTGTCAAGACTGTCGAAGAACGACTACTGGCAATGTTCGACGTCACCTCTTCTCCAAAGGACGACTTCTTCAAGCTTTATCTGCACTACATGAACCGTGTTGGCGAGAACTACCTGTTGAAATACTCGCCGGATCACAAGTGGTGGTATTTTCCGCGCATGGCCCCGGAGCAAGTCATTGTTCTCAAGACATACGGGTCCGAAACCGATGGTCGCGCTAGGTTTGTGGGGCATAGTGCGTTTAAAGATCCAGCGTCGTCGCCGAATGCTCCACCACGAGAGAGTATTGAGATCCGGACAATGGCTTTCTTCTGACGTACCGCAACTTCCTGGCAGTCATTGAAATCCGATGCACGACAGAATAGTGCATAATCCCTACACTCTATCAATTACCACACGGTCTTTATTTCTTTTTCTCCTTGGATTGCAGCCTCCTTGGCACTTCTAGCCCTCGTGCCGTCCAATTGCAGGACCGCGAACCTCGGTTGTTTGGTACGGTTGGCTTCGAGTCTTTGTGATCTAGATTCACAGACTTGGGTTTCCTCAAAGCTTAGTGGCGGGGTCGGTCTCGCATGTGAAACCTCACGCTCGACATGTTAAGGGAGAATCACCATTGGCAGCCAATGCATGGCTGTCAAAACGGGATGCTCGGCTCTCTCCACACGTTGGGGTAAACGGGTCCGGGGTAGACCTGCACAGTGACAGCCGAGACAGCCTCGTGAAAGAGCTGGTGGCTGTGACCTCCACATTCCGAGCAAATATAAAGATTCAATTTCATCGTACTCTCTGCGGTGGACCCGAAAACAGAGCCGCGACTCTAGCTCATCAATCCGCCTGTCCATGATGTCGACGTCTGCAACTTCACCGTCCACCCCACCGGTGTACCCTGCCGCGTACTCTGGAATACCAGAAAGGCTGTTGCACAAGGCCGTGCGGGAGAAGTCAAGACTATGGGAGAATCAGTCGAAAGAGTTTCAGACTCCTAGGAAGAGAGGATTAGCTGTTCCTGCCGGCATTGGCCGTACGGAGTTCGTGAAGGCTCTCGACGAATTGTCGCAGAGTCTTGGGAAAGACCATGTCGTGCTGAATGATCAGCCTCTTGAAGACGGGTGGTATATGGAACATCCCAACACGCACGACGCCTTCATGATTATGGATGAAGAAGAGACAGTCTCATCTGCATGTGTCTATCCTGGGAGCGTTCCCGAGGTCCAACTCGTCGTTGCGTGGGCAAACAAGCACCTCGTTCCTCTTTACCCTATTTCGATGGGAAGAAACTGTACGCACAGCCTCTGCCGTTGACAGATGATGCATTGACTTCCTGAGCAGTGGGCTACGGTGGCGCGGCCCCACGAGTCCGCGGGTCAGTCATTGTCGACATGGGCAAGCGGATGAACAAGATCTTGGACATCAATCCCGATGATTGTACCTGCTTGGTCGAGCCAGGGGTCTCATTCTACGCGTTGTACGAAGAAATCCAGAAACGAGGCTACAAGATCTGGGTGGACACACCTGATCTCGGTGGTGGCTCAATCATTGGCAACACGCTGGAGCACGGAGTCGGCTACACGCCCTACGGAGATCATTGGGGTGCTCATTCAGGTCTGGAGGTCGTCTTACCCACAGGCGAATTGTTTCGAACCGGGATGGGAGCTCTACCTGGTAGTGATGCGTGGCAGACCTTTGTGAGTTGTGCCTCGCCTCCAACGCTATGCAACAAAAGGGACACCGTCCTCGCCCTGCCTCAGTCCACACTTCTTCTTTCACCAGTACAGATACTAACGGTCATATAGCCCTATGGGTTCGGGCCGGTCTCGGAGTATGTTGCTTCCCCTGAGTCCTTTCGTGTGCTGAAATAGCTGCGTAGCGGAATCTTCTCTCAGTCAAATTTTGGCATCGTCACCAAGATGGGAATGGCATTGATGCCTGATCCCGGTGGTTGCGAGACCTTTGTAAGTGTCTGATTACCTGGGCGTCCACTGAGAGCTGATTGAGATAGCTGTACACCTTTCAACACGAAGACGACCTGCTTCTATTGGTATGTCTAATGACTGAAGCCAGACTCCTGCTGATTGTCGGAAGGTTGACACTGTGCGGCCATTGAGAATCGCGAATATCCTTGAGAATGTGGCGCAGATCAGACACGCGACCATCGAAATAGCTGTATCTGGGAAACGTCGCACAGAATTCTACGACGGTACTGGACCGATACCTGCGGAAGTCCTCCAGGGCCATCTTGAGAAGACACCTATTGGCAGATGTAACTGGGTCTACTACGGCACGCAATATGGCCCGGAGAAAATTCGCAAGTACAAATTGGATATCATCCACCAGGAGTTCATGAAGATCCCCGGCGCGAAGAGGATTGATCCGCAATCCCTGCCCAAAGACCACTACTTCTGGTCACGAGCCAAGATCGCGGGCGGCCAGCCGGACTTCGAAGAGCTTTCTTATCTCAACTGGGTGCCAAATGGTGGACATCTGGGCTTCAGTCCCGTGTCGCCGACTCGAGGGTCGGATGTCCTCAAATTGTGGAAGATAGCCAAGGAGAGACACGATCAGTACGGTATTGACCTCTTCATGACCTTCTGCGTCGGTCTGAGGGAGCTGCACATGATCAATCTTGTTGTCTACGACCGTGGAAGTCCCGAACGGAGAAAGGCTGTTGAGAAATGCATGCGTTCCATGATCGATGATGCGGCAAAATCGGGGTACGGAGAATACCGGACGCATTTGCTCTTCCAGGACCAAGTCGCTCGGACATACAACTGGAACGACAACGCTCTCATGAAGTTCAACGAGAAGTTAAAGGACGCTCTTGACCCGAATGGCATTCTTGCTCCTGGAAGATGTGGTATCTGGCCAGAGCGGTATCGTGGCAGAGGCTGGGAGATTGGAAAGGATGGGAGGGAGACTTCAGAAGGACAAGGAGTCCGACCTCCGGCAGGCAGTACGAGATTGTGAAAAAGTCGCCGTGGATCGGATTGAAGGTCGTATTCCTTGCATCAGGCTGCAGTACAGAGCACTAGATTGACCGTAGCTGGTTGGTATCAAGAAGTGTTCTGAGCATACTTGGTGCCTGCTAAACTGGATTGCAAGCCATTGTCCTGAGGCCAACGGTGCTCCCGCCAACACACATCACGATATGAACGCTCCTTGACCATCTGATTGTATGCGGCAGCTCTTCCGTGCTCCTTACGATCACCCTAAGATTCGCCTATGACACCGCATGCTGTTCGCTGCTTTCCCTACATCACTTGACGAGGGAACGTGACCCAAAGCACCACCTCCTTTGCCCCTCAGAGAGTTATGGCTGTCTTGCTGTTGGACACCTGACTTCGGTCCGCTTTTCCCTTACCGATGGGAGGATCGGGTGCGTGAAATTACAGTTGAAAGAGGATCTTGAGCGGGTGATTGCGCGGCGGAGAAAGCAGGGTTAACCTGTCCAATTGCGAGGGCTCGCGATTGCGGCATATGCCTCCTGAAGGAAGGATCTGGCCTTTGACTCCCTCAGACGCCGTACTCATCAGCGAGCTCGATCCAAGCATCCACTATTTTGTCCACGTCGCTCTTTTTGATGGGAATCCGATGCGGGCCATCCCATTCAATCAGAGTTGTCGTCCCCGGAGCACAGTAGTTCCCCACCAGCTTCCGATGGAGATGGAGACCTTCATCCTTCAGCCCGTGCACATGTAGCGTCGGGATCCGCAGTTTCATGTCCGGTCTCTCAAGGATACTGTCAGTATCCGCGGCATCAGGAAGCCCTCCGGCCGATTGCATCCATGGGAACTCCTCTGCCTCCTCACTCAAGCTAACTAGCGGCGCTCTTCCGGCGAGGATGACGGCGTACTTCCAGGGGCCGTCCTTGCCGCTGACCTGCTGCTCGTAAAGCATGCTTGCTGCCAGTTTCGCGCCCTGGCTAAATCCCAGCGTTGCCACCCACTCCCCCGTGCCCTCGTCACTTTCCATACATCGCTCAACGGTGTACTCAAGCTCATATTGGCATGCGCCTGGATCGATCTCCGGATGCTCCGGTGTCCATCGAAACCACCGTCTAAAGGGGCCCCAGTCCGAGTAGACCGGGTGGACGCCAACCCCTTCGTCACAGTAAAACGGAGCATCGACAAAGACAAAGCGATATCGATTCTTCAGCCTGTCATGATTGAGAAATGCTCGAAACTGGGCCTTGAAGATGGCAGCATTGACGCCGCCTCCGTGGATGCAGAGAACGCGCGGAAGATGGAAGGTCGGGTCTGCAGAAGCCATGGTCTTGCGGGCTGAAGTGTTCGACTAATTCGAGACTTCGTGATAGTAGGGTTTCAGTAAGTTCCGGACTGAGCCCATGAGGCCAAGGATAGATGTCTTCTCTCTGGAGATGGAGTAGCTGATCCACCCATGAGCTAACCGAAAGTTTGCTGACAGGTTTGGATGATTAAGGCCGGATACCTGAGGCTCCAAAAATAGCTTCCACCAAGGGCAGAGCGATTGCTCTGATTGATTATCTTGACGACTCAAATTCTGTTTTGCAGCATGCCAGGAAGCATTTGCGGCCTAATCACATGAATTGAACTTGCCATTGTACAGCCAGCGACATGCGTCGTTGTCTTCGGAACCACAAAACAGGCTCGAATCAGGCGCTGCACTGTAACTTTGCGTTGATATGCTCGGTCGTTGAAAACGAAAGGGTCCCTCCTACGACCACCTTACGAACCGAACGGATGGGCGATCGCATGTGCAAGGCGGAATGTGCATATGCGATCGTCGGCTCTAAGACCGACAGATGGTAGGGCAGACAATGATTTCCACGCATAGCTGCGTTGTCCATGTTACTGGCCACAAGTCTTACGCAGAAAGAGACTGGACCAACCCACCAGCCGCTACAGGAGAATCAGAACGATGACGCTTTTCCACATCTTCAATGTCTACCCTGTCGCTCTGCTCTTCCAACCCTGCCATCGGCACTGTGTTCCCGAGCAAGAGATACTCGAGCTCGTGCCTGATCAAGCTCCACTGGTGACATATTCCCGAATTGAACACTGCTTCCAAATCTTTCATGATATCTTTCAAAGATATCTCCTTCATCAAGAGCTATACCTGATGCAGGCGGAGAAATGGTGGCAAGCTCACCAATGCCAGCCAGCGCGTCCTCCCATGAATTGGCCGCTACCACATCAATCGACGCTAGGCCAGGTCTGCTGTAGAGGTAAGGCTCCCGTATCTGGGGAGACGTGCCCAACGACGCCGACCCAGGTACTGCTGGAGGAGCTGTCGCAAGTGATACGTTGGATTCTCGAGATGAGTCGCGTGACATGGGCTGCGAGGTGTATCCAGAAGGGACAGGTCTTATTATGATGGGGACTGATCTAGAGTAGAAGTCGGCGGCTGGGGAAGACTGGTTCTCGTCAGCCGGGATGATTGGAATTGTCCTCGTTGCTGCCTGGTTGTTCAAAGCAGTTTGTATCAGCCGAGGCGATGATGAGGGATGACGACTGTGCCTCCGAGGAATCTCTGCGTCAGTGGGCAAAGATTGCACAGGCTGGAACTCTGCGGCTAAGGGCGATAGTTTTTGATTGGGGGATTTGACTGAAAGCGGTTGACGATTCTCTTCTGATGCCGGCTTGCCGCGCTGCGAACGAGTTGGCGACTTGATCCTTCCCCCTCTCAAAGGAGGGGGACTGGCTCGGTGTATTGCGGCAAGAGCACCAGAAGCTTCGGAACCAGTCGATGTTGGTCTTGTCGTCCGATCGTCGCTCCCACTTGTAACAGATGAGGCTCGCGATCGGGCTTGTGCCTGTTCCTGGGATAGCGAAGGCGGTACAGCTATGGCTTTCCACTCCCCAAGATCCTTAGGCTTCTTGGCCTGTGAGGGGTGTCCCTGGAACAATGCATGGAGTACCGATGATCGACGAGCAGTATTAAGGCTGACTTCAGACGGTCCAGTTGTGGATACCTCGGAATTGCTCGGACGTCGACTTGCAACCGTGCCAGGAACAAGCACTCTGGAGTTGCCCATTCCAGATTGCGACCAACGCTCCGTCCAACTCTCCTCGGAACAAACATCATCGATGTCGACGCCGAGATGCATCTCAGTAGGTGACTCTGTCTGATTGTCGGCGTGTTCTGGAGTCCACGTAGACGTCCGCGTCAAGCCACTGCTCGTAGTTGTAGGGCTATCCGAGGACGTGCTATCTGCTCGCTCAAAAACAGAAAACTGGACTTGGTGGTTGAGGGTATCGATGGACTGAGAAGGTGATTGGCTTTTGATCTCTTGCTTGATTGCTCGAATTGTTTCATGTAGGTTGTGGCGTGTTTTGCGCAGGACTGGAGATGCATCGGCTGAAGATTTGGGGAAGTGTGACCACAACCGCGCAGCTTGGGTCTCGTATTCGCGATAGTCGCGGACGAGTCCTCTCCCTTCAGTGCTCTTGATCTTGCCTTTTGCGACTGCATAAGAGTGAGTTAGGATTTTTGTGGCAACACAAAGCCAACCCCAATATTGTGCTGGTTGATCCGCATATCGGAACCTCAGCTCGTCTCGGAAGACGCTTTGCACAACGGTGTGTATGCGGAGTATGTCGATGCTGTAGGTGACTGACTGGGAAGAGGATTCATCTAATCGGCTGTCTGGATGAACCCCAACCATATGTTCCAGGCTGCTGGAGTCATGCAGGAGCAGTTGTGGTTCACGCCGATCCGACTCCACGGTGCTGATAGTCGCAGCTCTTCGGGGCCCGGTCTCTGTTGAGGAACCCTTGTTCGATGAAGTGACAGTGTATTCGAGCAGAGTTCGCTCGACGAGCCCGTATCTGATTAGAACAGCGATGGTGTTGTCCAACTCCTTCTTCATGCTTCCGATACTTTCGATTGAGCGAATCTCGATGCCAAACTCCTGCAATGCTGGCTGCCCAAAGCGAATAAGGGCGACTGGGATAACGTGCGCAAAGAAACTAAGCACTGTGACAAGGTTCACAGCTTCAGGATGTGAATGTTCTCTTAATGCTCCGAGGATGTCGAGATATGGCTCTGCAAGACGATGATCTGAAGTTCCAGGACTGAACTTCTCCAAAGATAACCCACGGGCGATCAAGGCATGTGCTGCAGCATGAACAGCCAGTGGCAGGCATTCGTAGTGTTTGACCAACTGCAATGCTTTCTTGGCCTGAGTCTCAGTTGGCGATCTGATATCGAGGTTCTTGTACAACAAGGCACACGCATCATGCTGTGACAATGGGAAGACCTTGACACCAGCAGGATTGAGTAGTCTCTGGCGCTTGGCCAATGTGCGGTCGACGGATGTGTAGATGATGTTGCCTCCCGTGCGATCCGGTACGAAAGAAGCGAGGGCCCCGATATCATCGTCATTGTCTGTCGCAATTCCATCAAACACAAGGAGCCATCCCTCCCGTGCTTCGAACCATTTCCGCACTGCACCCACAAACTTTGACGACTCGTCCCATGCAGGGTCCCGAGGTGGCTCGTCCCCGTATATCGCGACAGCCTGGGCGATTTCCCAGAAGCCCTTTGACCTTGATTCTTCCGTTTTGCAGTCGACCCAGAAGCAACCAGCCGGATAATCGTTACGATGCCGCCATAAATGTTCACGAGCGATCTGACTCTTCCCACAACCCGGTGGGCCCCACAACAACACTGCGCATGTTCCCAGTGCTCGTCTTTTCGGATTCGCAAGCTTTTGTGCTAGCTGGTCCATCTCTAGTTGGAAACCGAGGAAGATGGAATTGCGACGGAAGCCCACAGGGCCGACAACAAGGGAGGAAGACGATAGTGATACAGATTGGTCGATCTTTCGTATTGAGCTCGCGGAATCTCCTGTGACCCAGCATGAGTCAGCGTCAATGAGCTACATTCTTGTCACTGACCAGGTGATCAATGCGGTGCAGTGATGAGATCGTCCTCAAGTTCTTCGACCTCATAGTGAGGCGAAGTTGAGGTCGAGATCTGTCGGGGGGGAGGCGCACCCATCGGGTTGGACTGGACCGTTTGTTGGGCTCCCGGTATTGGAGTTGCTGTGCCCGAAATGCCTGCGTTTGGCTGAAATATGCTATCTGAGGAATTCTCAGTATTCTCGGATGGACGTATCGTCAGCGAACTCACCTCCCAGCAATTCTCTCGCAGCCACTTGCCTTTCGAAACCGGCCATCTGTTTCTCTTGATCCCAGCGAGAGCGGATGAGTGATTGTGCATCGGTGGCATATCTGAAGCCTTGTCAGCTTGGTGCATTAAAGCCTGGGGGTTCGTATACCTTTGAATGGCTTCTGCCACCACGTCGTATCCCGGGCTGGACTCGTCCTCAAACTTGCACATATGGCTACAAAGGGGTCAGAAACTGAATGTACTGCGGAGATGGCAGAACGCCCTACCTGTGATCCTTTTCAATGCCCATCCGCTCGACGCCTTCAATGACTGGGGCCGCAGAGTCCTCTTCTACTACAAAGGCCAAGGTACCTTTCAAATCTGTTGGTTTCGACTCATGGAAGAAATAAATGTGATAACGTCCAATGACCTCGATGAAGAGCCTATTGATATTCTGAAGAGTTTCGTTGTTGGACTGCAATGCTTGTACCAGCTGGGGAGAGGTATCGAAGAACTTCTTCGGAAGTGCCACAGCACAGATCTTTTCGAGCAAGGAACCCCATTTCGCCAGGTCAGAGCCATTGTGCGGAGTACCAAGGAAGAGGATGCCGTAGGTGGAAACGTAGATCGACCTTAGCCTTTCCGTATGTTGGTGGGGTCGTATGCTTTGGCAGTAGATCAGACATCGTTTGACGACGAGACCCCCGAGGGAATGGGCGACGAAGATGATCGGGCGCTCGAAAGCTTTTCTCAGCTGCTTGCCGTCAGTGTTCATGCAGGAGCTCCCACAAAAGGATCGCCTCAGCGACAGTGTCGGGTCATGTCCCACACTTACCGACCTATTAGCAACCAATCGACTGGCGAGATGCTCTGCATGGTTATGTATCTTGTCCTTTGAAACCCCATCCGTGAACGCTGTGACATTCGCATCGTAGCCGTAGGTCAGGATTCGTGGTCTCTGCTCTTCGAGAGCCGCAGGAAGAAGGTCTGCTGGCCAGAAGACGTTGGGCTTTTTCGTCGACCATGTGTCGTGAGGGTGGCCATTCAACCCGTGCACGAACACGATGTCGACCACTGGATCGGTTGCGCAGTAGACTTCGGTGAGGCCATACTGGACGATCTGCTTCCCAGCAGGAGTGCTCATCGTCCAAAGACTGCGCTTGCCGATGAAGCACAGTATTCAGGTCGAGTTAGACGGACCATGTAATAGAAGATTAAGCAGACCGGATACCATACGGGAACAGCACAACAGAAGCACAAATGACTTTTGGAGGATACTCCAGCAAGCTCACCGTTGCATAAGTTAGGGAGCGGCCTCCATCAAAGGCGGCCTCAAGCCAGGAGTCATAGTCGCCATAAATTGGAAGGGAGGGCGCAGGTGACTTGGTAGCCTGATGATTGGAGACATGGATGCGACATGCCCAAACCTCAGACAAGGCGAGGTTGACCGGGCCAGGAAAGGAAAGCAGCCTGCCTGCCTTGGCTTCAGTTTGGCTTCAAATCCGCCCGAGATCGCCTAATACTAAGCCGAACCTGGGGTTTCTCGCTCGTCATATTCGGGCCACTTTGTGGGGAACGCAGCCTCAGGGGGCCGGATTGCTTCAGTCAATGGGCTATACAGTACGAGTACTCCGTAATGCAAAGGGGCAAGTCATTCAAAACTTGAGGTGTACTGTTTCTAGAGGTGATAAAAATTCTACAGCGTTCAGACGACTCTGTAACTTAGGTCGACCGCGTCTCCGTCACGAGGTCGGAGGTCTTCCTTCCTACAGTTGTGCCTTGGCGAGGTCACATGGACAAGAGATATCGGATTTCCAAACAGCCAGGCAGCATCGTCTGCTGATCTTGATGCCTCACCTACCTTTGAAGGCTGGCTTCCTCTTCTCTGCAAATGCTTTGAGCGCCTCTATTCGATCCTCCGTCTTCAAGATGACCTCGTACGCCTCATTCTCGGCGGCCTCGCCCCGTTGCCATCCATTGACCGCTCGCATGGCCTGTGTGAGGGCAATCGGTCCTCCTTCGCAAATGTCATTGGCGAGCTGTACACTGGCATCGAGCACTTTCTGTCGGGCTTTCCCTTCTTCCTTGGATTCTTCTGGAGTGACCTCTACCAGTCTGTTACACAGTCCCAGGAAATATGCTTCCGCGCCGCCTACACGACGTCCGGTGAGGATGAGGTCCCGTGCTCGATTGACGCCAATCAATGCTGGTAATCTGTACGTTCCTCCTGCTCCTGGAATGATTGCGAGCTTGGTCTCGGGTTGGCCGACGATCGCGGACGATCCAAAGACTCGGAAAGTTGTGCAAAGTCCCAATTCCAAGCCTCCACCCAGCGCGGCAGACGAGATGGCCGATATGGTAGGAATTGGGAGGTTCGAAAGATTGGTAAAGGTGTTTCGTACGTCGCTCAAGAATTCCCTTGTTCTGTGAAGTCGTGAGAGGAGTGTGCGGTGTACTTGCGAGATACATACTCTTCCTGTGTCATGCCTTTCCTCTCTCTCAAGTCTGCTCCTGCGCAAAAGGCCTTGTCCGTATGTGATGCGATTATCAGAGCCCTTGTAGATCCTGCACCCCCTTCTGCCTGTACTTCCTCGACATGGCGCTTGAGATCGGTGACAAGTCTGCGGGAGAGGGCATTTCGAGCTTCGGGTCTGTCGAGAAGGAGGATGCGGATATTGCCAGAGTGTGGAGCGGGTTGATACTTGACTTTGATCGGTGACGGTTCAGCGGCGGAGGCGAACGTGCGGTATCGATATCGAGGAGGCCGTTGAGCTCTCCATGTTTGCCATGCCGGGAAAGTCCTCATTTTTGCTTAACGGTGAAGCTTACTGTGTACAGTACAACAGTACATCCTGAAGGGAAGGGAACTGTTTTGCGGAGAACCGACCGAGGCTGCGGGGAGCAACCCTGTCGTTTCCAGATGCAAGGCCAGCCTAGCTCGCATCTCTGCTTTCTTGGCTGACGTAGTACCGACGGACAAGACCATACCACTTGAGATGCGTGCAGGTGGGAGTGACAATCGTCGAGCATGCCTCGATTGCTCCCAAGTACGATCGAATCGAGGGCCATCACAAACTTGTTCAGCAAGCACCAACGTCCGAGACTCACGAGATGGATCATAGCATGCTTCAGGACACAATACTTGCGCTCGAGCACTCGACATGGCGAGCTTTGATGCATTCTGGTGGTGATCTGCTGCCCTTCCTCAGCCGCGACTGTATCATGCTTTTCCCGCTGGGCCTGAAAATTTCCGCCAAAACGGAGCCGAATCTCGAAGATGTGATGAAGAGCGATGCTTTTGTGCCGTGGAGGAGGTACAGAATCAGCGATGTCGAAGTCACGATGTTGGGGTCAGAAGCAGCTTTGATCAGTTATCGAGTCAAGGCGACCAGGCAGCATGTCACAGAAGACGACGATACGAGGCAGGACGAGTTCAAAGCATTGATATCGAGTACCTGGAGGAAGGATCCAGAGGCAGGGAGGTTCCTGATGTGTTTCCACCAGCAAACCCCTTACGAGGAGGATTTGGATCTTTGAGAAAATCTGTGGATGTGCTGGTGCTAGTACTGGTGCCGGTTTGGCAGATTATTGCTCGATATGGGGCCTGTCCTGAAGCAGGTGTTATCTTGTCTTCGCCTGGCCGTCGGCTTGCTTGCATGTGATTTTGTACTGCACAGTGACATCAGCCTCGGCTGGGTCTGAAGGTGCCCGGAAGGCAACGCCGAACAAATAAGTGGTTATTTTCTTTCCCACATGTGGGGAAAGCGAACGGGCGCACCATGACGTCGTGGTGGAGGCTGGATTGGGGCGCGATCAACACTGGCTTCCAAGCTTCCACTCCTCCTTCAAATTGACTTCATTTCTCCTCAATCTCAACTCCCACCCACGCAAGCTCTAATCGACAACACATAACAGCCCTACCAAACCATTCAACCTTCGGTCATTCAGACACCAGCCATCACAATGTCTTTCCTCTACAAGGCCACACCTATCCTCCGCACCACAGTCCGAACCTCCACTCTCCGTTCATCACCTCGTCTCCTGTCTACCACCGTGTCACAGCAAAAATCTGCAACCGACTCTGTCAAGGATGGCTTGAAGTCAGTCGACCGAGCAGTGTCAGACGTTGCTGTTGCTGGTATCGACAAAGGAGGTACGATCTGTGACTCTTGAGCTTATCGCTCATAGCTGACGTCAAACTGCAGTTGAGCTCAAAGACAAAGCGTCCGAGGTCGTTGGTATGGAGACCAAGAAAGCCGAGGGAACTGCATCACAAGTGTCCGGCGAGGCCAAAGGGAAGGCCGCCGAGATCTCGGGACAAGCCAAGGGCAAGGCGGAGGAGATCAAGGGAAAGATGTCATGAAACATGCACTAGGCGGTCGTTAGACTCATTCAATTCATGGTACTCGTACTGGGATAAAAGCTGGCGTTCGACTGTACATTAATCATCCACGAGAGCACGAGCCAGAAGTATGTACAACATGAAAGCAGCAAAGTCACCAGGTTTCTCTCCCTGCATCTTTGAGATTTGGGGCGGGCTGCAAAATAGGATTGGCAAAGTGATTCCGGTATATCTCTTCCTCTTTCTCCTTCAAGCCATATTTTGACGGGTCGCGTTTCTCCAGGAAATGCTTGACCCTTCCCGTGCTCTTAATCTCATTCTCTTCGAAGTGGTCCTTCCTCGATGCAAGGAACCGGCCAGTTTCTTCTGTGAATGCCTGGGCCCGCTCTTCGATTGACCCCGTAAATTGTCCCGCTCTTGTTGCCATAAGAACCCCAGAGAGAACCGCAAGGAGGATAACGATGGATGCAAAGGCGTTCGGATGGAGGTAGGTTTCGTACGGTCGTCTACCGGGTGGGTCGTGCCGCCGATACCATCTTTCCCAATCTTCCCAGGTAGCGTTCTGAAATATGGAGGAATCATCGTCTGGACCAAAGCCGTATCGCTTCCCTTCCGGATTTGTGAAGCCACGCGAATGGCGATCGGCTGTTCTTGTTGTTCCCCAGCCCGCTCCAGATGCATCGTAGGCTCTCCGCTTGACCGGATCCGAGAGAATTTCGTGTGCTTGTACAATCAACCTGTATCTTTCTAATCTTTCCACAGCAGTGAGTCCATCTTCGGAGTTGTAGCCGTTCCTGTCTGGGTGGTAGATCTTGACCAGTTCGTAGAACTTGTGCTTCGTATATATGGCATGCTTTTCTAATGCGAAAATCTCGTAGGGCGACGGACTGGAAGAGCCGTTCCGTCGACATGGCCAGTTCATATTGTCTCGAAAGTCACTTTCACGGCTAGATGCGTATGTCCGTCTGAATCGCAGGTCCCGTCTTAGCCGCTCCTGCGAGGAGGGCTGACCACAAAAGCAGCATTGCCATGTACTGTAAGCTGCTGGCAATTTTGCCTTCTTCAGCAATGTCGACGGCATGGTAGTGACGGTCAGAAGTGGTCAGGCGAGCAAGTTGGGAGGGGTTGAAGTCGTGGATGTCATCGCTTCCGGACTAACTGGAAGGTTTGCCGACTTCACATATTATCCAGAAGGTAGTAAGTCGTTCAAGATTGACAATCTGCAAACCATGTCGCGATCACGATCACCACGTCGGCGCGAGCCACGCAGAGAACAACGGAGGTCACGAAGTCCAGAGCGGCGAAGATCTCGATCACCGCGGACCAAACGCCCACTTCCTTCGCAAGTTGACGCCTTCAAAGGCACCAGTGGCAGTCCTGCGCCCCAAAAGCAGAAACCGAACTGGCGTCCGTCCGGCCTTCTGGCTGCAGCTTCGAATACGGTGTCTACCTCTGCTGGTGCCATTGTCCTGAAATACCATGAGCCGCCTGAAGCTCGAAAGCCAGCTTCTTCGAAACCATGGAGACTCTACGTATTCAAGGGTGAAGACATTATCGACGAACTAGATTTGTATCTGCAATCTTGCTGGCTCTTTGGAAGAGAGGTGTCTGTTTGCGATTATGCTCTCGAACATCCGAGCTGCTCAAAGCAACATGCGGTCATCCAGTTCCGATACATCGAGAAGCGAAACGAGTTCGGGGACAAAGTTGGGAAGGTGAAACCATATGTGATTGACCTGGAGAGCGCCAATGGGACAACGGTCAACAATGAGAAGATGCCAGGGGGGAGATATGTCGAGTTGAGAGACAAGGATGTGATCAAGTTTGGACATTCAACCAGGGAATATGTCTTGCAGTTGCCACCTGGGTGAGCCCGAGGGCGTAAACATGCGGGTGCCACTACACAATCCATAGCCACCTTTTCCACAAGGCATGCTTTACCTCCACCAGACACGTGGTGCCCAAATCAAACCGGAGCAAGCGCTGTATCGACACTTGTCAAAATCAGAAGCCTGCTGTCCATGGTAATGACTTACTAGGGTTGCCAGGAGGGGAATGGGAGGTCTGGGTCATGGCAGCCACGAAGATCGAACCTGGCACGACCGAACATTTTGGCTTGCTGAAAGTCAGTATTGACATTGAGCCGCAGGATTGAAGACCTACAGTAAACATGGACGACACACCACTTTGAGATTCCTCTTGGCCTGTCTGGATGCAACAGTTGATAGCCGACACCGCGTAGAGGTGGGAATCCTTCGTCAGCCGCTGGACAATCCCCACCCACCGCCCCTTGGATTGTCCGCATTAGATCGACACCTTCATGCTACTGAAGCACCGTCGACAGAAGAGATCATCTCGGTATTACCACGACGCTGGCGGTTTGCCACTGATCCTTGTACTGTTTGGTCTCTCCCATGTCCTCGAGTTGCTCGCTGGTGAAGTTGACGACAGGCGTATCAACTCCTTGCCGCTGCTCTTGTTCCATCGCTAGACGCATCCGAAGCTCGCGACAACGAATGGCAAACTTGCGCGAGTAGGCCAGGCGAGGAATGAGACAACCTCTCACATCACGCGCGGGCAGATGCGCACCGAGAAGCGTCTCCACGACTTCCGAGTCCTTGCCGGCCACGGCTTCAAGGACGTGCCCAATTCCCTTTTCTCCTTTGGGAAAGGCACACGCACGGGTCTGCGCGTACTTCTTCTCGGCGTCGTCAAAGGACTTGAAAATAAGGCCTCGCTGATGCTCCCAGCTGACCAGGGTCGCATTGATGCTTCCATCTTTGATGGAACACGCTCTGGCCCAGAGCGACCGGGAGTGCTCATCCCATGTTCGCTCATAGTCGTCGCAGATCTTTCGCACGTCTGCGGGGCGATATTTGGTGACTTCAAGTGGACGCTTGAAGAGCTCCAGCGCTTTGACGACATCTGCCTTCTTCTCTGAGCTATAACGTCCGTGCTCGAGTTGCACGTCTGCATGGAGCTGCAGGACGGTGTGGTCGGCCCAATCCTGCATTTGGAGACCTGCAATCTCGTCTGAGAGGGGCTCAAGCTGAGGATTTCTTGACTCTGTAGCGGTGTATTCATCCCCCACTTCAATGTCAGACCATTGGACTTTGTTGTCCCAGCTGAAGTCTTTCCAACCAAAGTTCTCGACATCAACCATTCTCTCGCGAGTCGTCTCGCAGGCTTCGTCGATGAGGCGCGTCTTTTCGGAACGAATCCACGCGTCCAAGCAAGACGGAAGAGTCCAGTCTTTGGAGGGTGTCCAGAAGGGGATGTACATTTTGTACACTTCCCAAGCAGTCGCCAGAACCTGACGGACACTGGCTCGAATGGCTTGATTCTGGGCAGCGGAAGCCAGCAACGCCTTGTCATTGGCGAACTTTCCTTTGAGTGTGCCAAGGTAGCGCGCGTGAGACGGCTCCAAGCATTTGCGCGTTGCCTCCTCGAACTCGGGCCGGAACCACTGCAACGAGTCATTGCGGTACCCAGGTGAAGGGAGGCCGACAGAGACATTGTTCAAGCCTCCGAATCCGGCGTCAGCGGATTTCGAACCTCGATTGACGAGGGTGAAGCCCTGGCCGTCGACAGTCTGAGGCTTCTTCACCTGCTTTTGGCCGTCGTCAGACTTGGAGGACTTTTCTCCAGCCTCAGTGGGCGCCTTCTTCAAAGGTCGCCGTGGATCCCCGTGCTTCTTGGCATCGAAGGGCAGTCTCCCCTTCGCTCCTGACGCCATCCTGTAAGCGTTCTCCAGAGACCAGGTGAGGTTGAAGTTGTTGTCCAGGAGACCACAGGTGAGGCCATCCTTGAACCGGTCACTGAGAGGAGGGTTCCCGGACGGGGGGCGGCGATTCCGTGGCTCGTAATAATACGCAGGCAATGGCTGCCTGGGGTGCTGGGACGGCCACGGTCGTGCGTATCTTTGCAGTGCGGACGGGAGCGGTGGATTCGAGGGATGGTCTCGATATTCGCCGTACCCGCAATCAGCTACCACATGGTCTTTTCTGCCGCATTTCGTGCATTTACCCGTACCGCTGCCTTTGCGGCGCCAGACTTCGAGCATTTGCCTACACACGAAGCAGTCCCCTTCTGGATGGAAGCCGCCACACGCACACCTATGGTTGCCAAAGCGTTTCTGCCGCGAATGGCCCTCCTTCTGTGAGCCGAACTCGTAGAAATCGAATGGCCAAACATCCGGATTGTCAGGAGTACATTCTGGTAACTGCTGCTTGGTATTATTCGACAGCTCCACAGCAGCAGCAGTCTTTTGTGCCGCAGCGCTGTAGCTCTCGCCGCTTGGTTGTGGACGAGGGATAAAGCAAGGCGCTGGACCATCTTCGTGGGATGCTTCTGCATCTTCATCATACCTTACGAACGGGTCGTGGATGTACGTCTTCGATAGAGCAGCAAGTTGTCGAGCAAAATCCTCAGGAAGAGGTTTCGCTTTCGAAACCGAACGCTTTTCTCCACCACTGGCGGGTGTCTGAGCCGCCAAAGTCTGTTGGACGACATTGCCCTGGGACGAAGAACGTCGACTTTGAATTTTCGCAAGTGCGTTGGCAGCCGCTACTCTGTATTGCTCTTCTGCTGCGGCTGATTGTGCAGCCCGCTTTGCTCTGAGCTCCGCAAGCAGGGCGTAACTCCGGGCGAACGGGTCTTCCTCCTTTGAGTCGAGCTGCACCAGCCTCGTGGGCTCGGGACGGTTGGTCGAAACTTCGGACGCAACTTTGTCCTTCGTAGGAATGGGGCCTGGGACGACAGTCCGCTGAGGCTGGTCTTCTATGCGAACATCAGGCTCAAGCCTGGGGGCTTGCACGAGCGGCTGGGGGAGCTTATCGCGCGGCGCAGACTGAGCGCTATGCCATGACTCCAATGACTCCGAACTCTGTCGACGAGTTCGAGTAGGAACATATTCACTTTCGTGGATGCGTTCGAGTCCGGTGACCACGGACCGATTTGAGGGCGATGGAGCGGACTCCAAGCCGGCCGACGAGCTGCGATTGAGCACAGTCGACTGATCAATGTTCCCGCGAACGGGTGACTCGGGCATTTCAAAAAGCACATACGCGCATGATGTGCACGTCGGCGCTAATGCCTGCCGTTTCTTGCAGCCAGGACATCTGACCTCCATGATGGCGACCGATGTTGCTGATTGATGTGTTGGTGGAGCTGAGTGAGCAAGCTGCGGCCGAAGTTTTTGGATAATGTGTGGTAACAGAGCTCTGGCCCTCTGGGCGGTCAACGACTAGTGCGGTGAAGCATCGATTGTGCTTGAAGGAGTTCGTGACCGTGAAGGACTGCCGCACTCGCCGCCTGCGCCGTGCGTCAAAACCAGAGCCTTCAATTTCTTCTCCTCTTCCAACATTTTTCGTTTGATCTCCTACCACCGGCACCATCACCAGCGGCTGAAAGCTTCATTCGCTCAATCAAGATGGGACGACCAAAGTCCGGAAACCGTGCTTCCAAAGGCACCCAGTCCACTGGCACAGGCAAAAAGGAACAGAATATGAAAGGAGTTGACATTCCGTTCGCCGTGTTTTGCTGTTCTTCCCCGGCTACAGGCCAAAAGAAACAGAATCTTCTGCAAGGAGAGGGACCTTCCCGTGGTGCAGGGCTTAAGTAGCTGCTTTGACCCAGCAAACCTGACACTCTCCATGCGTTTTGCTTTTCGGGACTGCACTTTCTGATACTGCGGCTTCGCAAGACGCGATCTACTCTCAAGTTTCTCAAGCGCGACGCAGATGGGAATGAGTGGAGCACCGTTGCGAAGCTGGTCCAAGGACTTGCATGCTGACAACTGATGACTGATCATGGTACAGGCAACGCAAGCACAATTCCAAATGTTCTTCGCGATTCGAAAAGACTACCCGAATTCCACCGCATGCCCTCGAACTCACTACCTCTTACCCTGTCGTTTGCCGAGCTTAGAACGATAAAGCAAAGCCGAAGAGCCAGCGACTATACACTTGGTCGGCCTTTACATCTGTCCCCCAGGACTTGAGACAATATCTCGGCTGGAACATATTAACATTCTTCGAAAGCCTAGATCACGAACGTATTCTGACGGCGACTGCGAAGAGGAGTGGAATAAACTGCGCAGGCGTTGCCCATTAGGAGTGGCCCTGCAGGCAGGGGCTAACTGCGCCTGTTCGAGTTTTTCTACGGAAAGAGATGTTGCGAATGAAAACACAGCGGTATTGGAGCAGGGGAGCGTCAGCCAGACTCGACAGTGCAAAAGGTTGGTATACTTTCCTACGCTCTGGATGCAGGCAACACTTATTGAACGGGGCGTGCTTGATGATCTCCAGCTCGCTACAATCAATCAACATCTGCCGAGAACTGGAGCCTTTCTGAGGCTTGGAGTCGGGTCACTGAATTTGACAGGAACACAAATTTCGACCGCCGTAATGCAGTCTGCAGTAGGGGGCTATCATGATGTCGGGGAGCAGCCGAGGATCTATGGTGGCGTCGAGAGCCATTTCAGCAAGTTCGGGATGATTCCCATGTCCTGTGGCCAAGCCTCGGTGTGAATGCATTGCAGTTGGGGTACTCGATGAGATTTCCCCTGAGATGCATTGACAGTGACACAGCTGGCGAATTGTTTGGGGCTGTGTATTTCATCAGCTAGCATCGAAATCCGAACGACTCAGGAAGACTGGCCGGCTTCTCCAGCCTAACTGTGTTACTCTGCGGTCAGGTATGTACAATCCGGACTTCAACGACACCAGAGCCAGCTGCAGGGGAGCACAATCCCATCCCGCGCCGCTAGAAATTACCTGCCCAAATCTCGCTTATGTTTTGCCCAGCTCTTGCTTTCCGAATGCGAAGTCCTTCACATGACTCAACGGCGTCATCATTGAGCGTAGGAGGTACGTGTTTGTTCTGCTACCTCTGTTGTTTCACATCTATCTGGGGACAGGGCGATGCCCAGGACGATCAGCTTCGGTGTAGGAGCAAGTTGGAGCCCCAGGCTTAATGCCTGGAATTATGTTTAGATCCCATTGGTGAGTCAGTCATGCGGATGTCGCTTACAACGGTCTTCTCCGGCTGATTTGGTGTTGCTGTTCCTCTCAACCCGGCAAAGCGCGGTCGACTCAGGACTGGCATCAGTGGCCAAAGCTTCCAGTCTTTGTGGAGCATGCTTGCTGGAGCTTATTTGAGCATGATGTATTGCGTCCTGCGTCGACATGTCCAGCTATGTATTTCTTGACTTTTCCACGCACATACCGAGGGGTGATTGATGCCATGAAGGATGCTCATCAGCTGTACTGTAGGAGTATGATCTGATCTGCGTGGCATAGTCTCGGCTCTTGTGGGGATGAAAGGATTACACAACTGAGGTCGCCAGCCCGCCCGCACCTGCGTATGGCAAGGTCGAAGCAGCCGAGATATGAATTGAGGACCAGATGGGCTTGAGGAGAGGTGGTTCGAGCAGAGGTGGTTCAAGGAGGAGAGGTGGTTCACGAAGGAGAGGCGGTTCGATGGGAGGGCCTCACAGGGAGGGTTTCGATAGGCGGGCTTCAATGAGAGGGCTTCGATAAAGACGGGCTCTGGAAGAACAGATGCACCTCGCTGGCCTCAAAACACAGAAATTGTGGTCAGTCACATGATACTCATTCAGCGTCCTCTCAAAGTTCTCTCACCGAACTCTCACCACCTTCACCCAACCAAGCGGCAGCTGCATCAGCACCATGGCACCTCCGGAAATGGATGGCGGCGCCATTGAAACAGCTGCTGAACAACTGCGTAATGTCGCTACTGATCTTGAGGGATTTGCTGACTGCCTACGTCCAGTCATTGGGATAACGACGTCAATAGGCGCCGACAAGTTCATACTTTCTGTTCTCAAAAAGGACATCAGAAGCTCAAGTCAAAAAGTCCTCGAATGTGTGACTTCAGTCATTGCTCTCCACACGGAGGATTTGCGCCTGATTCAGTCCCATGGGCAGGCTCTTCAAGAGGCTAACTGCGCTCTTGATCAAAAAACGGCCGAAGTCAGCCGGCTCACGGACAAGCAATCCGAACTGGACGGGGAGATCACCCGTCTCAATGCCTCCCATGCAGATCAGCTGGCTGCACTGAAGGCAGAGCATACCTCCGAGATCGAGAAGCTCACAGAGTCCCTTGGAGCCAAGAGGACAGAAATAGGCCTGCTCAACGTGAATTTTGAGAACAACGTGGCGCAGCTGAGAAGCGACCATCAGGCTCAAGTCAAGACGTTGGAAGAGGAGCGATCCCAGCGTGATACGATCATCAACGATCTCAAGACTTCACAAAGGACTGATGTCGAGAAGCTCATCCAGTCTCATACAACGCGCGTGGAGCTACTTGAGTCGGAGATAGCCAGACTCAATTCCGCGCACGCAGTTGTGACCCGGGATCTCGAGAAGAGCCATGTTGACCGCATGGAGGAAGCGGAAGAGCATTGGGACAGGAAACGCTCCGAGATCCAGCAGGGTCATAACGCTGCATGTGAGGAACTTCGCCTCAAATACTTTGAGCAGATCGACGGGTTGCAGCGCAAGAACACCGAGCTCCAACAGAGTCATGATCTTGCTCTTGACGACCTTCGCCTCAAGCACACCCAGGCTACCGAGCGCGACCGATCCCAGCTGAGAGACTCGCATGAAGCCGCGCTCAAGAAGCTTAGCGACGAGCACGCCCAGACTTTGCAGGACAATGCGTCTGCGGTCGATGGGCAGATCAGCCAGCTTCAAATGTCCCATCAAGCCGCAGTCGAGCTGCTCCGCCAAGAGCACGCCAACGCTCTAGAGGACATCAAGGCAGACCACGACCGGGAGATCACCAGGCTCAACGCAGTCCTCGACACGGCTACAGGCGCAGTCGATGTACTCAAGCAGGAACATGCGTCCCAGGTCGTCGCAAAGGATCGAGAAATCCTGGATCTCCGGCAGCTCCTGGATGCGAAGAAGCGGGAGCTCGAGGCAATCAGCGGAGAACACTCACAAGCTAATGCACGGCTCGTCGAGACCACTGGCTGGCTGACGCAAGCCCAAAGTGTTGTAGCAGAACTTCGTGAGACTGTGGACCAGTTGAGAGAGTCTATACTCCGCAAGGAAGCACAAATTGGCGTACTTGATGGCGAGCTGGCCGATGCCCAGGACCAGCTGGTCGCTAGACGTCAAGACTCAGATGCCAGGGAGTTGGCTCTGCGCGAGAAGTTGGTTGAAGAACAACAACTCGTCGCACGAATTTGTCGGGAACAGAGAGACTCCGACCATCGCAATCAAGAAGACTTCCGAGACATGAAGAATTCTTACAACGATTGCGTCCAGTCCATTGAAGCCGAAATGGAGCTGGAGCGTCTGCAAGGCGAGGAAGAACTCGAATCTCTGCGGCGTGAACTCCAGATCACTCGGCGCGGGCTTGATAACCAGCGTGCGCTCGTTGAAGACCGCCGTCGAGAGTTCGAGAAGGCACTCGCTGCAGGAGAGGAGCAGAAGGAGATCGACCGGGCACAGCGTGAAGAAGAGCTCAAGGCCGAGCTCGAGGAGCGCGCTGCCGACGAGGCGTTCCACGTCTACCGAGTGCGGATCGACTTTCTTGAACAGGAAGTTCAAAGTCTCAAGACCGAGCAACAAGCCAAGGTCGACGAAGCACGTCTGGAGGTCGCCACGGAAGATACGGTAGTTCTGGACGAACTCGTCGAGTCTCATCAAGCCGAGGTTGACCAGTATGAGACCGAAAAATCGGAACTCGTGGCAGAGACCGAGCGCTTGGAAGTTGAGAAGAGGGAGCTCCAGTCCAATTTCGCTGGGCGGTTGGACGCCGAGAAGAGAAAGATCCAGTCTCAATTTGACAAGCAAGTCTCTGCCCTTCTGGCACAACGCCAGAAAGAGATAGACGAAGCTGTCCGAGTCGCCCTTTGTGCGCAAACCAATCGCATCACGAAACTGCAGTTGCAGGTGGATGACAGAGATACCACCATAGCCATCCTGGAAGAACGGCGGCAGCAACGAGATGCCGCTCGTGACAGCGTAGAGGACGCTCAACCCGATGCTCATGTTGCCAAAGATATGCCTGAAGGCATTGAACAATCGGTGGGTGACAGGCACGAACGGAGCTTATCCGACATAAATTTCGATCCTTACATCTTCGATGATGCCGTCGAGAGTACTGCACAACAAGTTGCAGATGGTGAGGATCGTCTCCCTGGAGTGGGCGACCCAAGCGAGACGGACACGACGCCAGGACCTGCTGGTGATCAACCAACACCCACAGTGCCATCGGTGCCGTCCGCGCCTGATACGGCACAAGCGCCAGCAGTGCCTTCCGGGTCTGCTACGTCACCAACGCCAGCGTTGATGAACACCCGCTCCAAACGCAAGTCTGCCGACCCCCAGGCGCAGGAAGGCCAGAAGCGAAGCCGCAAGAAGGTCCCAGGCGCGGAAGCACACGCCAACGGCCAGGCCCTGCTGTCCAAGTTCTGCATTGCGTGGAATGCCACCGCAGAAGAACGACGCATGATTGATGCGACGTTTCGCATCTTCTTCAGCCTGGGCAAGGACCCTGCTGCGGTCGAAGGAAAGATTGATCAATACTGCATGGGAACGTTTACCAGGCGGCCGGTCTATCCTCCGACTTGTTTCCACGCAGCGATCTTGGGTCACAATTCTGGTTCAGGTGGCAGTAACCATGCCCAGGTCAACTGTAAGGAATGCAACAAGCTGGGCACAGTATGCATGTGGGCCAAGTTCCATCCTGACGTGCATACCGGCTATGGCGACCGTGACGAAAACGGCGTTGTTCCGTCAGGAGAAGCTCGCGCCTACAAGCCTGACGCAGAACCAAGAACAATCCATGTTGAGGGTCGTGATATCCGCTGGATCCTGAAGAGGCGCAAAGAGACGCCTGTAGCTCCAGACGAGACTGACTGGGATCTTGGGGGCAAGGTTGTGTAAACCTGTTCCTCGGGGAACTTCCTTGGGTTGAGACACCCAAGGGTATCGCTGGGAAACGCGATATTCATCGTTTATCGGTGGTTCCCCCATGCTCTACGATTGAGAGGCACCTTCCCGTGGTGTAGAGCGTTAAGCTGACTGCGTCAGTGAACTAGGACCTCTCAGATGGTTGAATGCGTTCACTCCTATTGCAAAGGTAGGTGGGTGTACGCGGATCTGACAGTATCGCAGGAACCGAGCCACAGAAACTCCATATATTCGAGAAAGCCGCCTAAACCTGCATCCTGGGGAGCTGCAGCAGTCTCGCGCTTCTCATGGCAGCATGCGGCGTCAAAAAGCCTCGATATAGTGCAATCCAAAGGATCGCAACTTCCTGAATCGCCCGAGATCTGGTGAGCACCACGCAGACTGGCGTGTCGTTCCAGCAACAGCGATGCTGAAGGCTAAAGAAGCAGGATCATAACGGCTACGTTCATCTACCGACGGCAACTGCATTCTCTGGAGACCTGCATGCTAACACGGCAAACGCGGTCGATGCGTCACCGTTCCAAGGTGGCTGCACCCGGCCTTCGTCGTCAGCATGTATTCGCGTGGAGGAAGCTGCGGAGGAATGCCAAATTGTTACAGATGTTGAGCTGGCGAGGCATCGCGGGTTCATGTCGCATCCGGTATGCCGTGGTCAACGGCTTGCACAAGGTAGGACGAAGATTTGCGCCAAGACTAACCAGAGCCGCTACATGGTATTGCTCCACCGTCTGTCGAGAGCTGGACCATGTCGTTGCGAAGGATGGACTGATGCCATTCATGCTCAGAACTACGAGATACATGCGACGGCTCAATGCATCGACATGAGTTTTGGCTTTAAGATCTCGACAAAATCTGCCTTGATGTCAGAATTCTGCGTTTCCGCTTGCACCTTCTCCAATTCACTTGCCCTTTGACTCGGGACCATCAGACTGCGTGCTCTTCGATCCTCTTCACTCGTTGCACCCAAGGGCATCCCTCTCTCTAGTCTCTCCTTTGTGATTGCTTCCAATGACATCTGACGCGTTCTAGTTAACCATTCCAGCAGAAAAGCAATAGCTCAGCGATCCTTGTCCGCCCACACACAATAGCCGACCTCAATGCCTTCCCTTCCCACCACAACTGCAATTAGAGTGAAAAGAGATGGGGATAACATCAAAGAGGTGGAAGATACATATGCATTGTCGCGGCCTGGACCGGGCTACCGTGCTTATTCTGTGATCGATTGAGCTGCCTGCTCTCGAAGTTCTGATAATACAAGCCGGCGGATCAGCAGCCTTGAACACGAATTATACATCTTCAAACGCTCAGGCTCTTCTCCACAAACCAGCGAATGTAGCCCATGTCTGTACACAGGAGCGTTGGAAATCTGGCATTCTTGGGCGCTTTTCTGCCTCGCTTCGGTCATTCCTCATGTTCTGTTTCGATCCACCATTCATTTCGTTTCCTGCCTCTTACACGTTCGAAGAGCCACGATTCCAAACAGGTTACCCGCTGTACGCTCTCTCGGTTCTCCCTTCCCCGCTCCTGGATCTTGCTATGGACATGGAGGGAAGCAATGCCACACAATGATGGTCGCCGCGGAGGAGACGAATCTCACGTTGCTTTCTTTCTATGCCACAGTTGCCTTGAACGCATAAGATGCCTGTTCGACACTACTGACGCCGAAAGCCTGACCCACAGATCACGCAGCTGAATGTTGATGCCTTGCATCTCAAGCAATCGTCCTGAAGTACAGGATCAGATCTGAGGCCGTTCAGTTGGCGACACGGTAGGTCTGAACATGGTCACACGGCGACGATTCAGGATGACCTGGTTGGAGCTGTCTATAATGTCAAAACGCTGATCTGTTCTAGTGCCTCTGAGACCATGGTCTCGCATTGTTCGAGTGGCACTACGCTTGACGAACCCATGACCAAATGTCGTGTGCTTCCTCCACTGTTCCTGTCTCAACCAGCACAGGTGCGAAAAGCCTCAGCTCTTTTCAACGCTGTTCTCCCGACGCAATGCCAGTCAGATTAACCAGCAACCCATTGTCAACGACACCAACGGTATTTGCACGCCGGAGAAAGATACAACAAACCCCCACCCAAGGATGTATGCGCTGCGCCGGCATTGGACCAAGAGAGGGGCTGAACACATGGTTGCCTGAGGGAATGCTGAATGATTGAGACGTATGTGCCACACATCTCCTAGAGAATCCTTCCTGTTGATAGCAAGATGACTCCGAGGCACCACCTCAGCCGCACTTTCATGACAAACAAGTCCCAGTCAATCAGCAGGTCGAGTTCCTATTCCAGGCTCCAGCATTAGCTGTAAGAGAATCCTGCGCTGCATCAAAGAGTGCCGCTCCCTCACATGCAGCCTTCATAGTGCTTGTCAGCTTATTCGATCGTCGACTTTGTGAGAGTGGCTCATCAGGTGTGGCTCTGCCAGCAATACGCGCGAGGCCCAAAACCAACATCACGATTCTGATTTGCTCGGATGAGCAAGGCAGCCAACGACTGTTCAGATCTGTCATGACTTCTATGGTAACCCATAGCATCGCAACTTGATCGATCTCAGAACACCAGAGGTCGGTATTGCGGCAGGAAGGATCTGCTTCGAACACCCACATCAGCTCAGAATTTGCACTCCTCCCACATGAACGCAACCTGGCGACCTTACAGGAGCATTCTGTACCACCCTCAGGGTCCTCGCACAAGATATGAAGGAGACCAATTGACCAGGCTGATACGATGGCACTATGGGCGGCCCTGGTGGTGCGTCGGGAGACGTTGGCAAAGCATGCTCTGGCAGATATCATTCTTCCAGCTTCGCGGACTGGACGCTTCAAGCATGGCCTGGAACCTTTGGTTTTCCCTCGACTCCCTTGCTCGTCGTCATATTATGTTCCGCCACCGTTTCGGCCTGCAAATCAGTACATCCCGGCGCCCAGCCTGAAATTCCCTGCTTGTCGTTTGAAAGCTCTGATCTTGACGAACTTCGCCAACGGATCTTCGACCCGACGTTGCACGCGTGCTCTGGCCCACTCCGTACACTCAAGCACTGGATCATGGACAATAAAGGAGCCGAATTCCATGTTGCCAGGGGCCGTATTTGCTGGGAACATCAGTCGCCGTCCTAGGAATCTACCAACGGCCATGGAAGTGGCGCTGGTCCTTTCCTCTGCTGATCTAATGATCGAACGATCGCTTCCGCCTGTAAATCGGTTATCTATATCCGTCCACGTCCTCGAGCAAACACATACCCAGGACCCCTGGGCCGCGCCCCGGACAATCGATCGAACGCTTACTCCGGGAACAGGACAAACGATGGAGATAGGCATCGCGCGAATGGCAATCTGCGGAAACAAGCCTACTACTAGCAGGCGAGAGCGAAGGACGATGCGTGTGCAAGCAGAGTAAGCGACGGAGGCACAGAGTAGAGAAATCCGCGTGGCTTCTCTATCAAGGTTCCTCTCGTTCAATTACACCGACAGCACTTCTTACGGTCATGCCAGAATCCCTCGGCATTCGTCTGCATCTACCAGGGAGTTCCGACGATCGATCTAACCGGCTGCGAGCACGAGCGAGTCGAGAATAGAAAGCCGAGCCCTGGTGCTTCGGCCTCTATTTTGAAGTCCCATGCGCCGACGAAAGGCTGGACGATCTTGCTGCCACTACTTTTTGGTTAACTCATCAACGCTCGCTCAGCATGACCTACGTTCCGGTACGCGCAAATTTTGAGTCACAACACCCCACTGAATGGCGTGTCCTGAACGATTGGTGGTTATCAGGCCCGTTACGGACAAGTGTCGGACAGCACCGTCAGAATTGCTAATACCTGGCTGCGATTGGAGACATGGATACAAATGGCAATGAAGGACGAAGTTGCAAGGATGCGAAGCAGGCATGTCGGTCCGCAGGTAGAGCGAGCCGAATATACAAACTGTTGCCAACCCAGCACAGTTCACTAGCCTATTAATTCAGGTAACAAACCTCCGTGTGCCGTGCAGAGAGCTACAATTCAAGAGCTTACCAACTAGCAGAAGCTCTATCCCCCAACGATATCGACTCTTCGTCAATCCTTCATAATTCGGCGTTCAGAGTGCGGTGGGAACTTCAGGCTTGTCGAAGACGGACATGTCGATCAATTGAAGTTCAGAACTTCCAACAATAGCGGGTCTCCGCACGCGACAAGACAAGATGATGTTCCAGCTCAAGCACAGCCCATGCTTCCTCACTTGCGAGACGAGTCGCTCCTTCAGATGTCTTCAGGGATCTCCGTCCCGATGTCTTGCCTAACCCCGATATATTCGACAGTAAAATTGCAGTTCGCTATTGCGCTATCGTCCACATTTTCGAGGGTCCCATCCAAGCCACTCCCGGCTAGACAACTCCATGCTGCGATGCTGAGCATGATGCAGAACACGACATATCCCGCACTCGTCTCAGCGCCGCGCAACAAGATGGTCACCTCAAACACCTCGCAGCCACTTCGACACTGCGATACGTGAGGTATACTTGCTGCGTTCTATAGGACCCGACGCCGTTGGAGGTGGGTGTCACGGTATACGACACGGAGCTAGACACAATTTATGGGCCTGCTTTTCGCAGCTTACCATCCGGATCTACCCACACACCTTCGCGAAATGGCGGAAGAGAAAGGCTATAGCACATTTGGAAGGCATCCGTGCAGCCTCAAGCTCGAAGACTGCACGGGTCCAACTGCGTCGAGCTTTTGTTTCCTCATCGGTGCACTTCGCCGCCTGGGGAAAGCATCCGTTCATCAAAGCGAAGGCTCGTCATCGTCCTCCGTCCTGGTCCGCCGTTAGCCTCTCATTCCGCCATCCTCCACGACGGCTGGTATATGGCTCTCCAGCTCCGGTAGCATGACGACTACGCGCACGGAGCGATGGCAAGCAGTTGCTGCGCTCTTCGATACCAGTAAGCGGCAATCACCGAAAGGCGTCGCCCTAGCATTAACTTTTTCAA